TTCTTTGTGTGTTCAATAGACAAGTAGGACATGTCATTGTAAGATTTGAGCTCACCTTTCCACACTTTATGTGGCACCACGATTTACACTTGTCACATTCAATAGCACGATGGTTTTGGGCTACAGTTCTCTTTCAAACAGAGCATTAATCCATCGAAGTGAATGGTCCAGGGTTTAAAAAAATATCTCCACTAGATACGATGTTCCATAGCTGGAATGTTGCGTCAGCATTTGAATAATAGCTTATTTTTAAACCATGGAACCTCCTTCGATGTAGATTTGACGGCAAGCCCACCTGAAGTCGTGTAAAAAGACTCAAATAATCCTCAATGAGTGATGTCTTCTTGGTTTCGTTTAAGTCACTCGATTGAGGTTCGAACAAAACATGTTCAGATACTGTCGATAGAGCCAGCAACACCGTAATTAAATGTCCAAAGAAATTACAGAAGACGGGCGCTTTACAGAGAACCCCTATCTTGTCGGCACGCAAATTGTAGACCAAACGCTGTAAAAAGCTGTATCGTACACCCATTCTAAGCAAGGAAGGCATCTGCCTTACAAGCTAAATGATTTCCAGAGTTAAGGGTCTGCGCGTGGACCCTGAATGCCTTGGGAGAGAACGTTCTGACGCCATGCGACGTCGCATTTCTTACTTTTTCGGGAGGGTGGTTGATGATCTTTCTCAAGCAATCTCCAATGATGAGAGATGGATTTTGTTTCGTTTTCGTATGGAACAGAAGTATGAAACTAAGTTCAAGAAGGGCAAAACTCATGACATTCATCCGTCTGTTTTGGGCTAGTATCATTACCTCTAAAGAGGGCAAAGTAAACCTTGCCTTTGTTTTCATATCAGCCAGCTTGACATTTTATACATTTAGGGTCCTCAGAACTTTCGAGGGTTCGTAGTACCGCAAATTGCTCACTGGTTAATATGCGAGACTCGCATGTAATTCAGTTTTTCTATAACAATTTCTGTTTCCATTATCCCATGATATTACAGGGACGCGGAGGATTTTTTTTTGCGACAATGGAACATTTACGCGACCCCCCTTAAAGTACATAGTGTTTAATTTTGATCCCCCCATATCGACGGTGGAAGATTTTAGGCCCCCCCCCCCGTTATTCCCTTTCCTAAAAAGCCAGTGTTATTATTTGCTTCCTAACCCACATACCGACAAGTTGAAGTTTGAAGTTTTATAATAATGTCGTTGAGCAGAAATATGAATCTGTTATTTGTGGCAAAAGTAAAGTTCTGTGGGAAAAAAATCTTCTGAGAAACGAGAAGCAGGGAGTAGGTCAAAACAGCACAAAATTCATTGCAAGCGTGGATGGTTGCAAGAAGAGCGATGACATTGTCAAGTGTGAGTCCTGCTTGGCCACTGTAAATAACACTTTGAAATTCGCAGTAGGGTTGTTATCATTCATAAACAGCGAGCGAAAAGTCCTTTAAAGAGAAGACCATACTCCAAAAACCTTTGCAAGTGAGGAGTTGAAATATATTCAGGAAGTTCAAAAACGAGTAAAGGTACTCCAATAAGAATTTCAAGAAGTTTCAAATTTCCTGAATGCAACCCTAATAAACCTAAAAAGAAGGTTTCCATCTCGTATTGGGCAAGATCAGCAATTGCGCAGAAAAAAAAGACAAAATTAAATTAAGGAGAAGCGTTTACAACAGAGGGTGTACCTGCTTCTCGAAATAACTTACCTCAAGAGAGTTTGCTGGAAATGTGTTTGATGCGATCAAAAATAACAATAGTTCTAAATTGCAACTACCAATGCTGAGTTAGCCGGGAAATTGATCAGGCCTCTTCATTTCTACCCTCTTCTACGACCGCTAGAAAAAGGCGTTTTTAATTCCAAATATAGTTCGTAATATGCGGGTCTTAGAGGCCAGTTTAAACGAAAAAAGGTCTGAAGGGCCAAGCTCGGACAAGGATTCTGCTGATAAATCGGATGAGAAGGCAATCAAGGGTTAGCAGAGTCGGGGAATTCCAAGAGTCAGTGGAGGATCAAAAGTCTATAAATGGAGGAGTCCAAGAAACTGCCAAAGACGCTTTGGGGATCGAAGCAATCACACTAAACTAGACGCTTGTTGATATATGTATACATCTCTTGCTTCTGTTGTACCTGTTCGTAATGACGGTGTACCGTCGCGTTCATTTATCGAACCTTCCCATCGCAGGGATACCTCTCTAAGACTCCAGAGAATTTGTAACATGTAACTTTCTGGACATTTAAAGTACAGAACTTAAACATTTTCAAGCATACGTTTAATACAACAATTGATTATTTCATTATACTAGTAATAACCACAGGTTAGGAAGTGCGTGGGAGGGCTATGCATGATTTGTTTGCGTTTGTAACAGCTCTCGATCGCTCTACAGTTCAAGTCTTCAATGGATCAACGCCAAGGTCAATGGACGCACAGCTCTCGATCGCTCTACAGTTCAAGTCTTCAATGGATCAACGCCAAGGTCAATGGACGCACAGCTCTCGCTCTACAGTTCAACAACGCCAAGGAGGAACACAGATCTCTCGCAATGGCCGGAAGATTTCGATACCCGACAACAACAGACACGAACAGGAAACGTTCCGATCACAAGTTCACACGCTCGATTTTGATTGGACGGCGCGCCAGCTATGCATGAACTGCACGTGATTCTTCGACGAAATAGACGTCGTCAACGTGATAAAATTGTGTTGTGTGCATTCCAATTTATGGACCGCCACTTCTGCATGAACTGCACGTGATTCTTGACATTCTTAGCTTCAAGAAGGCGAAATTTACATATTATTTGAGCCCTTCAACTACATTAAAGATCATTGACTATGGAACGTGAAACAGCTATGCTTTGGTGAGAATTGTCTTCTGCTTGGTGTTGGTTTCTAGCGGTCAGAGCGCCTGTGCTCAAATTACTGCTGCTTCGTGTTTGTCTCGCGTGGTAAAAGCGCCTATGCTCAAATTATGTCCTTTCATTTCATTGGTTCTTAGTGTCCCTAGGGACAAATATTTGGAAGGACGACTTTTTTTGCTAAATTCGAGTCACTGCAAGGCTATATAACTGCCGCGCATGCGTTTGTAACCAATGTTGAGATTAGGATTGCGGGCTCCGCTGGTCGCCCGCAATAAGATCGTGTCTGAACAAGAAACAAAACCAGAAAAAATCATCATCGATCCTACCGCTTCAAATATTTAGAAGAAGTCCCGTTCAATGGCTGGCACAAGGAAGATATTAAGAGAGAGAGAGAGGAATCTCGTGCGCGATTTTGGCATGCCGTTAGTGTAAATGTCGTGCGCGTACAAAGTCGTATCGTAGGCCTTTCGCAAGCTTCTTGCATGTGAATCGTGTAAATCGGCCTTACAATACTATATCCCACATAGAAAACAAAGGCCCCCTAATATTAACGTATAGGATTGCAAGACTACCAATAACCCTTCGCTGAAGCCCTCCCCCCTCCCTTATATTAAGACAAATCCTCAAAGCAAGTTGTCTGAATTAGATGATCTAATAGCTTCAGTCGGAGCCTGCTTCAGTCACTGCTCATGCTTTTTATAAAACTCGCAATGGTCACAACCACCCCCGCGCGCGTGAACCTAGGTCTTTCGAGAATAAGAAGAATCAGCGATACTGACTGCTTCCAAGTGTTATAAAAACCAGTACTTTTATAGGAAAAATAAAATCTTTGCTGAATCTAAAGGAAATCTAAAAATGACAACGAAAAAACTCAACGGAGAAAACATGTAGCGACTCAAGCTTTCTGGTGAGGCTAATGAGGATATGTTCAATTTTTAATCGGATGCAAAATTCAGTTGGGCTGTGATTCTAAAAGTTAATTGAGAGCACTTACGCTCGACCTATTGTATTTATATATTTTTGTCTTGCATTATAAAGCTTTTTGTATATCTTTACATATCTTTTATGATTTTTACTTATATTACCTCCACAGGGAAACATGAAGAAAAACCTTTTTAACTGAGGAGAGACAAACAACATCCACTATCAAATTGAACCGAAAATTACAAAATTCTGGATGAACAATAGGCAGATTAATCTAATAATAGGATAATTTTTAATTGATTAAAAGTGCCATAATATCCTTGAAATATCTGCTTAACTTAATGACAGGACATGACTGAAAACGAGCAAGTCGTAGTGTCCTTTTTCCTTTTTTCAATCTGTGTATGGTTAGTGGATTGTGCTTCTTTGCGATCAAGCCCTTTTCAGCTGGTATGTCATCTAAATTTCAAAACTGATGGATAATTCAATGAGGAATGCCCTACTTCTCCTCTACATGCAATTCCTAGCATTCAGAGAAAAGACAAAAACTCGATTTTTGTAAAGATTGGAAATTTATTTATAGTTTGTGTAACTCGTGGACCAACCACGGGATACAGTTACAAAACGTTGTTTTGCTGGTTTTTTGTGCCATGCATTATTTCATTATAGCTCAGCTTCCAACGTGTTACAGTTTGTAACACTGTGTGAAATATTATCAAAGCTCAATACAAAAGCTAAGTTTGGAGAGTACTTAGAATGATAGAGACGACAAGTCATTTGGCTTGTAAAAGACCCAATTCAAGTATGAAAAGAGGAACAGTTTCTGCCGACAAATTCTAACCTTCCTCTTGGTAAAAGGCTTGGCAACAGTGCAACCGTCTGTGCAATGGATTATTTGCCTCTTCTTTTAAATAGTATTCAATCTTAAACCCGCATTCCAAGCGGATTCTGATAAAACCTATCATCAAAATGTCATCCTTAAAATCATAAAATATTATTCTTACAAAATTCAAAAAATAGATCACTTTGGAAAACAACTCTATAACTTATAATGTTGATATTTTAAATTTTATATACACCAATATGAAAAAGATATATACACCACATTTAATTACATATTATCTGGCATAATTAACAAAATACTTTACTTTACTTTACTTTACTTTACTTCGCTTTCAGTGAGCGTCAAACCATTAATATACCTCAATAGTATTACACAATTCACACAGAAAGAGAGTCCTTCCACGTATAACCAAGAAAATGAGGTTCCACTAAGTCACTTTCACTGTGTTGGCGGCTTGTTAATTTTCTCTTTGACAATTTATTTTCAATCGACTTTTGACAAACCCTTTGACTAACATGGGCTTTTATGGTCGACTTCTTACGACGTTCGAAGAAACAGTGCCCACAAGCCCACCAGAAATCCTCTTCGGCGCTCTTGTGTCCGTTTGCTTTACGGCGAGAGCTCCCAACCATACATCTTTTCCCGACCAACTTTAGAAGACCAGGATCCTCGGGTTGCTCCACAATATAGTGAATTGATGATTTGCTATTGTAATACTTTGAAACCTATAAGAAGACCTTTAATCAATATCTTCTCCTCTGCAAGCAAATATTAATGGTATTGGTTTAAAACACAATTCAATTAATTGAGTCAGTAGATGAGACGAGTGGTGGGATTCGGAGCACAAGGCAATAACCATCAATGCCTTGAAGTCAGATGAAGAGAAAGAATGAAGAGAGCATGGCTCTATAGTTATGCCGCGCTGATCATAACATGTTTTGTCGAACAATGTGGACGCAAGCCAAAACACACAACGTCACTAAACACTAACCATCTTTCTATCTAAAGTGGTGTGATCTCTAAACAAAATTTTCCTGCCAGCCAAGGGTTCACAACCAGACTCGAGATCGGTCTCAAAACTGTCAGCAGGAAAGTGTCCCGATGTATTGTCGTCCTCCTTTGTAAAAGAGAAGGCGTCTAATTCTCCGCTCAAAGAACATGCCGCTTCATTTGAAAATTCTGTGAAAGGATAAAACCACTGTAAACCAAAATGACTATTTACAAATCTAATACCTCTAAAGTATTTTCAATACCAGCTCAGAAGACATATCGAAGTTAATCCGATACTTCACCATACTTGGTGATAAATATATCAGATCAATTGCACACTCCGGGAGATCACTGAGTACCAAGATTTTTATTTTCATTCACAGGGAGAACACCTTATGCTCATTGGAAGCTCATTACATAATTTATTACACCCATTTTGAAATCACTGATGGTCCCTGTAATCTGATTGGCACTAATTGGTGCGATTTATTCACGAATCGCACCATTTTTGCACTAAATCGCATCTTTTTCCCAGTCTATAAGGAGGCTACACCAAAAACAAAACAACCAAACAGATTTCAAGGCTTGTTTAAAGTAACCTATCAAATTGCAGGAAAATGAAAGACAAAGAGTATCATGTAGCAAATTTTGCATCTTTTGTTTCCAAAAAACTCTTATTTTTCCCCCCAGAAAATGGATAATTTTAATTTCAAACCGGCTCTGCACTGCATCAATAAAATATTTGACCAAGTCCAAGCACACGGTTGTTTTGACCAAACGCACGGTTTGAATAAATTATTTTTGCACTTGATACGCGCGCTTTGCGTCTGCTTAATTATGATAAGCTATCTCGTATTTTTTCATGATATAATTAACACGTAATCACATGATTTTTCTCGTGCAATTTGGAATAAATAAGCACTTGTTTATATTGTCAAAACCACAAATTGCACAAATTTTTTTAAAGACTAACAAAATTGCACAAATTGCAATTTTGTTAGTCTTTAAAAAAATTTACTCGTCCTTATTTATTCCAAACTGCGCTCGAAATCATGTGATTACCAATAAAAATTGCACTCCACTCAGTTCAATTACCATTATTAATCATAACCATTACAATTTTCTTCAATATAATTGGTGCATTCGCAGCATCATTTTTCACTAATCGTTTTGTACAGTGGTAATCGGACAGTGTAATCGGACAGTTGGCTGTAATCGGACACCTGTAATCGGACAATTGAAGCAGCCAATCATACTAAGTCCACTCAGCTAATCTACCAATCGCAGAAATTATCAAAACAACCATGGCAACAACCACTTATCCAAAGAAAAACTGTGGAATCTAGGTGTATTTATTTTTTCGTAAATTGAAATGGTTATGATTAATTGGTAACAGGACTTCTTGTCGTCCAATTCTGTCTGTAATCATACTCGTGATTAACAAATCGGACTCCCGCTTTGCGGTCGTCCGATTTTGTTTATCACTCGTGTGATTACAGACTTTATCAATAAAGGGCAAAATTACTGAGCGCTGATTGGTTGAGAGAGAGGGCATTTTTTATAGTAATCAAGAGAGGGCATGATTACCTTGTTCAGTTAAAAGCACTTTGTTGTTTTTCTGTTGGCAGAAACGCTCTGTTGAAATGAGCTTTGTTTTCTAGACTTTTGGCAGTGTATCACGACACAGTTTTGGAGAATAAAATTTCATTGAATCGATTGGTCAGTTCAATTTGATTGATGATTTGCCGTAGCGCTAAAGAGGCTTCCCAGATAAAAATAGACTGCGCGCGTGATTTTCCTTCGTATAAAATTTAAACAAGTAATCCCTTTATTGAGTTTTCAAAATAAAAAAAGAAAATCCCATGAGACCTCATGTGATTACTATTGGAACTCGGGATTAATTGCATTGTTGAGTTTTCAAAATTTTTTGGAAAATTCTCGAGGAACAAGCCTAAGGTGAGTGCTTCTCGCACTTTTTTTATTTCAAGTTTTTATTTCTTTTATAAAATGTATCGTAAATTGCGCGCGCTCATACCAATGACGTAGGCTGCGTGCATTATATCTCAACAGTGCACTCGTGTGACGTAAGGCACAAGCTTTATGGAAATATAATGAACTCGTTCTGACCAATCACGGCGCGCGCATTTCTTTGAGCATTTTATAAAATAGCAAAGCTGAAAATCAAGCTGAGCAGACGATGAATTTATATGAAATTAGCGGCGCCCTTGGGTTCACCGAACATGCTTTCGTCCTACTGTACCTCCGCTGATACTTACAATATTTCAGTTTCGTATTCAGAGTTTGACCAAAGACCGTAATTATTGCCACCTCTAGAAACTAGATTGACAATTTTTGTTGGTTGCTTAGATTCAAGCGGTCACATTATCAAACAATGGAAGGGCAACCTTTCCTATCACTAATTTACTTTTTTCTTTTTAATTTAAAAGTGTTAATATCGACTATCGTTGTAGAAGGAGATTATTCCAAAGTAGAAGCAATTTTTCAAATTAATTTCAATTTCTCAATTCCGATTCATCATTACCCATCCCTCACTTTCCATTTTTTCTTCAACCTTCGCCCATTCCCCATTTTTCGTATGAATGTCATGATTTATGCACGTGCAGACCTGTTTGTTGGCGCACACTCACTTTTTCACTCCTACATACAAAACGTAGTGGCTAGAGCACTATGCAGTGCACTAACCGCAAAAAGGTAATGAACAACGTTCAAATTCTGACACATAGAACAAAATTAAAGAAATCACAAAAAGCCAAACAGCAGCAGCTCGCACAAAGAATAATCGCAAATCAACCTGACTTTAGTAAAGACAGTTATACCCTTGAGATTATCAAAAAGCAAAAAGCACGTTATCGATGTACCGAGCATATATTCTAACGTCTCCTGTTTTTGCAGAGTGTTTAAAAGCAAAATATCTGTTTTATGTTTTGGTATGTGTTTTTCGTTCTTTTTTCCGATTTTTCTTTCTTCTACCAGTTTTCTTGATACTTAGCCTGACGTTTGAAATTTGAAACAAAAAGGCAACATGGAAACTACGAAAACGAAAAGAGTAACAGGATGGAGAGAAAACGAAATAAGAATGGAGGTTTAAGAGGATATTCATAAAAATTACAATTTCCTCGATTGTGACTGGTTAAAAAAAACTCGTATTTCACACTACTTCACTAACTAAGTTGTTATCGGACAGTTTGCATAATAAACATCAAGAAAAGTAGCTGAAAACAATAATTTCACCACAAGGGAACAAATTCATTACGTGTGGAGCTTCTCATAGTTCCGTATCATTTCCACCAATGCTTTTAATTCATACAAATGACATCACTTCAGCTGGTAAACCATAATTCGCACTGTTCTACATGACACCAGTACATTCCGTAAAAAATTTAAATCTTATACAGTTACTTCAAACAACTAACAACCACTTAAGTAGCTCGTCTTCATGGTTTTAGGCTAAAGGGTTATTACTTAAAGTAACCAAAAATAAACAAATGAATGAAACATCAAAATAGAAGACATATGATAAATAAGTTAGGCATTGTTAGTTTATAGGAGTATTGATTGATGAAAATTAAACTTGGATGACAACACGTCTAGTAACCTCAAGAATTTTCAAGAACATTGGGCCATTACTTGTTCACAAATGCTATTAATAGCTCATAGCTATTATACTTAATATATCTTTACAACACAAGAGGATAAGAGCAAAATAAAAAAGGTCATTGCTTTTTTTAAAAGCTAATTAAAGCCCATGTTACACATTTACCCCTGGATTGTGCTTCTGATCATCAACAACAGAAAAATAAGACTTTGCACATGCCCATACCACACACTTAGGAGCACCCATAAAGAACCATTGTTACGTAGCAAAAATGTGTTATGGTTCTATCTTATATCTGCATAGTTTGAACGATTTCCTTTAAAGACTTACACTTTTATAAAGGAAGATAACCACTTGCATATACAAACAAAAAAATAACATTTAACCAACCTTGTTTTATTCCACTGAAGGGTCTATCAGGAACATCTCTGCTGTCACTTGGCCAACCGAATTTTCGAAATAACCTTTGTACATTTCCACAGCTGGGCAAATCTACAAGAGAAATTGTTGGTTATTAGTACCTAAAAAAGCTTGTAGGATATTCGAAGTTAATATGACGGACGTCCAACGAAAATTTAATCAATCTCCACTTCCTTTTGGCAAATGATTACCTTCTTTTAGTTTAAAAGTTTATGCAAATAGAACCGAGTACCAATGCTCCATTTTCAACTAAAACGTTGAGCTGAACCTTGAAACCATTTCTTAATATTTGGCCTGCATTTTGCCTGCGCAACAACAATCTTATTTCATCAGACAAGAGTCAGTTCGCTTTTCATCTTCCTTGCATTCATTAATGATAAAAAAATACCAACCTCCTTTCCCTTTTATCTTGTAACTTGCTTTGGTTGTAACTCTGAATGGCTCTGACTTAACTGTTCCTTTCAAGTCTGAACCAAACTCCATTTCTATCATCATTTCCCATTTGTTCCTTTCAATGACTTCTGCTTTCTCTAGCCAGTAGACTGGATCACCTCCCTGTGTCTTGTACACCGACCCAAGGTCTACTACAACGACTCGGAATCTGGCCTCACTCTGAACAACTTTTACATCAAGTTCCACTGGACCTACAAAAACAAATATATCAAATATCTCAAAATGCCGTCTTTTAAGTAGAGCACAGCGTGTCAAATGATGCTGATAAAAAATAACAAAGGCACCTAAAGAAAGTATAAAAATATGCATAGAATACCAATTGTATCATGAGTCCTCATCGCAGCCTCGTGACACCTTTGAGTGTAAGCTCGAATACTGGAGATTTCATCAGATGCTTGGACAATCACAGTTACTTCTGCGTCGTCCAAGCGATATTCAAATCCTTCTTTAGTTTTCTTCGTCTTTTTGTCGTAGACATCTTTGAGACCCACGATCTGAACTTCCACTTCAACTTCGCAAGCCCTCTTCGGGACACAATTTGTCTCGTTCTCTGCAAGATTTCAAGTTATCATCGCAGTTGAGATACGTTCGACCGACGAAATTTACTTACTTGTTTTTACATTATACCCCATTCACACCAAGGTTAAAACATGCTACAAAACTGTTTTGTGCTACCCGTTTTGAAAGTGCTTTCTTTATAAAATTCTTAAACTTAAGTCGATAAGGACAATAAACCGTTGGCCTCTTCTCGAGCATATTATCTGTATTGGTTAGCCGAGGACGTATAACAACCTACGCACGTCTAGCACACACAAGGGAACGTGGCTCCCGGTATTGTAGTCTGACCTTGTTCCCAAAAAGTTGGACGTACATGCAAAAATCGCTTTTCAAACTTGTATAAAAATTGTTTAAACTTAAGTCGATAAGGACAATAAACCGTCGGCCTCTTCTCGAGCATATTATCTGTATTGGTTGGCTGAGGACGTATAAGAACCTACACACATTTAATAAACATTACGAACGTGGTTTCCGGTATTGTGATCTGGCCTTGTTTCCAAAAAGTTGGGGGTACATGCAAAAATCTCCTTTCACACAAAAATTGTAGACTGCTTATTGAGCCTTGCCAAAGTTGTTGTAAAGTGCATTAGAGCATATTTACATGGAGAATACACGATATAAAAGCCGCATCATCATCAAGTTTTGTCGACTTCGAATTTAGCATGATAAAAATACACGTAAGTCAGTTTAGTTAAATCTTAACCAAAATTTTTAATTTTCTTCCGCTGATCTTCATTCATTTAAGCCTACTTTTCCTTAACGTGCTCCGCTGGTGTGAATGGGGCCTAAGACAGCTCACGTTAGCCTGAGATGGCGCCTGTTTGCAACTTAGATAAGTATTATGTAAATTTAAGACGTATCTGATCAGTTAGCAGAGTGTCGTTTGAGATCCGAATTTAAGCTTTTGACTTCTCAAAAAAGAGCCACATAGCAAAAAATCAGGAAGCAGAATACAAAAGGAGAGAAACTAAAGGCGGATGGCTTAACCGTGTAGATCGATCATTCCTTAAACCGCCTGCCGGTGATGAACTATGCCTTCGATACCCACGCATACAATTGCAACACCCAAATAAAGTTTCTGCTCACCTAATAATTCGTCCCCAGCTTCACGAAACAGGGAGCTTATGCTGTAAAGTTCTTCGACTGTAACTGACTCTGAGTTATGACTCACAGGAGGGAATCCCAGTTCAGACTGGATAAATTCGTCAATATCGCTGAGTCTTTCCTCCAAGGTTGTATCGATCTTCCGATCCATTTGGCAAAACTGAATGCTCTGTTGTTCTTGCAATACAGTGGTGATACGATTTAAAACTAAATTCTACTGAACTTCCCGTAGAAATTTTTAAGTAAGGCTCCCAGACAGAGGAAGTCACGCTTATCCAATAGTAAACATGCTTTACTTCCGATTCGAGGGGGGGGGCGGGTATTTATGTTTCAATTGGCCTCTTACGCAAACTTTGTTGCGGCGGAAGAAAACAAAACTCACCGGCGATTTACACGACAAAACTAGAAGCGTGCATACGGTCATAAACACTTTTTCAAGTTACGAGAGTTACATTTTACGACTTTTAAGCTACGGTGCAGGACTGTGATGTTTGTGTTTTTCACACGCAGCGAAGAGAAATTCAAACAAACTGTCGAATGAAATAATCAAATATGCATTCTATGTAACGAAAATGTGTTCACAGCAACGCGCATTTAAAATGAGTCTTACACGCAAAGAAAGAAAAAAAAAAAAGGCAAGAACCGAGGAGTTACAGTCTAACACCTTCACTCTGTTGGGTTCATAAAGACACTTCGGAGGACCTATGGAATAACACTGCCAAGCGTTTGAAAATATCGTTAAGGAGACCGTTTGGAAGGGTATTATAGTATTATTGTTGTATAGTCGGAACTGAGATTCTATTATCATCTTTGTCAAAATGAATTTCCAACTCCTTCTTCTTTGCTTTCGTCTATTAGATCTCCAGATCATATAGCAGGAACTCTTAAGTATAAAACTGGTATTCTGAACGACAGTTTCATCTATTTCAGGAAATGTTTATTGCGAAATGTTACATTCACATGATTCTTGTTTTGAAAGCCTTGACCCGCGATTGTGCAATCACAGAGAGGAAGTTAAGTAGTCACGCGACACTTCAGCCGGTAACAGTAAACGTTGTCACGATAGTACTTTGCTGAGTAATCTACCCTACTACAATTAATTTCTCTCGTAGATGTCACTGGAAATTTAGCGCGGCCTTCTTTTAAGACATGCATAAAGATAGCAAGAAAATCAATTACCAATTTAGCTTAAAAGCTGATTTGTCTTAATGAAAAGATGGAACCCACAACTCGGAAAATATGTATCAATATCTACATATCGAGCGATGCCTCGATCAAAAAACCGCCAAACAAAGACTAAGAAAATAAACATTGTCTGTGCACCAAAACCGATTATCATTGTGATATCGTTTAGGTGTGTCTGTTCTATTCTCGTTTCTTAATCCACAAGACGCCAAAACGCTATTGATGTGTCAAATTTCATTTAATTTTACTTTCTCAATTATCACCACTCAACTAATATTTCCTTTAAAGCCCTAGATAACCATCGATCTTTTGAGTGTTACACGATATGATTTTCCATAAACGAAGACTTAACTCACCAGTATTTCGAAATATTCTTGGGGAAGATGGGTTTTAAAAAATTGCGCTTTGTTTGAATGTGTGAGTAGGAACAACCAGCCCCCACAAGAGGGAGTGGTGTTTGAACAATGTTTACGTTTGAGAGCAGAGATGCGAGTGTCAAGATGCTGCTCCGTGACCTATGGTTTTGACTTACTGGTACCTATCTCTTCCTAAATATCTTCGCACTTCTTAACAGTCTTGCCTATGTAACTTTGCAAGAGATTTCTTAAATCCAACTCTAGTTTGCATATGATCGTAAAGATTGTCCCAGGCTTTCCGAATACAGGATTAAGCGAGGATCATACGATAGAACTGAGTTTGTGCATTAGCCTACTTTCCGTAAGACCGCCCGGATCGCCGGTCCCAATCGTCAAAACTACGGCGATCTACAGAAATTGAGTCGCAAAGTAAGAATTAATCTTCCCTTCGTCTTTTCCAGTTAGCGTTCGAGCTGATAAGAGTACATGAATATTCTTGGCATTAAAAATACACAAACATACGCTTTACATACTTATGAATATAAATATCGTAATTAATAGTCCGGAAATACGCAATCCAATATATCACAAAACAGGCAAGTTTTACACCGAGGGTTACTGTTTTAGCTCGGACGTTAAAGTATCGATAATAAATCTCCAGATGCGACCTAGGCCTTTTGCCAAAATACAACACGAGACCTTTACGAGCCATTGAACTTTCATCGAACCTTATATCCTTCTATCGAATTTCTCAATGATTTCAGATTGAACTGTTTGAACTTCCTATCAGCAAAAACGTGCAAAGTTGACAGTATTTTTTTTTTCAAACAGTAGATCACGTGACACCTTGAACCTTAGGCATTACAAAGACTATCATAATTTTACTGACGAAGTGGAGAACCTACTTCGCAAACTGACACCACTAAAAACACAAATATTTTGAAACATAGCTGTGAGATTGGATTTTAATACTTTCAAAATGAAATATCGTAGATAAGAAAAAGATTTTGCCTTGTTTGCAAGTAAAAATTAAAGTTAAAATTTATCAATTTTTTACGCGTAGCGACAAGTTTTCAGCCGTTTTGCAGTGAGCGGGCTTCGCTTAAAGCTCTTCATTACAAGGGACAGACAGCCTGGGTGAATTTAACTTAGAAATATGTTCTGAAGGTAGTTAAATGATTGGTGAATCGTTTTGCTGCCTGAAGAAGACTACACACTCGCTTGTTTTTGTAGGAAGTTAGTGATAACGTGATACGAACAAGAATCATGACAATCACTTAGCATAATGGCCATCAAAATGTCACACAAAAATGTCACTGGTGTGTACATTGTCACCAAATGAATAATACGCATTGAATAAAATCAGTAGTCCGTGAGAGGGAAGTTGACATCCAACAAAAAATAGAAACACTGTGTGACATTCTGAAGACTCGGTGACACTTGGTGTACTTGACACGTGAAATGCGTAAACATGATTTGGAGAACACGTGTCCCAAAACAAGGTTCAACCCTGGCTTCAAACAACCCGTATGGGCAGAGTCTACAATGGATTGTGTGCTGTTTGCCACGACACCTGGAAATTTTTAGCCCAAACTGGAATCCTCAACACCTCTTCCAGAAAAAAAAAAGAGATCCATCCGCGCTTCTTTATCTCTACCCTATTTCTCTCTCTCGCTTTGTTCTCCCAGGTCACAACATGTTAATTAGTTAACTTTCGCTATCATTTCGACAAAACTAAAGCGGAAGTGAGTAAAGGTACTTTCCCAGAAATATACCAGTATGATGGACGAGAAACCTATGCCTGTTGAGGAAATTTCGCTTTCAATCTCAGAACCTTGACGATTTTCTCGGCCCCACATAAGTTTTAGCTGACCTCTGAGAAACGTATCAGCATTTCGAAACTCAGCCAAACCACACATCGTTCAAAAACTTTGTTTTCTTAGGCTTCGACAAGGATTTACATGTTGCAGGATACAATGAGTTGTGATTTAGAAAGCCGTTTAAAGGACTTAGAGGCAGTTCTGAACAGTGATCAAGGTAGGCATTTGGGGGGTTCAACTCCGATTTTCAAATTCAACGCTCAGTTCATTAGCTACTTTGCATAACAAGAGAATGTGAGCTTCGGCCTTTCCTTAGGATTTGTAAACGAATGTCAAGAAGTGATTTGAATTGGTCGGGAGCGTTTATCAAGAGTAGGAGTGAAAGGAGAGCAAGGAACGCATAGATTACACAGTCAAAAACATATTACGGTACTAATAGAGAGCCATTCTCGATGAGCTGCTTAAAAATTTCGATGACGGAGTTGGCGAACCGAACATTGTTACTTTCACTACAGCAAATGAAAAGCTGTGGATATATGGATACGTCCGTTCTCAGACCTGTCTCGCTGACATCATGCCTTATCCAGTAGAACTTCAGTCTTTGGTATTTAACTCTTTCTAATGTATCATTAGGGTTTGCTTTTCAATTAAATGCTTTTTAAAAAGAAAATTCCCGGCATGTTCAGCATTGCAAGTTTTATTCAGCAAATCCTGGTAATAAATATACGTGTATGATGCTGAATTCATTACATACGATCGGTACAAGGGGCAAGAAAGCCAACATGTATAAATTCATCTGAGACTGATGCAATGACTGTGTAACATATGTGTATGCATGGAGGTAGTTATATGTGCTCGTGAAAAGGTGCATGAAAAAGACTTCAAGTGATTCCAAAGTAAGTCATCATTGAATTCTCCTCAATGGTTGCTATCCTATCTAGGAAATGTACCCGATGATTTTTTCACATTCAACCAACCACCATTACCTGATATTCGAGTTGAGTTGTTCGACTTAAAAGATGTCTATGACAAAGTTCAAACAAAGGTACCAGGTATATCTGAACAACGCATAGCAAAAGGATGGGTTAATGGTGTTGCCTGGTCAGCTGGTCAAATAAATAGTATCACAGTACTAGTTCGACGCACTCCCGAGGCAGCAGCAAGAGTCAATGATACAATAGGTTGGTAATATTACTGTATGGATCGTAAATTCCATTTATGAAATTCACAATGTATAACATAACATTATTTGACACTCAAGGATAATATATGAAAGCTGTCTACCATAATTCAGTAAAGGAGTGCATGAAAAAAGCCCTAGGCTACTACCTCATGCATTTAGTAAAGCAAAAGGTAAATCTATCGGTAGAAAAAAGTTGATTGAGAATTACTCTAGCAACCCTTAAAATAAAAAGATTTGGAAAGCTTTGAATTTGAGCCCAATTGGATTGATTCATCACTAATTGGTAATAAACTTGTAGATTGTTTTCTCAGGCTTGTAAAGTGATAAGTACATTCATACTTACACAAGGAAGCAGTTACAACATCGGAAGTGCAAATTGTTTTAAAAGAAACAGGTCAAAACTATGCATCGCATATGTAACTTGCTCATCATGTATTCAAAATAATCTCATACATAGACTTCCTAAATGCTAATTATCACCAGACCAGAAGGACAGATACGTGTATGACACAAACAGTGCATCTAGAATGTAATTTTGAAAACGTATCATTGAACATTTACCTTTCATTTTCCCATCCATTATATTTTGCTTATCCAGGGTAAATAAACCCATAGAGAAAAAAAACAGTAAAATACATACAAACATGCATAATATACTTAATTTATAATCATAAATTGGTTTAATTTCAACAGGGTCTGTGGAGCTAAAAGTAACTTACAAAGAGTACGGAGCGCAGTCTGTAAATTTCTCTTTCAACCTAGACTCTGCTTACAAGAATTCAAATGGAGACCCTGTTTACAAGCTTGCTAAGGTTGAAACAAACACAAGAAATGTATGGCACCTTATCATCACTGTACAACTTATTGACGGCTCACAGATAAATTTTACCTCAAAAGAGTTTCGCATCAGAACAAAACCAAAAACACTTAGAGAACCTGCAGGTACGAATACAAAGTAAAAAAGTTATTATTTCCAATTAAAAGCAAGTGATATGATAAAGAGTCACAGCACTTGGATTCACACCTAAACGGTTGTGCTGATTCTAGAAAATATGACTTTTTTGTCTTGTCACAAGAGTAAAAAAATGAAGTACATGTACCTTACTCTACTTTGACTGATTTTATTTACACATTTTGTCATTTTATAGCCCTTTGTTAAAAATGTATAAATCAGTATAATAAAGCTATCTATACACATGCATAATAAAGACATAACTAAGAAAACAAAAAAAATTTGTCTACTATTAGGTAGTAAATCTTCAGAAGATGTTAACTGTTATAGACATTTATGTTATTGTTCATCACAGGTTTGTATATAAATGAATGTTTGATTGTTTGTCTCCCAATGAAGAGTCAAGCATTCATGGTATTGATCACTATCAAATGCATATGGGAATACTTCAATTGATAGCTTAAATCTACATATTGAGGACATTAATTGTAACAATATTGTCTGTTTAACAATTGTATTGAAGTTAAGTATATCTTCATTTTTAGATACAGATGTTGAGAAAGCAAACAAGAGGAAAAGATTTGAGCCAGGTACATTTAAGCCAATAAAAGCTAATATGGCATACATAATAATCAATATAAATGTTTTTGTTGAATGGATCACTCCAAAAAAGGTTAAAATTTTAGTTTGAATAACACCAACTTCTAGAATTTTTACTTGCAAAGTAGCGTACTATGCCATCCATATCTTAAACATTTTAATCATCAACCAACTGGGTATTTAGACAACATGTAGCCAAGTTAACTTTTAGTTGCAAATGCTATTTACTTCACTAAGCACAAATGTATGCAATAAAATCAAAAACTAGTTATGGCATATTCACCATCCAATATATACTCAACAGGAAAAGAAAAATTATACACTAGAATACAATCACAATATCTTTTGTAAATTTAACTTTATCCTATTCCCTCAAAACAAACCTCAACACAACATAAGTGCAAAAGCACCCAGCAAAAGGTCATCACACAAACTGCACCTTTAGGGGGGCAGAAAATAGAGGAGGCAAAGAAAGGTCTAAGTACCTCCCCAGCCCCCCCCCCCTCCTACAACAAACACAAGAAATTCTTGCATGCTTATGTTCTTTGTGGTTTTTTTTTTTACCCCTTCAGATCAATTTTTGGGAGGTTCAGCTGCAAATCCTTCTCCTGATTCACTATATTCAGGTACAGTGTAACAATGTGCTGCTCCTAAATTACCTTCAAATGGACAGATTTTTAAGGGTTTTGTATTAAGCATTAAGAGGATTTCAAAAATGGTTTTTTTGTCCTGGGGTTAATGCCCTAGATTTAAGATTTATTTGATCATAATTTGATTGCTAAGGCAATCCATCTGCTCCATATGACATTCTGAAAGAGAGTAAATTAAACTTGCATACACTTTATCATAAATGGATGATTTATATGGGTCTTTAAGTTAGCAAGAACATCCAAACAAAAAAAGGTTAACCTGTCAATTAAGTCCTTTTGCCTATGAGACTGTTATTGCCCTCCATATTCTCAAGGTGGCCACAAACTATGACCTGAACTATACACATATTTAACTGGACAACATATTCAAGGTCACCATACAATATTGCACACATAATAGAGCATCTACAGGTGTACAAAAGGGAAATTTATAGGACTTAGCAGCAACATTTGGATGAAACACTCAATAGTCTCTCTATGTAAGTAAACAGGGAATGGGCATGACTTGGATACTTTGAAACATAAAATGATATTTTTTCAACCAAGAGCCACACCAAAGTACTTTATGTAATTGAATTGACCATAGACAAGGTATCTCTTTGTGGTCTTAGCAAAATCAAATGTTTCACTTCATAAATTCTATGTTGAGCTTCATTTTTCTTTGAAGAAACAATGGGTTCCACGTTAGATCTTGCTAAAGCCCAGGTAGGAGGTGTAAACCATGAATTAGACATGTATGGCAACTTGCATGATCAAGTTGTTCAATTATTTTACTGCTTAATTAACTAGGTCCTGACAGCTCTCCTGATAGATTGATGGTTCAAACTGACAAAAATAGTGAGTATACTGCTATTAATTTCAATCAACTTGTATGGTTTCAACACTTGATGATAATGATCAGACCAACAGCAATTGACTTTGCGTACTGCCAGTCATTTTATGAAGTTGGTTAAGTTATAATTATATGATATCACACCAACTGCATAAAGAAATATATACCATTGAATAATCCTGATACAAATAACATAAATATAAAAATTATTATTAGACTCATCTTCATATGATAAGTTAATGCCAAATATTCAAAATAATAGTAATATTATAAAGGGTAAATAAATAACAGAGAAAATTGGAAAGAAATGGGTTACACTCCTTGCAAAGATTATAAAAGATTAATTTCAATGTCAAGGATGATGTGAAGGACAATAAAAATCTTTGCTCAACTGTAAGGGTTTCATGACCTTCTTGCATCATTTAAGCTTACTACCATTACTTATTAGAGTTGGTTGTAATCTTTTAACTGAGTTTTGCCCATAAAGGAAGTGTTGATCACCCTGTTCTTAGACTTTTTTTTCAACCATCACTTTTTATTTCAATTTTTGGGTTTGCTTTCCTTGAGAGGCCTGGGATTGGGATTTTATAATACAAAATATTAAAAGTAACACACCTGTAAGCACAGCACTCAAAACATCACCTTAGAAATAGCATTTCTGACTTCCACAGTTCATGATAGGCAATTGACACTGGCTGAATAGAAGGGATCAGTATATACTGAAATTTAAGAGAAAACATGATGGCACCAAGGGTTAGACACTATTCAGGACAGGGAACAGACTGCTATCCAATAATTGTGATACCTTTGTTTTGTCTAGGGAGACAAAAAATAAGGTCAATTGTTCACATAATAATGTAAGGTATTCAGGGGCTAAATCTATCAGCCACTTAAAAAATATGTGAAATCAAGTTCTTATCAAGGTTGAAAATAAGAAAGGAAACAAACTATCATTGCCAGCCAGCAGTAGAGGAGCCAGCAGTAGAGGATGGCTCAGGCATGTTCAAGTCTTTCATCAAAATGTCTGGAGATCAGCGTATCACTTTCATTTCACTATAATCAACACTGCAGGCACACATAATATTGCCTAATTTTGAAATAAATAGATTTCCATCATGTTGCCATGTGCCTGCCTTGTAATCAAGCACAGATGATATCAAAATGTGATAAGAACAAAAAAGTGGCAACCAAAGCAAAGTTGAGTATTTCACTGATGTTCTTATCACATTTTGATGTCCTCTGGGATCTATTACTGCGCAGAACCAAAGCAACATAGAATCTTTTAGAATTTTTATTGATAAAAAAGCAAAGTGTTTTAAGTGGTGATGTTATCTATGTTTCCATCCTCTGCTGGATTTTATAAAGTAAGAATTATCCAATCAAAATATGTGTGTGTGTTACTCAGCTCATCATATAACATTATTTGACAATACTCACTGAGCTTGAATAGAATAATATAGTTACCAATTTAGTGCAATTTCACTGGTAGTTGTTACACCAGATGTGTTTTGTTTCCAAATAATTTGTGATAAGTTTAAAAAAATTCAAGAAAAATTTGTCACCCTTTTTTCAAAGTCACTTCTTGATATTTCAATCACCTACACCAGAATAGGGCAATTACAGGGTTAACACAGCAAGAATTGTGACTCAATCCTCAGCCATTCAAGAACATCTCTACAATATCCTATACAATGTGTGTATTCTGTATGCATTACCTCGAGTTTCTAACCCAGCCCCTATAAATCTTTAAGTCCTCTTTCCAACATAAGTTTTTAACTAATGTTAAGCTTACAGCGAAACCTAGTCAAAAAGAATTTTATGATAATCATTCAAAACAATTGCATGATCATTCAAAATATTCTTTCTCATTTCAATAATTATTCTCTCTTGGGTTGAAGGACTAAAACATTTGATATAATTATCCCTCAGTTGTCTTAAGAGGAACAAATATTGTGAACTCTGTGCTATTTGTGAAACCAATGAATCTCGTGAATTTTACTGGTTTAATTCAAAGTCATGTCAAAATTTAGAAAGATACATTTAATAATTAGGATGACATGGTAGACTGGCGTTTCACATATTGGTTTGTCCAACTTCACGCTTCTCAATTCGCTCTCAACTACGAAGACAATTACGGCCAGACTAAGCAGTTACAATTTCGTACTTGTATCAAATGTTTTTCAACTCTGTGTTGAACCATTCGCAATTTTTCGTATTTCATTATGCATGCAGTTCTTGGATAATGTAAAGAAAGAATGGCAAAAACAATAGGTAGATTGTCTTTGAGACTAGAGTTTTAGTATAGTATATATGAGTTATATTTTATGAGGAAATCTTCCCCCTTCTGAAATAACAGGAAAGTGAGCTTGTATTGGCGAGCCGGGGAAACGTTTCCGTTCATACTTCGCCAAGATAACCTACCTTTGCAGCCAAATAGTCACTCCTTTGTTTCTCTTTGCGACGTGAACTCAACCTTGTGCGGTTCGACTATTGAGGTCATACCTAGCTAGGCCGGGGTCATGTTTTGAATATCTTTAGGACTGTATTTATCGACGGTCATCCCAGAGATATCATCTCCACACCAATTAACTTTGTTTTCACGTTTAAAAGAAAGAAAAATAGAAAAGAGGTGATATTTGTGGCTCTACTCATCGCAAACGCGTACTTCACACTTCCTTCCATGTCCTGTTGTGATGAGCTGCGCACAGTGTGATAAATGGCAGCCGTGTCAAGTTGCGACAGGGGTTGTCCAATGTTCCCGCGCTTTTGGCGCCGGTGATTGTATCCCAAGTATCAATCACAGACGATAAAATCATAATGGACATAATTGCCGGGTCAAAAGAAATGTTAACACTTATAGATTAGTAGACAGTCGACTCCCGTTAATGTGGATAGCCTTGGAGGGGGATCTGGTGTCCGTAATGGCGGGAGTTCGGGGTACGAGAGAACAAAGATTGCTTTGTATCTAAACATGAGAAATAATATGTAACTAAGAAAACATAAACTTTCTAACGTGGCGGGAAATTCTCACGTTTGCAACTAACTGAAGAATGGTCTCTTTATTTCCTTTATCGTAGTGTCGTTTTATATTATGTGAGTCAGGATTTTGGACGAAGTACTCGAGTGTCTGCTATAACGAGAGAGAAAACTAGTGGAATGTCGCACTGGGGGGCATGAAAGCGTCGTCATTTCCGCAATAGCGAGAATTCATAATTACGGGAGTTCTCTTCATTCATTCCTTTATGCGTTTCGCCGAGGACTGGCTCCTGTCCCCAATGGCAGGATGTTCGCAGGGCGAGAGTCGACTGTACTGGCGCAATATTTCGTTTCAATATCGTACCAAACTAAAGTGCCATCTAAGCACTGTAACTGCAGAGCACAGTATTGTGCACAGCTCGACACACTAAATACTTTCATCCTTAAAGAAATGAAAAGTGTAGAGATCAGTTCGTGATCAAATTCTTTAATTCTATTTTGTATAGTTTTGACCGATTATCTGGAAGCACAGAGGGCTCGCATCAACGATTTAAGGGTCGCCAAGTGGACAACAGAAGGTGCAGACGTCGCCTATCATCTGAATCTTACAGAATCTTCAAAAAGACGGCCTGATCTGGAGGAAGGAGATGTGATTGCCTTTTTGACGAATCGCAACACTGGACAAACAGAAATAGAAAAACTGACACACGAGAACTCAGCACGAGCAGTCTTGGCAGGTGTCATCAGTCGATCCGCTTACATATACGCGCACGCACCACGCCACAACAGTGAGAAGGGTAATGAAACAACTCGAGTTCATGGAATATTTCAACATAACTGCAAAATTACCGCGCATGTTCGGCGTATTGGTCAGAAAACGAATTTGAGACTTTCGCGTAACCTACTCACTTTTCTAAATCACCAGCTATACCTTATGATTGTTATTTCGCCTTTTGATCTCGAAGTACTGACTCTGTGACCTCAACCGATGGAAGAAACTTAAGATTTATCAAATTGAGACATCTTATTCGGTCAAACTCGTCTCATCTATCATAGGGTGGCGTAAAGAACATGATTTTTTTTCTTGATTGAGCTTGGGACTGAAAAGAAGGAAACACTACATCAATTGTAGACTCGTCTCCCTTCAGCTTTAAGGCTTAATGGAGCAAGTGAAGCCCCGGTTCTTGTAATTTCTTACAGCCCACTAAATCATAGTTTAACGTACAGGAGGTTTAAAGCTAGTATTCGGTATAAAAGAATTATGAAACACCAGCTAGGACACTTATAATTTCTCAGTTCACGGAGAGTTATAGACGTCTCGAGAATTTGAGATGGTAAGATTACTCTGGATTGTTCCTCCTTTCAGGCAGTACTGAGACGGTTTGCGTTATCGGCGTGGTAAAGGTTAAAGTCGTTGGCACCGTTCAGAATGGAGAGCGTATATATGTCGCACTGCATCATCCGGGTGTTGCCATTCCAGAGACGCAGATTCCGTTACGACCCATGGCCGACCGCCGTCCAGTATTGCTGGGTCAGGCGCTTGAGAGCAAATCGAGTTACTCTCAAGACAAAGTTCAGCTGGTGCAGTGCTTTGTGTCCATAGTGCTCGGCATTCAGTCGGGTCAGATTAATAACGCCATAGAGGACCTTCAGGAGAAGATGCAGCGCAAGTTTGAGGATGTTGTGGTAAAAGACAGATCAAAGTGGATCAGAGGTGACGTATCGTCTGTTACTGAGTATATCTGGGGCACTGAAGAAGGTGCACAGTTTCATTTGCGTCAAATGGTGGATTTATGGGAAGCTAAGGATTCTGGAGCTGCCCCCTTCTAACTTTAAGTTTGAAATTGACGCCTGCCGGGTAGAGGCATCCTGCTCACTAATAATTTTTGGGGATACTTTGTTCACAGTGGCGTAACTCGGACCATCTGAACTACGAAATGAGAACTGAAGGTTCTAACCTACATCGTTGACGTCATCTTAGTCTGTTACAGACTGAGAATCGAGACGGCGAGGACGCTTGTAACAGTAGCAGTTAAAGGACCGGATGAGACGTTTCTTTCATACACAGTATCGTAAGAAATGTCAGAGTGATCTCACAAAACACCTGAGCTTCAAGTAAATGAGGCCAAAAATTGCAAAGATGAGGGCAGAATGATTAAGATAGCCTAGCTAAGTTATTAATTATTATCCATTTATTTTGTGTTTCTGAGCGGGCAAATTACCATTTCTTTTTCGTATTTAGGTCTGAAATGGAAGATTTCAATTTTCCTTGTCATTGTCGGACTGCTTTCTGGCTTGTTGTACGAGTTTCTTGCCCCAGGAACTTGGTTCCAGTATCAGTTGTGTAAACGAGGGTGCATCAAGGGTCATTCGGCTACCTTTAAATTCACAACACATGATATACAAGTAAGTATCACACAGCCAGGAATTATATCCCTCGAATCCTAAGTCACGTACAGTCGAACCTGAAGCATCGTATTAAGTGATTAGTTGTCAAAGTCCCAAAATTCTTTCTCCATAAACGCTCCAATTTTCACCTCTATAAGCGGTCACCCTTTTCTGGGTTTCAACGGCCTGTTCGTACTGACGTCCACCTGTATTGGACGGTGAAACCGCTGAAATTAAACTAAGAAAAACTATCAAGTATGATTAATCCATGTTTTTATTTTGAAATCAGTGCAAGTAGTATTTTTGGGCGAGTCTATGTACTTTTGGTGATAAATAATGGTAAAAACGGCGTTTTTATCATGTTTTGTAATACCTCTTTATTGCAAGAACCTGTATTAGGCGGTCAACCTGTATTGAGCGGCCACCACGTTATTCCCCGTCGGTAACCGCTTAGTACAGGTGCGACTGCATAACATGCTTAAAAGTCTTCTCAATTTAGTTATTTCGCTGTCTCAGATGATTTTGGTTCTCCATAAGAAAGTGAAGGGACAAAGAGGAGTATCAAAGCTTGGAATATTTCACCAAAACAAATCAACAATAAGATTACGAGCTTGAGAGATTTTATCGCGTGATACTTGATGCGGGTGACGCTTACATCAACTATCAAGCTTAGAAATCGATCACAGGTAAAAGCTGATCGTTTTCCTCTACATCCACTCGTTGTTAAAAACTTGACAACAATCTAGCTCGTTATTTAATTTTTTTCTTTAAAATCAACCACTGTTTGGCTGCTTACTTGAATCACTATGTAGTGCATTAGATTCCAGCATCAATGATAGAACACCATGCAATAACAATAATAACCAAACGTCCATTTCATCTTTCTCTTCAGTATATCAAAGTATATGGGCTGGAATTCACGTGGGAGAAATTGAAGAAGAATAAAAATCTGGATCTTGAAGGTTGCCAACCATTTGACGCTACAGCTGGTAAGAACTTATTGATCAGTTGTTCATTCAGTTAATTCCCTTAATATCTAGTATTTAGTTTCCTTTTTTAGCTTATTCATCTATGTAACGATTAAGTGGATCTTTGCATGGCAGTTGATTGGTCCGCCTCGACTAAGAAATTTGCAAAATCATCATCAACTTACCCTTACATTTTGTGCTGACATTAATAAAGTGCGAATGTGAGTAAGGAACTTGTCCTTGAAATTAAGAGATCCTCGCAGCTAAGAAACATATCTAAAATCATAATATATCTAAAATATAGAAATATATCTAAAATCCTCATTTATTACTTGGATGGTTTATTTGGACCCAACACATTGACCAGCTCTCAGTTGGCTTGTTAGCTCAGTTGGTAGAGCGTTGCACCGGTATCGCAGAGGTCAGAGGTTCAAATCCCGCCTGAATTTTTTCAGGTCCTATTTTCAACCACTCGTTTCAGTAGTGTTCTTAGCTGCGAGGATCTCTTAATTTCATCTCTTCACCGCAGTGCAAATATATGAATTTCATATAGCTAAAATCATCATGAACTTGTCCTTCTTCAGTAGCAAATAATCAACCAAGGCCATCCAACACTAATCACGTGACAGTTTTCATTTACCAAAGAGATTTCCTTCCGTTATTGTCTTTAGGATTACACCAACCCATTGCCTTTGAATTCCTTTTTTTTCTGAACTTACTGTTGATTAATTAAAACATAACGGACACAAATCAAGCTACTTAGGGAACGGTTGTTATTTATCGCCGGAGAGCTCGAGAGGGAGGGGGGTCGGAGGATTTTGGTTGAGCCCCCCTAAGGCTTTGTAATATTATTATGAATTCTCTCCCCCCCCCCCCCATCATTGGCAGTTAAGGGCAGTCAATTTTCCATAGTCCCCCATACCCTTTTAGCGAAGACGGATCCCCACTTCGTTCGTTCCAACTGAAAACCATGTGGTCACCCCCCAAAGTCTTATTCATAAAGGCAGTCGGAATATTTTTCTTTCTGTGAAGTAATGTTCATTGATGAATTTTGACTGGAGTGTTAATTTTCTTTCTCCTTTTATTTCCCATAAGGCTACCGTTATTACCTAAACTTGGATCGGTGTGCCTATGGCGAACGGATCGTTTTGAATCACAAGCCACCGATACGCGGACCTACGGTTTTTGCGATCAATTCCAATTGCTCTGCAGTTTATTTCGTAAACAAGGACAAATGGCAACCGTACACTTCGGCAGAACACATTCAGCGTGTGCCACCTTGCGTCTAAACCGTGCTGCACTTCCTTTTTTCATTTTAAATTTGGCAATAAATTGAAGTTTGATTTCAAGTTTAACGTTAACTGTGGTCATTAGACCGATAGCAGTTAAAAAGATTGGCTCTAAGCACAACCAGGTTGTTATTATACCCAATTGCATTTCCATTTTCTTTCTTAGATTTCTCTAATTGAAAGTTACTTCGATAAGTAAGGCGAGTATTTTGGTAAGAAGCAGTAAATTGTGAGGTTAGTTACCTAGCGACGTAAAGATGTAAAAAAAAGATTCAAAAAAAGACGTTTTGGCTGTGTAACATTTAATGTGCTCTTGTTCCCAAAACGATCTGGAAAGAAGTTTTAAGTCGCAAGGGTAGTTATTTAAAGCTGTATTAGGGTAGTTATTTAAAGCTGTATTAGGGTAGTTATTTAAAGCTGTATTGACGTGGTGATTAGTAAGATACTGAAGTACAATAAAAATTTATATTCATACTTAGAACGAATGACACCTTACTTGACCACCACATCGATGAGTCCTTAACTATCGATATAATGAACCAGTCATCAGTTATCTTCTAGGGCTGGAGTTGGAGGATTTTGGTTGTTTCACTGAATTAAAATTACATGATTCCCCAATAGGATTTTGTAGTAATCTAACGATCCGCTCTCATTGGTAGTCACAGTTTCTGTGGTCCTTCCTTTTAAATCTGTTACAGACGACTGAACCCCCTCTGCTCCCCCTGGGAAGCATGTGATCCCCCAGAATCCTCCAGACCCCCACCCCAGGCGATGACGAGTGAGTGGTCCTTAATGATATTTCAAATAATCGATGCCTGTTAACCAGTGAATTAAAAATTTTTATTTCTACTTTAAGCGATTGACGCCTCACTTGACTGCTACACTGATGAGTCCTTTTAAAACTGTCAATATGATTCGGCGTTTACTTTACTTTTTCAGTTTCTGCCAAGCAGGTTAAGATTTAGTGTTTTGTACTTTCAAACGAAAATCATTTTCATATGTTTTAAACATAGAAATCTATTAATTATGCTCAATTTGTAATGGATGGTAATGGCGGGAAATCGTCCTGTCTGATGTTCGTAACGCTGAACAGTGTCCTGGAAAAAGTGTGGTCAGGAGTGACACAGTCTACGTCATTCCATTCTTATCTCCACCTGAGCCCTTCCTTAAAATCAGGAGAAACGCAAAATGGCAGCAGTCAGACATTCTACAAGGAACCAGTCTTTATTTACCACCTGAGGATAGGAGCAGAGGATTTTAAATGGGGTCACCTTTTTTTATGCTCTTGATTCAAGAAGAAACTGGTATCCACCTTGGAACAAACAGGGTCCGCCTTGAAGTTCACAAATGTGACGAAGTGATAATCATAAAAATGCTTTTGTTATTCAGAATAACAAAAGCTCTAATAAACCAAGATGTCAAGTGAAAATCAAATAGCAATATATATTTTTAACAAACTCAACGACGCGGTAAGTAGGATACAATATTATTCGATCGACGACGACGATGATTGTCTTGTCTTCAAACAAGATGATGAATATTAATCACGGGAATAACTCTTTACATTATGGTCGAATATCTCCAAAAAACATTTACAATAAAATTCATGAAGGACCAGCCTTTCCCTTTGGCAGAAAAAAGGAATTTCAAATAAGCCAGCGATTGTGTTATCATGCGGTCACCCAGATTACTAAATTACAACGAGGAAAACGTACTTTAATATGGTTGTAAAAAAACATCTGTAGATATATTTTTTGCAGCCCTTTTCCAGCTAGAGCCCTATCTACGAACCTAATCAGCTGTATATGAAGTGTGGATAAAATGCCCGGCAACGGACATTACAAAGAGAGCAATTTTCAATCAAGTCTCGCTCTGTGAATGATCTAGGAAACTCTTACTACTCTCAGCCAATCACATATAAAACTAAAATACTCGTCAATTGTCAGTTCTGTTTCCTGCACGAAAAGCGTTTCACATGTTTTTTTTGTAAGTTCTCATCAACTCCTAATGGTATTTTCCGTTTTTAATCGAAATACGTACTATGCAGTGTTACAACGGGCCTTCCAATACCTCAGGTTGGCCTTACAATGTTTTTTTTTTGCCTTGCTCTGTATATCATTCTCCTTATGAGATTTTCGTTTTTAAGATGCCAAGACATATTTAAAGAGGTTTCTACGATGTAGGTCTTTATAACATTTGGCACTCAGTATCAAATATCTTTACAGGTGATGCACAATTGGAAAATTCATGGGAAAAGTTTACTTCATCTTCCTTAATGTAATATTAATTTGATAATGATGGCAATCATAACAATGATAGTAATATTAATAGTAAAAGATTGTCTAACTAAATTAACATTACAAAAAGACTATCTGAGACTATCTAACTGTAAAGAAAAAACTGAGCATCTGGGCAAAATCAAATATAAAGTTTTCAACAAGCATACATGGACCAGCCATATAGTTTGTACTACGCGGTTCTCTCGTCTCCGCAAATGCTATCTAACACTTAAATTATTGAGCTGAAGGATCGTCAAGAAAATCTTTCCGGTCTATGTTGTTCTGTTCTTTTATCTGTATAAATATATTTGTTTTTCTAACAAAGCCTCTTTTGCAAACACAGGGAGTCTTCTTGACCTCCACATCTATAGCGGAATTCAGCCCCCATCCGAGTGAATTTAACTTCCGTTTAAGTCCAAACTCCCATCTAGTAGAAAATATTCTCTAGGATAATGTACACCTGGAGATTCCTGTTAGTCCTACACCTGGAGTTTCCTGCCCCCAGTGCCAGTTACTTGGGATGTGCAGAACACACGATATCCCTGCCCGATTCATACGGGACCCATCTCTCCGAGTGATAATATACAGTGGTACAGTTGTGATCCACTGCTACTACTTCTGCACCCCGGACCATTTCTTTGTTGTCCAAATGCGACCGAACATGTCGGATTCCGCCATACGCACATCTGTCCAGATTCAGATAATAATGTGCGTCTGAAAAAGAGAGAAAACGAGCTCATTAAAGAAGTAAGGCATGATTATTGAGTACATGTGCGTCTAATAACTTAACTCCAAAGGTTTTCGGGTAGTCATTTAAAATCTGTGTCAAGCTACTCCGACCTTAACCAAGCTGGTTCCGTTGTGAGATTTATCACAGTAATTTTCCATATAATTTACTTCACTTTCCTTGGTTTACTTAAAATTTATGAAACTGGTTATTATTTATCGCCTGTGGGGTCGGGGGGGGGACAATAATTTTGGTCGTGTCACAGTAATGCACAAGGCTCTATAGTATTCTAAGGATCCCTCCCTATTGACCGTCAGTTTTATATAGTCATCCTTTAACTCCTTAGCCTCTAAGAGTGACTAGCATCTAATTTCTCCCAACTATATCATCCCTGAATCAAACATGAAAGCTATAAGAATAGAGGAGATGATCACCAACTAAAGCAGCTCTTGACTGTTACTCAAATTCTCCTTGTCAGCCTCTTTGGAAATGTATGGAGAACAGTATGGAGAATATGCATACTGATGTTAGGGTGTAAAGGGTTAATGATCTGTTAGCGACGACCGATCCCCCTCCGTTACCCCTTAAAATCATAGGAAATAAGAGTTCTGGAGCCCCCCTCCCCCCCTCTCTCATCCCACCTTAGGGGATGATAAATAATGACTCTTCCCTTAGTTTACACAGTAAATCATATAGCGGGGCACCATTGTGTAATCTAGTGGCACACTTTTCGCAAGGGGCTTGTGTGATCATCCGCTTGTTCCTCTATAATGCGTACCTAGAGTCATAGGAGCTCCCCATGTCGCGAATAGAAATATCACGCGGAAAAGTCAAGAATTTAGCCAGGGCTAGAAAAAAAGTTCTATAGTAATTTTGTTAACAAAAGACGTATCGTGTAGAGGTCTATATCCTTAGTAATCCTTTCTTTACCAGTGTAGTTTATTCTGCCAATATTCAAACCCAGTTTTTTCTTCAACTTGTCGAAATCAAACTCGATACAGTGCACACGAGGTATCTGTTTAAAGTAAAAGGGGACACAATTAATGAATCTTACGTGGAAGAAAAAACGTTTAACGGCATAGGATCACACGTGAGACGCAACTTCAAAACAATTTTTTTTCTTTTAACAAAAGCTTCTCCCGGTAGTTTGGGGGACAGAAAAAAAAACACACGTTTTAAGTCAAACAAAGAAAAAAACGACGATTTTTGTTAATCTATCGATCAAATCCTCGGTGCTATCTCTTAGCCATAGAAAATATTTTATTAAGAAGACAAATTCCGTCGAGAAACCCCGTATTTTTTTGTGGTTTGTTTTTGCGTAACTGTAGTTTTATAATGCGGATCAATTCCAAACCAGACTGAGTACAGTTAGCTCTGTATTTTAAAAGTAAAGAAGGAGGGGCAATACCTGAAAGTCTGTAGTAGTAAATGTGAACCACAGTTCACTATCTTCGATGGAGCCCTGGCGACACCTGTAATAACGAAGCGCGGAGCCTGGGACGAACAACTGGTACAACAAAATTCCTAATAACACAGCTAGAATGAAGCCTGCGAACAACCAGCGGCCAACCCCTATGAAAACGTACAAGTATGTATTAAAGAATGCAACAGAAAAAGGTGATTACTACAGAAAATTTGACTTCGGATTCTTTGCTCTTATAATGATAATATAGCTGCGATAGTAATTTTGAATAGATTATGTTCCCCTTTAATTAAGTCCCACATTTACCTAACCCAGCGAACAGGCGCAAATCTTTTAGCTTCTCCGGCGAGAGGACGCTCTGCGCGAACGTGTCACGTGCCAGAGGAGGTACTTGAAGGTTAAGTCACGAGAGGAGGTACACTTCACGCTCGCCCCAAATAACATACTGGAAGACCTCGTGTGCGATTAAAAACGTCAAATTACCAAAACAACTTTAAAGAAAGGCGACATAACTACCTGAAATACATTTTTTCTTGATCTTATTCACTTCTATTTTGACATCCTCTCTGACGTGCTTCCGCAAGTCGTCGCTTTTAACTTCGGCCATATGACTGGATGTAATACTCAGGAGAACTGAAACGAAAGACTGTACTAATTTAACTTCGTGTTCTTTGGCGTCCCGTCTTTCTAGTGTTTGGCCGAGCAGAAAGGCATCACTGGCCACGCGACCGTTCAAGCGGCTCTGAGGTATGGCCACTCCTGAGTGTTCCAATGAAGCAAAGATTCGCTCGCCGTTTTTCACTGGACCCAGTACTTTGACGTTCACCATGCCAATCACACACACGAGATCGTCTAAACCTGACACAGAACAGCCAGCTGTTAGTTCAGATAAGGGAATACTCATTTAGAATTGTTGAAAAAATCATTTATAAACATGACCCAGCATTTGTCCTCATGAATCTCTCATGAACGAGACGTCTAGACAAATCAAAGTAAGATCTCTATTTAGGAAACAACCTCGAGATTGGAATAAATTGAATCCAGCATTTATCCTCATGAATCTTTCGGTAGAACTTTGGACAAATCACAGCAAGATCTCTATTCAGGGAACAACCTCGTGACTAGAAAAAGAGTCCCCTGATAGGATGTCCCTTTGATAAAAGAAACATTCTCTGATTACGAGAGTATTTTTTAGTTGTAACCAAAGATTGTATACTTTATATTGAGGTTTTCCGATATAAAGAAAAGGGGGAAAAGACTACCAAATACGAGAGGAAGAGGCTGAAGTGCCAAAATAGACTGATAACCTTCTCTTACTGTTACCTTTTTCTTCGCCATCCGCTGGCGTCTTGGCCTCTAAATACGCAGATCTACTGATCACTCCCGCCATCTTAGCTTTAAACGCATTAATTTGGGTAAGTTTCTCTATGTGGGTCTTTCCATCAGGACCTTCAAAGAACCCGACGATATCACCCTCTTCGAGAGGAAGGTCGAGTTCAGCTTTGTTCAGTTTGAAGTGATAAGCAATGTCTCCTCTCTGTGTAACAATAGGCTTCTTAACTCGCAGTTCATTGATGATGGCAGATTGAGCGTCGAGTCGGTTTGTAATTATCTCTGCGGCGCTGATACCTGAAAATAAGGGAGCTATTCATTAACCGAATTACCAAGTTAAATTACAGAGAGTAAAATGAACCGTTCAAATCGTCTAAGTGCGCTGATGCTCCCCAGTCGCTGTCTCGGTCATAGTTCTTTCTAAGGGGGAGGGGGGGGTGGCGGAATGGTAACTAAACCTATAATAGTAACACCTATTAACAATAATTAGATGAGATTGGAAATGATACCTAAAACTATCAAGACCAAGATCAAGGTTTGTGTTTTCTGCAGGGCAAAGGGTCGAGGCCGTTAACAGAAATCAAGTCCCTAATGATTCTTACTCTACTGCAAAAATCGAATTGATAATTGTACAGAAAGACTATCCTCTATGGATATATCACGACTGGAATAATGCAGGCAAGAGTGAAGTGAAATAATATTCCTTTCAGCCAATCAGAACTGAGATCAAGACACAAATGTTCACCGAAAAAAAAGAACTGTCATTAGCTCTGAAACGTTTTGATTATGCCAAAAGAGGATTGAGTGATCTGTACATGCTGCACGGCTTTTAAAAAGACACTTTACTGGTTAGTTTTGATTCGATAAAATTGGACTCTTAGCGTGTTTTAGTTGATCCTCTGTTAGTTCCACTCCAAGCTATAACGGGAAAAAAAACAAAACAAAACAAATAAACCAGACATAGATTAGTGACTTACTTTCGCTGTTCATGCCACTGCTCCAACTTCCATTAGGACTGGTATCCAATTCCAACACTAAAAGAAGAAAGAAAGAAATGAGCTGACAATACACTAAATACGCTTTTGTCAGCGGTTACACGCCAGGCTAGACAGATTCCCCGCAGAGATAGATTTAGAACCACGCTTACCGTAAATCCGAACGGCAAACATTAACCTCTGATTTCTACTATCGAGCCGTTATCTATTTCACTCCGTTTTCTTCACATAACACCTGGAACAGGCTTTCTCGTGATTAAAACGTGCATAACTTACATTTTCGCTTTTTTCTATTATTTTCAGGACTTGGCGTTCCACAATATCCGTTATCCACGCTCACTGAATCCTCATCTGTGAAATGCAGCAGACAAAAAAGGGATTCAGTTCATCGCCTTAATTTATGTATTACCACAAGAGACACTCCTCGGTTTCAATTTGGTGATTGTGAAAATTCTAGTTACCATATTTATCTTTTTAACAATCATTGGTGAAAGCATCTTCATACACCAAATAAAGGGAGGGAAGAGAACCTGGAGGAGAGGTTGAAGACGTCGAGAGGGGTCTAGACAACCTTACTTAACCAATTATCTAAGAAAATTTCGGGGATGTGATTGAAAATTCTTTGTTTTAGGAGAGTTTAGAAGCAATAAAATTCATGTACAGGGTCATAACAGTGGAAACACAGCGCCCTTACGGTCAGTGCACTGGACTCCGGGTCGAAAAATTTTGTGTTCTTGGACAAACCACTTCACTCTCACAGTGCCTCTTTCCGCTCAAGAGTAAAGAATGAGTATCAACGAATTGTCAGGGAAGCCTGATGAAAACCTTGTGATGGTTGGCATCCCATCCAGGGAAGAGAAGTAATACTTCTAGTCACTTCATGCTAAGGGAACCGGGAAAAGCTTTGGCTGGGTTGGCCAATTGGCTTCAATGAGTACTGACTCAACCTTTTATCTACGGGGGCACGACTACAAGTACTGTGGATTTTTATGCCATATGAATTATTCTCTGTTCATTTTACCTGGTTCCTGTTTCGTGACTTTTTTGCTTTGCACTTGAAAGTTTTTACTGATGAATTCCTTCGTCGTTCCATCTGCAAAATGCAGTACAACAACCACACGGAAGATGTTTCTCTCGTCTCCTTTAACGCGTGAAAGTTCATATACTTTAATGCCATTGTTAGAATAAACTGAGTCGAGGTTGACGGCAAAATTCGCCACGAACAAATCCCTTTTACTGTACACCAAGTCCAAAGACACTCGTCCGTTCGTGTCCTGAAGAATTCTGGCGGCCTCTGGACATCTTTCCACGTATGCGCGCACATCCTAAGAGGAACGAGACAAAACGACATCAATAGACAGAAGCGACGTACATGGTCGACTCCCGAAAACACACCCTCGCTAACACGAACCAAAATTGAGTTCCCTTACACCCAACGACTTCTCCATTCATTTGAGGCTAAAAGGAAGCGAAGCCCGATCTAAAGTGAATACCGAGAAAAAATTTATCATTCCTTCAAATCTGTCTTTATTTAAGATAGAAGCACATTAATAAGTTTCATTACCTGAATTGGTTTTTGCGAAGTTGCCATGAGGTGTACCTCTGCGTCCAAGAGCCTTTGTTCTGAGTTTGCATTTCTTCGCATCTGCCCTTTCTCGTAGACATCTTTCAAATCCAGAATGGTCACATTAGACTTTGTATCTTCCGTATAGCTCAGGTCGAATGAAGAAAACACTGAAAAAAGTAAAAATTAACTTTAAAAACTTATTCAAAGTGAATTGCCACTCGCGTAGAGCAAGCATTAGCATTTAACTCCCCTGAGTGACCAAAATATAGATTTCTCCTTGCAATATTAATACAATAACAAGCCGTTAAATGACGAGGCTAAAGAAAAATCATCAATTAGGGGATTGTTAGTTGATCCAATTCCAAATTCTTTAAACTCACATCATAAGACTTGTATGGCAGACAGTAAAGAGAATTACTGTACTGAGATCTTCGGAGTAAAAGGGTTAAAAGCTAATTTCCCGGTTACTCAACCGAGAAAGAATAAAAAGTTCATTCACGCAATAGAATTTGCACTGACACTGCGTGAAGTCGAAATATAAAATAAAAACGTAACTACGATTTTTAGAGTCAGAATTGATGGTTGTGAGCAAAGCATAAAGTTTTTCCCGTTTTGCTTTTTGGAAACAAAAGGCAATCGTTTTTACTGAGTAACATAAATACACCTAATCGATAGTTTAATATGATGTACATGTGTTTTTTTTGCGATGCCTTAATTGAATTATATGTTAACCTATCCAGTAAAGGCTCCATTGCTCCACTATTAAGCTATTTGTTAGTTTTTCAATTACATCTTATGGCATAAGAGCAATTTTAACCCTTTAACCCTTAAGAGTGACTAGCATCTAGTTTCCCCTCACAATATCACCAATGAATCACATTAGTGTCATCAGTGAGAATAAAGGAAATGATAACCAACTAAAGAAACTCTTGATTGTTAGACAAATTCTCCTTGTCAGGACCTTAGTAAATGTACAGAGACCAGTATGGAGAATATTCATACTGATGTAAGGGTCCAAAGTGTCGAAAGCAATCCTGAATTACCTTGGTTACGCTGTACCTTGCTACGTGATTTGTACAGAAAACTCGCGCTACTTTCTCCACCAATCATATTCAAAACTAAAACCAATCGCAAACTACTCACTCGCGTTTTCCGGCGCTTTAACCAGTTTGCCTATTTTTACCTCGAGCTCTCTTTGGCTCCTCGTTATAATTTCCTTGCTATGATTGGCTATTGTCATAGCTTTGGCTTTGGTTTTACGGAAACTACTCTATCTTAGTATATCACGCATGAGGTGTGTGATTCCAATTAATCACGCCTTTTTTTCCTTTTTTCATAGAAATAAATGAACACCTTCACCACGCGAACTGCGAACGTGATGGTGTGGTGGAAGGCCTATTGATTTGTAGTCAAGGTCAACAGTCCCCGCAAGGTATACATGAAAACAAGAACGAATCTGCTAAGCCAATGTTAATTTTTTTTCCTCTCTATATTTTTTTTAACCCTTTTGCTAATCGAGCCCTGTAATTGACGTCATGGACCATGACGTCAATTACAGGGCTCGATGGTTGAAAGATCTGCGTCGGAGATCTAGATTATATCTCTCATTTGATTATTCATTTTTTTATCCTCACTAGCTTTCTCAGAGACATTGAATATCATTGCTTTGGTCAACATTCTGGATCACATAACGTAGTGTAAGTTGTAACCTTTTTAGGAACGTTAACACTTTTCGATTACTAATATTTCAAGGTCACTAAACTGAAAGTAAAGTTCAATACTCTTCAAGTCTCAATTTATCATCTTGTCTGAAAACCTATGCAATAGGTTTCGACTCAAAAAAGGTTTAAAAAAGGTTCAATTTGCTAAAATACTTTTTAATTTTCTGCGAAATATAATTACCCTTTTTTTCTTGCGAATCGTAATTGCACTAAGGGACCAGTCGTTTCATTTATAATCTGGGAGGCTAGAGGGATTTCTTTTGGGGGATCAGTCGAAAATAGACTGCCGATGAGGGGGGAGGGGGGAGGGGGGGGATCATTAGAAAACTACAATGCCTAGGGGGGAACCAGGTAAGTATTTTGGAGTCAAAACGAAAATCCTCCGTTCCCCCCAAAAAAAAAAAAAAAAAAAAACAAAGACCTGCCCAAAATATTTGTCATAAGAGATTTAGATTTAGAGAAGATTTATATCTCGTGGGCTCGGCACGTTTTTCTGATACCATCATTATCTTCCGGCCATAAAACGTGATACAGACCGCTACTTTCCACCTCCCTCGCCACACGTCCAAGCAGCCAAGATTCAAGAGTAAAAATGACAGGGATAACGCTTAATAAACAAAAACCTGCGCACGTGCATCACAACTTTTGGTACTTTCTCGCCGGTTTTATGACTTACGTGGCATTTGAAAGAACTTTGACATACGACAACTAATGGCTCAAATGTACCTTATGCTTTTGACGCGAAAAAAATTGCACCGAAATGCGATGTACTAGGCCAATTGCGTTGTTCGCGATAAGTTTCAAAGAGCGCAGATGTACTCGGTAATAGATGAAGGTTCATATTCAGCTTTTCATCAACAACATAAAGATGAAATTGGTTCAATTAACTATCTATGGATTTCTGTTTAGAATATATCAGTGGACGTAGGAGGATGTCATCAGGCACCTTAAAACGTGACTCGTGCCACAGTTCTTTTATCCATGAGCACTTGACAGTTGAAAACAAAAATTCAAGCACGTATTTACGGTCGAAGACCTCTAGATATGGCAGAGAGTCGGTGATTGCACACACGTGCATCACATGCCGCTTAACCATTAAAAAAGAGGTGTTTGACCATAAAAAAAGATGCAAAAGTGTAAAGATTTAAGTGAGGATGATAAACACACGAATTTCCCAAAAATCTGCTAACAATCGTTTCGTCGACAACTTTTCGGCGATTTTTAGGCTAATTTACAAAATTTTGCCACAGGTCTAGAGAATGAAATATGATTATTAATCACCTGTCATTCGAGAAAAGCGTCATGAAGAACGTGACAAAAGAACCTATAAATAAGACCTTTTTGCCATAGTACACAATTCTATAATTTAGACGGTTTACAAATGTTCGCTAATTTTTCTTTATTCTTTACGGATTTCACCTACTCCAGGACGATATTAACATATTGTCAAAACACGCTAAAAAAAAAAGAAGAAGAAGAATGAGTGAAAAAATGAGTGGTGGGAATAAAAATCATGATTGTATTTACATATTTTTTTAAAACAACCGTTAACACAAATGCCTTGGTCATCATTGGACGCCTCACTCAACAACCAGTCATGGAAATGATTTAAGATCATTCAATAAATATTTAACAACTTTTCCTGCGGATATTAAGCAATGCTCTGACTAATGGACTTCCTAGCTCGACTTAGATACGCTTGGGAACGCTTTCTCATCAAACACGGAGCGAGATAACTCTCTTTTCGGGGTCTGCATGCCTCATTTCATTAAACTTCGATCGGCTCTATGGTTTTCGAAGAGGTTTTACTGTGTTGTTTCACAGACGTGATCAATCTTCTCGGATATTTTTATTGTCATCGGGTCATGTCACAAAATCGCCTAGATTTGCGTGACAGAGTTCATGCATAGATGAAGTGAAAACGTGACAAGAATTCTAATGACCTCACATGGCACAATCGCACACCAATTACACGAAACATGATTATTCGAGTTTGGCCACTGAAAAGGAGGGAAATGTTTAGATGAAATCTGGTTACGCCTGCTATTCAGGCATGAATTGACAAACAAGCTTCTACTGATAATTTTAAGAGTTATAAAGCCAACGCCATGGTGGAAGTTAGTGGAACGTGACCTAGCTACATAAAGTTGCTAATTCAAAACTTTTCTGACACGTAAAAAGCCTCTTATTACATCAAGTGCAATTTTAAACTTATTTAATGCACTCTTAAACACAACACACTCTTCGTTTCATTATTTCAGCGACATAAGTTCGTTAAGTCTGTTAAATCTGACAAGAAGCAAAAAACTTTAATTTACAGATAACGCACTGTCGGAAATGACGTCAAATTAAGAATTCACAATATATTAAAATAAAACAAAAACTGTTGACTATTTGTTGCCTTTAACCTAAATGTGGCCTCGTCGCAGTTCAACACTCCTAACAGCATTGTAATCAAGTGAATGATAAGATCAGTGAGCTGTGCTAAAGGGGAAAGGTTTTTTGTAGTGTCCGATATTCATTTCCTCGCACAACTTTCGCTTGTTGAGTGATATCCTTTGTAAATAAAGTAAGGCCTTTTAATTCGTTCATTTATTAATCCCAGAGAAAAGCTTAACCAGAACAATGATGTACAACCTCGAATCACAAAAACGTGCACAACCATGCAAATTACAACCTTGATGGCTGGCCAAGGTCAGCACAAAATATAACGATCAAGAGTAAATATATCGACGGTACATTGTATATTGCTAAACGAGCCACTGTGAGCTAAAAATTAAATCAAAGAAAACAATTTGCATAAAAGCCAGGGTTGTTATCACCTGTCAGAGGCTAAAAATCTGACAAAGGGAGGCTGAAGAGTTGCAAAGGGAGTGATAAACCATGATAAAGGTGAAATATCTCGTTGGAGTATTTTGTGAAAAAATATAGGCGGGTGTGAGGTCAGTTACTCAGAACATAAAGTCAATTATTTTTGGGAGTACATGACTGTCAATTATTGGCAGAGGTAACTTAGATATGAATACAACATTTGAAATCTCATAAAACGTATTGAACTTTAAGAAAAACGATAAAAGATCAGTATATCATTTCACCATTTTCCCCAATAAATCATGATTACATTACGCATGTAGTGCGCGATAGGGCATTGGGGTAGCAATTAAAAAACCTAATTACTCAAGCGCTGAATGACTTAAACATAATTTGAAGACCTATCCTTTGTGCATTCATTTCATGCCACAAGTATCCTACCTGAGTATATAGCTTACCTGGATCAGAACTATCAAGAAAAGCTGGGTTGAAATACAAGCTGGTATCTTCCAGAATGTCATCCAAAGTAATCGGCTGGCCGTTGATATTAAGTACTTCGTTATTGCAAGGGTTGCTCATTTCCAAACTTATGTTGTCCTCCAGTTTGAGAAGTTTGAAGAAACGCTGGAATCTGTAATATATGTAAGATAAAAGAGCAGGATTCGAAGAGACAGGCACAAGCTTGCAGCTCGAAATACGATCGCCAAGAGAGTCCTTGATGTCTGAAATCCACGCGCAAGTTATTTCACAATAATCCGTCCGTGAGATGCACTAAAATGTCATAAAGTCGACCCAGATGGTAGATGAACTCTTGAGAAAAGTCTACTCAGTACAGTCAGTAGTTCTCTGTGTTCGCCAATGACTCAACTGAAAACAGGAAGTTTTCACGAGATGTAGACCTTTTATCTGTCAAAATGGAAATCAACTAAAAATTCCTTTCATCATGTGTGGACTAAAACGATTTGTCCAATCAACCGTGAAACTTCCGGTGGTAGCACGCGGAAATTTATATACAGTTGCGATGTTTTCAGGCTTCAGCCAGTCCAAGCTTCTCGATTTTTCGTTTTTATCCAAGAGAGAGAAATTTCTCTTACGAACCCAGTAAATTTACAGCTGAAAATCATCGTCGTAGGACATGAAAAATATACATAGCAACTGGTGAACAAACTTAACGTGACGCAAATATGCCATATAAGGATAGAAGAGGAAATAATTTGAGCGTAATCGCATTGCATTTCAACATCACCTGACTTCATAAACTACTATAGACACACTTAGAAATATTCTTAAGTATTGGTTCTGTGCCAAATAAGAGAGAACCTGTGCCTCCAGGCTGCGCGCTTTAATCGTAACGTAACACATGGCTGAAACGAATTCACTATGGAAATTCTGGACCATGACATATTGGATTAAATCAAATATCCCGGATGAGGTAATTACAGCGCACTGGATCAGATAACGTGGCCCGGTGCGTGAATAATAACCAGCACGATAAAATGCGCCGTGTCGCGTCGCTTAAAGAAGTCTATTACGTCATTACATTGACGGCAACATAAAAAAAATAATAAAGGTACTTTCTGATAAGGGAGGGCTTATTGCTGACTAGACAAATTTTATTTTAATGTTCTTTCTCGTCCTACTGGCTGTACAAATATTCTAGTTGCATTTGCCCCATTAATCTAATGGGCTTCCTTTTACACGGGCTTTGGTTTTAATAAAAAACGTAAAAGACAATGACTTGAGGCTGCCAAGATCGCTCAAGACTGATATTTATAATTGGTGCTTTGTGTTTGCGATATTTCACGTCTGTTCCATCTACACAAAACGGTCAAAAAAAGAAAATAATTCTGGTTAATGCTCAGATGCTTCTCGCAAAAGGCATAATTAACCCTAAAAACTCTTGTAAGTTCTCCATAATTCATCAGCTACTTGAACATCTTGAATCTTTAGTTCCATCTAACAAACAGATGTTAAACTTTGATCGATTCCGTCACTTAACAGATTGTTACCGAAGGAAACTTCGGTTATGCTACAATTTCAGAGTCAAGGGTCATTTAGTCTGGAAAGTTCACTTGAATACTCTCGAATAGTATCGTGTAACGTATCCCTTTGTGGTAAATAATTTCAGATTCAATGAGGATTTAAACACGCAAACTAAATAGTATTTCCTGAATAAGTTCTCGGAAAACTCACGGTACGAGATATTGGAATTTTATACATCAAAATACGGGTGGAAAACATTCCAGTATCGACAATATATTTAAACTATTTAAAGGTTGTTCACAATACACGTGGAAATTGTTTCAGCCTGTGGTCTTCACAAGAGATGTTTTGACTCGAAGAGGGTCAAAACGGTACTTTTCAAAGAAAATTCTGAGAAAATCCTATCGTTAAAGCATCCCGATAACTTTAAGTCGGAGCGAAGATAATGAAAAAGCAAACGTGGTTGTTTGAATGTTGACAGGCAACCTTACAAGGCGAAGTATCTGCATAATTGTCACGCAATGTTTCCCAAGGCACACGTACGGAGCTAAAGATGAGATATAATCTAAGAAAATTCCACCAGAATTTTTAAGAAGCTATGAGTTAGGTCGCGAGGTTTGTTACCGGTCGGAAATTCCATATATAATCACAGTTTATTTTCATACGTGACTCGTAATGTGAATTCTAGGAACTCTACTGGAACACAAATCTAAGACCACGTGCGTAACGTATCGATTCTCATGCGGCAGTGATAACAAAACGCAGCGAGCTGTTTACTTTTTCTGGTCATTTATATAACGTAGTCATCAAGATTTCCGAACAAGTTTTGATAGAGAGAAATGCAATTACTTGACATTCCACATTTTAACCACAAAGAGGACAACGTGATGGAGCACAAGTAGTACGCTTCAAAAGCATATCTCTTAAGGGTTGACTGAAAAAATACTTTGGCTAGAATTGTGCCCCGAAAGGAAAGTTTATTTCAAAGCAGTGTCCATTTCAAACTTCCAAAGGAAATTCAAGATATTAGCTACGCATAAACCCAACCCTGAACTTTTTGTGTCAGCTCCAACTCCATTCCTCTCCCGGTTAATACTTAAATCGAATAAATATATCCTCACTTCCGTCTCTATCACTGTCTATGTAATCATAACCGTCCGTCTGTCTGCCTTCCTTGAGCTCTTGTTCTCTCGGTTCCATCCCTTCTTTCCTTGACCAAAACCGGAATTACGTCACGTGTAATTATTTTTAACACTGTACAAAAAGGAAATAAGTTACTCCTCGTTCTTTATGTAAGGGGTTTCACCGGCGCTCTGTGAAATTACTTTCTTAAAACAGGATCTAACCAAAACTTTTCACTAGCAGAAAATAAGTATAAAAGTATTTCAGTAACAAAAACAACAAAAAGGAAAACAAGAACACCCGCCAAACGCGAAGAATAACTAGTAAGAACAAACCAACCACTTTGAGACGCAAAAGTAAGTTCTAACATTATTTTAATTATAGCCATGTTGTCATTGCCACATGCAATTCACACAGACATCCTGGTCCTTTCACAGCACGTCTAAATACTAACTACGTCTGTAAACTTAACCTTCCCCTGAGGTTTACTTTTAACAAATTTCATACACTTCATTTTGTGAATTAGAGTAAAGAATTCTTAATGCACGGCAAGCTAGTGGAGGACGTGACACTACGGCAAACCAATTTGAAAAGGTGGTACTAATAGATTACCACAAAACGGAAACAAAAATAAAACCAAGTTTAAGCAGTTGCTTATGGTTAGTTTGAATGGAATTGGAAAGGGCGGGGCGGAAATCCATATAGCTTTGGTTAGCTGCTATTATTATTTAGCAATAACGTATTACGAATCGTCATGAAAAATTTCTTTTTTTTTTTTCAAAATCTGTCGAGTGGAGTTAGTCCTACATTAACCTTCTAACCCCCTCAGGGTGACTGGCGTCCTAATACTCCTCACAATATCACCTCTGAATCAAACTTTAAGGTCACGAAAATGAGGGTAATGACCACCGACTAGAGAAAATGTTAATTGTTAAACAAATTTTCCTTGGCAGCACCTCAGGAAACGTATACAGCATGGAGAGAATGCATACTGATACTGTATCAAGGTGCAAAGAGTTCAATACAATACCATATACTGACATGTGTTAGCTCGTGTTACACCTAAAAGATACACTTTTTGTCCTCTAGTCATATTGAACAACTTCCTAAAACTGATTTCCAGCCCCTGCCTCCCTATTTCCCCTCTTCTTTCCCCTTTTTTAGTTGCTGGTTATAGCAATTTACGAAAGAACCATGCGTTCTAAATTATTGTCATTTCAAAATTCCTCCTCGCTGTCCCTGATTCGTTCCTTGGAGAGATGGGCAAACTTTTCAAGCACTTCATCGACAGTCTTCTCCCCGTGAACTTTATTGTCGCGGGTACGGACATTGACCGTGTTGGAATTTTCTTCCTTTTCGCCCACAACTGAAAGGAAACAAGATGAAACAATTTCAACCCTAAGGAGCTTACCGTCTGTTGGATGCGAGACCTTTAGCAAACCTCGACGGCAACGGCAACGAGACTATTGCGAAACAAAAGCCGATGTAATTAGGAAAAAAAGCACTCAATGTGTTCGTTTTAATATTCTGTACATTTTGAAACTAACATAACATCGCCAAAATGGGCCTGGTTCGAGAACAAGAACCCTGACAACGAAATATTTTTGTTTCTTTTTGGAAATCAATGCTGTTCACAAGTCATGCTGAGGTTGAAATGTGGCTCCTGTAAAGACGGTTAAGACATTCAGCCGTTCACCAAATTCTTACGAACAGAAATCAACATTATTCTTAAGAATTTCGCGAAGGGCTGAATTCATTTCATAGTCGACGGTTCTGTCCAGGTTGCGGTCCTGACGGAACAAGGTCTCAACTGTTAACAGCCGACAGAAGGCTGTTAACATCTGATCGTTAAACACCCTAAAAGGTCTGCGCACATAGGAGAAATAAGCAAGCAATTTTCTGAAATAGCGGTTCATCGTGAAAATCAGTTTGTTCCCTGAAATTTATTTATAACATGGGGGTGTGAGGCGGGGATAAAAAATTGGAGCGCGACGTGTTTAATGATCGTGGTTTGTGCTCACTTTCCCTTCTTCCTCCCCTTGGGATGCTGAATTCGCAGGCGCCTTTGAATTCAATGAAGGAGAATTCATTCTACCATAGCTATTTTTTGTTCTTGCATTTGAAGTATAAAATTTTGCGTCGAAGCAAAAAGTATCAATTAGAATTCCCACACTGCATCTTTCTTTTCAGCAATACACAGTAAGTTGTCTTACCAAATATGAAGTTGTACTGAGCAAGCTGTGCGTTCCTGATCTTCTTGTTCAGTGTGGTGCCATGATCGAGGTCAACATCGGCCTGATAACCTGCACTGAACACGGCAGTCTTCACCTACACAACAAAATACGACACTATTAAATACCATTTCCGATTTGTAAATTCTCACTTCTGGCCGTAAGAGCAGTTTTAGATCATGCATCAGAAGTGATCCGCAGAGGCTTGAATAAATGTTTCCATAAGCGGCTGCCGATAGTGTGATAGGCTGCTGTGCCCTAAGACAAAACCCTTACGCGCGCGTAAACTTGTCGACACGCGTGGCACCGTGGAAGTGTTTTCGTTAAGTCCTTGAAAATGCAAAGGAAGGGAGGATTCCTGCATGTTAATGAAATCCTTATAGCTGAGAGACTGAAATCCACTTCCAGTTATAGTGCTTCCTTGCTAAGAAACGAATAATAGCCGCAAGAAAACCAGATTAACGCCATCGGCACGAAATTTGGAGTCTCCCAGAAAAGATATACAGTTGTGAACATGAATCGTAATGAAATACAATCTTTTAGAAGTGCTACCGTTTGTCTCACGATGTCGTAATTTCAGGTGTTGATGGTGAAGTTTCGACTCCATCATTTACATTGAATAGAAATTATTGTCAAGTGTGGTCATATGCATTACTAGACATGCTCTGACGAGGAATGGCGCCACTAGTACGCATGGATAACATTTAAATGAAAGTATTAACATACCTTGACCGCATAGTCTTCGTACTTAGGGGAAACAGGAATGACGATGGCTTGAGTTGGAGAAAGCCAGAACGGCCTGCAACAACAAAATAAAACAGTTTACAAATCACAAAATCAATCACTGGAGCAGTTTTCAATTGAATGTCGAAAGAAATCCGGGATTACTTTGTTCTTGCTTTACTTCGTTATGTGGTTGGTTTAGAAAACTCGCGCCACTTTCTTAACCAATCAGATGCAAAACTACAACAAATCACGCTCTGATTGGCTCATAAAAGTAATTTTCTTTCTATTGATTGGCTGTTGTGACTACTTTGGTTTTGGTTTTGCGACACTCAATACAAAAGCACTCTATTCATCTACTGTTTATCTTTATTACCAATAAATAAGGTACTACTCGTTATTTACCATTTCCCACCAAAATTCTCAGTAAGGACAGCAATCATTCTCTCTACGGAGCCCAATATGGCGCGGTGAATGATGACAGGCCTTTTCTTCTCATCGCCATCGCCACTAAATCATCAAATGACACAACAACAATACAGAAATTCAACTACAACACCTTATCTATGCGCCATTATATTTATTCAGCCATGTTAAATAGCCTGACCATCTCCTTTCAGGACTTTATCAGTAAGCTACTCATTAAATATAATCTTGAAAATTTGTCTTAATTATATGTTTTATTGAGAAGTACTCCTGCCTCCTCAAAGACAATATACCGTATAATGTATTGTAAGTAACTGTATATTCAGAAGTATTGTAAGTAGATTATTGTATTATTAGTAGTGTAAGTAGCCCGTATTGCTTGTAATTATATTTTTTGTAAGTAACCATATTCAGTACTGTATTGCTAGCACGAGTAACCTACATTGTAAACATCATAAGTATTTTTCTGTAAGTAGAGTAGCGTAATGAGTCTTGCATTGTAAGTAATGTTTTGTAGAATTGTGTTTTGTAGTAAAAGCAAAGGTTAAAAAAAAAAAGACAAAAAAAACAAGAAATAATTATTATTTCCACTTGAGTGTGCAACACCCCATCGTATCTACAGTAGAGGTTTTTCATACGAACATATTCTTCACTCAGTGGCTCATACTCTTCACTATCAGTAGCGAAAGACAGAAGCTGCGCGATATTTGAGGGAGGGGGGGGGATTAGAAAATCACGAGTCTGTGAAATATTTTTCGGCCTTCACTCCAGTATAAATTGCCATTTAAAGGTTGGATTACCAAATCCAACAGAAAAATGTCAATGAACTATACTATCCAGAAGATGGCAATTTATCCAAGAAAATTCAAATGGTAATCTCTCCAGCTTCGCTCAAGTTAAAGATTTTTTATAAGAGAAAAAAAAAAGCTATGACAGTCTTCGCCAATCTCTCGATGAGAAGACTGAAAACTAACATCCGACCTTCTCTTACCTGACAAAAGTTAGGTTGAATCTTTCTGGCAGCTGGAAGTCAAGTTGTATGGTTGCACACTGGTGATACCGGCGGAGTGCGTCTTGAATCTGAATATCAATCTGGAATAGAAAAACATGGATCACACTGACAACTAAAGCGCACCTTAAACAGGACCAGTGATAGTGCCCAGTACCTTTGAATTCATCCAAACTGATCACAAACTTGGTTATATTCCACAAGTAAAAAAAAGCTACCTAAAAGAGTTATTTGCTCAGGAAGAAGTCACTTCACTGTTTACCATTTAATTGACTATCAGTAGTGCACGACTTTCTTATCAATCCAAAGCTCCTTGAAAGCTGGCCGCCGTGGACAAGCTTTTGGAGCCTACGGTAGTCATACGATTCTCAGCGGTTCAATACTGCTGCGCAAAGAAATGCCCGGATGTTTACAGGAATTGATGGACCGACCGACCGAAATTTCTCCCCGCTAACTGCGGAACTCGGTCATTTCCATGAAATTCACTCGATAAAAACCGAACCGCCCCACAGACACAGAAAATTTGTGAGCTAGTGGTGTACCTTGGGTCCATAAAATGCTCCATCTCCTGGGTTCAACTTCCAAGCCATTCCAAACTCATTGAGACGTCGTTCCAGCTCCTAAATAAATCAATGACAAAACTCTATGACCTCCTGATCCTGGCACACCAACATCAAAATGAAAATTCTACACATTATTTTCTATACATGTCCTATGCTACAAACAAGGGGAATTTGTTAAACGACCGAAAGATTATTTGCTTGCTGAGCAATCATTACTGGGAAAATTTTTCATGCAAAGGTTTAACACTGTACACGATATGCACAGAAGCCTATATCTATTCATGCATTCTGAAACTTATTACAGACAGATCCCTAAGAGACGTTTTTTTCACCCTGTCACGAGCGTGGGACAGAAAAAAAATTGGAATCTTCATGAAGAATCGAATCTCAAACCCTCAGACTCCACTTCGCTTTCAAACGGGAGTAAGAAACTTGTCTTCGTCTCACGCTTGTAAAAAAAAAGGAAACCATCGAGAGCTTAACAATTTTTTTGTTTCGTTTAAGACAGATCCAGTGAAAAAGAGCATTAGAGCAATTTTCAATTGAGTGCAAAATTAATCCGGGATTGCTTTCCTTTAGCTTTACTTCGTTATGTGATTGGTCCAGAAATCTCGTGCCAATTTTTTCCACCAATCAGATGCAAACTTAAACGAATCACGACTTGGTTGCCGCGTTTTCACGCGCTTGACGCAGTTTGGTTGTTTTCATTTTGTGTTTTTTCATTGGCTCTTCAAGGTATTTTCCTTTCTTCTGATTGGCTGTTGTGATTACTTTGGTTTTGCTTTCACGACTCTCAATCGAAAAGCGCTATCACAGTGATCAGTAATCGCACCTTCTCAGCACTGTCCCAAAGCTCCAGCTTACCCATGTACTTCTCAGGTCTGGTGGACAGGAAAAGTTTGAAGGAGAAACCAAACTTGTTGTAGACGAACTTCAGGAAATCCAGGCAGCCTTTGATTTCTTCACCAATCTGAAATAAAAAGACAGGCACTGATAAGTCCCATTCAACCGTACACTCACCTCTTCAGAATTCCTTAATACCCAGTGAAAACGTTTTTCTTGATACATCTGAGAAACATTACTTCCTGCTAGTTTAAAAAAATTTCCTCAACTTTTGCTTCTGCCACGAATTATTTTTCCACTTGAAAATTTCCAACCTCTAACAACCACGTATTACGAGCATATCCCCAAATTTACGTACATAAGGAAAAACGTTCTCCAATACGTAAAAGACAGTGCAGATAATAGGTAATAGATCTTGGGAGTGAAAGGTTTAAGTAAAAGTAAAACTCGTACCTGATCTGGTCTACAAAAGATATGAGCATCATCTTGTTGAAATCTTCTGACTCGGGTCAGTCCAGTAAGTGTACCAGACAGTTCATTACGATGAAGCACTCCGAAGTCTGCCATCCTCAGTGGAAGCTCACGCCAAGACCGTGGACGATGGTCAAACATTACACTGGAAGAAAGTCAAATGTGAACAGAACATGCAAGAGGGTAACTCTTCTCGCAAGATAAAATCCATGATATCAAGATTTCACCTTATCTCTAAGAATCAAGGAGCAGATAAAAAGAGGACCTATTGGTGATTATTACATGGCGGGAGATTATGGCCGATAGAACGCGTGCTCTGATTGGCTATGAGCAAGATCAAAGAGGGGCATTATGTTCTCGTAATGACTACTGGCTGATGAGGGATTATGCAAATTTGGAAAAACACAAAGGCTCATTCAAGGACCAAGGCCTTTTTTTTCAATTTCATCGATGGTGATTAGTTGAAAAACCCCAATTTTTCACTATTTGACTTGCCAAGTTGTTATCGGACAGTTCAATAAGCCAATCACATTCAAATTTTTAGAGGTAAAATAATCAGACTCCCGCTTCGCAGTCGTCCGATTTCGTCAACACTCATATGATTACAGACCGAATTGGACTCCACTCAGTCCTACTACCATTAAAAATTGAGAAACCCAAGAGAATACATACCAATGTCCTGGACAATTCATGGGCTTTAGAGCGTACCGTTCCTTCTCCACCTCAAAGGAGAACATGTTTTCCTGGGAGAGAAACACTGTGATATTCAAAACGCTGCTTGTATTTAGAGTATCATAAGGATCAGAATAAAATATGACCTTTTATTCTTACAGAGTAATGCTGCCAGTGTCCCGAAGTCTCCCACAGCTTAGTGCTATAGATGTTTGGTGAAATAACTTCCTGGAAACCTCGCTTTTTGTACTCTTCCTAATGTAATAAAAAGTAAGAGATTTGTGTGACGTTAGAATTCATTTGCACAAAGGTCTACAGATGACCAAAAAGGCCAATTTGGATGGGTGGTTGTCCCAGTATTCAAACAGTCAAGCCGTTACAAGAGACAGAGAGAGAGAGAGAGGAATTGTGAAAGCTCCTTGCCCAACAACACAACAAAACAATCTGGCCATGGCTTCGGGGTAATTTTAAATTGAGCATCAAAAGTAATCCATTGTTGCATTGGATTTTGCTTCACTTTGCTCTGTGATTGGTCCAAAAATTACCACTTTACCGTTCTTAGGTCAGTTTGTTAGTTTTTACTTTGAGTTCTGATTGGGTTCTAGTGATTTTTCCATTATTCTCATTGGCCATTGATATTTCTTTGATTTTGGTTTCAAGACGATCAATATTGAAATATGCTTTAACCCTTACTCCAGAGTTCAGCAAGCTAACTGATTGGCTTTTATTTTCCCTTTGATCTTCCTTTGCCATAATCCCAGAATATTGTGGTTTAACCTTTTAAATCCCAGAAGTGATTAACATGTAACTTCTTCTTGTAATATCCAACGCTGTCCAGCAAACGGGAAACGAGAAGACTCAAACTTATCAAGTGAAAGTTATTATCTTAATCTAACAGCAAATTCTCAAAACTTATTTTAAGGAAACGTGTAGCACCTAGAGGGGAGAATTAACAGTCAGATCTCAGGTAAATGGTGGAAACATGGTGGCATAACAGTTAGCATACAGGAGGTCCAAGCTTGAGGCTAAACAGGCTAAACTTTTACAGTGCTTCTCTCCACCCAAGATTATAAATGAGTACAGACAACTTGTCAGGAAATGCAGACAAAATGCGTGGGGGTAACCTTGCAGTGGATTAGAATCCTATTCAAGTGGGAATAGAAATACTGCTAGTCCCAATATACTATGGAAACTGGGACAAGCTCTGGCTGAATGAGTGACTAGAGTACAGACTTTCACATTTTTTAAAAAAGAAATGATAAGAAGGAAATATCTTACAAACAAAAAATTACTAGCAACTCCTGTTAGAGATATTTCAAAGGGAACAGTACCTTAAGGAAATTTATTAGTGTGTTGTAGATGTGGGCTCCTTTCGGCAAAAAGAAACAGCTTCCAGGGCTTAACTCATGGAAGAAAAACAATTCATGATCCTGAATAGGAAAAAAATCCTCATTTAGCATAATGAATCTTGGCCCACCACTGCTTAAACATACACTGTATCGATGAAACATTTTGCAATCAGATCACTTAGCATATGGCATGTTGTTAACTTTGTGACCACTATTTGAATAAAATATATAAATAAAAATCATTTTGATAGCTTGGAAACTAGCAATAAAGGGAGAATTAGGCAGCCCCCTTATATAAAAAAATGCTCATTCTCATACCCTGCCTAATTTTCTGTGATCTCTTTTAGCAGCTTCCTCCTGAAATTTCTTCCAATCTTTCATCTGGTTAAGTAAAAGAATAAAAAGTAGACTTCAGTGGGCTTGTATTAGCATAAAGTAGTTTCATGTATGTTGGCTATTAAATATGATGGTGGTTGTGGTTCTTAATTCCCTAAAGCTGACCTTGGTTCTAACAAAGGCAAACTAGGGCAAACTAACTTTAAGATCAAGAAAATCTGGAAACCATAAGCCTATCCAACAATTTTTAAATAATGCATGGCTTCTGTTAATGTTTCTACCAAAAAAGTTTTTCACCTGCCACCACTTGGCTGTGAAGCTTTAACCAATGAAGAAATGTAACAAAATACGCTCTGTAACTTAGTAAATTATAAAATTGAAGGAATTTATATCATTAGAACAAAAAATCTAACCTCTTTATAAGTATTGCAAAAAACCTACTTATAAATTCAAGATTTCATAATACAAAAGTACAGAAACCAGAAATATGAGATGTTGGCACGGATGAAGTATACATACTCTCCTTTTTTTACTTAAAGAAATCATTTCTATTCCTAATAATTTTGTTGAATTCACCTGTTTCTCATTTGGGAATGAGATTCCGTAGAGCCGCTGGAGAGATTCTGCTTCGCAGTTTCCTTCCCAGTATGTGGCAGAGTTCTGAAGACAGAGGAGTCAAAGGTCAATGTTGAAGTGCACTACATTTTACAGGCACAACATGCAAATAAAGACAAACGAATGACTCAAAGGAAACATATTAAACATTATAATTGGCTTCTTAAACTTAGGCAGCTCAAGGAATTCAGTTCAGAAAATCATTGTAAACAACTTGAATGCATTTCAATATTTTACAATTATTTATTTGGAAACTTTAGTTGAAATAGTAACGCTATGTTTGAGGTAAACAAAAAAATGGCAAATTTGGCCCTAGAAGGTCTAACATATCCTCACAATTCAGTGAATTAAAACAAAAGCATCTACCACAGTCCCTATACTTCATCATATACCTTAGTGACTGTCATGGCTTTTATCTTTCCAGTATGCCTTACATGAGGACCACGGCACAAGTCAATAAGAGGCCCACACCTTAAAGAACATAAACATCACAGCACTTTTAGAATCTTGTTGAAACATTCTATTCTTGTCAAAATGTACTTGTCACTGCCCAGCCTCGTGATTTAATCCTTTCACTCCCAAGGTTTCTTTATTTCTTACTGTCTGCCACACAATTCTTATAATTATGTAAGTTTGGAGAATTTGGCATTGGATCAACTAATAATTGATATTTTTCTTTATTCTCATCACTTGCCTGTTTGATATTGTATTGATATTGTAAGGAGAAATTAATCTTGGTCAGTCATGGGAGTTAAAGGTATATATATTTCCACACTTACCTGTAGACAGTGGTGGTGGCGGTTTTTACTTTTTCCCTTATAATCCTGCATTTAAATTCATTGTACTGTAAAAGAGAACAAAGCCTTTAAAAATGACATAGCTGTAGATGTTTTTTTTCCTCCTAAAAGGACCTACAATTCACATCAGACCAAGTTCCTCTTTGTACAAAACTTACAACAGTTAAGAATAACACAAGTATCTCTTAATATAACATACTAGTTACTTGTTACAAAACTTGTCCAGCCATTATACAAGATCTCAATAAAGATTCTACCAGTGATGTGCCAAGTTTAGTCAGACATTGTCACGAGATTTAGACATTTGGTTTGCAGCTTTGAATGATCGATATTGTTAAAACAAAAGTGTACATTATAGCATTAATGTTCTAATATGGAGGGAAAATATTCAATTCTAAAGTTTTGCGACGGGTAGCCCAAGGGAAGGAGGTGGAGTTGGCTTTACAAAAATTCACCAAGGGGAAAAATGGGAGTCAACATTTTGCACCTAAATTGTTATCCAGATTTATTGTGCGAGGTGAACAACATGGATTTTTTTGGTTAAGAACCAACAATGTTTAGAACAAAGCATACTGCAAGCCTTTATACAGAAGTATATTGTTACTGCAAAAGTAGGAGGCACAAACAAATACCAATAAACAACTATTTAAAAGTAGTGTAAATGCATTTGGGTGCAAGGGCAAGTGAAGAGAGAGGGAAGAGGGCCATATTGGAACACTTATGTTGCTGTGAGTCTCTACTAAATAATGAAAAAGTGATACCTTGAACATCTCTAAGAGGTCTTCTTTTGACAGCTCAAGTCTTACAAATGGTTGTTTCTCCTTCACAATGGACTTCGTCAAAGAATCAAGAGAGGGATAGTCATTGGACGACACCTGCCTACAGTCAGCACAAAGAATCCAGAGAGTGTAAGAGATGACATAATCATAATAAACAATAACATCTCACAAGAGCTGACATCTTAAAAAAGTTTCCAGGACTTTGAAGAACTTCAAAACAGTGCAAACAAAACTTTTCCAACAATAGCTGAATAAGAAATAAAATTTAACCTATGCTTCCATAGGTTAAATTTCAATTCCAACATTTCTTGTACAGGTGCATTTAATATTTATTATAATGCTATATAACTTTTGTGGATTAATAACAGGATCTGAGAAACTGTACACCTACCCCTCCCCTTGTAACTTGTTTAGGTGTGCAGTTGCTTTCATACTGATATTGATCAATTTTCAACATAAAGATTTAGTGTGAATTCCAACAATATCCTCAAATTAATATTTTCCTCACTTATCATCACCCTTCTGCATGAACCTGTATTGATAGTTGAAGGTGAAACTCCTTGGAACAGAGAGGATACACTGGATTACTACAATAGTAGCACTGCAACTGAATACAAAGTGCATTCTTTACCTTCCATCCAAAAACATGTCATAGTAATATCCCTCTTCTATAGGAGGTCCATAACACAGATACCCCCCATAATGTCTCTCCATGGCTTCACCCATAATATGGGCACTAGAATGCCAAAAGACGGCTTTGGCTATTTGATATAAAGAACAAATCCATAATTAATTTTAATTCAATAGCAACACCTAACAATGAAGAATGGTTCATTGCATGGTATGATTATCCAGGCATGGTCATTTCCTGACAGGACTGTTGCCACTGGCAGCAACTAATATTTTGCAACTTGGGTGGGAGGCTCCATTTGACTCAAGCGCAGATTTGTTTGTCAGTTGAATGTGAAGTCTGTTTGGTGGAAACAGATTTTAAGTTTTGTCATAGCACTGTTGGCAGCAAAATTCAAGCATTGTTTGTCAGTCATTGTCATAAGTGAGGTTCAATCTGTCTGTAAATTTACACTCATTCAGCTTAACCCTTTAACCCCTAAGAGTGATTAGCACCAAATTTCTCCTTACAATATCATCCCTGAATCACATATTTAGGTTATGAGAATAAAGGAAACCAAATAAAAAAGCTCTTGATTGTTAAACAAATTCTCCTTGTCAGTACCTTAAGAAGTGTATTGAGCATAGTATAGAGAGTTTGCATACTGATGTTAAGGCGTGAAGGGCTAAAAAACAACCTTAGCCAATCACTTCACATAGGCTTTTTGTAGGACCCTTACCCATCAAATGACACTACTATTCATGAGTTACTTCACTTTGGCGTTGACTTCAAGATGAACACCTTTTGATTGGACTTCATAAAATATTGAATACTCTATGAGGGAATGGCTATTACAGAACAGTAGTAAAATTACTCATAAAAACACAATCAATCTTGACTGTCCTCAGTTACCTTCATCGTCTTCAAATTTTAAAAATTCTAGAGTACAGTCTCCTTCAAGAACTCTGTCCAAATCAAACACTTCACCATTAACCTAAAACGTAATTACACATAACTTTTTTAGGCTTTGATACTCCACATAGTGTACCTCAAAATGTAAGTGTGAAAATCACAAAAGGAAAATAAACCTCTTCAAAACTCAAAACTACTATATCTGAAGTAGATATACCAGTAATACTTTTAGAACAACTAACTCACCTTGCAAACAACAGTGTTATCAGCAAGTCCTTGGCTACACGACAAAAGAGGAAATGATACAAGTGAAATTGTGGCTTAGGAAAAGCTTCAGGTTATCCAGTTATAATTTCCTCAGTACAGTTGACTTTACACTTTCAAGTTAAAAAAAAGGCCATTCACAGTCTATTAGTTGCAACAGTTCAACTTCTATATTAGCTACCTGTGTGGGTCTTCATATATGTATCTCTGGGCAATCAAAGGATTGAACAGGTTTTGAAAAATCTAAACCATACCTAATAGAACTTGCTATATCATAAGGGGTTGTCTTCCAGGCCTGTCCATCTACAACTTTACCATCTCGTAGAGTCACCTTAATTGGTGTTTTATCTTTGGCTGCAATGAAGAAAGAATTTTCAGCACAGAAAAAGTTTGGAAATGTTGGTGATAACTGCACTTTCTATAAAAACCAATAAACTTCTTACTCCTTCATGCCATTTTAATTTAACAAATGCATGCCACACCTGTTGTCACATTCAAGAGTGATCAAAATCTAAATCCTCCTTGGAATTTAGTTAATCTCCTTGCAAGAAAGCAATAAGAGGTAGGAAAAATTATCAACTAGAGTGAATTTTTAGGATGAACCACCATTCACATAACTACAGTGTAGCCAACAAAGAAATAATCTGTCATCAGTTGAGGAAGCTAACACAAAGTATAACTCAAGAAAAAGCAGTTTGGCACTGATTCCTTACTAGGGTAGTAATGATAATGTGATACCTCTTAACCCTTTAACTCCCATGAGTGACCAAGACAGAATTTCTCCTTGTGATACCAACACAATATCAAGCAGACAAGTAATGAGAATAATGAGACATTTCAATTAGAGGATTATCAGTTGATCTAACACCAGATTCTAAGAGCTTAAATTATACAAATTGCATTGCAGATAGTAAGGAGAATCGCTAATGAGATGTTAAGAGCAAAAAGGCTAAATAACAACCATGCATTACATAATTGTCCCTATCCCCTCTACTTGGTCACCATTACACTAAAGAACAAAATAAACAATTCTATACCTTCAATTTTAGCATCATATTCTGCCTTCAGTCTATCAAAAAGCTTTACTCTTTCATCTAGAAAGGCTGGAGGTGGGTTCAACTAAAAAGCAATTATTACATTTGTTAGGAAAAAAAAGTAAGACCTCTTGGCTAACGTATAAAGGATATTGCACTGGCATTCAATATTAGGTATAACCAAATGTGACAATGATTACAGATAGAAAGAACCTTGCAAGAAAAAAAAACATATATCTAAGGTTATCATTTTGAGTAACCAGACTGTATGTAGTACAAGTGTATGAGTAGGTTGCACTAAACAGTATTATTTTCACCAATGCCATGTTTTCATGCTGATAATTGAGCAACAGACATTCAGAATAGAGGGCTTGTTTCACAGACAAGACAGTGAAATGTTGATATGAAAGAGCTGAAATGACAACAAACAACAAGTCACTCACACAAAATTAAGACAGCAACAAAGAGAAAAGTGAAATCAACTACAACATTGGTGTTTTAAACATTAGTCAGCAACTAGCAGCACTTTTGGCAGAAGAAATTGTATTTCATTATAAAGTTAAATTTTCCAAAGTACTTCCTCTTTGAATTGTGACATTAAATTGTTTGAAAAGGTTTGAAACTCAGATGGAGGACATTTAGACCTCCCCTCCTAACAGGACCTTGACAGCGGAAAGCATCAGTTTCCAGTTTATTTTGATAACCCTGGATATGTACAATATTGTGCCCAACATAATCAAAGTGAAACTGAATTTTCAATAAAAAATGACATATTTCATTCCAATGCAAAAATTTTCAAAAATTTTGCCTTTTTTTCCTGGATGCCTTTTGTTTCAACTAACACATTATTTCAAGTGATAATTTACCCTGAAGTCCTCTGAGGAAATTTTTTCTGGAACCAAAAATGCAGTAAATTTTCACTCTTTCTTTAAGTCAAATGACGATATTAGCACTGTAAAAGTCACTTGAGTGTTGAAAAGAAAGATGCTTCATTGAACAATTTGAATGTGCGACAATTTCACTTGCTGGAGAGATCCCAAACAAACTGTTCCCAAGTCCAGAACCCAAAGGCTTTTTGGCACAATACAAAGTTCGCTTTCAACAAAGAACAAATGATTCTTATTTTTGTACCGAACGTCAAAATTTCCGAGAACTAGAGTAGACACGTTTATCTGTGTAGAAAAGTTAAACGTTCCGCAAGATTTCCGCATAAAGATATTTTATTAAGAAAACATTGGCCAAAAAGATGGTTTACTTCTGGGGTGAGAGCTTTGTTCTCGTTAAGAACGAAGTTAACCGAAAATCTTTCTAAATGTTCTTTTTTACTTGTACAAAACAGAAATCAAAATATTGCATCAGCCGTTTAGCGGAACTGACCTGCAGTTTATGTCAGTAATCGACTATTTACAATTAAATCTTACTTACGGCATACAACATCTCAGTGGATTGTAAGAATGTTAAATTTAACACAATGCACAGGGTCTGAAGGAGGAACCAAGATCGAATCTATCAGTTTTGGATGAGCGCGCGTGAACATGCAAATTAGATGTCCTCCAGATGCTAACTTAACCGTTGACCTCGTAAGATGTCTATGTTCTGAACGAAACTTAACAAGATTCAATTCCTTCTTGATGAAACAGATGGTACGTACAACAAAGCCACAGACATGACAGTTGCGTCACATCAAATCCTGTGCATTGCGTTAAAGCTAACGCGATGCACAGGATCAGAATGAGGAACCAAGATCGAAGCTACCAATTTGGGATAAGCGCACGTGAACATGCAAATTAGATGTCCTCTAGTAGCTAAATTTATCTCAACACTTAGTCGTTGACCTCGCAAGATGTCTTCGTTCTGAACGAAACTTAACAAGATTCAGTTCCTTCTTAATGAACCTGATGGTAAGTACAACAAAGCCACGGACATCACAATTGCAAAGACAAAAGACTTCATTTTCCAGACAGTATTTTTGCTATTTAGAGAGAGATCGACACGTACACTCGCACTCTTTCGTGACTTACTTCCAACGGAAATCCGCCTGTTTCTGCTTTCTTTTTCTTATCTCCACCTTTAGCTCTTGCTTTTGCCTTAGGATCCTTTTCTTCCATATTCAAGTTTCCTACTTTCTCCTCGAGGCCACTATTATTCGACATTCCAAACGCTTATTTAATGACTAACGTGGGAAGTGACAAAAATTACTAGCGAGAAATTGTTGCATGTAAGGCGCACGCTTAAAAGCCAACTCAGCTGAAATCTCGTGGACTCAGACAAGATGGCGGATTAAAATTACCGTACTTTTGACTTTTGTTTCTTTACCACTTAAAAGATTATGTCAATTTTCTTACCTCCAAAGGATATTCCACTATATCATCAGTAGGTCTGATAGGTCCAGAACCACAGCAACAGAATAACCTCAACGGTTTGCCATGTCGAAACACATCTTCATAAAAATCCTTGATTTTTGTCGTTCGTGGTTTTAAGATCGTTGAGGTGGTTTGCCGTCGCAATGCAACGGCTAGCGTCCTGATCATAATATCTTACGATGATTGATGACGGCATAACAGTTACGACTGACATCGATCAAGCGCCGAGCTGACAAGTGACAGATTTTAGAATAATATTAATCAAACTCCTGCAAGTTCCTGCAATAGTTACTTTAATATCAAGAGTAGACGCGTTCATACTTACTGCTAACACTGTGGATGGAGTTACGTTATTTGACCGAAAGGTAAATTCTTGTTTCTTTGAAGTCATATCATTTAAATCCATTCACTGAAAGCCTTTTCCATCGCCGTGTTTCGTACTCTCCAGTAAACTTTGAAGTTGAGAGGGAAACATTTCTTAGCTCGGTACCAGACTGCCCCTTTTTTTAGACTGGACGTAACGCAATGCATAGTGGTCGTGTGCTAGTTACGCAATTTCAAATTTCCCCTTAGCATGGCTTGTTTTAACAACTTGATGATCCATTTCGAACATAGCCGATATCAGCTTACTACTTTCTCATTCGAAAACCTACAGCGTCGAGGCAAGCGAACACTAAAGGCTATGCCTCTTCAAAATCGTAGTTTGTCACGCGTTTGTTCCAATTCGGTGTTTAAAATGCTCAATGGTCGTCTTCCGATGAAAGAAGAATTGTAAGGACCCAAAACAACTTAGAATATCATCAGAAACTCCCCTCAGCTTTCTTGATGGGCGCTTGGGAGTATCTTGCAACGTTCCTCCAAGATTATTTCAAGGGGTGACCTAATTGGGTGACGCTTTAAGACCGCGAGTAGATGAGGTTCGAGGTACCCGGTATGTGTGGAGTAACACAACCTTCCAGTTGTTGAAAAATCCAACCCCCTGCGCACACGGTGCCTTGATAATATCCCTTTCTTCGCTATGATTTTGATCAACACGATTAGCATAGAAAGGGCTTTGGAAAGCCTCAGTGGCCAGGATACAAAGAGAAGAAGAGTGGAGTTAGATGATTGAGAGTACTTTTAAAAACCCTGGTGTTGAGCCCAATTGTTTTCATGTTCTGGATTTAGTCTCTCTTTGTTCCCTTTTTTTTTTCGAAAGTGCAAGTCGTGGGGAAAATTTTTAAAATGATCTTCAACTATCGTGACCAAGGTGGTTGCTAAATTATGCATACTACAGGCATTGAGGTCAGCCACCAATCCATGTGTGGTAGTAACTAATCATGAAAATTTAGAAGGTAAAACGAGACAACAAAGCGAGACTACTTCTCAACTGGGGAAATTGGACTTCACTCGTTCATTTTCATTAATTGAGCTATGATTAACTTGAGTCATGTAACAAGCAAACAGGAAGTAACGAAAAGATGTTTGTTATCATATTGAAAAAGTTACATGTAAACCTCATCGATTTGGGAAAACATATTAAAACACAACTAAATAAGGAAGAAGGTAATAAGATGATTCATTTTCTTTCCAAAGAGTAGTTTACTATTCTGGCCTTTTAAAACCGGCACATGTATGTCGACTTTCATGGAAAGCATTCTAATAGCTTCGCTGTCTATTGACGCTTTCCACATAAAATAAGATTTATAAAGAGGAAATATCAAATATAAGAGACAAGGTATTGCTAAACGAGGTTAATAGAAAGGGCGTTTTGAAGGTCCTGAAAAAGGGACCGGAGGTGGCCCCGGTCTTTTTAAGGGAGGACGCATTCGTTCACTTTCAAAGTCTCCCAAAGAATGTCGCCTTCTGTCAGGAGGTCCATAGCCGTGAAATCTGTTAAATTCAGGTGGGCCTTCTCTGAATCCTTCGCGAGACCTAGGCGACCTCCCTGGACCTTCGAAAGAAGTCCACAAGGAAGGGTCGTCTTCGCGAAAGTCCACTCGATTAGGGTCACCATGAGGTGACACAGGAGGGCCTCTCCATCCGGGAGGGGGATGGCCAGGATGGTCATGTGGAAATTCCCATGGCCCTCTACCATGGTCTCTGAAAGGTTCCCTTCGGTGTTCTTCCCAGCGTTCAAACTCTCTCCTTCGCTCAACGTCATTCATCATTCCCGAGTGCGACACACGATGTGGGGGAGGGGGTGGTGCATCGCCTCTGGGTATCTGTTCGTGCGGTGACCGTCGGGAATCAGGTCGATGAATAGGAGCTCCTTCAGTTGATAGCCTCTTCACCATACGTGGGCCATTAGAAAATCCTTCTTCCCTAGGTATCCCGTGTGGACGATGTTCTTGACGATGCTCCGGAGGGATAGACGTGGTTTCGAATGAACCTCTTGGAGAATGACCTTGAGGTACTTGATCGGGAGGAACACGCCCGGACATCTCTGGTTGACCGTCACGCCTTTGAACTGGTTGACCCGCACTATCCCTTCCCTGTTCAAACTGGGGACCACGAGCTTGTGGGAAAGGCGCCCTCGGTCCAAATGGCGGTATTCCACGAGGTGACAAGTTGCCAGGACGATCAAAAGGTCGCTCCTGCGGAAAGCGCGGGGAACCTCCTCTCACTGAAGGACCTAGAAAATGTGGGCCAGGTCGGGGAAAATTTCCTGCTCGTGTCGCTTCACGTGCCTCAGGTGGCTGAGAATCAACGTGATCATGTCTCGCACCAAGTCCAGTGTTACCTCCAGATTCAGGAGGCATTTCCATCGGTCCTCCAATTGGTCTTTCTTCAGAGAAGTTCGACGATGATTCTCCTCTAAACTCCTCATTACTTTGAGGTCCTCTCTTCGCAATGATTTGTGGTTCTGACCGTTGGGGAGGTGCCTGCTCAGGTCTGATTTTAGAAAGAGGTTGAAATTGGCCTTCAGTGGGTGCTGGCCAAGACGGCACACCTTTTGGATTGTTATCTACAGGAGGATCAAATGATGACTGAGGTGAACTACCCGACTGCTCTTTCTGTTTCAACGTTTTTATAGAGTCACTCAGCTTCGGAAACAATGAGTCGATCAAAGAGAGGAGGGGTTTACTTTGAGGCGTATCAGAATTTTGCTGTGGAGCGACCGAAGGAGCCGAAGGAGCCGAAGGAGCAGAAACAACTGTTGGAGCAACGGTTGTACAATTGACTTCCACGTCAAACTGTTGCTGCATTTGTCTTCCTCTACTAAGCAACTGAGCCAATATGTCAACAGCACTGACTTTTTGTCCATTATCTTTTTTTGCCAAGGCAGCATCCTGCCCTCCAAGCTGGTCTGCAACAGAAGGGGTACTGCTGGAAGACGACGATTCCGATACAATTGCAGGAACAAATGCCTTGGCTGTAGGCTGTGCCCCAGAAAGGCCTGGTCCTGAGTTGCTTATAGCATTTTCAAAGAATGATTTGTTTGTCTGAAAACCGGTATTGTCTTTTACGTCTACATCCCCAAGTGGAGCTGGTGTTGTTTCTGGTGTCTCGTCACCTTCAACTAAATGCAACTCCGGAGAACCAACCGGTGACGGAGCAGACGCCTCTGAATCAGGCGACCCAATAGTACCACCAGCCTGTGAAAGACCTTCAATCACTTGGTGTATCTGAGTTCCTGGGACTGAACCTGTCATGACCTGAAGAGGTGCTGCAACTGGCAAAGGTGCTTGACTGTGTACAAAGCCGCTACCAAGTGGTTGCAGAGACCCCATACTACCCGGAAGTTGCGCATTTGCTCTCGGAAGTAACACTGTTTGACCTGACAGTTGTGGAAATGGCTGCTCTTGCCTTATGGCATGTCCTGTACCAGGTAAGGGTCCTGACGGCTGCATTAACTGATTTTGAGTCATGCTAGGAGAAGGCCGTATTGGAGGACCTCCAGGTCTGAACTGAGGTGCAGGAGCTGGAAAACGAGCCCCTTGTACCCCCATAAAAGGACGAATGACCACTCCAACTGGAGCTGGACCAGGAGGACCTAGTTGTGGCTGATGAGGCAGCATGCTGCCCCGCAGTGGCATCACAGTACCCAGATTTGGAGTAAGAGGTTGGGCAGGCGCTACACTGACAACAGGGGAAATTGATGGAGTACTATCCTGGGGTGTTGATTTTGCTGGCTGGGAATCTGAACTTTCAGTGGAGTTAGGTGTTTGAACATTGCTACCCTTGGCATCGTCTGCACTAGCCTCCTCACTTGTCTCTGACTTTTCACTGTCTGAATCATCTTCAATTTCCATGTCAGCAACTTCAATGTTGTCAACAGTCGGATCGATGGGTTTTTCTTCCTCTGGGGATTTGTTGCTGCCTTTCTTTCCTTCTGTTGGAGTTGATGGGGCTGATCCTTCTGCAACTTCAGGAAGGCCTGATGTGAGAAATGATGATTGTGGTGCTGTTACAGGCCCTGTCTTTGCTTTCTCTGCTTCCTTCTGAGCTAGCCTGTTCATTTTGCCATCAACTTTTTTCTTCAGTGATGTGAGACGATTTCCAAAGGTCTTGTAAGCCTGAAATATGGGAAAGTTTAAGACAAATTACTAAAGTTACACAATTAGTTAATGCAGATTATTACCCACACCAACAGAAAAATATATATATCTAGTTTCGTCCACTGCATATCTGAAAGTAACCATATTATTATCTACAAAACATACATTTCCCTTTGATAAATTGCATACCCAATTACACAGAGCTCAGGTAATAAAAAGACAAGACCAGTCATCAATTCTACTCAAGAAAATTTGCAAAAAACTTATCCTACACAGATTATTTACAAACATTTTAATACACTTGTCTGTTGCTTATGTCAGAAATATAAAAAGTAAAGAGGAGCATGGAGAGTAGGATGTGAGTCATAAAACTTACCGCAAAGTTAAGATGTCCTAAACTACTCTAATTGTGGGATATCACATACTGCATATACATGTAGTAACTCCTAGCACAGTTTGCACATGAAGTACATGTGTTCAACTTTAAACAGTGTTACCATTGTACTGTATAGTTTGATCAATCTTTCATTTCTTCAGTAAGCAGAAAAGCTATTAATATGTATATCACCCTGACAATCAAGGAAAACTGATGCATCTATGAACATGACAGAAATTGTAGAGTAGCTACTCACATGAACAATGACTTTTACTTCTCCATAGGCGACATCAAAGAAAGCTCCTCCATCTTCAAGTACTTTGATCAAATTTTTCCTCTCTTCCTGCTCACGCCTGAGTGTTTCTGAGAACTCTTGCAACTTAGAGGTAGCCAACTCATACTCCTCACAAAATTTTCCTCCACCTGTGCGATCTAAAAAAAGCACAGGGTGTACAAAAGGACAAACATAAGATGACAGCAATGTCCAACACCGTGGTTCCTACATCAAAAGTCAATCGACCCCTTAACTCCCATGGGTGATCTAGTCAGAAATTCTCCTTACAATATCAATACAATATCAAGCAGACAAGTGATGACAATTAACAATAGAAAAATTTTAATGGGGAACAAAGTGGTCAATGCAATACCAAATTCTCCAACTAACCTCATAAGAATTTTATAACAGATACTAAAGAGAATTACTATTTAGATCTTGGGAATGGCTGGGATAAAAAGTGTTTCAGACTATGTGTAAGGATGTTTTTGGAGGACTTTTATTTTGCTATCATTATGGCTTCTCAACAGAATCAACTCTTAATCTCTGAATTAATCCTCAGCTATTCTAAAGTTCTAAAAGCAAGGTGGTTATAATTGATCAGTGTTGTTATATTGCCATTAAAGTTACTAAGGTCTTTCTGACAAAATTAATCTATCACAATACGGGAAACAAACTATGATTCTGCATAAATTCAATTGAGCCAATTGGGTGGTAGAAACTGAACAAGCAAGGATGACAAGGAATTAAAAAAATTCAGGGCACATTTCCTGCAATCAAAACAGCCAGTTTTGGTGAGATGACCATGGTAACAATACTTGCACTGTCAAAGTATGTTAGTTTAAGTTAGGATAGTCCTGAAATTTTGTAGAAGGTTACTTATAAAGTCAACAAACCTTTTAATTGGCGAACACTCTCCAGATCTGATGCATCAATCCTCAAAGAATTCAGTTGAGATTCCTTGAGAGTAAGTTCTCCCTCAAAATCCCTTAAAGCTTTCAGAGCATCTATCAGTTTAGAGGGCTGGAAAGGAAAAAGAACTTAAGGAAACAGCACTAACAAAAAAATTCTCTTTTGCTTAACCCTTTACACCCTGACATCAGTATGCATATTCTCCACAGTTTTCCATACATTTCCTCAGGTGCTGATAAGGAGAATTTGTTTAACAATCAAGAGCTGCTTTAGTTGGTGTTCATTTCCTAAATTCTCATGAACTTAATGGTAATTCAAGGGTGATACTGTAAGGAGAAACTATATGCTAGTCAATCTTAGGGGTCAATAAAGATTTGAACATGATGCCTCTTGACACAACACATAATCCACAAAATCCAGGGAAAAAAATCTAAGAATTATTAAAAGGTGAACAGGATGAGCAAAATGTTATAAAAGAACAATAGAAAAATGCTCAAGTTCCATAATGATATTTTTTCAGAATGTCACAGTTTATTAAACCTACATCATTTTGAAGGCAATTGAACATAGAAATGGTGTTACGCAAAGCATTGAAAAACTCAATCAAGATAATGATGATAATAATAATAATAATAATAATAATGATAGTAATAAATAATAGTAACAAAACATATTTATGCAGGATGACCATTTCAGTTATAAAAACTGCTATCAAAGAAAAAAAAATAAAACTAGGAGTCATTTCAATTTGAACACAATGAAAGCCATTCTTTTTATATATATATATGGGACAACTCAGCATTAATGTTTTCAAAACAGCTCTTAACTTCTAAGAGTGACTAGCATCTAAATTCTCCCTATATTATCATTTCTACACCAGACATTACAGTCATAGGAATAAAAGAAGTGATCACCAAATAAAGAAGCTCCTGATTATCAAACAAATTCTTCTGGTCAGTAAGAGAGAAAATATATAGAGAACATTATGGTGAACATTTAAACAGATGCTCGAACATAAAGGGCTAAGATGGGAAAATGACTTTGTTGACAAGATGTTAGCTTTCAGATTCTCATATACAAATTGCCCTGTGATTTGATCATACATTTGAGAGAATACAATTATGAGATTACTGTTTTCAACCTTTAACCTACTGTGGTCATATGAGGCTTCTGAGATAAATCTTATGATCCCAGTTCCGGGGGGAAGGGCCTCTCACCTTAAAATCTGCTGGTGGTAACCTCTTTTGTTTGGGTGATTTCACCTCCTTTTCCTTCTCTTTTTCGATGGCTTTCTCTTTTACTTTCTTGCTTATAATAGCAATATCACCTGAGGCTATAAACATCATAGATTATATAAGAAACATCATCCACTAATATGTAAATGACAAGCTGAATTATACAGATGTTTTGATTGGTTCTTACTTATGATCAAATGCATAGCTGATGTCACCATTAACAACATTTCACTTTTTTTACTAAATAAAACATTAAGATTCCATGTTGCCATGGGTCTGTGCAGCAACAGATTACAGAAGACATCAAAATGTGGCACAATCCCCTGTGCCTCATGTAACAATTTTTTAGTTGTTACACCATTTTTACATCATATGTGATCTATCACTGAACAAGACACATTTTTATATTTATTAAATATAGACAAATGTAAAATCCACAGATTCACTTCAATTTACATTTTTGTCATCATTTTATTGAAAATTATAAAAAGATATTCTGTGGGATGGAAATTCCTATAAAAGGCAACACTTGAAGTGAAACAGTTTCCTTATTGCCAAAGGCCATCGAAATATCAACACAAAAAACTGTTTAACAAACAGAAGCACTTCGTATCTTGTATCTTTCAAGTCGTACCTTACTGTCATTAATGTAGTTGAGACAAATAAAAGCATTTATTGACATATTGGGTATAGCTGGATATTTTGAATATTTTACAACTGTTCAACAGTAAATAGGCTTACCTAACTTACTGCGTAAAGCTTCGAGGTATTCCTTTTCGAACAATTTTCTCTCTTCCCAAATTTTTATAACTCTTTCCACGCTTCCTTTAATAGAACTCTCGCTGAAAGAAAATTTTTTTAAAAAATTGAGACCCAAGATGATCTTTCGCGCACCTGCATTAAACATCCGTATAATGTGATGATTAAGAACACAAACAATCCATTTGCACGAACCTCAGAAGAACCATAGCCTCTTTCAGAATCTTCGTAAATGCATTGCTGAACTCTTTGCCCTTCTTGCGGCTGTTTTGAAGAACATCATTCACCAAATAAAACAAAACCAATCGGCGATCAGCTTTTGAAGCTGCAACGAAACAAAACATCGTTTGGCAAGTGACCCTGTGAGCAGCTGGTCAGAGAATCGTGGAGGGTTAATTTGAAATGCCATTGCCCACGAACGTAAATTTAAAATTAGTAAGCTAGATCAAAGTGAACATCTTTGTCGAAAGAATACCTCTTCTGAGCTGGTCCAACCACACATTCGCCATATCGCTGGCATTCTTTTTGTGATGAATCATCCACAAGGAAACTGTTTGCACACTGTCCTGCGCGGACGACATATTTTGCAGCTTGCGTTCAAACGCTTTTTGATTAAGAAGCGCCATGTTGCTGCTGGTAAATGATGGGACGTTAAGCATGCGCTGAAACGGAAGCCGCTGATAAGTTTGGTTGTGCATTGGTCCTTTGTGGAGAGGTGCTAATCCCTGGACGTCAAAAATACCCCTCGTTACCAGATCTCCATTTCCGCTTTTTGGTGCACGGCGGTATCAGAGTGAATCAATCATACCGCAGAAGCTAAGGGAAATGCATGCATAGGCAAGGAAAAAAGCTTCGAATAAGTGGATTGTTTAAACACAACCACGTTTTAATCACATGCCAACCACTCCTTAAGGAGCCATTTTGAAAAAAAAACCATGAGACACATGACTAACCTGTGACCTCATCTTAGGACGGGTTATTAAGATGGCAGACAGTAAGATGGAACGAAGTTGCGCAAATTCCTCTACTGAAGAGAAAATGGGGAAATCCTTTGATCCAACTGAATACCAACATACAAGATTTAATCCTCTTCGTGATGATTGGGTTCTCGTGTCTCCTCACCGAATGAAAAGACCGTGGAAAGGTCAAGTCGAAAAACCTCAAGAGGAGGAGATTCCTCGCTGGGACCCCAAGAATCCATTATGTCCAAGAACAGTACGTGCTAGTGGAAAGGTAAGCATTGACATTGGAAAACTCAGAAGTCATACACTTACTGTGAGAAGAATACTGGAATGACTCTGATCTCTCTTTACTCAGAGAACATGTACAGGAGCGAGAATCATCAGGAATCCACCCCTCCCCTCTTCTCCCCTCCCCTTCTAAGAGAGTTGTAAAGTGGGTCTCCTGATCCGGTCCCACGTGCGAATTTTAGAAAAATTCATGGTTTAGGTATATTTTAAACAGCATTCAGGTGTCACAAATTTCAAAGGAAAACCTCTTATTATTACTGAACTCTTTTACCTGATATCCTCAGACTAAGGGAGAACAATGCAAAGAGGAAACTCTCACATCAAATTTGTAATTCTCCTTACTGCCAACAATATAATTCTTATAATGTTAGTTCAGAGAATTTAGTATTGGATCAACTAATTATCCCCAAATTGATCTTTTTCTTTATTCTCATTACTTATCTGGTTGATATTATATAGATGATGTAAGGAAAAATTCTGTTTTGGTCACTAATGGGAGTCAAAGGGTTAACCTTTCAAAAATTGCATGAAATGTGTTGTATATCTGACTAAATAGGCTGCCATTCAAAATATTGCTCAGCAAGTTGACCTCTTACTTGCGAGATAGCAAAAGGCCACCCCTCTTTCTTCCATCCCCCAGCAATCTGTTGAACAATTAGGAGCTACGCAAAAAGACATTCTTGACTTGAACCCTGTAACCCCTGAGAGTGACAAGCATCTAATTTCTCCTTACAATATCACCCCTTGAATCACACATTAAGGTCACAAGAATAAAGGAAATTATCACTTTTAAAATAAGTTCTCAAATGTGGAACGAATTCTCCTTGTCAGCACCTTAGGAAACATATACAGAACAGTATAGAGAATAGGTATGCTGATGGTAGGCTGTGAAGGGTAAATGAGGTTTTAATTTTCATGAATGACCAGAGTATTTTTTGAAATGTGCATTGCTAAGTTGTTTCAAAATGGCAGTGTCTTCTGTAGCATTTGTAACACATTTTAAGACAGAGTCAAAACAATCAGATGGCTCTTTGCAATCTAAATAAATATTGTAATGGATATTTTTCATTGGTGGAGATGAGCTATATGGCTGTGGGGCATGCTATTCCTTAACCCTTTAAATCCCAAGATCCCACCGGTAATTCTCCTTAAAGTTTATGTACCTCACAATTCTTATCTTTGAAGAGTTTGGTTGTGGATCAACTAATAATCCCTTAATTGATTTGATAATTTCTTTATTTTTCATCACTTGCCTGCTTGATATTGTATCAAGAGAAATTATAAGGAGAAACTCTGTCCTAGTCACTTATAGGGTTGAAGGGTTAATATGAAAAAATTAACAGTGATGAAAATCAGGCCTCTTCAGGGAAAAGTGTTTTTTCTTCCCCCTTTTGAAATTTTAATTTACAATTAATTGTTTGCTCTTTATTTTTGAAAGGAAAATCCAGACTATGAAAGCACCTATGTGTTTGAAAATGACTTCCCTGCCCTGTTACAAGAGGAAGCACCTGCACCAGGTAAAGTAAATGCTGCGTATGGTAATTCAGACATCATTTTGTGGTAGTGGCTAAATGAGACTTGCAGGAAAGAGTTACAATCTATTTCAGTTTTCAGGAAAACATCAGGTATAATTTACCTCACCCAATCCCCCTACCCCCTTAGCTAAAAGACATAAACTAATCAAGTAGTTATATGTGATCCTCTTTGTGAAAGAATTTTGAAGAAAAGACTGAAGTAAAAAACAGACTGAATAAAGGGGGTAAGTTTCTAAACAAACTGTGGTGCTGCATCGGTGGGAGAGTATTACAGGGTAATTTATCAATTGAGTTGATAATGTAAATTGCCACTGTAAAGAGTTTCAAAGCTGATGTTTCGAGTGTTAGTCCTTCATCAGAAGGAATGACAGAGGCCATTCCCCTTGAAACATCAGCTTTGAAACTCTTTACAGAGGCTAATTTATGTAAGAAACAGATAGGTCTGATTATAGGCAATTGGTGATCTGCTGAAGTACAGTCAAATCTAAAATGGCTCTTTTTTTTACTAGGTCCTTCTGCTCACCCCTTACTGAAATGTGAACCAGCTCAAGGAACATGGTAGGAGAAATTAAATTTTTATCGTATTTTTTCCTTCAAAGGGAGACCCAACCAATGAAAAGATCAAATTATAGTGAAGAGTGAGGTATTCTGTAAAATGACAAGTTGATCTATGTTTGCTGGTCCTCTGTGTTGTTTTGTTTAGTAGAGTGATGTGCTTCCATCCATGGTCTGATGTTACTCTTCCTCTTATGTCTATTGATGAAATCTTGGAAGTTATTAGAGAATGGATCAGACAGTACCAGGAATTGAGTAAAACCTACCGCTGGGTTCAGGTAAAAATCTTGTGAGCAATTTGAATTTAAGAATTATTTTTTAAAGGAAACCCTATTATCAAAATTGATCTTTAAAATTAAGATTTTTCATATTCCTCAAGAATGATTTAATTAGTCCAATGACCCCATGCTTGGCAGCTGGGTGTTGATTGATGTTTTCTTACAATTCAATCACTTGTCTTGTTCACTCAGTCAAGTATTTATTTACTTTCCCTTGCTCCTTCCCTGGGGAGGTTTTTTTGAGTCCTCAGGGCTTTTTGGTTTGTTCATTAAAGAAGGCCAAACAGCATTACTTGTTGGTTTTCTTGTTTTTGAGGTTTGCAAGGAGAGAAGATAAAAATGAAGGGCACCTATTTTGAAATTGAAATTTTACACACATCACTAAGGCGGATCCTATCAATAACATTTTACAGTTGACCCAATTGACCTTAAAACTTTTGTAATCAAAAGAGGTACTTTTTATGACAATAGTGAAAACCATGTGACATCATACAACCCAAAAAGGCACCTACCTAGTTATCCATATATGCCTTATACTATCCATTATATTTAATTTATTGATTTTTATATAATATAATTTGAGAGTTTTAAATGGTAATTTAGCAAAAACAGCACAATTTGTCCAAGATCTTTAATAAGCCAATGGTTCATTAACTGCAAGGTGTTGTTTGCTTTAGATATTTGAGAACAAAGGTGCTGTTATGGGATGTTCTAATCCTCATCCACATTGCCAGGCAAGTTGTCTTTTACCAAGTCTTCATTTGTTTGCATGCATTTTAAAACCCCACTTTGGAGATACTGGATTTCCCCGAATAAGTGCCCACCTCAAAGGCCAAAATGTCAAACAAGTGTCCCTTCAAATAAGTGCCCCCAACCCCTCCCTCACTTTTTTTATTATTTTTTTTTAATAGTTAGCATACAAGGAAACACCTGTTTCTATGGCCACTTTATTTATGACCTTTTAAGCTTCAACTACAGCAGAGTTAGTACGGGAGATTTATATGCGTGCCCCTTAATTAAGCACCTCCTTCTAGCAAGCACCCCTGTCTTTAACTCAAACTTTTGAATAAATGCCTGAAGATTCATTGGAGGAGAAACTGTACTCAGGAAATGTACTCAGGTACGATATTGACAGGATACTTTGGTTTTATCATCTGAGTTAATGAAGTAAATTGGCCATCGTAGAGAGATTCTGAAGCAGAAATTTCAAGCATTAGCCCTTCCTCAGAGCAGAGGGCTAATGCTCAATATGTCAGCGTTGGAACCTCTCTATGGTGGCCAATTTACTTTATTGAATCAGTTAATGAATCTAAATTATCTTGACTCATTATACCCCTACTGACACAGCACCACAGTTTCTTCAGGTAACCTCTCTTGTTTACACCTACATATCAAAAAACAAGTGAAGTCACGAAAAACTGTTTCACTAATGGTGGGCATGCAAGACAAGTTTTTTAATCTGTCACTCTTATTAGAATTAATAATGGTGAATTCATTGAAAAATTTTAAAAATCAGAAATGCTCCATCCAAGTAAGGTATTGTACTTTCTGTTGGTTTACAGTAAGCTAAAGCTGTCAGTAAGCTAAAGAAGAAAATACTTTTGTAGTCCTCTCATTATTCCACTTGGTCACATACAGTGTAAAGAGCTATTTCCATGATAAAGATACATCCTGTTACTTAAAAATGGGATGCTAAATTTAATGCAAGGGAAGGCTTTTTTTATCATTTGTAACATCCTATCCATTTTTTCAATGCAGATCTGGGCAAGTTCCTTTCTGCCAAATGAAGCAGCAATAAAGGTAAAATTTATTTTGAAAAAATTGTGCCATATGTGTGTAGATTTAAAGGAAAGATGTGTCATTAGTATTGTACTGTAAGAACATTCATTTTTACATCTACTAGAGGGTGTTTACAAGTAATTAATGATGTTGAATGATGCATCTTATAGCATCATATTGCTGAAAATCAAGAAATTTCTTGTAGGAGATACTAATGGTGATTTTTAATTTAAAAGAAGTGTTTTAGGAGCAATTGCTTCTTTGTCACCCCCGGGAATGTAAAGTTTCACCAAATTTCTACTATGCTTTCTCCTTAAATGCTTGAGATGGCCCTTTACTTGATGGTAGCAGGATTCATAATTGCAATACATATTTGCAGTCTGCCAATCTGGAGCAATCTTGGTACACCTTATTGCTTTAAGTTGTACGACAAAGTGTATAAGCAAGATTTCAATGTATATGTCAATGGTTATTTTGAATCTTGATTTGTTTTGTTTTTGTTTTTTTGTTTATGGCAGCATCGGACACAACGAGAATATCTAGAGAAACATAAAATACCAATGCTAGTTGAGTATGCAAGACTGGAGGCGGAACAGAAGGTTTGTTTTTCATTTTAAACCTGTGTCTTTCATGGTCAGTATGGATGAGAAGGATAAGCCAAGCATTTTTGAAGTTAACTTATAAAAAAAAATTGTGCACAGGTTTGAAAACTGAGATAAATGGTAGTATTTATAATACCACATCTTAAGGGCATTAGGTCACAGGAGAAGGAGTATTATTTTTGCTTAATTTTATCATCCAGTTCTTCACTAAATCAAATTAGATGTGGAATGCAGTTATGGAACAATATGTGATGCTCTTTTGTGTAAAATTTTGTGCCATTAAATGTGAAAGACAAAATTTTTTTGAAAAGAATCTTTTGACTCTGATTTCTTTGTACCAAATAGATTCCATGTTGTCATGAGTCTGTTCTGTATCAGGTAATTAGTGTTAACAACTGGGTTGAAAACATAAATTAGCCACCGTAAAGGGTAAAAAAGCTTTAGCCTTTTTTACCCTTTACAGTGGCTAATTTACGTTTTTCAACCCATTTGTTAACACTAAATTACCTGCTATACTCTCCCACCAACACAGCACCACAGTTTCTTTAGAAACTTACCCCTTTGTTCTGTATCAGGTCACAGATAATGTCAAAATAGGGTAAGAACAAAAAGGTGACACACAAGGCACAGCCAAGTGTGTCACAGGTGTTCTTAACACATTTTTGACTTCTTTTGTGATCTATTACTGTGCAAAAATTATTTAAGTGGTTACGCTTATTTGCACTGTGGCTTCCAATTTAGGTCCGTATTGTTGTGGAAAATAGTGACTGGATTGTAGTGGTTCCTTATTGGTATGTAATGTACTCTTTCTTGATATATTTGCAAACACAAGGCTTTTGACATTACTCGACCTATGTTTCCTTTACTGGTTGCCTTTACTGTCAATGACTTAGAATTTTCTTTCAAAGTTGATGTGCAGCATTTGGTATTAAATTTAATGAATATTATTCACTTTACAGGGCAACTTGGCCTTATGAAGTTCTGCTGCTTCCAAGAAGACATGTTCAAAGATTATCAGATCTCACAGAAGAGGAGCAGAAAAGTAAATTTAATTTCTAGATACTTTATTTTGGATAGACTTTGTAGATTGTGTTTAAAAGTCACTAAAGATCACATTCAGATTGTGTTCTTTTTATTAGCTGAAAAGGGTTACTGATCACACCCAAAAGGTTTTTGTATAGATATGGGGTTACACATTTTCTTTTGAAATTCAGAAAAATTTTAAATTGTTTGCTACTTTTTGTTACAGATCTTGCTGATATAATGAAGAGACTACTGACCAAATATGACAATCTTTTTGAAGTTTCTTTTCCTTACTCTATGGGGTGGCATGGTATGTATACTATCAAGCGTTGAACCTTTTCCAATCTCTGGATACCTTTAGTCTTCTTTTACAGTGATGGTTTGGTCTTGTCGTGCAACATATTCTCTTCCCCATCAAAAGCTGCTTCAATTAGAACAAAATTCCTTTTCTTTTGTAATGAGTGTCTGTAGATATGAGGTATGACTCTTCATGCTTTTCACCAATCACTTATCAAGGTTAAGCTTAAGTTTAAGTTTCCTGTGCAGAATTGTCTGCACTTTAGTCAGAAGTTGTTCAATATGTACCTAGAAATCAGCTGACACAAATAGCTCTAGTTGCTTTTTCTGTTGGTCCATTATTTTTGCTTATATTAGGATGTTAGTTAAATCATTAATTTATTCCTTGTTGCAAACAGGGGTAACTACTCAAATATCCTTTTAAATTGTTTGTTTCAAGAGGCACATACTATCAGGGTTGGTTGAAAATTATTGATCAATATCAGTATCCCAGCAACCATGCATCTACCTCTCCCTTAACCCAACAAAAATCTACTGATAACAAGTTAGGGTTAATGTCAAAATTATTTAATGAAACCACCATTATATACTTGGAAAAGAAGAAGAGAAAAGGCTTGATGGTCTTGTGTTTGGTCCTTGAAGAACAAAGTAAAAAGAAGCAAGGAAGAAATAGAAAGAGCAGTGGTCATATCAGAAAATGCCTGTTGATAAGAAAATATGAAAGCCTGACATCTTCCCTTCTGGCCTCTAACCCAGTTAATTAGTACTTACTGTTCCACCCTAACAGGTGCACCAACTGGTAAACAAGACACAGATTGTAGGTGAGACTTGTTGGATAAGATTTTCTCTGATTGCTGATAACCAGCAGAAAAGCCCCTCCTGGACAGAACAGGTCTTGAAGAAGAGGGGCCATAAAGTTTTTTATTATTCGATCTCTTTTTCTATGACATTTTACCTACTCATCTTTTGTAAGTCAAATGAATGCAAGTTTTAGTAAGGAGCCTGATTATCTCAGAAGATGGCATAGACTTCTGCAGAAATTCAAAAACCCTCCTGATATATACAAGTATCCCTTAAAATTCTGACAGTCTTGTGTGTTATTCCCTTGAAAATCAACCATTTGGGAAGAAGAATGATTCTTTACAAAGTTTCCTCTCTTATTGGACTAGTTTCCATCAGATTTTTACTCTATGTATTTCTCTAGCATGTGTCAATCAAGACTTTTCAAAGGCATTAGTTTTGGCAGGTATAGGGCTTCTAAGACTTTCATGTCAATAGAACATCTACCTTAGTAGATCGTAAGAACATTTTTGCAGCTTCTCTTAACTTGCGAAAAGGGTATCCTGCTCTATTTTAAAAAGAAATCACCACCTTCACAATGAATGGTATAAATGAAGATGGTGATAATTGTTATCATCATCATTATCATTATCAATTGTTATTATAGTCATTATGATTGTTGTTTTTTCATTCTTCATTGGTAAGATTTATATAGAAGTCAGTGACCAGTAACAATTTTTCTTTTTATGAAAAATTAGTTTTAACTATTCCATTTTGATCTGATTGCAGTCACTGGCAGTTACATGCACATTACTACCCTCCTTTGCTTCGTTCAGCCACGGTGAGACTTGTTCCAATGTCATTTCAATTGGCCATCACAGGGGTGGATCTAGGAGAGGAATGCAGAGGGTGCACACCCCCCCCCATCAAGCTGACATGTGGCTTTTTAATACAACTTTAAGTTGTTATAATCTGTTGTATTGTCTGGTATATATGTTCTCAACAGTTCACATTCTGTCACAGCTTAGTCATAAGCCTTCCTCTTGGTTGTTCATTTATAATCCTGGATCTGCCCAAATTTCTTGACTGTATGTTTTCAGACTGAATTGAACTCAAGTGGTCCTAATGGTACTTTATACAATGGCTGTAGCTCTTAAAACAAATAATTTGTAAATGGCTGTCTGAAACCAAGCTGTGCTGTGTAGCTTTCAATCTAACTTACCTACAGATTGTTTGGTTTTGATTTTCTTTTATTATTGTTGATCTTTTTTCAAGACAAATCTTCATATACAAAATGTCTAATGTCTCTTGCAGGTTAAAAAATTCATGGTTGGCTATGAAATGTTAGCTCAGAGTCAAAGAGACCTGACTGCAGAGCAGGTAATTGATACAAAGTTTACCCACAGAACTGTAATAGTTAGGTGCAAGATAAAGTGGCACAATATAACAAAGCATCTTACTGTGTTACTACCTGATGTGTTTTTAGGCTTTTAATATATGCAGTCATGCTTGGTCATAATATCTCAAAGAAGTGATGCCTGATTCACTGTCCTGCAATTTCAAATAGCATGTAATGTTGACACACTTATCCCTCTTGGTTAGCTCATGTTGCAGAGGGCAGAAGTGCCTTGCAAGAGGTGGAGGATTCAAGCCTCACAGCAGACAACACTCTTAATGTGCTGCCTTTGCTATGACATTTGTAAATGGTTATAGACATTCCCTATATTAGTCTTTTCAACTAAGGATGATAATCTCTAGGCCTGTTTCCTGCACCTTCTCTGTACTGGTTAGTAGGGGACATTGCAAAACCCATGCGCTTGTGGTCTGGCCTTGTTATTGTTCATTCAGACCCTTATTTAAATCAGCTGTAAAGCTGAACTGGGTTAGCATGTCTAAATATCACAAATAGGTTAGTAAAAAATACCCTTGGCCTTGCTTGTCTCTTTGAATTCTTGTTAGGAGGGTGTTTGACTTTTGGTTTACTTTTATTCACAGGCAGCAGAGAAGCTTAGAAATCTTTCTGAAATTCACTACAAGGTAAACTGACAGAGAATAACTTTGTCTTTTTTCTTATATTCTTACCTCATGTCTTGCACCTGAAGTGCTTTCAGCATTGTTATTGGGTAGTGCATTGTGGAAATTATCAATTTATTGGTTATTGTACTTGTAATTTTCCTTCATTCCTTATTCTTATCACAGCAACTGATTAGACATTTATTTATTCATTTAAACAGAATAGATGATATGCCAAAGGAGTGGTGATGAAAATGATTTGATGCAGTCATAACTCACTGCATAAAATTGATACTCGAAGTTTACAAGAAACTTCCAGTATACTGGAGTTTTGTGGTGACTGAAATGAGTTTTGAACCTTAATTAATTATGAACCTTTAGCCCTTAGGAGTAGATTTTTTTCCAAATTTAAATGCACTTATAGGGTCATCAATAAAATTGTTTTTGATGCTCCATGTATTGAAGTCTTTTTGTTTGTGAAGTAAGTTTCTGAACATTTAATATCATTTTTGTGAAGTAAATTTAAAAATTTTTTTAATAATAAAATGGAAGAATGAATGCACACTTTGTAAGGTGTGTGTCACCACTGAGTGGAAAACATAGACTGAAATCACATCATTGTTTATAACCCACCCATTAATTTTTGCACAATTTTATTGGCTACTTTAAATCATGTGGTGCAAAATTACAGGACAGTCATAAGGCAATAACCCATAACTCTGTTTAAAATGAAACGCAGCCAACCCAAAAAAAGCCAGCTCAAGATTTTCATCTTCTTATCTCTGTTATCATTTTGTAGAGTCAAAGTTCCCTTCTCTGCCCTTCTTTGTCCTTATCACTTGATGTAATAGAACTAACTCAGAAGCTAGTTTAAGCTGGAATGATATAATTATTATTTGCCTGCACTGCAACCCAGGGACATACACTCAGTTTCTGAGCAGCTTAAGTGGAATAGTCCTTGAGCAGATGGGTAAATCTTCATGTTAGTTCAGGCACTGAGATCAAACTTATACTCAAGTGAAAACAGATGGGTTGCAGAACCTTGAGGGAACTGTAGAGTAATCAAGGTTAAGGCAAGAATTCTCCGCAAATGATGCAGTTATGTAAATAATTATGCTTTTGTTGAGCACAATATGATAAAAAAGGTGTTTTTGCACACCAGAATTACTAAGAGGACTTCATCACTGTCAAAGAACCCTTAAAGCCAGAAATCAAATTGAAAAACAAACAAAAAGACAAGAAAACTGCATGTATCAATTAACTTGTAATCAATTAAGTTGCTCTTTCATCTTTTGGTACCAGTTTGAATTGTTTTGTAAGTATCAATTCAATGATAAGCAGTGAGGGTTGCAATAGGTCTTCTCAGGAATTTTGCAGATGCTCAACTACCTTGTTGCTAGCAGGCACTTAAAAGATGAAACTGTATTATGATGAAAATAGCTGTTAATTGGCTGTTGTAATCCAACTGGGGAATGATAAATTTCTAAGGACCACTTCCACAGAGCTGCAACCCATTTTTTTTAAGAAGGGTAGGGCTTTTCCAAGAAGTCTGAAGACTCTTTCTTTCATTTTTTTTTTTTTCAAACAAGTGTGAAAGAACAAAACAGAATTACATTCTCAAGTAAATAAACTCATTTCCTCAAGAAGGGTCTTGCACTTTGCCTCATTTTGAAAGATAAGGTTTTTGGACAGCAGAAAAGGGAAATTAAAACACTATGATTAACTTTGAACACGCAAAGGATTCACCATGTTAATTTATTTATTGACATAGATACACTACAAACATGAAGGTAAGTGCGTGTCTTTTCAGACTGTTGTTCCAGTAGAGCAGTGTCTACACATGACAAGGCAATTGAAGCTTTTTCAATTTCCTGATTGCTGTAGGAATGGGAAGAAGTGGATCAGGGACATCACTACAATTATCTCACACTTTAAAACCATGGCTAACAGATACCCTCATGCAACACACATCACTCAAGACAGTTATCAAATAATATTACAAAAGAGGAAACTTTACGGCTTTTCCAAGCTTTTTAAGCCAGGCAAGTTCTTGAAGCACATTTTTGCCATAGGAAAGGGTCTCTTTATGTTACACAGTACAAAATATACATCGTGACAAAGGTCCTGCCCTTAGTCACAGGCATCACGTTTCTTCATTTCCCGAGTCTCCACTATATTCCATACAATCATCATCATCATCATCATCCACATCATCTGCATAGTCGTCATCGTAGAAATCTGTCAAGTCCTCAGGTTCAGAATGTGATGGTCTGGATTTTATACAGTACTCTTCAACAGTTGTTGGCACTGTTATGTTTTCTTTTTCTGCCTCAACTTTGGAACGCGCTACTTGTTTTCTAAGATGTGAAAAATGCACCATTTTTTTAATTACTAGTTTTCAAATTCCTTCCTTTGCCTTTTCCTTTACAAGTTGCATCAGAGAACTTTCTTAATAAAAATGTTGCAAGTTATAAAGTAGTAGAACTTGATACAAGAATTCTACTTTTTCAGCAAAGTTCATCACACAAGTCAAAGAAAAATCAGTGAAAAAAAATATTGTTAGCATGCCTCACAGAACCCTAGCAGTGAGGCACATGTGAGCATGAACATCAATTTTTTCACTGATTTTTGCCTTAGCTGCTTCACGAACTTCACTGAAAAGCAAGGCCTGTTTTAAGTTTCCAACAACCCCCTTTATCAAAAAGATCTTCCATTAAAAAAGTGCTCTGAACTCCAGCTTTTTATCTCTGTGTTCTTTAAGCCTACAGCATGTTTTTCTCCAAAGTTTTTCTGTTCATTTCTGGCACGCATGTACATTTAAAAGAGAGAAAAGAACAGCCAGCTTACTTGACAATCCTTTCATACTCTCCATCCTTTCCTTTTGAGTCTCTCCATTTTCTGAACATAACTGAAGCATCCACATTTGCAGGAGAAAATGTGTTTGGCTCATTTAACAATGAGATCACACTCAAGAGAATGGTTCTATAATCACACAAAAATAATGATTACACTTTGATTGGAAGCTTTCACAATTCACTACTGTACACATATTTTTCCATATCTCGCAGAGAGTACATAGAGCAAGAGTCCCAGATTCCCAACATATACCAAATAGGTACCAAGACAGTGGTACCACTGTCAGAGCCTGGTTGATATTCTGGAATGGGAGGGGGGGACTAAAAAAACAAACACAGCATGAGTTTCCAAAGGAATTGGGGTTGTTTCTAGGAAAATAAATTCAAATCTTCAGGTTCACAAATGCTTTTCACTGGTAGACTGGGAGTTATAGCCTATACTTCTTCCAATGTACTCTCAGGATTGAGCAAAAAATAATTTTTCTTTAAAACAAAATACACTCCAACACAGGGGGGTCCAACACAGGTTTGGAGGGATACAGGATGTGGGATACAAAAAAAAATTAAAGGCAAGATGAAAATAGGAAGGTGAGACCAGGATATGCTCTGTTTTGAAGGCGGAATAGGGAATAGGATAGATATGGGCAGGATCATGATTCAGCTCAAGTTACATGTCACATGACCTCCTAGATATTAGAGAGTATTATTTGCTTTAGAAACCAGCTTAATAATGCTTCTGTATAAATTGGAATTGACAGACCTAAATGACTCTGTAATACCTCAAGTTTTCTCTATGTTAGTTACAAATGTTTACACATCTCCATAGTATGTCTGGTTGTCAAGAACTCACTCCCTGTTGAATTTTTCACCCTTATATATATATATATATATATATAGAGGTGTCTAAGAAAGTAGCTTTTGAAACAGATATTTCAGCCATAAATTTGATTGTTAGTTGTGTTTATTTGCTTGTTCAATGAACTGGTTGACAACATATCTGTTGGTGTCCAAGAGAGAGGTTACCCTGTCCGTGTAGCATTTCTAATCGAGCAGTTTGTTAGCACCTTTACTTAAGATAAGCTCATAATGTCCATTAAAACCGGTATCACTATTTTTGGGAAGCTTTGTTTTTCGATGAAGTTGATGATATCTGTTGTATCTTTGAGAAATGAGTTGTTTTATTGTGCAATCAGCTGAAGAATTTTATCTGTGTAACAGTACAGCCTTTCAATTTCATTGGTGGATTTTTGTGTCTCACTCATTAATACCATAAACATACAGAGGAATGACCATTTTTTAAGCCATAATGAGAGTACGTTATCATCATTGAAAAGGCTATAATTTGTCCATTAGTTGGTGATGAACTTGAACAACTTGGGTTTAACCAGGTGGGATCAAGATGAAAATGTTCATTCCATGGGATGACAGGATGGAATGAAAAATAGCAGAGGGATTTGGGATTGGAAAAGTCTATTTTGGACCCTATAAGCAGAAAGGTGATATGAAAAGATAAAAAATACATGATATATTTTTATTTCACTTGAATTCTCAGATAAAACAGATTAAGAAATAGTTTGCTAGGGCTACCATTAGAACCAGGAAGGCAACAGAAACACTTTTTGCACCTGATACTTGGAGAATTGTTGTCAAAGACAGACTGAAGTATTTTTGAACAGACTCCAACATCTATGTTTGGCTGACAAAAGTTACTCAAATTTTCCAGAATAATAAAAACATGTCTCAGAGAATTTCAAATTTTCAAATTACTGCCATGTGTGTAATGCAAGCATAATTTAATTCAGCCAACTACTCAGTCCAGATCATATTCCTTTAACATTTTCTAATAATGACCAGACTGACAGTGCTGTGAATCGATTCTTGGATCTTGGGAACAAAAAGGTTAAATAGGAGAAAAGATGGATTATTTTTGAATTTTTGAGCACCTGTTTCTTGGCACCCCTGAATAGTTTGAAACAGATATGAGTTCCCTTCCATGCTCAAATTCAAATTATATTCCAAATTTTGTAAATCTCCTCATAACTTGAAGCAATTTCCTTTTTGTTCCATTCTTACTGGTGTATAAACTTATGAGGTGAGTTTCAGATTGAGGAATGACAATCATATCCTTTCAGTAAGAGGCAAGAGTTGATGAGGATTTAGTTCTCCAGAGTCAGCATTACTGTATCAAGCTATTAATTAATACCAAACCGCTTGACACCATTATTTTTAACAGATTTAAACATTTCAAACTTTTTCTCAACATATTTGGGAAAGTGTTAGCTCTTAAACTGAAAAAATTTCTTCACTTAGATCATGTCTGGTGGATTTAACACTACTTTACAGTATTCAAGATTGCAAGCAGGTATTGAGGTAAACATCATTTAAAGGAATTAAAATATTTATCAGAAACTGTAACAGGAACACTTATTTCTGGCTACGCTCTTGATAGTGTAAAATTCTGTCATACTTCACAATACGTTACCAGCAACCAACAGAATTGATAAAAATCCAGAAACGTTGTTTCATCCAAAAAACTGGTACTATACACATCTGCCTTTGCGATCTCGTTTGGATTGGATATTTTTGTTAAGTTGTGATAAATTGGCTAAAAACCAAATGTACAGTCACAAAGAAAAGCTTGGGTGTTTTTTTTTTTCCTTGACTGTAATTATGAATTGGACAAAACCACAACGCCTGCTTCAAACTAACCACGTTTCCATCGTGTGACAAGGAAAACATGCCGACAAACAACAGTAAAGAAACGTCATGGCTATTCGAGCGACATTGGAAGCGAAATCTTTTCTGGTCAACTTTTGATTCTAAAAACAGCTTTTGGCAAGAGGTGAAAAGAATAAAATTTGAAGCTATCAAAGCAATCCAATATATAGGAGAATCTTAGGGAGCCAAAACGAGCATAGCGGACAATTCAACCTCACTATGAAAGTAAAATGAGGTCGCATTTGGAGGAAATTGTTCAGACACTGGATAGATTCCTAAAAAGTAAGCTTCAATAGAAGTTTGATTTTGATTGATGGACAGAATAAGGGAACAGAAAACGAAACTTTTCATTGATACGTACCTAACATTCTGCGTTGGGTTCCAACGTTCAGAAGGCAATTCTCCACTTTGTGGATCATCGACCGGTGGATGTAAAATTGAAATGCAGACATCACCGGACTATAAAAGCGACAGCAATCATTAGCTGCTAGAATATGAGAAGTAAAAAAAATCGTACTGGATGGCTCAAAAACACCAGAACGACGCCTCACCTCGTATATATTAGGGTGCCACATTTTCGTGAGGAAGCGAAACGTCGGTGGCGAATATGGATATGTAGAAGGGAACGACATATGTGCCTAACGCAAAATAAGACATACCAAAAAAAATTAATATGTTAGCCAAATTTGACTTTCGTAATGAAATAAATGTGTTATGTTCGATCAGAGACTTACTTTGAAGTATCCACCTTCATAGAGAGTTCCAGGAGGACCAAAAATCGCTACGTCCCATTCGAATAAGTTCTCATCATCTGGTACATTGACGAAAAAACCTTCGACTGGTTCCTCGGTAAGTTTCTTCAACTCTAGCTGTAACGCTCGCACAGCCGATGATGGTGGTTGCGCCGCCATTTGCCCTATTCGATTCTCTCTTTCAATCACAAATTTTAAACTCGAACGGGCCTTGATTTCGACACTAAATAAGTGAGCTTTTCCACCGCATTGAGATCATTAGCCCTCTTCCCTAAAGAAGTTTTGTTGTGTATTTACCAGTCCCAGGCTCCCAGCTTCAATTAGACGTCACAGAAAACATCCATATATGGCACGACTTTGGCACGACCGATGAATGACCGGAACCGGAAGTAGTCGGAAACTGATATAGCGGAAATGCTAAATGCTCTGCTATTGTGTGCAAAAGACAATGCTGTTTTCCAAACCATATCAGTAACTATTTCTTCTAGTTGCATCATACGCAAGACACCAAGTGGGCTTTTACCTTCGTCGAGAAGTTAAACCTGCCTATAAAAATGGCTAGAGAGTATAGTTTATCGCATGTAATAATTCGTGGTACTCAGTACTAATCGTCCACTTTATCGGCTCCTCAAGGCCAACGGTACTGCTCGATTTTGTCACCAATTTGGTCTGAAGTTGAGTGAGTTTTTAGGGGAACTATAAAGTCTTGTTTTGAATGAGACATGCCTGTTTAAAAAGACAAATCTATGAAATTTCTACGTACAGCAGACCTTTTGGTTTTGTGGTAAAAGAAAGGTAAAATGTTTCAGTTTGGGTTTAACACTATAAATGAAGATTGGGGTTTTGACTGATTTAAGCGTCTATGATGTCATAACCACCATGAATGATATTTAAGTAATACGCGTGATAGTTAGATTCTAGCGGATTTTTGTGATATTATAGATACCTTCTAATATCAATTTCGGTTTGAGATGATGGTGAGCTTTATTTTTTGTTTTGATGTCTGGTGACATTAAATGTCTAAATCTGTTGAGTGACAGGGTTTGAACAATGTCATAAATAAAGGCTTTGGTTTATTCGATGGGTGACGCAGTGAAAGATCAAGCAATTACGGCCATCAATAATATAAATTGGTAGTCATTGATGTATATATCCAGTGTGTCCAGAAGATAAGAATATGGCCTGGCCCCGTTTGCTAAGGACGTCTCATATATAATGCATGGGGAGTAAACAGAACTGATAGGCCTGACCTGGCTCCCAGTACGATATGTGGTGTAACAAAAATAGAAAGTCTCCAACTCAGAGCAACAAAATTCATCTTAAGTACGCACTGGCAAGAGGATATTTCTTATCATGAGCGCCTTTCTCGCCTCAATCTGTTACTGTTAACATACTGGCATTAGGTGAAATACTTAATTTTTTATTTCAAGTATCGCGCTGGCCACTTCACCTTACCCAGAGATGATCAGTTACGGCAAGCCTAAAGGCACCTACCTCACTCGCCATAGCTCTGATCAAGACGTATTTATCCCGAAGTGCCGCACAAAGCTCTTTCAATTTAGTTACTTCAACCGTACTGCTTAACTCTGGAATACGTTACTCGAATCCACTCCTACTCTTACTTCTCTCGATCAGTTTAAATCCCACATACTCCAACGCTATTCTGCTGCTTTTCGTACAAACTATGACGTCACTAACTTTAACACCTGGATCTGCTGCACCGTAAGCTGGGAACTGCTGGTACTGAGTCTTATTGGCTACGGGAGCGATTCGTGCTTATCGTTTTCTGGAAATAGGATTTTTATACCTCTTATGATGTTTTTAATGTTTACATAGTTAGCATTTGTGAATTTTCTTCAGGGCACTTAATTTGGAGCCTCGCTCTGTTGTGTGTCCCGCACCTCCGTCTTGTGACCTCTTAAAATGTATTTCTTCTACCTAGTCTTATTTTAGCATTGTGGTCATGGTGAAAGCGATTGTATAAGGTTTCACATTCTCCTTTTGTTGATGTCCTTTCAAAGAATGCACGCTATTGGCCGTGCCCTTAGTTTTAACTACCTCCTCGATTTATCAAGACAGCGCATGACCCGAAGGACTACCTCGATGTAATATTTGCACTCTCAGCGCTATAAAGAGAAAAGCCTGGGCTAAAGATTGAGGTCATAACTGGTGTAGGAATGTACCGTCTATAACATAAATTGTCTTCAGTTAATTTGGAACGATTTTACACAACATAGGTAAAGGCAAATGACAAGCCAACGTAACTTTCGTTTACAGGTAATGCTGTAATTTTGTTGCGTTTGTCATTAATGAATAGTAAAATCGTTAGTACCTAGTCCCTTTACTTAAAGAAAAAAAAAAAAAAGAAATTACTAAGTGACGTCATAAAACCATTGTTCTTGGACCAATTGTAATAGAATTATACTGATCATGTGACCAAATCCTACAAAGTGTACATGGTTTCCTCCGGATAAATGAAAGTCACTATTCTTTTGGAGCATTTTTGGCGATAATTTTCCGCCTATTTAACTTCTTTCTAAACACGTGGATTTTGTATATACTAAAATGGATTCGGAGGATGAAGACGCGATATTTGACGACGAACACGAGGATAGTTATAACGAATCCGGCTCCGAACAGGGCGATGAAAGCGACTTCGACATCGACTGCGACGAACCCTCTACTCCGAAAAGACCTCATATAAATGACGATTTTCATTACGAATGTCTAACCCCTGAAGCTTTAGTCAGTTACATGAATGCTATTATAGACGAGGTTAATAACGTTTTCCAGGTAAGCTACTAGGGTTTTTGTGGGAGTACGGCAGACTTACTTATATATCAATGCAAACATCAACAATACAAAACGTTGTCCTGTCTTGTTGGGACTTGCTGAATCAAACGAAGGGTCGTATGTTATTATCAGAGTGTCTTGGGTAGTTAAATGCTACCCATATTCTAAGAGCTATGAATGCCTCCATTATTTAAGTTTCTCCAACGCTAAAGAACCTCGTTCGTTGAAATATCTCTGGTGATAATTTTACTTTCCTCGAATTTCTTGTCAGCCAGAACGGAGGAAGGAATAAGAAACTGATCTTTTGTTTTTAAAATTTCTTGGTATTGCTGGTTTTGAAACCTATTTTTTCCTGTTTTAGGAAGTTAGTCGTATGTATTCCTCTAATTGTAACTAACCAGGTACTAAAATATATGTTGCTTCATGGGATGAAAGCAATTTTATCAAAATTATTTGATGCAATCCATTGTTTCCATCGACTACCAACTTTTTTTGGCTTGTATTTCGCGTTGTGTTTAATTTCTGTTGTTAGATTTTTGAAGTATGTGAAGCTTTTATGGGTTCTTGGAATTACAAGTGATTGCTGATATTACCTGCTACACATGTCCCCATCATGTGAAAGAAACCACATGACATCTTTGATTAAGAGAAGATGATATTATTTTACTATTCAATTGTGATTAGTTGGCATGCAGATGTGGCTTTGCAAGAGATTTGCTAAGTCATGAAGAGCTGAGAATCTGTAGCAATGTGAACTAGATACCCAATGGAGGGTCAAATATTCAGCCCTGGAACCTGGGTAGTCTGGTTCAGGTGTAAATTAATTTTGCAGTGTTAATGCATTGCAATTTTTTTTAAAAAATGGCAGCTGTTTAAAAGCAATTTTAGCTTAGAGGCCCTTTAGTTAAACAAAATTTACACAGCAATTATTTTAGAACAGATAGTGACAGCCAGGAATCTAGTATATATATATATATATTAGACACCAAACCAACTTGCTTAAGTTTCACATATTAAATGGATTTTCCTGAAAGTTTTATACTTGTATTGAGTGTTATGATTCAGTCCGATATTGATATTTCAAGTAGGTCATCATCAAGGAAATGATAACAAGTTGTACTTGTCTTTAAAATAAGTTCAAAATTGTCTATAAGTTTAGATAAGATTAGGTACTGTCTGTCGTTGATGTATATACTAGTACAGCGTTTTCACTTAAGGGGCAACCAGCTATATCTTTAGTTAACCCTGTCATCCTCAGATTGGCCAAAGAGGAATTTCTCAGTAATGTCAGTAAGGGGATAATTTTTGACTTAGCACCAAATTCCCAAAGAGAGAACAATAAGAAATGGATGAAAGAGAGTGTAGAGGATTTAAATTTTGATCTTGGGAGTGAAAGGGTTGATCTTCTTCTTTTAACTAAATGTTTTCAGTGTCTTTTCACTGCAAGTTTCAAAACTATTTGACACAAGCGTAATAATTGTAGAGCTTCTAGCTTTGTGACATCAAGATGAATACTGACCATGTCTTTTTATTTTATTGGGACAGTTGCCTAGACCAACAGCCAGGATTCTTCTTAGTCACTTTAAATGGGATAAAGAAAAGCTACTAGAGAGGTTCGTGAAAATTCTCTTTTGTTTATCTCTGAGAAACTGGGTATAGTTGAAACTTTTTTAGTGCCAGGTAAATCTACATGTACATATAGGGATTGATACACCATATTCTATACTTTAACCTGTAATTCGTGTAGATATTTTGCGAGTTATGAAGTTTTTTCTGAGCCCTGTAAAGGTGAAGAAAAATACATGCAATGAGCAAAATGTCTAACCATAAGTTATTTGTTAAACCATCAAATAAGGATTTCTTTTTCTCTTATTATTTCATTTACCAGTGTCTTGTGCTGTAGTTTTCAAGAAACATCCTACAGCCTCATCTGAGCTTCATGTCAATCACACAAGATGTGCGCAAAATATGAAAACAATTCTAACAAATCATTAGAGTGCTCTTTAGGACCAGTTAAAAAATTAAGGGCACGTAAGATTGTTGCTTAAAATAGTCAAGCCTTAAAAATGAAAAAAAATCAAAGTTAGGATTGTCCAGTGTGGCCATTTTGTTACTCAGTTGTGCAATGCCCAAATGAATGTTATGAGGTAATTCTTTAGGAAGCCTCATTGAGGTGCCTAAATCTCTACTTTTGAGGAGGAGAGTAGGTTTCATTGCAATAACTTTGACTGAGAAGTTTGTCAAGTACAGTTGTGGGACTTTTCATTTGAGTGTTGTTAGTAGTAATTCAGGATTGTATTGGTTTTGTTTTGCTTGGTTTAGTGAGGGGTCTATTCTAAAAGGTCACACACAAATCTGTATGCGTAAGACATTATTTTGAATTTTGTCTTACAGAAAGGATACTAAGTATTTAGTACTAAGAATAAGTATTTATTAAAAAAAAAAAGATACTCTACAATAGCATACATAAATAGAAGATTAGACTTGTTGTTGCATATCATGCAGCTTACTTTCTAAAAGATTAAAACATCACCCTCCGTGTCCTCATCATCAAAGTATTTGTAGTATCAGCAACAGATGTAAATAACATGTACTATTTTGTTTTAACACTTGTAGATACTACAGTGGAGATCAAGACAGGCTATTCTCAGAGGCTCATATAGTTAGTCCAAGTAGAACAAACTCTAGACCTGTTTCAAGTAAAAGGGTTTGTATTTACCACTGATCATCTCACACCGCTTGGCTACAGAAATGGAATGATTGTGATATTTTTCTCAGTCTTTACAGGTGTTCAGTTAGTAAAACTTAGTGTAATAGTTAAATTAACAGTGTGAATAGTAGCAGCGGAGCAAAAAAAGCGGAAGGTTTGGGTTGGGTTGCATTAGGTTATACTAAATGAACATCTGGAACAGGCTTTATCTGTCTTAAACCTTAAAACTTTAATATCAGTATGCATCCTCTCCATATGGTTCTCTATACATTTCCCAAGGTGCTGACAAGGAGAATTTGCTTAACAATCAAGAGCTTCTTTAGTTGTTGATCATTTCTATTTTCATGACCTTAATGTTTCAGTTAGTGGTGATACTGTAAGGAGGAATTAGATGCAAGTTACTCTAAGGAGTGTAAGGGTTACACATTTAGCTGCCATGTTGATGATCAGGAATGCAATTATACATATATGTATATATTTGTCTGTCTGAATTTTTGGGAATTTTTTATTTTACGTGGGAGGTAGTAAAGGCTTGCATGAGTTTTTGTTTCACTTATCTGGGTGACTTTGTCTAAAGCATGACAAGTAGATCTCTCTATGTTAGCTTAGGACAATGTTAGCTCAAGCTTACATTTTTTAGTGTGGTTTCCCACACTCTACAGGTGTCTTTTTTTAGGAGGAGGATTATATTCTGATTAAAAGAACATCTGTGCAACATGTAGTATTGTATTTTGTTGTCAAGTGAAAATCTCAATAATTAAGCTCTATGCTTGCCAATTTTTTTGTTTGTATGTTCCATCAACTTCATGAACCAGTCTGATGTAGATTTTATGTTGTTAATTGTGTTTCCCCACACTCGAGGCCACTTATATGTTTTGTGTCATTGCTATTTTTAACCTTATTTTATTGGCCACGACATATTTTAGTATAACTTGGACAGAAGTATTTAGTTGATCTTGCCAAGTACTCATGTTTTCATAATAATTGTCTGTTCTTGAGTTTTGGTGAAAGTTAAATATGTTTGGTGAATTTCAGGTTAACACCAGATCCTCTTCTGCATCAACTGATGGAACTTGTGAAATTTGCTTCATAAACAATCATGTACCAGTAAGTACAGGAAATTCTCACAAGCGGTATTTTTTGTTATAATTATTATGTCGTTTACCATGCAAGACACTTGTTTGATTTGCAAAAAAAGATAAAAACCTGGACGTTGAATTTAACTAGTAAATCCTATGTTGCTGTATGTGTGCCCAGTAAAAGATCACTGACAACATCAAAAATGTAAAATGAACTGAATTTGTGGATTTTGCGTTTGTCTTTATGTAATAAATAGATTCCATGTGTCTGTTCTATGATAGATTGCAGATGACATGAAAATGTGCTAAGAATAAAAAAGTGGTAAACAAGGCACAGGCAATTGAGTCAATGATATTCTACCCAAATTTTGACTTCTTCTGTGATCTATAACTCTACAGACCCATGAAAACATGAAATCTATTTCTGGTACATGATAAAAAAGCAAAATATTGTTCATGGTGACCTCTTCAATGCATCTGTACTGCCACAGATCATAAAGTATAAACCAATAAAATTGTGTATATACATGAAATTCAGCTTATCTTATAAAGACTCTTCACTCCCAAAATGACAACTTTCATAATTCCTCTGCTGACATACTTCAATTGCATTCCATATAAAAATGTCTTAACTGCTTACTCTTCTTCAGGCTTTCGTTGGTTTAGAATGCAACCATAGGTTTTGTCTTAGATGTTGGAAGGAATATATTACCACGAAAGTAATGGATGAACATGTTGGGGAGGTAGGCATCTTACTTTTATCAGTAGTCTCTCACTATTACTCTCCAGGTGACTTTCTTTACATCGAGTCAAACTGTTATTTTTCACTTAATAGAACATTTCCTGTCCAGCACACAAGTGTGACATCTTAGTAGATGAAGTATTTGTAGGGTAAGTATTTTTCTTAAACTACAGTGTATGGTTTCGATTGTAGAATCAATTATATGATTAATAATGTAAAGGCCCTTTTGTGATACTGGCCAATTTGGTCTTTAACAAGAAACACCACCACAACATTCTGGGGATTGAACCTCCATAACCTCTACAGTAAGGCAGCCACAAAAAAAACCTTATCAAACCATTCTGTGGTGTAAAGTGGGTAGGTTTTTTTTTTCAGAAACTGTGGTGCTGCGATGGTGGGGGAGTATAGCAAGATAATTTTGGTTTTATCAACTGAGTTGATAATGTAAATTGGTCACTGAGAGTTTCAAAGCTGGTGTTTTGGAAGTAGCCCTTCTTTGAAGCAAAAACCTGAGAAAGGGCAAAGGCTCAAAGTGTTGGCTTTGAAACTCTATAAGGTGGCCAATTTACATTATCAACCCAGTTGATAAAAACCAAAATTATCTCATTGTACAGTCTGCTAAATTTGCATAACTATGTTTGTGTGCACATTTTGAGTAGGAAAACTTCTGATTTATAGAAAAACAACAATTACAGGGTTCACATATTGTAGAACCCCTGCATAATCAGACTCCCAAAGGAAAATGAAAAATTGGTTTAATTTAGCAAAAATATGATTCGAGGTAGCAGGGTTTTAAGTTATCCTAATTGAAATTGAATTGAAATTATCAATAAGGAATCTTGTGTTTACCATTCTTGCACAATCAATAAGAACTTTTGTACATTTAGTTTGTTTTATGAGAGCTTCTCTTAATAACATATAGTTTGAGAAGTTGAGCCTAATGTATTGTATTAAACTTAAATGTTTTCATATTCATTTCAATCACAAAATATTTCTTCGCATTAACCTTCAAGGAACCCTCTCTGATTCACTGTAGGGGGAGTTTTATTAAAATTATTTTGCACTACAGTTGTACCATTTTAACTGATCTTTATGAACCATAACAAGTTATAAGTACAGCCAGTAAGGCTTTGTGTTTCTTCATAATTTTTAATTCTTTGTTCAATGGCAGACAAGTGGTAAAAGACACTAAAGTAAAAGCACGATACCACCACCTTATAGCAAACAGCTTTGTTGAGGTAAGCTTTAGTCAGAAGGAAGGCTTTGTAGCTTTTGGCTCTGAAGGTGATTCCTTAGAAACAAAGGTTGTCAAACCATTTTTTTGAAACTCACCTCAAATGTTCCTCACCAATCTTTGTTTCAAGAAATACTAAAAATAAATATAATAAATGCAGTACTCATTCAAGTGCAAAAGACCATCTTACCTGTCTACCATATCCATTGACTGCACAGTACTGGATGTGCAGTGCAATACCAAGGAATTACCTGAACTGCTTGACAGCTACAGTTCCTCAGTTCCTTGTATCACTCTTGTGAAGGGCTTTTTCAGAGCAGAAACTTAAGTTACTTACCATGCACTTATTGGAAAAAAAAACTGGACATTTTCTTCTGAAAATTATTTGTTCCAATTCAAAAGGCAGGAGTTTTAGTTAAAGGTTGGAGCAGTGTGTGGAAACAGGAGATTCTCACCCCTCCCCCTTCCCCAACCCTTTAACTCCCCCCCCCACCCCCCAATTGAGAAAAATTCTAATTCACAAGATGAATGATAAGGTTATTTTTTACAGACAAAATTATTGTTTTGTCTTGGTGGGTTTTTAGGAAGAGCACTATTTAACTTCAAGTGAGAAATTTTTCTTCTGAGATTTTTAGGGTGGAAAACTAAGTCCATTCACAATTGTTCTCTTCTTTCTAGAGTAACAGACTGATGAGTTGGTGTCCAGGGCCTGACTGTCAAAATGCTGTGAAAGCTAATTACCATGATGCTTTACCTGTGACATGCTTGTGTGGTTACACATTTTGGTAGATCTGTCCACTTGCTTTATTTGCTAGGAGTACTTTGCAAATTGAGTGTTCAATGTTTCAAATACAATTAATTGTCTGCTCACTTGATGGTAATGTTAGACGTGTATTTTGCTTCTACAGCTTTGGTTGTGGAGAACCTGTTCATGAGCCCGTGCGATGTGCAGTAAGTAACCAAACCATGTTGTGTTCCTATGTCTATGAGTGTACATATTGCCCATCCTCTAAGCTGTGTATGCAGATCAATGTCAATATCTGGGCAACTATGCAGTTGAAAATTTTTTTTAAGTCTTGATTACCAGAACTAAAGCTTGAGGTGTACCCTGTCATATCTGTGCTGAAATTGGAAACTGATAATTAATAACTAATCTTATTATAAAGCTAGCAGTGTCTTTGGGCAATGAAAGGAATCCTGTGTTTTGATTGGCTACCTGAGCAGGCAAGAGGGGTGCATCTTGCCCGCTCAGGATCGCCTACTTTGATCCCATGCAAGACTTGAATTGCACGGAGCAGACTTAAAAACTATTTAACTGGCCTCATTCTTTTTTTGGCTTTTTATGGAACTCAACTTCCTCTTAATCAATAAAAACACAAAAAAAAATAACAGGGCAAATATCCAGGCATGCAATTCTGCAAAGTATTGTTTTAAAACTGTCATTTTATGCCCCAGTGGCTCAAGAAATGGATAAAGAAATGCAATGATGACAGTGAAACATCAAACTGGATATCAGCAAATACAAAGGTTTGTTGGTTTGTTGATTATTGGTGTTCTGCAAGCTCCAGGACTGGTGGTGAATCTTGCAATAAACCATCAACTCCAACTTCTTTCATAGGAATGCCCAAAGTGTCATGTGACAATAGAGAAAAATGGAGGTTGTAATCACATGGTTTGTCGCAACAACAACTGCAAGGTAACAGTCCATGACTGTGTGATTATGAAGGTTGAAAGAGTTTCCTTGATGTATTAGACACATTCTTACTTTTGGTTTTATTACAAACTGTTAAATGGTTTGATCGTTTCCTCTCCAATTTAAGGCTGACTTTTGTTGGATGTGTCTGGGACCTTGGGAGCCACACGGATCAAGTTGGTAAGTGTGTTGCTTTTTCTTCTGATATGAAGGACTTTAGTTATGTTTGTGTTATAATTCAACTATATATATATCCAGGGCCAGGTCGTTCAAAACTGGGTTAAGGTAACCAAGGGTTAGTGTAAAATATGATTTCAGATCTGAAAGCTTTAAAAGAAAATTCAGTCGAATTTTTTTTTGTCTAGAATATGATTATTTGATGTTCTAAAACGAACACAGAAAATTATCCCAAAAAGGCTTTTGAATAAAGGAATGAAGAACTTAGATTTAACCTCGGATTGGCGCTAATCAGCCTTCGAACAACTGGGCCAAGGTCAGCTTATATTAAATTTGCTCTGCTTCAATCTATTTTCACCTCGGGAAGTGAAACTTCTTTTATACCTCTTAGAGTGCAGCTTGATCGCATTCATTTTGTTTTGAAAGAACTGATGTAGATTTGTGTTACTTGCCGCCTTCTTCAGGTACAGTTGTAATCGTTACGATGAAAAAGATGCACAGGCGGCTAGAGATGCCCAAGCTGTAAGTTTCTATCGCAAGACTTAAGTTAAGAAAAACTGCTTTGTATAGTTGAAGCAGAGTATACTTTCTTGCACCGAACCAGCGTAGGCATGATATCAGCTTAAAATGCCATTAAAAGGTTGTGGCAGTGGTAAAGAAAATCCTCCTAGTCCTCTTGGAGTGGAAGATTTATAACCATGTCTCTGGGTTTTTTTTCCTTTTTTTTTCAATTCATTGTAACAGATTGATCTGATATGAGGTCATTGTGTTTACTTTCCGTGACTGCCGGTGAAATAAAAAAAACAAACAAACAAAACCAAAACCAAAACCCAAAGATACTATTTTTTGTGGCTTTAACCCTGTGCAGCCCAACATCAGTATACATTATCTCCATACTGTTCTCTATACATTCCATAAGATGCTGACAAAGAGAAACAATCTAGAGCTTCTTGTGCTAGTGATCATTTCCTTTATTTTTGTAACTTAACATTTTGATTCAGTGGTGATACAGAGAAGTTAGTAGTTAGTCACTCTTAGGGTGTAAAGGGCCAAGGTGTTGTCTCCATCTATCCCTTAGTGTAGTCTTGAGTTAAGAATCCAGAGTTGCAGTGTGGTTTTAAGTCTAGTTCAATGACTTACCATATCTTATTTTTCAGAAATCACGGCAAGCCTTGGAACGCTACCTATTTTACTGTAATCGTTACATGAACCATGCACAAAGTGCCAAGTTTGAAACTAAGGTGAGATTCAGAAAAATTTCTTTTACTTCGTGGATAAAATGCGCAATCAGTCAATACAATTCACCTGTATAGTAATAATAATTACAACTTATCTTCTTCCTCGTCTGCAATTTAGCCTATTTGTATTCTCTCTCGGCCGTTGTGTTTCATCACACAACGCATATTACATCGTAGCCTGCGAGCAGGTTCTCATGACGCGTGTTTCCTGCCCACGGGGATATTTGAGACAAGTAGGGAAAAGGTTTGCCGGAGGTCTGGCACTAGACCCCTCGCTGGCTTGCGGTGCTCAAGGCCTTACAGGAAACGGTCCTGCCGAAGCGCTAATACTTACATCGCTCCAAGACAAAACACATGACCAGACGAACGATGGCCGCAAAGTAGCTGAAAAGTTTCTTTACAAATCTTAGTGACTTTCACGTCTTGCTCTCAATTATTACACGACTTGTCATGGAAGTTTTAGTTTTCTACTAGTACTAACAGTGATTGCGTGAGGAGTAAAAATTTATTTAAGAAAATAGAAAGCTACAACAAAAAGACACGGTAGCTACTTGTTAAGCTCAGTATCCTTAAAACCCTTTTGTGCTTGTTAATTGTTAGTTGTATGCTCAAGTCAAGCAAAAAATGGAAGAAATGCAGCAACACAACATGTCGTGGATCGAGGTTTGTAGCAATGTCACATCAAAGTGTTGTGACCCAAGATCAATAGACTTTCGATTTTATTTCTTTAATATGTTTTACTAGCGTGGAACAGAGCAAACAAGGCGTGAAATTGTTAATTTGTGCCTTCTCTATTTCACCGTGACTTGAAGTCTGCGATCTCTCTCCTTTCAGGTTCAATTTCTTCGTAAAGCCGTAGATGTTCTGTGCTTGTGTAGAAACACTCTCAAATACACTTACGTGTTCGCTTTCTACCTTAAGAAAAACAATCAGTCAGTTATCTTTGAGGTGAGTTCGTGTAATTCGAAATACTTGTTCATTGTAGAACCGTTTTCAGAATTGTTATATCTCTCAGTTAGTGCGTGCGATTGGTCAATTTAACGGGCTGTATTTCACTGCACGCCACGCTAAATTCACAAGTCTGTTGAACTGAAATCTTCCCCCTCTATTTGAACTTAGAGATGTATTGATATCTTACTAACCTCGTTTTTCGGTCCGTACTGTATGTTACGGAATCTCGGTTTTTATCCGCTTTGGCCATACATCTGAGCGGAAAAACTCGGTCCATAACTGACAGCACGGACCGCGAACTCGATTAGCAAGAGGAATTTTTGCTCTTTAGTACTTGAAAATACTTAATTTCTACTTTTTATCGTGCAACCATTTGCTCCTTTGACCAAATGTTATGTTGTGATATCTTTTTATCCGTGTTGAAGCCCATTTGGATCGTATTAATTACCTACTAACATATGATGATCTGACCCTTTCAGAACTAGCAAATTTTTCCGCTTAAAGGAGGTAAATGGAGCATTCCTCTTGTAGGAAATAACTTTGGAACATTTTCAATTCAAACTTATACAGGATAACCAAAAAGATCTAGAAATGGCTACGGAGACACTGTCAGAGTACCTAGAGCGTGACATAACTTCAGAGTGTTTATCAGATATTAAACAAAAGGTTCAAGATAAATACAGGTACTTTTATTTAAGAGCTGTACCTTATTTTTTTTTTATTTCAAAACGTGGACTCCCCTTTAAAAAAAAAAAAAAAGTCAAGACAAAAGTTGGGGGGGGTGCTCGTTTTTAGAGGGACAAAAGGCAGGTCTCCGTTTTCCATCTGAATTTCCGCCCAAGTTGATGAACACCTCTGTACAGTATGCATTTCTTTGATTGAAAACCTACGTTATTCTAATCACAATTTACTACATGGGCGGTTTTGTTAGAAACTTGAGTTTCAGAGGGGGTGCATTGGAGAGGAGAGAAACTTGACTCGTTTTGACTCACTTCAATGGTAGAAACATTTAAAATATTCAGCTGTTTACGAATCTTTCCTTCTTTACTTTGAGTCAGGGACAAACGATAATACTTCATAGAAGAGGGCAACGAATGGCCTCCAATCTTTGAAGTGTGTCGGTCAGTAAGAAGAAAATCTCAATATGTGGGAAATAGAAACATCATACCATAGAAAGTGTTTGAACGATTACTATGCACTCGTCGCGATGCATCAAAAAACTCACCCGTTCGTTTTTTCTTTTTTTGGTTTTTGTTTTTGTTTTCTTTTGATGCATCGCAGCAATCGTAGCAATAATCTCTATATCCTGTGTTGATGTTTCCAGGTACTGCGAGGCAAGACGAAAAGTCCTTTTAGACCATGTTTATGAAGGATATGAGACTGACATATGGGAATACATGGATTACGACTAAACTTTTAGATTCTTACAGATGAATAATGTTACTAAACGCTAGGATATCAAAATGGAGTTTACTGGATCAGATTGCTTGCTGTTATATAGTTTAAGTCGAAGTTCATATTTACAAATGTTATTAGAAAATTACTTAGAAGTGTACATAAATCAAAACTTTTCCCTAATTGTTTATCTCTGTGACACGGTTTTTTCCTACGTTGTAATCTGCTAGCGTGATCGCCACTTCTTCAATAACCCGCTTTGTGAGGTCCAGATTTTCTATTTTTTTCCCCCTGTAATGAACGTGTTATATAGGTTACAAGCGACTGAGAGATACGCCAAAGCACAAAAAGAAAGCTGTGATACGACACAAAGCAGCGAGCTAAGGTAGCTCTCATCGTATCGCTGCGAGTTTGGTAATGTAAAATTTGCTTCAGCATGTAGGACTTAATGAAAGTTTTATGGAGATTTTGAGGCGGGGAGATCATTTACGGTCATTATGAAGGTCAACGAACTTTTTTTGTTGCCGATTCACTGTTGTACAACTTAAATGATGTATAATGTCGCTTAACAATTCGTAATTTGAGGTGTGGCTCATTTTAAATACGTCAGCATTGGTGCACTTCAAGACGTATTGATTGCAGTGAACTAGCAAAGAGGTATCATTTACTAAGGAAGATTTTAGCAAGGTGATAATTGCTGCAGTTGTAAGGAAATATCCTAAACTTCTGTCAATTTTAAGACCCCGTTCTCGGTACAAAAAGGACAGCGTACGTTTATGTGCTGTGTCTCAGACTAGGTTGTGAACATGTTTTCCTTCATTTCAACTTATCTTCTGTTGACTTGATGTGTGTTTCTACATTTCTTTTTATCTTACTTTTGAAAATGCTGTTACTTGTAAATAAACACAATTATTAAATGCTTGTCTCTCCATACATTTGTTCATCGCACCTGTGGTGAGGTCCAAATAGCAATGATCGCCTCCGGCAGGAATTCTATGGTGGACCCTTCTGTGCTAACGAACGTCGTTTTCGTAATGTCCATCCACAACAAAACTCAAAACCGATGTTACTTAAATTGACTCACTTTGAATCGAAGAGCATTTTTGAAAACCTCCGTTTTCAATTCAGCCGTGGTATAGACAGTAGCTCTGTCCGTAGAACTAACGAAAGTTTGGTTTCCAAATGTATCCGCGCATTTTGTTTAGGGCGTGGGTGAGGGCAGAGTTCGTCAATTTTTCTTGCAACTTGTCGCGCAACATCTTTTCCTTGCAAGTTGGAAAGAGCCGTTGCCCGTATTACCACTCGCTTGTGAAACTTGTCGCGCAACAATATTCAATCTTGCAAATTGCAGTGACATATTCCACGAAGTAGAAGACGGTTCCACTTTTTGTAACGAATCCCGGTGCTTGTTGTTCGTTTTACCACTTGCGCTGCAATATGCAACGCAACAAAGTTGTAGAAAACATTTCCCATTGGCTGGTCCACTCAAGCGCGCACAAGTGCGCTCGGTCCGCGCGCTGTCAAGTCAGTGAACATGGCGGACAAAATTAATGTTTCCTTTAGATTGAATTACTCGACCACAGATCGTCTGAGGCTCAGAAATTTGACCTGTAAACTATAGGGCAGGATTTCCCTTAATAAAAAGCATGGCCTTCATATACTTCCACTGTGAAGTATCCTCTTACGCTATCAAATGCCGGATGAAACAAGCTATCGACGACACCACGCTCGGCGAAAGGCGCCAAGACTCTCGAACTGTCTTTTTCTGCTTTAATTAAAAACAGGCCGTTGGGACTTAGTAAAGGGTGACCACGACCGCCTAATAGAGATGAAAACTACAGCGATTAAGGTAAAATAAATTCAGGACTTTGACAACTAATCGCTTTATACAGGGTCACCGTCGTCCGCCATGACTTGCACCAGACTTGCACCAGCACGAAGAAGGGAATGTCGGGTAAGGATAAGAAGGAGAGCAGACACCTTCCTATTTTCTCTCACGCGCATTTCTTGTCAATAATAGGGACCTTTAGATCCTAGGACGGCGAGCAGAAGTTTAAAATATTTGCTTGCGCATTTCCGGTAGGCGTGGCGCGAAGTTTCCCGCCGTAGTTCAGTGGTGTTGTATGCGACGTCAAAACGAAGTGTCTAAAACGTGAGTAAGTTTCTCTTATTTTAAGGTCATTTCAAATGGATTTATCGTATATTTTCAATATATGATGAGCTGTCAAACTTTTTCTTAGCTTGTGACAAATGCAAATGGTTGTAGAACTCATTTAAAGGCGAAAACTGACCTAAGTTTCTTTCTCCTTCAAAACAGCTCCAAAAGTTGGTGCCTCAAATAAGCTTAAATTGAGACGAGTTCGAAGGAAAGAGTCCAGTAAGTTATTTTCGGTTCATATTCTTGATGAATATTAAAACTAAACTCAGAATTTTAATCAAGATAATTTACCCGAGTTTGTTTAAGGAAAAAATCGCTGAAGCAAGATATTATTGTGGTTTTTCAGATCAAATATTGAGTGGACCGAGGAACATGATAACTGCTTGTGTCAAGAAATTTTAGAGCTTAAACCCTTTAAGTACGAGAAAGGAAGCTTTTCTAAAGGAAAATCTAGGAAAAATTGCAAACAATCTGAACGGCCTTAAATTTCCCCGATCCAAAGTCAGTAACCGTGCTTTTAGAGAAAGATACACACTTCTGAGTTAGAAATTTAAAGCAGAGACGAAAGACGAAGAGAGGGAAAGTGGAATTGAATGTGATTTGAGTGAGGTAGAAAAGGCTCTGGAAGAAATAGCCGAAAAAGAAGCTGCAGCTGAAGGCACCATAGAAAACGAGAAGAAGAAAGCTGACAACGCAAAAGCAGCGCAAATGAGAAACAGAGCGCTAGAAAGCCTGAGCGGAACACAGAAAAGGCAACGGAATGAAGAGGAGGAGAACGTGTAACCAAAGCAAAAAAGTCGTAGAAGAGGAGGTGACACAATTGCATATTTGCGCAAAAAAATGATCTTGTTCAGAAGTGGAAAGAAGAAGAACTGCAGCTGCAAAAGCAACGAGTTGAAGTTGAGGGTAAAAGGGAAGATAAATCAACAAAACAACATCAAGATATGATGAAGGTCTTGGTGGAACAAACTTAGCAGCAGCAAGAGCAGATGCAGATTTTTCAGCAGATGTTTACCTTAATGCAACAAAATTAGTCTCAAATAATTATAAAGCTTCTAGAAAAACAAAATTAACTATTCGGAATTTAAATGGTTTATCAGGTAAGTTTAACTTTGACGTTGTTGTTTCTTTTTATAACTAAAATCTTACATTGTGTTAGGCCTTGGACAAACTGTTGGACACGAATGTTACCCATATTTTGATCGCCTTATTAGCAACTTATATACAAAATAATGACGTATCGTTATCATTTTGCCAAAGTTTTGTATTAACACATAAAAGAAAAATATTTGCAAAGGTTTATGTAGGCATTCTGACTTCAACGAGTCAAGTGATGTTGTCACATAAATATTTAACCGAAACAGTCTACGTGCCGTTTCACTTTCCAATGTTCCACGCTCAGTGCAAGACGAAAGAGGCTGAGTTATGCTAATTGCAGATTGTTTTGACGCACGTGGATGTTGGACAAATAGCACACCCGCCAAGATGAAAACGATCTTAATTATTCATGTTCAATAAAAAAATTTCCATATTTTAGTTCCCCGAAACGCATAAATTTAGAACCACTCAACAAGATAAACGCTTGTTTCTTTCTCTTCATACAATTATTTACCAGTAGAAAAACTGAATGAAGGCAAATAACGACTTACAAGGAGGAACATAGAGTGTGCTACGTAAACGTCCTTACATGTTCAGGTTTGATTTGTGTGATTATTTTTACTTGTAAGACTTGACGTTTGTTCATGAGCCTTCAACGCGCTTGTAAGGGATTCAACAGAAGTAAATATTGATTCGAAACCGAAATCTCTCTCGGATCAAGTGACCATCATACATACTTTCGTTTCTAATCAGATTCATGATGGCGCTATTGGCTGGGTTTTACCGAGCGTTTGGATTGTTTCAAGTTTCTTTGGTCTTCCTTGGATCCAGTCTTGCTTACGCTGAAAATAATTCTTCACCACGATTTCCAGTTGGCGATCCACGAAACTGTCTTCTCACAAACGGAGTTTATCGCTTCGAGGTTCTTCCGGGAGGCGGCTGGGACAACCTTAGAAATGTTCATATGGGCGCTGTTTCAGTGATGAATTACTCCAAGTGCAAGACTTCAGACGACGGCAAGTATCTCATTCCCGATGACGTGTTCCTGTATCCTATCAAGGAGAGCAAAGTGCATGTATTTGCTGAAATGTACGATCACTGGCACAACTATTCGTCCACCACAACGAAGTCTATCAATGCTGAAGGAAAATTTGGTTTTGGAAGCGTAAGTGGTTCATTTTCTTCCGAGTTCGAATCAGTGAAGAAACATCAAGTGGAAGATAAGGCTGTAACCACTCGAGCACAACTACGCCATGTTATATACACGGCGAAACTCCAGCCCGATGCCCCTCTGCAGGCACCGTTCAAGTCCCGTTTGCTCGAGATCGCATCTCACTTACAGCTTAACAATACTGCTTATGCAAATTTTCTCGCGCAGGTTTTGGTTCGAGATTTCGGAACGCACTATGTTACAAGCGTCAAGGCCGGAGCAGCCCTGGCAAAAGTGGATCACTTGACAAAGAAATTCGTGGCTGATTTCAGTGAAGATAAAAGTAAGATTACAGCTTCCGCGAGTGCATCTTTTTTCGGGGCGTTTGGAGCTACTGCTAGCTATACTCAGACAACTGACAAAAAAGTTTTGGATGAATACACACAAAACATCGCTTATTCCACAGTATATACATTTGGAGGACCTCCATTCAGGGTGAATTTTACCATCAACAAATGGGAAGACCAACTATTGGACGAACTGGTTGCAGTTGATCGGTCAGGTGACCCTCTTCATTTTGCAATTACACCTGGAAGTGTACCAGAATTGTCCGAAGAACTGGTCTTCAAACTAGCCAACGTTGTCGGAAAAGCCATTAAACAGTACTATGAGCACAATACCATTAAAGGATGCACCAAAATGGACTCTCCGAACTTCAGCTTTCAGGCCAACCTCGACGATGGATCTTGCGAGAGCCCAACCAATAACTACACCTTCGGGGGCGTTTATCAAACGTGCCAATGTGAGGGCTCTCCATCTAGTAATCCTTGTGGATCTTTTCTCCAGAAGAACCCTCTCACGGCTGACTACTCTTGTAGTAATGGTTATGAACCAGTCATGGTACATCAAGGTCGCACACCCGAAAGCTGTCATCGTGAGTGCCACGGAGTTTTGTTTTTTAAAAGCTGCGACACTCATTGCGGATTCGCCAGCTATGACACCTATTGGTGTGTTGCTAAGGGTTCGGTGCCTCGTAATACAGGGTATCTCTTTGGTGGACTCTACAGCAATGTGTTAAAGAACCCAGTCACACAAGATCACAGCTGTCCAGTGAAGTTTTACGCCTTGCGCTTTGGAGCCACCATGCAAGTTTGTGTGAGCGATGACTACGAGCTAGGCTTCCAGCAGTCGGTCCCCTTTGGTGGCTTCTTCAGTTGTAATACTGGTAATCCTCTCGGTGTAAAGAAAGCTGCGGACAGTGCCAAAGGATCAAACGGTATGTTCTCCCTTTACCTTATACACCTTACATTGGTAGGCATGTTCTCTCTACTTTTCTCAAGACATTTCCTATTTTAACGACGGGGAGGAGAAATTTTTTTTTCAAGAGCTTCTTTGATAAATGATTATTCCTTCTAAATTCGTGACATTAGTGTTTGATTCAGGAGTGAGAATGTGAAGAAAAATTAATTAGATAATTAAGATTCTTAGAGGTTGAAGGGTTACATTGAAATAGACCCTTCAAGCTTAATGGTTTCATTTTCTTCCTTTTTTTATTTTTTTCGCTTTTATAGAAGTATTTTTTTATCCTAATTAATAGCTAGAAATTTCAAAAATTCAGAAACGCCTGATTGTTTTAAGATCAGCAGGCGCATTCGATTCTTGCTTTCTCGTTGTTGCGATTTTGAAATAGTCGTGCCTCTCAATGTATCATTTTGTTTTGCAAATTTATCTGAAAGGGACTCTAAAAAGCTTAAGTGACATAGAGCATTTAACTGCATAACGAATTTAGAGCTTAACTTTTCGGTTTTCAATTACCGCTCGGCCAACCTACAACTCATCAACAATTTGCAGCTTTTGTTTTCCAATGCAGGTATGGCTTTTTATTTCGCTTTTCCGCGAAAACATGTTTCCTTTGAAACTTTATGCCATCCAAGTAATTTTCGGGTTTCGAATTGTGTTGCGTTACCTGTTTCTTACGACTATGAAGAAATTTTGTAAGTCGTGGCTCGGTGTTCACCGATAAGTTTTTTTTTTCTTCTAGCTCGGTATAAACGTATGACATTCCTTTCAACCTTTCAAATGTGGATGAATGGTTAGGAAATATGACTACGTTCATGAGAACAAAAACAAATATGAGCGAAATTGTTTTGTGCACTTTCGAATCGCATAGACTCAGTAGCCATCGCATGCCGAAAGACAAACTATCCATGTAAGAAATAAAGCAACAGCGGAAGTAAACGTTGACACTCAGAACCGGCTACATATGGAAATTGCTTGTTGACATCTAGTGATACATTGTGATAAGATCATAATGAAAGAGATTTGACACAAAATTTCTTTATCAGGTGCTCAAGCGAAGATCGAGGAACAAAGCCAAAATCTATCTCGGATTCTTTCTCCTTCGCTGTAAAGCATGAACACGACTCAGTCATTGTTATTCATCTCCGCCCCTACCGCGGGGTGGCGAAACCAATACCTTAAGACCTTACCATTGTCGTTCCACCATCTTAGTTAATCTCGCTCATAGGCTGAATTAGAATTGCGTTTCCTATCATCGAACTCAGCGAGACAGGTTGAGACAACGGTCAAATCTTCCTTCATTCGTTTGCTTATCCGTTTTGTCTTTTGCTACTTTGCAGGTCACTCAGGCTTGGCATTGTTCGTGAAACAGTCTGGTCCATCTGTATGGCCAAAAACCTGTCCAATAGGTTATTCTCAACATTTGGGAGCCATTGAAGAAGACTGTGAGATCAACTTCTGCGTGAAGTCCAACATATTCAACAGCCAGGGATTTCCCATCATCAAAAGACCTCCTTACTCGAATGCGCCCAAAATTTACAAATACACCGTGCCCTTGCTTGTGGTTAACAATGACACCGGACATATTTGGTTTAAACGATCCAACTCACCACATTGGGTTTTGGCCACTAGAAGGTGAGTGAAGGGAATGTCATTCTCTGAGCAGAGTCGGTACTGAGTAGAATATTGCAGGGTTGAAACCTGAAAGTAAGAGTTGATCTTGTAATAAGATTTTCCAGGTGAGGGAAGCACTAAAACGAACGCTCGTCAGTGAAAATAAAAGCTATCATTAGAGTAAAGTGAAGGGTCGTTTGCCAGTCGAATGACTGCACAGGTTCCTCCCAGGGAATTAACAAACTATTCCTCTTATCTCTTTCGCATTCAGCTCTGTCGCTGAATTCGTAGCCGAAACCAACCTAGATGGTCCTGCAATAATAGGTATGGATCCCGCGCATGAAAACTTGAAAAAAGGCAAAGAAAAGTCTTCCTCACAGAGTTCCCGTGATGCCATGGGTGCCGGGGCCGCGGCTGGTATTACATTCGGCGTGACAGCATTGGCAGGATTGTTGATCGCAGTCATGGTCATTGGCTGGCGTCGCCATAAGATCATTCAAAGAGAGAGCAGCGGTTTAATGGAGCCATTGAATCCCACTGGGTACGGCGCCGTAAAAGAGGAAGGAAGCCCACAAGTTTGAATTATGCAGGAACTTTAAATTGTCTTAAAACTAACAAATGATAAGATAAGATAAGATACTTTATTAACCACCATTGCAGCCATAGGCTGAATTACGGGATATTTACAAATACTAATAATAACATAAGAGAGAATAAGAAAAATTATCTACATCTTATAGACATGGCTAAAAATAAAACTGTTCTTCAAACGCTCGGTTTTACATAGGGGGAGAGTGAAATCACTTTTGCGTCTCAGTGCATATTTACAACTCTTCCTTTGGGGTAGGAGGCTATGGAGATTGTGGGTGGGGTTACAGACGATCTCGTCAAACAGATCGATTGAAATCTTTTCTCTCCTCTCATGAAGTTTCGGTAGGCCAACTGTTTCTAGTGCTACACTATATGAAAGGTCAGGATAGATGATTCTGAATGCCCTTCTTTGGATCCGTTCCAAATCTTCACTGATATAGTTTGATAGAGAATGATGGAATACAGGACTTGCGTATTCCAGGACGGGCCTAATACATGTCACATAGAATTGCACCAGTTCACTTGGTGCCACTCCAGATCTCTTGAGTTGACGTAAAAAGTAGAGACGAGAGGAACATTTTCTAATTAGTTCAGAGGTGTGCATGTTCCACTTTAAATCATGGCTAATGGTCACGCCTAGCAATTTGGCACTGGTGACTGATTCAAGGGGTTTGCCATTTAGAACTAGGGGTTCGAAATCGTGGTTACTGTTGGAAAAGCCAATTCGAAGTTCTTTGCACTTGGAACCCATCGAGACTCGCTTGTCTCGAAAGGTCATCCACAGCTTCTTGGAGTTTGCTCTTATTACCCTTTGTAACTATTTCGGAACAAGATGTATCATCCACGTATTTCCACATGTCAACTGGTGTGTCCAAGTCATTAATCATGACAAGAAATAACCAGGGGCCCAGTTTTGTTCCCTGGGGGACACCGGATGGCACAGAGCGCCATTCAGAGTGACAATCCTGAGCAAGTTTAACTGTTTGTTTCCGGTCCATCAAGAAGTCAACAATCCAACCTTTGACTTGATTCGGAATATCATATGTTGCTAGTTTTTGAACAAGAACACTGTGATCGATAAGGTCAAAGGCCTTACGGAAATCGAGTAGGACTACTCTTGCCGTGGCACCATTTCCGTCGGTGTTAACAAGCCAATTTGCGTCATATTGACCAAGGCATGTGTAGTAGACGATTTGGGAATAGTTCCAAATTGTCGAGGGTCGATTCTTTGTAACACAGCAGGTTTAACGTATTTCTCAACAATGTGATCTTCAGCGAGCTTAGACAGGAGAGGCATGAGGGAAATCGGACGGAGGTGCTTGTTAATGTCATTAATAGGCCTTTGTTTTGGCACCGGGACAAAGTCAGCCTCTTTCCAAGAAGGCGGAAGGCGGGATTCGTGGAACGAGGAGTTGAGGATCGCAGAGACTGGACCCGCCAAGAGATCAGCGTTTTCCTTTAATAACCATGCCGGGATACCGTCTGGCCCATGTGCTTTCGAGGGGTTGAGCGCAGATAGTTTCATAAAAGTTGAAAACTCCGATATCATAATTACGACATGACCTTCGTTGTTGCCTTGTGGTGGGTCAAAAGGATTGTGGGTAAGAGGCTCAAAAATCTGCATTGGGGTCAGGAACGCTGAATTGATGTAATTTGCCAGAACACCTGGTGAAAAACCTAGGTGTTGCATTAATTTGCTGGTGTTGGCCCGCGTTTCTGAGGCAGGTGACATGCCGCTGAGCTTTTTCACCTCTTTCCACCACACGGATGGCTTACACTCCCTCAAATGGCTAACCTTTGCTTCGTAGTACTTTGCCCGGCAGATCTTACGCTCACGATTCACGCAATTTCTGAGCAGTCGAAAGGTATCCATATTTCCTTTTGCAAGGGCACATTGGCGTCGTTTGATCAGGTTCTTGAGTTTGCCATTCAACCACGGAGGCTCGCTTCGATGAATAGATTTGGATCGCGGGGGAGAAATAAAGTCTAGGCCCGTCTTAACAATATTTTCAAATAGTGACACTTTCTCCGCGCAGGTCTCCACGGTGTCAAGGAGGCGTGGTATATCAACAATTTCGAGGTAAATTTGTATTGCGTGTCTTTTACTAGGTCTCAAATCCCTTGAGATAATTGTTTCCTTTGATTGCGATGGTTTTGCTCGAAGCTTGGGCTGAATCTGTTTTTTTTTATTTTTTTTTTTTTATTTATTTATTTTTTTTATTTTCACTTAAAGCACAAATACGAGAATAATACAAACAAATACAAAGTTAATTACACTAACGCTTACGCTACTCACTAACACTAATTACGAAATACTGCGTTACATTACATTCACAGTCGGCTAGATTTAATTTATGTTGTGGTTATATAATAATATAAACCTAATTTGTACAAATACTTCTACATCAAATTCCTTTTTTGGTAGAACGACTGTATATACAACTGCGTCTATAACTGTTAATACCCGATACTCATCTATTGAGTTACAATAACATGTTTTCCCATTTTTTATAATGAATAGATTCTTTTTTATTCTTTTTTGCAATCAAAAATTCAAATTTCCGAGTTTCAGATGTTTTAGCCTTCAGTAAGGATACAGACGGCTTGATATTTTTACAACGACATGAATAATCATAATAATCTCCACTGAACTGTGATCCGAAAGGCCAACTTTAGGTCGCTCGATGGCTTTATCATAGAACTCCTTCATGTTGGTTAGAATACGATCCAAAAAACTTTTCCCTCTGGTCGGAAAGTGAACAATTTGTTTCAGATTGAAATTAGATTTAAGAGTCGTTTCGTTTAGGTGGTTTAAATCGCCGACAAGAAGGATTCCACTGTTTCGATGTTGAGACTCAATTGATGTAAGGCAATTTAATAAATAATCTTGCATTTTCGAGTCAGGAGCTGACGGTGGATGGTATATAACTCCAGATATAATACTAGAAAAGCCTCTAGGGAGTCGAGTTGGTCGCAGCTTTGCCCACAGGACTTCAAAATCAAAGACCGGATTCTCGTCGACCTCGGAAAAATCGAGAACAGAAGAAGGGATGGATTCCTTAATGTACATACACACTCCGCCGTGAGTGGCCTCCTTTCTGTCCCGTCTGATGATATTATAACCATTTATTGCATGACTCCAGATAATAACTTAGTGTCTCTTAAAACGTTTTTGAAGTTGACATTTTCTCGCGCTTTGTTCCGTAAATTCGTTTTCTGATAATTGTGTTTTTCAAGTGACATTGTTACCAGCGCTTGTCCTGTTTGAATTGTGATGGAAGAAATAACCCTAATTTCAGAGGCACAGAGAATGTAAACAAAGGATGTTTCGTTTGACAGAGTACGGTTACACCTGTTTACACAATGATATTGAGTGTCGCTAAACCAAAACCAAAGTAATCACAACTTCTAATCAGAAGGAAAAAAAATACTTTAAGAGCCAATGAGAATTCAAAGTAAAAACCACCGAACTGCTAAAAGCGCGGGAAAACGCGAGCGACTACCTGGTAAATTGGTTTTAGTTTTGATCTGATTGGTCAAGAGAGTAGTGTGAGTTTTCTGCACCAATCACGGACCTAAGTAGAGCAAAAACAAAGCAAGCCTGGATTACTTTCAACTCCTGCTTGTCGTGTCGGACAAACACTGGATCATTGTGTTGTACTCTCAAACTACTTAACTAAAACTGTGCTGTTCACGGTATAATCCTAAAAGCTATTCTGCCTTTTCAGTAGTCGGTTTGAGGAGTTATTTTGCATTGAATCACATTGAAAAACAATGAATAGACGAATAAATACATTTATAACATGGCTGGTAAATTTGTCTAATCAAATTCAATTGCGCGAGCGTGCTTCATATTCCTATTGTGCTCGCTCACGACGTCAGCAAACAAATCCCTCGAGAAAATTTTCCATGGGGTTGAAAATGTTATAAAACAATTGATTCATACGTCATCTGTGACCCAAGATCAATAGACTTTCGATTTTATTTCTTTAATATGTTTTACTAGCGTGGAACAGAGCAAACAAGGCGTGAAATTGTTAATTTGTGCCTTCTCTATTTCACCGTGACTTGAAGTCTGCGATCTCTCTCCTTTCAGGTTCAATTTCTTCGTAAAGCCGTAGATGTTCTGTGCTTGTGTAGAAACACTCTCAAATACACTTACGTGTTCGCTTTCTACCTTAAGAAAAACAATCAGTCAGTTATCTTTGAGGTGAGTTCGTGTAATTCGAAATACTTGTTCATTGTAGAACCGTTTTCAGAATTATTATATCTCTCAGTTAGTGCGTGCGATTGGTCAATTTAACGGGCTTTACTTCACTGCACGCCACGCTAAATTCACAAGTCTGTTGAACTGAAACCTTCCCCCTCTATTTGAACTTAGAGATGTATTGATATCTTACTAACCTCGTTTTTCGGTCCGTACTGTATGTTACGGAATCTCGGTTTTTATCCGCTTTGGCCATACATCTGAGCGGAAAAACTCGGTCCATAACTGACAGCACGGACCGCGAACTCGATTAGCAAGAGGAATTTTTGCTCTTTAGTACTTGAAAATACTCAATTTCTACTTTTTATCGTGCAACCATTTGCTCCTTTGACCAAATGTTATGTTGTGATATCTTTTTATCCGTGTTGAAGCCCATTTGGATCGTATGAATTACCTACCAACATATGATGATCTGACCCTTTCAGAACTAGCAAATTTTTCTGCTTAAAGGAAGTAAACGGAGCATTCCTCTTGTAGGAAATAACTTTGGAACATTTTCAATTCAAACTTATACAGGATAACCAAAAAGATCTAGAAATGGCTACGGAGACACTATCAGAGTACCTAGAGCGTGACATAACTTCAGAGTGTTTATCAGATATTAAACAAAAGGTTCAAGATAAATATAGGTACTTTTATTTAAGAGCTGTACCTTTTTTTTTTTTTAATTTCAAAACGTGGACTCCCCTTTTTAAAAAAAAAAAGTCAAGACAAAAGTTGGGGGGGTGCTCGTTTTTAGAGGGACAAAAGGCAGGTCCCCGTTTTCCCTCTGAATTTCCGCCCAAGTTGATGAACACCTCTGTACAGTATGCATTTCTTTGGTTGAAAACCTACGTTATTCTAATCACAATTTACTACATGGGAGGTTTTGTTAGAAACTTGAGTTTCAGAGGGGGTGCATTGGAGAGGAGAGAAACTTGACTCGTTTTGACTCACTTCAATGGTAGAAAAATTTAAAATATTCAGCTGTTTACGAATCTTTCCTTCTTTACTTTGAGTCAGGGACAAACGATAATACTTCATAGAAGAGGGCAACGAATGGCCTCCAACCTTGAAATGTGTCGGTCAGTAAGAAGAAAATCTCAATATGTGGGAAATAGAAACATCATACCATAGAAAGTGTTTGAACGATTACTATGCACTCGTCGCGATGCATCAAAAAACTCACCCGTTCGTTTTTTTTTTTTTGGTTTTTGTTTTTGTTTTCTCTTGATGCATCGTAGCAATAATATCTATATCCTGTGTTGATGTTTCCAGGTACTGCGAGGCAAGACGAAAAGTTCTTTTAGACCATGTTTATGAAGGATATGAGACTGACATATGGGAATACATGGATTACGACTAAACTTTTAGATTCTTACAGATGAATAATGTTACTAAACGCTAGGATATCAAAAATGGATCAGATTTTGCTGTTATATAGTTTAATATTTTTTTCATATTTACAAATGTTATTAGAAAATTACTTAGAAGTGTACATAAATCAAAACTTTTCCCTAATTGTTTATCTCTGTGACACGGTTTTTTCCTACGTTGTAATCTGCTAGCGTGATCGCCACTTCTTCAATAACCCGCTTTGTGAGGTCCAGATTTTCTATTTTTTTCCCCCTGTAATGAACGTGTTAAATAGGTTACAAGCGACTGAGAGATACGCCAAAGCACAAAAAGAAAGCTGTGATACGACACAAAGCAGCGAGCTAAGGCAGCTCTCATCGTATCGCTGCGAGTTTGGAAATGTAAAATTTGCTTCAGCATGTAGGACTTAATGAAAGTTTTATGGAGATTTTGAGGCGGGGAGATCATTTACGGTCATAATGAAGGTCAACGAACTTTTTTTGTTGCCGATTCACTGTTGTACAACTTAAATGATGTATAATGTCGCTAAACAATTCGTAATTTGAGGTGTGGCTCATTTTAAATACGTCAGCATTGGTGCACTTCAAGACGTATTGATTGCAGTGAACTAGCAAAGAGGTATCATTTACTAAGGAAGATTTTAGCAAGGTGATAATTGCTGCAGTTGTAAGGAAATATCCTAAACTTCTGTCAATTTTAAGACCCCGTTCTCGGTACAAAAAGGACAGCGTACGTTTATGTGCTGTGTCTCAGACTAGGTTGTGAACATGTTTTCCTTCATTTCAACTTATCTTCTGTTGACTTGATGTGTGTTTCTACATTTCTTTTTATCTTACTTTTGAAAATGCTGTTACTTGTAAATAAACACAATTATTAAATGCTTGTCTCTCCATACATTTGTTCATCGCACCTGTGGTGAGGTCCAAATAGCAATGATCGCCTCCGGCAGGAATTCTATGGTGGACCCTTCTGTGCTAACGAACGTCGTTTTCGTAATGCCCATCCACAACAAAACTCAAAACCGATGTTACTTAAATTGACTCACTTTGAATCAAAGAGCATTTTTTAAAACCTCCGTTTTCAATTCAGCCGTGGTATAGACAGTAGCTCTGTCCATAGAACTAACGAAAGTTTGGTTTCCAAACGTATCCGCGCATTTTGTTTAGGGCGTGGGTGAGGGCAGAGTTCGTCAATTTTTCTTGCAACTTGTCGCGCAACATCTTTTCCTTGCAAGTTGGAAAGCGTCGTTGCCCGTATTACCACTCGCTTGTGAAACTTGTCGCGCAACAATATTCAATCTTGCAAATTGCAGTGACATATTCCACGAAGTAGAAGACGGCTCCAATTTTTGTAACGAATCCCGGTGTTTGCTGTTCGTTTTACCACTTGCGCTGCAATATGCAACGCAACAAAGTTGTAGAAAACATTTCCCATTGGCTGGTCCACTCAAGCGCGCACAAGTGCGCTCGGTCCGCGCGCTGTCAAGTCAGTGAACATGGCGGACAAAATTAATGTTTCCTTTAGATTGAATTACTCGACCACAAATCGTCTGAGGCTCAGAAATTTGACCTGTAAACTATAGGGCAGGATTTCCCTTAATAAAAAGCATGGCCTTCATATACTTCCACTGTGAAGTGTCCTCTTACGCTATCAAATGCCGGATGAAACAAGCTATCGACGACACCACGCTCGGCGAAAGGCGCCAAGACTCTCGAACTGTCTTTTTCTGCTTTAATTAAAAACAGGCCGTTGGGACTTAGTAAAGGGTGACCACGACCGCCTAATAGAGATGAAAACTACAGCGATTAAGGTAAAATAAATTCAGGACTTTGACAACTAATCGCTTTAAACAGGGTCACGGTCGTCCGCCATGACTTGCACCAGACTTGCACCAGCACGAAGAAGGGAATGTCGGGTAGGTATAAGAAGGAGAGCAGACACCTTCCTATTTTCACTCGCGCGCATTTCTTGTCAATATTAGGGACCTTTAGATCCTAGGACGGCGAGCGGAAGTTTAAAATATTTGCTTGCGCATTTCCGGTAGGCGTGGCGCGAAGTTCCCCGCCGTAGTTCAGTGGTGTTGTATGCGACGTCAAAACGAAGTGTCTAAAACGTGAGTAAGTTTCTCTTATTTTAAGGTCATTTCAAATGGATTTATCGTATATTTTCAATATATGATGAGCTGTCAAACTTTTTCTTAGCTTGTGACAAATGTAAATGGTTGTAGAACTCATTTAAAGGCAAAGACTGACCTAAGTTTCTTTCTCCTTCAAAACAGCTCCAAAAGTTCGTGACTCAAATAAGCTTAAATTGAGACGCGTTCGAAGGAAACAGTCCAGTAAGTTATTTTCGGTTCATATTCTTGATGAATACTAAAACTAAACTCAGAATTTTAATCAAGATAATTTACCCGAGTTTGTTTAAGGAAAAAATCGCTGAAGCAAGATATTATTGTGGTTTTTCAGATCAAATATTGAGTGGACCGAGGAACATGATAACTGCTTATGTCAAGAAATTTTAGAGCTTAAACCCTTTAAGTACGAGAAAGGAAGCTTTTCTAAAGGCAAATCTAGGAAAAATTGCGAACAATCTGAACGGCCTTAAATTTCCCCGATCCAAAGTCAGTAACCGTGCTTTTAGAGAAAGATACACACTTCTGAGTGAGAAATTTAAAGCAGAGATGAAAGACGAAGAGAGGGAAAGTGGAATTGAATGTGATTTGAGTGAGGTAGAAAAGGCTCTGGAAGAAATAGCCGAAAAAGAAGCTGCAGCTGAAGGCACCATAGAAAACGAGAAGAAGAAAGCTGACAAGGCAAAAGCAGCGCAAATGAGAAACAGAGCGCTAGAAAGCCTGAGCGGAACACAGAAAAGGCAACGGAATGAAGAGGAGGAGAACGTGTAACCAAAGCAAAAAAGTCGTAGAAGTGGAGATGACACAATTGCATATTTGCGCAAAAAATGATCTTGTTCAGAAGTGGAAAGAAGAAGAACTGCAGCTGCAAAAGCAACGAGTTGAAGTTGAGGGTAAAAGGGAAGATAAATCAACAAACAACATCAGGATATAATGAAAGTCGTGGTGAAACAAACTAAGCAGCAGCCAGAGCAGATGCAGATTTTTCAGCAGATGTTTACCTTAATGCAACAAAAGCAGTCCCAAATAATTATGAAGCTTCTAGAAAAACAAAATTAACTTGGCTTGGTTTTGCATTCGGCATTTAAATGGTTTATCAGGTAAGTTTAATTTGACGTTGTTGTTTCTTATTATACCTAAAATCTTACATTGCATTAAGACTTAGACAAACTGTTGGACACGAATGTTATCCATATTTTGATCACTTTATTAGCAACTTATCTACAAAATAATGACGTATCGTTATCATTTTGCCGAAGTTTTGTATAAACACATAAAAGAAAAATATTTGCAGAGGTTTAAGTAGGCATTCTGACTTCAACGAGTCAAGTGATGTTGTCACATAAATATTTAACCGAAACAGTCTAAGTGCCGTTTCACTTGCCAATGTTTAGAGACATACGTACATCAGATAAGTCAAATCAATCAACAAATATAGAAAAGTATAGAGTGGTTTGGTTAACTTGATAAGATCAAGACGGACATGTTTTTCTCTGTTATTGCGAGTATTGTCTTGTCGTATGATTTTGTATTTTTATCAAACCACGTTATTTTAGCAGAATAAAATTATGCACTTCGCAGAAAATGACTCAAAATAGTGAGACGTTGACGATACACATACAATTTTAATTCTTAAAGGCATAGATGTTCGTAAGTCATATTTTGTCTACTTCGCAAGGGATTTTTGGGACGTCACCCAATGCGGCGGCAGATGAGATCAAGTTATTTGTTTTATCTTTTTAATTTTTAATGTCCCTCATTCTGTTCACTCGCACAATGCTCTCAACATCGCTGATCCTAGCAGTATGCAGGACACGTGACGCGTATAAGCTTAGTAATTAGTAACGTTACCATAGCGGTTCTCAGTAGCTTGTAAAACATTCTCAATATAGACTCAGGTTTATTGCTCTGTTCCACGCTCGTTGCAAGGCGAAACAGGCTAAGTTATGCTATTTGAAGATTGTTTTGACGCACGTGGATGTTGGACAAATAGCACACCCGCCAAGATGAAAACGATCTTAATTATTCATGTTCAATAAAAAATTTTCCATATTTTAGTTTCCCGAAACGCATAATTATAGAACCACTCAACAAGATAAACGCTTGTTTCTTTCTCTTCATACAATTATTTACCAGTGGAATAACTGAATGAAGGCAAATAACGACTTACAAGGAGGAACATAGAGTGTGCTACGTAAACGTCATAACATGTTCAGGTTTGATTTGTGTGATTATTTTTACTTGTAAGACTCGACGTTTGTTCATGAGTTTTGAACGTGCTTGTAAGGGATGGAACAGAAGTAAATATTGATTCGAAACCGAAATCTCTCTTGGATCAAGTAACCATCATACATACTTTCGTTTCTAATCAGATTTATGATGGCGTTATCGGCTGAGTTTTACCGAGCGTTTGGATTGTTTCAAGTTTCTTTGGTCTTCCTTGGATCCAGTCTTGCTTACGCTGAAAATAATCCCTCGCCACGATTTCCAGTTGGCGATCCACGAAACTGTCCTCTTACAAACGGAGTTCATCGCGCCGAGGTTCTTCCGGGAGGCGGCTGGGACAACCTAAGAAATGTTCATATGGGCGCTGTTTCAGTGATGAATTACTCCAAGTGCAAGACTTCAGACGACGGCAAGTATCTCATTCCCGATGATGTGTTCCTGTATCCTATCAAGGAGAGCAAAGTGCATGTATTTGCTGAAATGTACGATCACTGGCACAACTATTCGTCCACCACAACGAAGTCTATTAATGCTGAAGGAAAATTTGGTTTTGGAAGTGTAAGTGGTTCGTTTTCTTCTGAGTTCGAATCAGTGAAGAAACATCAAGTGGAAGATAAGACTGTAACCACTCGAGCACAACTACGCCATGTTTTATACACGGCGAAACTCCAGCCCGATGCCCCCCTAGAGCTACCGTTCAAGTCCCGTTTGCTCGAGATCGCATCTCACTTACAGCATATCAATACTGCCTGTGCGAATTTTCTCGCCCTAAAATTAGTTCGAGATTTCGGAACGCATTATGTTACAGGCGTCAAGGCCGGAACAGCCCTGGCCAAAGTGGATCACTTGACAAAGAAATTCGTTGCTGGTTTCAGTGAAGATAAAAGTAAGATCACAGCCGCCGCGAGTGCATCTTTTTTGGGAAAGTTTGGAGTCGGTGCTGGCTATACTCAGACAACAGACAAAAAAGTTTTGGATGAATACACACAGAACATCGTTTATTCCACAGTATATACATTCGGTGGACCTCCATTCAGGATGAATTTTACCATTAATAAATCGGAAGACCAACTATCGGATGAGCTGGTTGCAGTTGATCGGTCCGGAGACCCTCTTCACTTTGCAATTACACCCAAAAGTGTACCAGAATTGTCCGAAGAACTGGTCTTCAAACTAGCCAACGTTGTCGGAAAAGCCATTAAGCAGTACTATGAGCACAATACCATTAAAGGATGCACCAAAATGGACTCTCCGAACTTCAGCTTTCAGGCCAACCTCGACGATGGATCTTGCGAGAGTCCAACCAATAACTACACCTTTGGGGGCGTTTATCAAACGTGCCAATGTGATGGCTCTCTATCCAGTAATCCATGTGAATCCTTTCTCCAGAAGAACCCTCTCACGGCCAACTACTCTTGTAGTAATGGTTATGAACCAGTCATGGTACATCAAGGTCGCACACCCGAAAGCTGTCATCGTGAGTGCCACGGATGGTGGATTTTTAAAAGCTGCGACACTCATTGCAGATTCGCCAGCTGCGACACCTACTGGTGTGTTGCTAAAGGTTCGGTGCCTCGTAATACAGGATATCTCTTTGGTGGACTCTACAGCAATGTGTTAAAGAACCCAGTCACACAAGATCACAGCTGTCCAGCGAAGTTTTATGCCTTGCGCTTCGGAACCACTATGCAAATTTGTGTGAGCGATGACTACGAGCTAGGCTTCCAGCAGTCAGTCCCCTTTGGTGGCTTCTTCAGTTGTAATACTGGTAATCCTCTCGGTGTAAAGAAAGTAGCGGACAGTACCAAAGGATCAAACGGTATGTTCTCCCTTTCCCTTATACACCTTATATTGGTAGGCATGTTCTCTCTGCTTTTCTCAAGACATTTCCTATTTTAACGACGGGGAGAAATTGTTTAACGATCAAGAGCTTCTTTGATAAATGATTATTTTTTTTGTATTCGTGACCTTAGTGTTTGATTTAGGAGTGAGAATGTGAAGAGAAATTAGATACTTATCACTGTTAGAGGTTGAAGGGTTACATTGAAATAGACCCTTAAGCTTAATGGTTTCGTTTTCTTCCTTTTTTTGCCTTTGATATAACTTTTTTTTTATCCTTAATGATTGCTAGAAATTCTTAAAACTCAAAAAAGCCTGATTATTTTAAGATCAGTAGGCGCATTTGATTCTTGCTTTCTCGTTGTTGCGATTTTGCTTAGGATCAATATATCATTTTGTTGCAATTTTATCTGAAAGCAACTCTAAAAAGCTTTAGTGGCAAAGAGCATTTAACTGCCAAATGAAAATAGAGCCTGACTTTCTGGTTTCAATTACCACTCGGCCAACCTACAACTCATCAACAATTGACGGCCTTTGTTTTCCAACGCAGGTATGGCTTTTTCTTTCGTTTTTCCTTGAAAACATGTTTCCCATGAAACTTTGTTCTAAATAAGTAATGTTCGGCTTTTCCAATTGTTTTGCGGTACTATTTTCTTCCGACTATGAAGGAAATTTTGAAAGTCATGGTTTGGTATCAATCGATAAGTTTTTTTTTTCTTCTAGCTCGGTGAGAAGCTACGACACCTTTTTAAGTCCATGAATGGTTAGGGAATATGACCGCATTTATGAGAACTAGAAAAAAAATGAGCGAGATAATTTTGTACACTTTCGAGTCGCATAAATAAAGTAAATGTTGACACTCAGAATCGGCTACATATGGGAAATGCTTGTTGACATCTAGCGTTATACAGTGATAAGATCTTGATAAAAGAGATTTCACACGAAATTTCTAAATCAGGAGCACAAGCGAACGATCGAGGAACAAAGCCAACATCTAACTCGGGTTCTTTCTTTTTCGCGGTAAAGCCTGAACACAACTTAGCCACTGTCATTTATCTCCGCCCTTAATGCAGGGTGGCCAAACCAATACCTTGAGACCTTACCATTCGCGTCCACCTATCCCAGTTAATTTCGCTCATATCTGAATTAGAACTGTGTTTTCTTTTATCGAACACAACGAGACAGGTTGAGACAACGATCAAATCTTCCTTCATTCGTTTGCTTATCCGTTTTGTCTTTTGCTACTTTGCAGGTCACTCAGGCTTGGAGTTGTTTGTGAACCAGTCTGGTCCGTCTGTGTGGCCTAAAACCTGTCCAATAGGTTATTCTCAACACTTGGGAGCCATTGAAGAAGACTGTGAGATCAACTTCTGCGTGAAGTCCAATATATTCAACAGCCAGGGATTTCCCATCATCAAAAGACCTCCTTACTCGAATGCGCCCAAAATTTATAAATACACCGTGCCCTTGCTTGTGGTTAACAATGACACCGGACAAATTTGGTCAAAACGATCCAACTCAACACATTGGGTTTTGGCCACTAAAAGGTGAGTGACGGGAATGTCATTCTCTGAGCAGAGTCGGTACTGAGTAGAATACTACATGGTGGAAACCTATTGTCAGTGACAGTAAAAGCCATCATCAGAGTAAAGTGAGAGGTTGTTTGCTAGTCGAATGACTGCGCAGGTTTCTTTGTGTTATCATTAGTTTTAAGCTCGAGTAGAGTTCGTCAATTTCGATCTCTACGGTTAGTAAAGTTAGGTCGTTCAGATCATTGGTTATATCCATGTTCCGAGAGGAGAAGGGAAAAGGGGGGGAGCGGAAGATTTTTAGGGGATCACAATGTTTTAAGGGGAAACTGCAAGGGGATCAGCAGTTTCTAGCAGAGTTTATGAGGGGGGGAAATAGAAAATTGACTGCCAGTGAGGGGAGGGGGATCATGAGAATACTGCAAAGCCTCACGAGAAGATCATCTGAATTTTATCATGACGCAACCAAAATCCTCGTCCCCCCCCCTTCCCTCACTCTCCCTCGATGTCCCCAAACTTGTTGACCAACCAACGAACAGAATAATAACAAATCAAGGGACAAGGAAACTAAATTTATTAGCAGAGCTAAATGAACTGACTGTCACTATTATTTCAACGAGCTGGATCTTCTCAGGGAATTAATAAACCATTTCTCGTATCTCTTTCGCATCCAGCTCGGTTGCTGAACTTGCAGCCGAAACCAACCCAGATGGTCTTGCGCATGAAAACGTGAAATCTACCACTCATGGCAAACAAAAGTCTTCCTCCCAGAGTTCCCGTGATGCCAAGGGTGCCGGGGCCATGGCTGGTATTACATTCGGCGTGACAACATTGCTGATCGCAGTCATGGTTATTGGCTGGCGTCGCCATAAGACCAATCAAAGAGAGAGCAGCGGTTTGATGGAGCCATTGATTCCCACTGAGTGCGACGCAGTTAATGAGCAAGGAAGCCTACGAGTTTGAATTATCCAGGAACTTTTTTCTTTTTTCCCAAACTTAACAAACGTAGATAGGAAGACCATTCAAAGAGAAACGTAGATAGGAAATTTTTTAATAACATTGTTGTTGTTCTCTATAAATGGAAGAATTAACCCTAAGTTTTTGAAGTTGACAGGGGTTTTGTTTCTGTTACACCTGTTTACACGATGATGTTTTGTCTCAGAAAAATACTCTAAGAGCCAATGAGAACTTAAATTAAAGATCACCGAATTATCTTTTTTTTTTTTTCGAGTTTTCTGTACAGAAGAAGAACAAAACCAAAGCAATCTTGGATTATAACACTCAATTGAAAATTTTCTCCATATTGTGTCGCACAAACAGTGGATTATTAAGTTGTGCTCTCTAAATACTTATATAGAACTCTGTTGATTTCGGTATAATCTTAAAAGTTATTCTGCCTTTTCAGTAGTCGGTTTAGAGAAGTTATTTTGCATTGAATCACGTTGAAAAACAATGAATAGACGAATGAATACATAAATAGATATTCAGAGAAATTATACTGACGTTAGAATTCGGATATAAACAAGGAGAGAATCTTTCAAACCTGACCATTAGATTTTCTTACGCTCCAAATGAGTTTCTTATGGCCTGCAAGTATTTAATCTCGTTCCCAGAGGTCAGGCTTCCCCCAATCCCTTGCGAGCCGGAAACGCCGAAGATTGCATGTATCAAAAGAAAGAGGGTAGCCAATAATTAGACTTATAGTAAGTATCCCACGTAAAAGTTATATGCCGTAGGGTTTTATAATTTTAAGGGTTGTTAAGCCCCGTGAAGCTGTCAGCAAATATTTCTCAGGGCTGTAATATAAGGAAGATAACAAGGACACGATACTCCTTTTCAAAATTCCTATAAAGTAGTTGGGGCGTTCTGGGAAGGGAGGGAAACTGTCACGTATCTTTTGAAGGCGGTCGACCCATCTTTATACCCACCCTGTGGCTCTGCCGACCTTTGGTTGCCTAGACTGTGCAAGGCTCTCGGTTTGTAGAAACGAATGAGAAAGGAGCGCCCATCCCAGAAAACCGGAAACCCGTCACCGTGTAAACATTTCCAACGTGCGCTGCAGGGTTCTGCGAGAGAGATGACAGGCAGTCGCCGTATGTATCCTTTATCAAATTGGTTATATGAGTTGTGAATTTGGCCATAATTGGCTTTAAAAAAATTGCAAACATAAACCGCAGTTTCTGTCACTTCGAACAAAAAAAATTGACTTTTTCGTTGAGTAAAAGACCCATTTCGCAAAAATAAATGTTCGCAGCAAGTGCATGAACGATTTATATGCACTCATTGTGATACACCCAGAAGAGTAGGCAAACGAATCAAAATATCATTGACTCCATAATGCGCAAAATATTCGAAAATTATAAAGATTATAGAAGTCATTTAAAGGCGAAAACTGACCTAAGTTTCTTTCTCCTTCAAAACAGCTCCAAAAGTTCGTGACTCAAATAAGCTTAAATTGAGACGAGTTCAAAGGAAATAGTCCAGTAGGTTGTTTTTGGTTCATATTGTTAATGAATATTAAAACTAAACTAGGAATTTTAATTTAGATAATTTACCCAAGTTTGTTTAAGGAAAAAACCACTGAAGCTAGATATTATTGTGGTTTTTCAAATCAAACGTGGAGTGGACCGAGGAACATGACAATTGCTTGTGTCAAGAAATTTTAGTACTTGAATACTTTAAGTACAAAAAAAGTAAGCATTTCTAGAAGCAAAATCTAGGAAAAATGGCAAACAATCTGAACGGCCTTAAACTTCCTCGATTCAAAGTCAGTAACCGTGCTTTTAGAGAAAAATACACATTGCTGAGTGAGAAATTTAAAGCAAAGATAAAAGACGAAGAGAAGGCAAGTGGAATTGAACGTGATTTGAGTGAGGTGGAAAAGGCTCTGGAAGAAATAGCCGAAAGAGAAGCTGCAGCTGAAGACACCGTAGAAAACGATAAGAAGAAAGCTGACAACGCAAAAGCAGCGGAAATGAGAAACAGAGCTTTAGAAAGCCTGAACACGGAACACAGAAAAGGCAGCGAAACGAAGAGGAGGAGAAAGTAAAGCCAAAGTAAAAAGGTCGTAGAAGTGGAGGTGACGCAATTGCATATTTGCTCGAAAAAAATGATCTTGTTTAGAAGTGGAAAGAAGAAGAATTTCAGCTGCAAAACCAGCGAGTTGATGTTGAGGGTAAACGGGAAGATCGATCAAGAAAACGACATCAGCATATGATGAAAGTCTTGGTGGAACAAACTAAGCAGCAGCAAGAGCAGATGCAACTGGTTTCAGCAGATGTTTACCTTAATGCAACAAAAGCAGTCTCAAATAATTATGAAGCTTCTAGAAAAACAAAATTAACTTGGCTTGGTTTTGCACGATGATGTTCATAATATGTTTGATTTTGGTTGTGAATACTTCAATGGTTTATCAGGCAAGTTTATACTTGACGTTGTTGTTTCTTTTCATACCTAAAATCTTACATTGTATCAAGACTTGGACAAACTGATAGACTCGAATGATATCCATATTTTGATCACTTTATAAGCAACTTATTACTGGGATACCTGTGGTAGCCCAGTCATAAAATGCCTGTTTTTTTCGTCGATTTACAACGATAAATATTTCGAAATATGAACATTTTGTCGTAAAATCAATAAAACTTACTCATACCCTGTGTATCCGTTGTATTTTCTGGCGATTTCTGCCGTTTTTTTTTTTTTTTTTTTTTTTTTTTTTTCCTCCGCCACAAAATGGAAAAATTGCGCAATAGTATCCAGTGGTCATTGGGCCCTCAACACCATGACAACTAACTGTGATCCAATGGGGTGAAGGTGTTCCTCAACACCACATGATGATCACGTGTTATCTTGATGATGATTGACGTTGTCATGCACGGACAGGTCCGAGTCACATGACAAACACGAGATTTTTGCTTAGAAAACTCTTTTGTCGGTCGTTTTGTATTTCAACGTGTTCTGATTACGATCATCTGAAGCATTATAGCGCAAACGCTCGAAATACATACAGATGCATACACAAGTCGTATTGTTCGCGGCCAATCCACACTAAAAGATGTTATTGAGCGGTAATTTTGGACCGGATTGAGTCGCGAACTGTGTATCCGTTGTAGTTTCTGGTGATTTCTGCCGTTTTAAGCTTGCTTTATCATCACTGTTATTCACATCATCTACTTTTGTTACGTTGGTAAAATCTGTACAGACATCACACAAACCAACTCGCGCACAAAGTAAGAAGACTATATTGAAGGCTTGAAATTATATTACGATCGATTTTCATCAAGAAATAGGCCAGGAATTTTCCACAATAGTGCAAATAATCGTGAAGGCTGATCGAGGAAAAGCGATTGCGTGACGCTCGGTAAGCTGTAAGATGACATGTTATTATTTACCAGACGTAAAAACTCTTCAGATTCTCAGTCTGCATTTTGTACCCACTCTGCAGTCTCCAGTCTATATTTTGTATCCGGTCTGCTGACTGCATTTTGTACTAGGTATCTGTGGCACCAATACAGTTTATTTTTGGTTACATTTATTCGCACAAAACACACAATCTACTACAAAATACCTGTGTGTGAGGTAATTCGACATTTTCGTTCTTTTCCACGTTAATACTCTTCTTTCCTTTTGTAAGAATGTAGACCACAAGTAATCCACCCACCCTACAAAAAATAACTCTTGCATGCATAGCATGCCTATGTTTTGAAATAGGTGTATGCCCTTAGCCAGACTTGAGCTCACTATTTCAGTATACTAATCCGACACCCGTAGTATCACTACACTTGATTCCAAGGATCCAGTACCATGCAGGTATTCCAGTTACCCTGCTCACAGGGTCTAGTCTACAGTTCAAAATAATGACATATCATGTTGCCAAAACTTTGTATTAACACATTAAAGAAAAATATTTGCAAAGGTTTACGTAGGCATTCTGACTTCAACGAGTCAAGTGATGTTGTCTCATAAGTATTTAACCGGAACAGTCTACGTGCCGTTTCACTTTCCAATACTTAGTGACATCCTTACATCAGATAAGTCAAATCACTCAACAAATATAGAAAAGTATAGAGTGGTTTGGTTAACATGATAAGATCAAGACGGACATGTTTTTCTCTGTTATTGCGAGTATTGTCTTGTCGTATGATTTTGTATTTCTATCAAACCACGTTATTTTAGCAGAATAAAATTATGCACTTCGCAGGAAATTACTCAAAATATTGAGACGTTGACGATACACATACAATTTTAATTCTTAAAGGCATAGATGTTCGGATGATCTAAGTTATATTTTATCTACTTCGCAAGGGATTTTCGGGACATCACCCAATGCTGGGGCAGATGAGATCAAGTTATTTGTTTTATCTTTTTAATTTTTAATGTCCCTCATTCTGTTCACTCACACAATGCTCTCAACATCGCTGATCCTAGCAGTATGCAGGACACGTGACGCGTATAAGCTTAGTAACTAGTAGCGTTACCATAGCGGTTCTCAGTAGCTTGTAAAACATTCTCAATATAGACTCAGGTTTATTGCTCTGTTCCACGCTTGCTGCAAGACGAAAGAGGCTAAGTTATGCTATTTGCAGATTGCTTTGACGCACGTAGATGTTGGACACATAACACACCTGCCAAGATGAAAATGATCTTAATTATTCGTGTTCAATTAAAAATTTTCCATATTTTAGTTTCCCGAGACGCATAATTGAAACCAACTCAACACGATAAACGCCTGATTTTTTTCTCTTTATAAAACTATTTGCCAGTGGAATAACTGAATGAAGGGAAACTTACTTACAAGGAGGAACATAGAGTGTGCTACGTAAACGTCACAACACGTTCAGGTTTCATTTGTGTGATAATTTTTACTTGTAAGACTCGATGTTTGTTCATGAGCCTTGAACGTGCCTGTAAGGGATGGAACAGAAGTAAATATTGATTCTAAACCGAATCTCTCTTGAATCACGTGACAGTCATACATACTTTCGTTTCCAATCAGATTTATGATGGCGCTATCGGCTGGGTTTTACCGAGCGTTTGGATTGTTTCAAGTTTCTTTGGTCTTTCTTGGATCCGGTCTTGCTTACGCTGAAAATAATCCCTTACCACGATTTCCAGTTGGCGATCCACGAAACTGTCCTCTCGCAAACGGAGTTTATCGCTTCGAGGTTCTTCCGGGAGGCGGCTGGGACAACCTAAGAAATGTTCATATGGGCGCTGTTTCAGTGATGAATTACTCCAAGTGCAAGACTTCAGACGACGGCAAGTATCTCATTCCCGATGATGTGATCCTGTATCCTATCAAGGAGAGCAAAGTGCATGTATTTGCTGAAATGTACGATCACTGGCACAACTATTCGTCCGCCACAACGAAGTCTATCAATGCTGAAGGAAAATTTGGTTTTGGAAGCGTAAGTGGTTCGTTTTCTTCCGAGTTCGAATCAGTGAAGAAACATCAAGTGGAAGATAAGACTGTAACTACTCGAGCACAACTACGCCATGTTTTATACACGGCGAAACTCCAGCCCGATGCCCCTCTGCAGGCACCGTTCAAGTCGCGTTTGCTCGAGATCGCTTCTCACTTACACCATAACAATACTGCTTATGCAAATTTTCTCGCGCAAGTATTGGTTCGAGATTTCGGAACGCATTATGTTACAAGCGTCAAGGCCGGAGCAGCCCTGGCTAAAGTGGATCACTTGACAAAGAAATTCGTAGCTGACTTCAGTGAAGATAAAAGTAAGATCACAGCAGCCGCGAGTGCATCTTTTTTCGGGGTGTTTGGAGCCAGTGCTAGCTATACTCAGACAACTGACAAAAAAGTCTTGGATGAATACAAACAAAACATCGCTTATTCCACAGTATATACATTTGGAGGACCTCCATTCAGGGTGAATTTTACCATCAATAAATGGGAAGACCAACTATTGGACGAACTGGTTGCAATTGATCGGTCAGGTGACCCTCTTCATTTTGCAATTACACCCGGAAGTGTACCAGAACTGTCCGAAGAACTGGTCTTCAAACTAGCCAACGTTGTCCAAAAAGCCATTAAGCAGTACTATAAGCACAATACCATTAAAGGTTGCACCAAAGTGGACTCTCCGAACTTCAGCTTTCAGGCCAACCTCGACGATGGATCTTGCGAGAGCCCAACCAATAACTACACGTTTGGGGGCGTTTATCAAACGTGTCAATGTGAGGGCTCTCCATCCAGTAATCCTTGTGGGTCCTTTCTCCAGAAGAACCCTCTCACGGCCGACTACTCTTGTAGTAGTGGTTATGAACCAGTCATGGTACATCAAGGTCGCACACCCGATAGCTGCTATACTGAGTGCCACGGATGGTGGATTTTTAAAAGCTGCGACAGCTATTGCGGATTCGCCAGCTACGACACCTACTGGTGTGTTGCGAAGGGTTCGGTACCTCGTAATACAGGGTATCTCTTTGGGGGACTCTACAGCAATGTGTTAAAGAACCCAGTCACACAACATCACAGCTGTCCAATGAAGTTTTACGCCTTACGCTTCGGAGCCACCATGCAAGTTTGTGTGAGCGATGACTACGAGCTAGGCCTCCCGCAGTCGGTCCCTTTTGGTGGCTTCTTCAGTTGTAATACTGGTAATCCTCTCGCTGCAAAGAAAGCAGCGGACAGTGCTAAAGGATCAAACGGTATGTCTCCTTCTTTTCCCCTTTTACACCCTTGCATTGGTAAGCATATTTTCCCTTCTCTCTCCGAGACATTTCCTATGTTAACGATTAAGAGAAATTATTTAACGGTCAAGAGGTTCTTTGATAAATGATTATTTCTTTTCTATTTGTGACCTTAGTGTTTGATTTAGGAGTGAGAATGTGAAGAGAAATTAGATACTTATCACTGTTAGAGGTTGAAGGGTTACATTGAAATAGATCCTTAAGCTTAATGGTTTCATTTTCTTCCTTTTTTTACCTTGATTGCTAGAAATTCTTAAAACTAAAATTGCCTGATTGTTTTAAGATCAGCAGGTGCATTCGATTCTTATTTTCTCGTGGTTACGATTTTGGAATAGTTGTGCCATCTGAGGCCCGGGATCTCTCAATGTATCATTTTGTTGCAATTTTATCTGAAAGCAACTTTATAAAGCTTTAGTGGCATAAAGCATTTAACTGCCAAATGAAAGTGGAGCTCGACTTTCTGGTTTCAATTTGGCAAACTGTCCGTAAAGAAATAAAGCAACATAGGTAGTAGATGTTGACACTCAGAATCCGCTACATATGGGAAACGCTTGTTGGCATCTAGCGATACACCTTGATAAGATAATAATGAAAGAGATTTTACACGAAATTTCTTTATCAGGCGCTTAAGCGAACGATCGAGGAACAAAGCCAACATCTATCTCGGGTTCTCTCTTTTTCGCTGCAAAGCCTGAACACGACTTAGCCATTGTTATTCATCTCCGCCCCTGCTGAGGGGTGGCCAAACCAATACCTTGAGACCTAACCATTCGCGTTCCACCATCCCAGTTAATCTCGCTCATATCTGAATTAGAACTGTGTTTTCTATTATCGAACGCAACGAGACAGTTTGAGACAGTGATTAAATCTTCCTTCATTCGTTTGCTTATCCGTTTTGTCTTTTGCTACTTTGCAGGTCACTCAGGCTTGGCATTGTTTGTGAAACAGTCTAGTCCGTCTGTATGGCCTAAAACCTGTCCAATAGGATATTCTCAACATTTGGGAGCCATTGAAGAAAATTGTGAAATCAACTTCTGCGTGAAGTCCAATATATTCAACAGCCAGGGATTTCCCATCATCAAAAGACCTCCCTACTCGAATGCGCCCAAAATTTACAAATACACCGTTCCCTTGCTTGTGGTTAACAATGACACCGGACATATTTGGTTTAAGCGATCCAACTCACCACATTGGGTTTTGGCCACTAAAAGGTGAGTTGAGTAAAGGGAATGTCATTCTCTGAGCATAGTCGGTATTGAATAGAATATTACAGGGTTGAAACTTATCGTCAGCGACAGTAAAAGCCATCATCAGAGTAAATTGAGGGGTCGTTTGCCAGTCGAATGGCTGCGAAGGTACTTCTGTGTTATCATTAGTTTACAGCTCGAGTAGAATTCGTCAATATCGATCCGTTAGTAAAGTTAGATCGTTCGGTTCATTGGTTATATCCATTCACTGGTTATATCCATACCATACCATACCATGTTCCGAGAGGAGGGGGGAAAGGAGGGGGGGAAGATTTTAGGGGATCAAAAGATTTTAAGAGGGATCGGGGATCAGTAGTTTCTAGCGTTTTAAGGGGGAAAAACTGCCAACAAGGGAGGGGATCAGTAGTTTCTACGGGAAGAGTTTAAGTTTTATCATGGCAACCAAAATCCTCGTGCTTCCCCGAGGGTTGACCAACCAAGGTTAGAATAATAACAGATCAATAGAAAAGAGAAACAAATTTATTAGCACAGCCAATTGAACTGACTGTCCTTTTTACCTCAACGAGCTGCATCTTCTCAGAGAATTAGTAAACTATTTCTCTTATCTCTTTCGCATCCAGCTCTGTCGCTGAACTCGCAGCCAAATCCAACCTAGATGGTCCTGCGATAATAGGTATGGATCCGAAACAAAGTTCCCGTGATGCCATGGGTGCCGGGACCGCGGCTGGTATGACATTCGGCGTGACAGCATTGGCGGGATTGCTGATCGCAGTCATGGTCATTGGCTGGCGTCGCCATAAGACCATTCAAAGAGAGAGCAGCGATTTAATGGAGCCATTGAATCCCCCTGGGTACGGCGCAATTAATGAGCAAGGAAGCCCACGAGTTTGAATTACCCCGGAACTTTTTTCTTTTTTCCCAAACTTAACAAACGTAAATAGGAAATTTGTCTAGATAATAACTTGGTGTCTCTTTAAACGTTTTTAAAGTTGATCTATTGTCTTAGTTTTTCCCGTAAATTCGTTTTTGAAGTTACATTGTTTTCAGCATTTGTTCTAATGTAAGTGTGATGGAAGAATTAACCCTAATTTTTGAGGCGCAGAGAATGTAAGCACAGGAGGTTTTGTTTGAAAGAATACTGTTACACCTGTTTACACGATGATATTGAGTGTCTGAAAACCAGAACCAAAGTAATCACAACTTCCAATCAGAAGAAAGAAAAATACTTTAAGAGCCAATGAGAACTTAAAGTTAAGACCACCGAATTGTCTCAAGCGCGGGAAAACGCGAGCGACTGAGTCGTGAATTGGTTCGAATTTTGATCTTATTGGTCGAGTTTTCTGCAACAACTATAGATCGAAGAAGAACAAAAACAAAGCAATCTTGGATTATAACACTCAATTGAAAATTTTCTCCATATTGTGTCGCACAAACGCTGGATTACTATTTTGTGCTCTCTAACTACTTAATATATAGAACTGTGTTGATTACGGTATAATCTTAAAAATTATTCTGCCTTTTCAGTAGTCGGTTTAGAGAAGTTATTTTGCATTGAATCACGTTGAAAAACAATGAATAGACGAATAAATACATAAATAGATATACAGAGAAATTATACTGACGTTAGAATTCGGATATAAACAAGGAGAGAATCTTTCTTTCAAACCTGACCGTTAGATTTTCTTACGCTCCAAATGAGTTTCTTATGGCCTGCAAGTAATCAATCTATTTGCTATTTTGAACTACTCGTTTCAGTAGTGTTCTCAGCTGCGAGGATCTCTTAATTTCGTTTATTCACCGCAGTGCAAATATATGAATTTCATATATCTAAAATCACCATTCATCACTTGGATGGTTTATTTGGACCCAACACATTGACCAGCTCCCAGTTAGTTTGTTAGCTCAATTGGTAGAGCGCTGCACCGGTATCGCACAGGTTATAGGTTCAAATCCCGTACGGGCCTGAATTTTTTTCAGGTCCTATTTTCAACTAATCGTTTCAGTGGTAGAGCACTGCACCACTGGTATCGCAGAGGTCATGGGTTCAAATCCCGTGCGGGCCTGAATTTTTTCAGTTCAGGAGTGAACCCAGCAAACGAGTGAGATGTCCAGTTGAACTCGAGAAGAGAAATTTCATATCTATAAGTAACCACGTAATATTTTGTTTATCATATAAACACAATCGCCCTTTACTGACAAGAAAAGTCGACTTTATTAACGAATGAGAATTAAAGGATCGACAATTCCCAATAAAATTGTAAAGTGCGTTGGCACTAAGGCTCACGATGATAAAATGCGTTGAATTATTTCAAAAACAACAATGGGCGTACTTTTCAAGATACAACATCGGCCTACGGCAAATCTTCCAGCTCGATTCCATAAATCGAAACTTCTCCCTAATTGTTTATCTCTGTAACACGGTTTTTTTCCTATTTTGTAACCTGCTAGCTTGATCGCCACTTCGTCAGTAACCCGCTTTATGAGGTTCAGATTTACTATTTTTTTCCCGCTGTAATGAACATTTTAAATAGATTACAAGCGACGGAGAGATACGCCAAAGCACAAAAAGAAAGCTGTAAGGTAGCTCGTCATCGTATCGCTGCGAGTTGGGCAATGTTAAATTTGCTTCAGCATGTAGGACTTAATGAAAGCTTTAGAGATAGTTTGCAGCCAACATTAAGGTCAACGAACTTTTTTTGTTGCCGATTCACTGTTGTGCAACTTCAATGATGTATAATGTCGCTAAACAATTCGTAATTTGAGGTGTGGCTCATTTTAAATACGTCAGCATTGGTGCACTTCAGGACGTATTGATTGCAGTGAACTAGCAAAGAGGTATCATTTACTAAGGAAGATTTTAGCAAGGTGATAATTGCTGCAGTTGCAAGGAAATATCCTAAACTTCTGTCAATTTTAAGACCGCGTTCTCGGCACATAGAGGACAACGTACGTTTATGTGCTGTGTCCCAGACTAGGTTGTGAACATGTTTTCCTTCATTTCAACTTATCTTCTGTTGACTTGATGTATGTGTCTACATTTCTTTTTATCTTACTTTTGAAAATGTTGTTACTTGTAAATAAACCCAATTATGAAATGCTTGTCTCAGCAGTCGGTCATCGCACCTGTGGTGAGGTCCGTACAACAGTGATCGCCACCCCGGCAGAAATGCTGGTGGAAAAGTGCTATCTAAAGTGCTATCGAGTGTCGTTTTCGAAATTTTGTATATCCGCAGCAAAACTCAAAACCGGTGTTAATCAAATTGACTCACTTTGAATCGAAGAGCATTTTGAAAACCTCCGTTTTCAATTCAGCTGAGTGGTATATACGGTAGCTCTGGCCATAGAATTTATGAAAGTTGAGTTTCCAAACGCATCCGCGCATTTTTCTTCCAGAAGTGGTTGAGGGCAGAGTTTGTCAATTTTTCTTGCAACTTGTCGCGCAACATCTTTGCTTTGCAAGTTGGAAAGCGTTGTTGCCCGTATCACCACTCGCTTGTGCAACTTGTTGCGCAATAACATTCAGTCTTGCGAATTGCAGCCACATGTTCCACGAAGTAAAAGACGGTTCTACTTTTTGCAACGAATCCTGGTGTTTGTTGATTGTTTTACCACTTGCACTGCAACATGCAACGCAACAAAGTCGTAGAAAACGCTTCTCATTGGCTAGCCCATTCAAGCGCGCGCAAGTGACCTCAGTCCGCGCGCTGACAAGTCAGTGAACATGGTGGACAAAATTAATGTATTCCTTAAGACTCGGGAGACTGAATTACTCGACCAAAAATTGTCTGAGGCTCAGAACTTTGACCTGTACAAGGCCACAGAAAACTATAAGGCAGGCCTTCTACTACTTCCACTGTGAAGTGTCCTTTTATACATACTGAGATTTTCACTACGAAATCTGTTGTCTAAAAACCTAGTTCACAACTTTTTACAGCCAATCAAATCTGAGAAACGACAATTTTACGCGTGGAGGAAACGTTTCGTCCAATCACGAAGAACCTGCCAGAAGTACTGTGTTTTCACGCCTTATCCTTCTCCTACCCCGTCAGTTTACTTGAAACTTAGCTTCGTCGTTGGTTGTCTAAACAACGAAGGGGTTTGGAGTTCTATAGTCAAACTTATTTCCCAAAATTAGCTTTTGAGATGGCCGAAACCTCAAGTTCATGACTTCCTGCGTTAGAAAAACCCGTAAATGAGGTTATTCGGGGCAGGAAAACAGGAACAAGAATATTCTGAACGACGGACCAAAACACGAACTGGAGCGGAAATTTGAAATATCAGATCAGCCAAGCCTAAAGTTTTCGCCACTCAAAACGGGCCAGATGAGAGAAACCCCGTATTTGTTTACAAATTTATCGCAAGAAAAGACCAAACTCATTGCTGATCACCGAGACCCCTTTCTATCTTATCTCAATGGATTCTGGTTGATGCAAGTGCAATGGGAGCAAACAAACTGAACTCGTTAATGAAAACTATAGCAAACAAAGTTGGACTCGACGAGAAGCGATGGCTCACGAACCACAGCGCAGGAAAAACGATGATGCAAAAAATTAACGAAAGCAATGTTCCCCCCACTCACATCATACAGCTTTCAGGTCGCTGTGATATGCAAAGTGTAAACAACTACAGCTCTGTTTCTAAAGAGTAACAGAAAAACATGTCATTGATACTGAGCTTAAAGCCTTCAACATGCAATGCCGCGAGCGCCACAAACAACAATGCTACAAGCACCGCTGCAACCACCTCTTTGAAGGCCGAAGCAGAGGCTTCGTAAATAAAAACCTCGATGTTTCCTGCTGTTGGTCCCTACAGTGGAACCGTATTCCAAAGCGGACAATTCAACATAACTATAAGCACTGTGAACAAGTCACCAGGCACTGGTGCAGATGGCTCAAATCAACGGAACGATGCTACAAACGAATCAAACGAATTCTTGAATCGTCAGATGATAACGACAGCAGACTACTTCAATGAAAAACTTTACCACTAACTGACTTTTTAAAAAATAACATTTAAGTGATCGACTTTATCACGAATAAAGCTTGTTTGTAATTTTGTAGAGCTACTTGAGCTCATGCATTTTTACGCATTTGAAGCTACGTTTTTGCAAGTGAAAGCAGCGTCTTCACTTTTACTTTAATGACTTGTAAGCTCATTTAAAAATAAAATAAAAAAACAACAAAAAAGGGGAATCTCAAGATGTATGAAATAAACAAATTACATCATGGAAAGGGCACTTATACGGCATTTTCGCATTTGTTGGTTTGTATCAGAAATCTCACTGGTTCGCTATGCTCACTCTTTCGATTTCTGATGCATCACCAACTCGTGCGAAAATGCCGTACGCGTTTCCTCCCCATAAATTAATCTATATGTTATGCTATCAAATGTCGAGGGGAATTAGCTATCGAGCACATCACGCTCGGCGAAAGACACCAAGCGCCTCGAACTGTCTTTGCTGCTTAAATCAGAACCAATTAATAATAGGCCGTTGGCACTTAGTAAAGGGTGACCGCGACCGCTTAATAGAGGTGAAAAATTACAGTGATTAGCGGCAAAAAAATTCAGGCCTTTGACAACTGATCGCTTAATACAGGGTAACCGCTTAATACGGTGTTGCTTAATACGGGTTCGATCTTATTTTTTTAAGTAAGTTGCGATTGTCCCGGTTCTACTAACTTTGCTGTCAAGACGGCTTCTTAGCTCTAACTAAATAAAGTTTTTCTGTGAGGCACAAGTGGCACCGCTTGCTTTTGTTGCTGTAGGCCGGGGAGGTCGCTAAAATACTCCAGTTAATTGTAAAATTGGTGTTGTTGTCCTTGAGTGTCCAGATATGCTTTGATAGTTCCGTGCTGTTTGAATAGTTTCTGTTCCGAAAAGAAAGTTTGTGTTGCGTGTAACGTTGTTTAAAAGTTCCTTCAGTTAGTCCAATGTAATTCTTTCCGGTTGTGCCATTTTCTGTTGTTACGTTGGCGTTGTAGACGACGCTTGAAGTGAGGGCAGTCGTTTTTTTTTTTCCTGCAGTTACATTTGTTTTCCGTGGAGGGTGTCTTGCTTGTCTCGAGGATTTTTACTCTCGAAAATGTTTACTGACGAGGTTCAGAACCTCGTCAGTAAACATTTTCCGAAAAATCACCGGTACAGCAAAATTTTTAACAAAAACAACACGAAAGTTAGTTGTAGCTGTACAGACAACCTACAAACCATAATTAAGAAACACAACAGAAAAATCCTCGTTTAACTACAGCCACGAGATACCTTTCTTATTTAACAATGAGACTTTTAGGAATTACATGTCACTCCTTTTTCTATGACGTTAAGGCCTCAAATTTAAACAACGACAAGGAATTAGTCTTTAGTTACATGCCTCAGCTGGATCAACGAGTACCCTACCCTCCCCTCCCCTCCCCTGACGTCAATTATCGAAGTGACTTTGTCACATAAATGTTTAACCAAAACAGTCTACGTGCCCTTTCACTTTCCAATGCTTAGTGATATAAACGTACATTAGATAAGTCAAATCACTCAACAAATATAGAAAGTTAAAGAGTACTTTGGTTAACTTGATAAGATCAAGACGGACATGTTTTTCTCTCTTACTAGTGTAAATATCAAGTTTTGTCCTGTCGTATATATGATTTTGAATTTCTATCATACCAAGTTATCTTAGCCGGAGAAAAATGGCTCCAAATATTGAGACGTTGACGATACACATACAATATTAATTCCTAAAGGCATAGCTGTCCGGATGAACTAAGTTATATTTAGTCTAGTTCGCAAGGGATTTTTGGGACATCACCCGATGCGGCGGCAGATGAGATCAAGTTATTTGTTTTATCTTTATTATTTCATTACTGAGCTTAAAATTACCATCTCCCTCATTCTGTTCACCTGTACAATGCTTTCGACATCGCTGATCCCAGCAGTATGCAGGAAGCGTGACGCATATAAGCTTAGTAATGAGTAACGTGACCATAGCGGTTCTCAGTAGCTTGTAAAATATTCTCAAGAAGACTCAGGTTTTCCACACAGTTCCATGCTCGTTGCAAGACTAAAGAGGCTAAGTTATGCTATTTGCAGATTGTTTTCACGCACATACGTGTTGAACTGTGCGCCTGCCAAGATGAAAACGATCTTGATTATTCATGCAGTATTTCCATATTCTAGTTTCCCGAAACGCATGATTATAGAACCACTCAACAAGATAAACGCTTGTTTCTTTCACTTTATAAAATTATTTACCCGTGAAATAGCTAAATGAAGGCAAATAACGACTTACAAGGAGGAATATAGAGTGTGCTACGTAGACACGTCACAACACGTTCAGGTTTCATTTTTGTGATTATTTTCACTTATGTCACTCGATGTTTGTTTACGAGCCTTGAACGTGCTTATAAGGGATGGAACGGAAGGAAAAATTGATTCAAAACCGAAATCTCTCTTGGATCACGTGACGATCATACATGCGGAAATAACTCAGTGTTAACAGGTCTATAAAAGAAAAGTTCCCTTTCGTTTCTAATCAGATTTATGATGGCGTTATCGGCTGGGTTTCTCCGAGCGTTTGGATTGTTTCAAGTTTCTTTGGTCGTTCTTGGATCCGGTCTTGTTTACGCTGAAAATAATTCTTCACCACGATTTCCAGTTGGCGATCCACGAAACTGTCCTCTCGCAAAGGGAGTTTATCGCTTCGAGGTTCTTCCGGGAGGCGGCTGGGACAACTTAAGAAATGTTCATATGGGCGCTGTTTCAGTGATGAATTACTCCAAATGTAAGACTTCAGACGACGGCAAGTATCTCATTCCCGATGATGTGATCCTGTATCCTATCAAAGAGAGCAAAGTGCATGTATTTGCTGAAATGTACGATCACTGGCACAACTATTCGTCCACCACAACGAAGTCTATCAATGCGGAAGCTTCGGGAAAATTTGGTTTTGGAAGCATAAGTGGTTCGTTTTCTTCTGAGTTCGAATCAGTGAAGAAACATCAAGTGGAAGATAAGGCTGTAACCACTCGAGCACAACTACGCCATGTTTTATACACGGCGAAACTCCAGCCCGATGCCCCTCTACAGGCACCGTTCAAGTCCCGTTTGCTCGAGATCGCATCTCACTTACAGCATAACAATACTGCTTATGCAAATTTTCTGGCGCAGGTATTGGTTCGAGATTTCGGAACGCATTATGTTACAAGCGTAAAGGCCGGAGCAGCCCTGGCGAAAGTGGATCACTTGACAAAGAAATTCGTGGCTGATTTCAGTGAAGATAAAAGTAAGATTACAGCTGCCGCGAGTGCGTCTTTTTTCGGGGTGTTTGGAGCTAGTGCTAGCTATACTCAGACAACTGACAAAAAAGTTTTGGATGAATACACACAGAACATCGCTTATTCCACAGTATATACATTCGGAGGACCTCCATTCAGGGTGAATTTTACCATCAACAAATGGGAAGACCAACTATTGGACGAACTGGTTGCAGTTGATCGGTCAGGTGACCCTCTTCATTTTGCAATTACACCTGGAAGTGTACCAGAATTGTCCGAAGAACTGGTCTTCAAACTAGCCAACGTTGTCGAAAAAGCCATTAAACAGTACTATGAGCACAATACCATTAAAGGATGCACCAAAAAGGACTCTCCGAACTTCAGCTTTCAGGCCAACCTCGACGATGGATCTTGCGAGAGCCCAACCAATAACTACACCTTCGGGGGCGTTTATCAAACGTGCCAATGTGAGGGCTCTCCATCCAGTAATCCTTGTGGATCTTTTCTCCAGAAGAACCCTCTCACGGCTGACTACTCTTGTAGTAGTGGTTATGAACCAGTCATGGTACATCAAGGTCGCACACCCGAAAGCTGCCATCGTGAGTGCCATGGATGGTGGATTTTTAAAAGCTGCGACACTCATTGCGGATTCGCCAGCTACGACACCTACTGGTGTGTTGCGGAAGGTTCGGTGCCTCGTAATACAGGGTATCTCTTTGGTGGACTCTACAGCAATGTGTTAAAGAACCCAGTCACACAAGATCACAGCTGTCCAGTTAGGTTTTACGCCTTGCGCTTTGGAGCCACCATGCAAGTTTGTGTGAGCGATGACTACGAGCTAGGCTTCCAGCAGTCGGTCCCCTTTGGTGGCTTCTTCAGTTGTAATACTGGTAATCCTCTCGGTGTAAAGAAAGCTGCGGACAGTGCCAAAGGATCAAACGGTATGTCTCCTCTCTTTCCACTTTTACACCTTACATTGGTAGGCATATTCTCTCTACTTTTCTCCAGACATTTCCTATTTTAACGACGAGGAGAAACTGTTTAACGATCAAGAGCTTCTTTGATAAATGATTATTCCTTCTAAATTTCGTGACATTAGTGTTTGATTCAGGGGTGAGAATGTGAAGAGAAATTAATTAGATAATTAAGATTCTTAGAGGTTGAAGGGTTACATTGAAATAGACCCTTCAAGCTTAATGGTTTCATTTTCTTCTTTTTTTTAATTTTTTTCGCTTTTTATAGAAGTATTTTTTTTATCCTAATTGATAGCTAGAAATTTCAAAAATTCAGAAACGCCTGATTGTTTTAAGATCAGCAGGCGCATTGGATTCTTGCTTTCTCGTTGTTGCGATTTTGAAATAGTTGTGCCTCTCAATGTATCATTTTGTTTTGCAAATTTATCTGAAAGGGACTCTAAAAAGCTTAAGTGACATAGATTTTAGAGCTTAACTTTTCGGTTTTCAATTACCACTCGGCCAACCTACAACTCATCAACAATTTACAGCTTTTGTTTTCCAATGCAGGTATAGCTTTTTATTTCGCTTTTCTGCGAAAACATGTTTCCTTTGAAACTTTATGCCATCCAAGTAATTTTCGGGTTTCGAATTGTGCTGCGTCACCTGTTTCTTACGACTATGAAGAAATTTTGTAAGTCATGGCTCGGTGTTCACCGATAAGTTTTTTTTTCTTCTAGCTCGGTATTAACGTACGACATTCCTTTCAGCCTTTCAAATGTGGATGAATGGTTAGGAAACATGACTACGTTCATGAGAACAAAAACAAATATGAGCGAAATTGTTTTGTGCACTTTCGAATCGAATAGGCTCAGTAGCCATCGCGTGCCGAAAGACAAACTATCCATGTAGAAAATAAAGCAACAGCGGAAGTAAACGTTGACACTCAGAACCGGCTACATATGGAAATTGCTTGTTGACATCTAGTGATACATTGTGATAAGATCATAATGAAAGAGATTTGACACAAAATTTCTTTATCAGGCGCTCAAGCGAAGATCGAGGAACAAAGTCAAAATCTATCTCGGATTCTTTCTCCTTCGCTGTAAAGCATGAACACGACTCAGTCATTGTTATTCATCTCCGCCCCTACTGCGGGGTGGCGAAACCAATACCTTAAGACCTTACCATTGTCGTTCCACCATCTTAGTTAATCTCGCTCATAGGCTGAATTAGAATTGCGTTTCCTATCATCGAACTCAGCGAGACAGGTTGAGACAACGGTCAAATCTTCCTTCATTCGTTTACTTATCCGTTTTGTCTTTTGCTACTTTGCAGGTCTCTCAGGCTTGGCATTGTTCGTGAAACAGTCTGGTCCATCTGTATGGCCAAAAACCTGTCCAATAGGTTATTCTCAACATTTGGGAGCCATTGAAGAAGACTGTGAGATCAACTTCTGCGTGAAGTCCAATATATTCAACAGCCAGGGATTTCCCATCATCAAAAGACCTCCTTACTCGAATGCGCCCAAAATTTACAAATACACCGTGCCCTTGCTTGTGGTTAACAATGACACCGGACATATTTGGTTTAAACGATCCAACTCACTACATTGGGTTTTGGCCACTAAAAGGTGAGTGAAGGGAATGTCATTCTCTCAGCAGAGTCGGTACTGAGTAGAATATTGCAGGGTTGAAACCTGAAAGTAAGAGTTGATCTTGTAATAAGATTTTCCAGGTGAGGGAAGCACTAAAACGAACGCTCGTCAGTGAAAATAAAAGCTATCCTTAGAGTAAAGTGAAGGGTCGTTTGCCAGTCGAATGACTGCACCGGTTCCTCCCAGGGAATTAACAAACTATTCCTCTTATCTCTTTCGCATTCAGCTCTGTCGCTGAATTCGCAGCCGAAACCAACCTAGATGGTCCTGCAATAATAGGTATGGATCCCGTGCATGAAAACTTGAAAAAAGGCAAACAAAAGTCTTCCTCACAGAGTTCCCGTGATGCCATGGGTGCCGGGGCCGCGGCTGGTATTACATTCGGCGTGACAGCATTGGCAGGATTGTTGATCGCAGTCATGGTCATTGGCTGGCGTCGCCATAAGACCATTCAAAGAGAGAGCAGCGGTTTAATGGAGCCATTGAATCCCACTGGGTACGGCGCCGTAAAAGAGGAAGGAAGCCCACAAGTTTGAATTATGCAGGAACTTTAAATTGTCTGAAAACTAACAAATGACTCCAGATAATAACTTAATGTCTCTTAAAACGTTTTTGAAGTTGACATTTTCTCGCGCTTTGTCCCGTAAATTCCTTTTTCTGATAATTGTGTTTTTCAAGTGACATTGTTACCAGCGCTTGTTCTGTTTAAATTGTGATAGAAGAAATAACCCTAATTTCAGAGGCACAGAGAATGTAAACAAAGGATGTTTCGTTTGACAGAGTACGGTTACACCTGTTTACACAATGATATTGAGTGTCGCTAAACCAAAACCAAAGTAATCACAACTTCTAATCAGAAGAAAGAAAAATACTTTAAGAGCCAATGAGAATTCAAAGTAAAAACCACGGAACTGCTAAAAGCGCGGGAAAACGCGAGCGACTACCTGGTAAATTGGTTTTAGTTTTGATCTGATTGGTCAAGAGAGTAGTGTGAGTTTCCTGCACCAATCACGGATCTAAGTAGAGCAAAAACAAAGCAAGCCTGGATTACTTTCAACTCCTGCTTGTCGTGTCGGACAAACACTGGATCATTGTGTTGTACTCTCAAACTACTTAACTAAAACTGTGTTGTTTACGGTATAATCCTAAAAGCTATTCTGCCTTTTCAGTAGTCGGTTTGAGAAGTTATTTTGCATTGAATCACATTGAAAAACAATGAATAGACGAATAAATATATTTATAACATAGCTGGTAAATTTGTCTAATCAAATTCAATTGCGCGAGAATATTCCTATTGTGTACGCTCACGACGTCAACAAACAAATCCCTCGAGAAAATTTTCCATGGGGTTGAAAATGTTATAAAACAATTATTGATTCATACGTCATCTGTGCGTTCATCGAGATATGAAGCACTTGGAAAGTTTGGAGAGCACTCAAGAAGCTAGAGTTGCTCTCGGCTACGCCTCGAGCAACTCTTACGCATCTTTCGTGCTCTCCAAACTTCCCGCGTGCTTCATATCTCGATGAACGCACGCTGACGTATAAACCAATTGTTAATTATAACAAAGCTAGTAAATTTGTCTACTCAAATTTAATTGCGCGAGCGTGCTTCATACTCCTATTGTGCACGCTCATGACGTCAGCAAACAAATCCCTCGAGGAAGAACATTTTCCATGGGGTTGAAAATGTTATAAAACAATTGGTTCATACGTCAGCTGAACGTTCATCGAGATATGAAGCACTTGGGAGGTTTGGAGAGCACTCAAGAAGCTAGAGTTGCTCTCGGCTACGCCTCGAGCAACTCTTACGCATCTTTCGTTCTCTCCAAACTTCCCGCGTGCTTCATATCTCGATGAACGCACGCTGACGTATAAACCAATTGTTAATTATAACAAAGCTGGTAAATTTGTCTACTCAAATTTAATTGCGATGAAGCGTGACGTATGAACCAATTGTTTCATATTCAACCCTATTGTGCACGCTCATGACGTCACGCAAACAAATCCCTCGAGGAAGAACATTTTCCATGGGGTTGAAAATGTTATAAAACAATTGGTTCATACGTCAGCGAGATATGAACCAATTGTTAATTATAAAGAAACAGTTCAATCAAAGATATAGAGAACTTACAACTTGGGAGGATTTAAGAGAAAACTTTCAAACCTGACCATTAGATTTTCTCACGCTCCAATTGACATTATTATGGCCTGCAAGTATCCAATCTCTTTCCCAGAGGTCAGGCCTCCCCCAATCCCTTACGAGCCGAAAACGCCAAAGATTGCATTTATCAAAAGAAAGAGGTTTACAAGCAATTAGACGTACAGTAAGCATCCCAAGTAAAATCATATGCCGTAGGGTTTTATAATGTTAAGGGTTGTTAGGCCTCGTGAAGCTGTCAGCAAATAGATAAGGAAGGACACGACACTCCTTTTCAAAATTCTTATAAAGTTGTTGGGGCGTTCTGGGATGGGAGGGAAAATTCCTCTGGTTGGGTAACTATCACGTTCTTTTTGAGGGCGGTCGGCTCATCTTTTATACCCACCCTATAAAATTTACAGACCAGAGGCCCGTTTCTTGAATAGTCGGTGACTTTACGTTCCCGGAAAGCTCACTTTTGATAGCAGTGTTTCATTCCAGATCGAGCCATTTTTTAAAAGTGGAACATAAAAAAGATAAAAAAAAAACAGTAAAAAATAAACCGCTTTTTTTTATTAGCTAAGACCAGCACGTTTCAACTCAGGAATTAGATTTCAGAATATTATTTTGGGCGCATAAAGTTACAGGGCGCATAAGGTATTTTCAAGAAACGAGCCCTTAGTCTGCAAACGAGAATAGAAAATGACATACTATGCTCTGAAATGGCACCAGGCTATTGAAGACCGAGCGGCACACTGGCTTTGAAAAGAGTTCAAAGGAATATGGAGGACTTGAAAAGATTTGACGTTGTTTTGCAGAGAACGACAATGAAATGCAGAAATTATTTTTTTAAACCAAGATAATGCATCATGTTTTATGAATACTGGATTCCCGCGGGTGGATTTAGGGGGGAGGGGGGGTTGTACCTCCCCTTAAGTTTACTTTTTTTCTTCTTGTTTTATAGTAACATAAATTATTTTAATTCTTTCGGGAAGGTGCTGAGGTCTGGAGTGAGATCTCACTCTCACCAAAACATTTCGCCCCTTTCATCTTTCTTTCTCTCTCTCTCTCTCTCTCTCTCTCTCTCTGTCTCTCTCTCTCTGTCTCTCAATTTCAACTGAATCCCTTTCGAATTCCTCTCTTGCGCTGATGAACAGTTCAAGAAAGTAGCTAAGGTGGCCTTAGGGTGCAAGTGAACACCCGTCTGGAATGAAAACGAGTAAACCCATAACCAGTAGTAACCAGAAACCGGTGATGTGTACTTGATTCGCATATTTTTCTTACACTTCAAGTAAAATCAGTTTTGATCATTTTTACGCTTCAAATGGCACGGCACTGTTTTGTTGCTGGAGGTGTGTCTAGGGTGGGTGAAAAAGTTTTCGGATCGGCGGATCTGACCTTTTGAAACGTTACTGACATGTGGATTTCTGCAGGAACTTTGGCATGTTTTAAAAATTTGCAAGAAACAAGAAATGAAGGGGCTGAAATTTGGCTCAGATTCTGGATTTTGTTCGTCAAGAAGTTTGGACTGTGACCGTACACCGTTGACGATCGGCTCCAGTGGTGCTAGTGTTACTCTAGTTTTCTTTTTAGTTCTCTTTTGTCATGTTTGTTAAAAGCAATAGAAATTGTTCTACAAATTTTGCTGAAAATTTTTCCCCGCCTCGCATATCAGTTGTTTGCTTTAGCTATTGGTTCAGGCGACTACCTGAATTTTTTTCACTGTTGACAAATCACCAAAACTGGTTTGATTTAAGTCACTAATCATTAAATAGAGAGCTTTTTGATTGGCTGTCGCAAAACCAAAACCAAAGTAATCACAACAACCAATCACGAGAAAGGAAAACACCTTTAATTTTCAATGAGAACTCAAAGTAAAGACGAGCAGACTGCGCAAAGCGCGGGAAAACGCGGGCAACTAATTCTTGACTGGTTTCAGTTTTGTATCTGATTGGTCGAGAAAGTGGCGCGAGTTTTGGGGACCAATCACAGAGCGAAGTAAAGCAAAACCACAGCAATCTAGGGTTACTTTCATCACTCATTTGATAATTACTCCAATTGTTGAGTTTACTTGCATTATAACCCACCGTACTATAGACTTTTCACTTGATTCTAATAATTTTTAAGGAAGTGCTGACAAAATTGCAACATCAAGCAAGCACCCTCCCTTAGATTAAAGCTGACAAATTTGCGTCGTTTTGTATTCTGGGTGCAGTTCTCACTTCATTCCTATTTCCGATCAAGGTCAATCAGAAATGTCCGCAAGCTTTAAAACCAGTTAAGTCTTTAAGCTTGACGGTTGGTGACTATGCATCAGCTAATAAAAAAACGCATCTGTAAATCATGAAGAGAAAAAAGAATCGAAGTTAAATGCTTTGTAAACCGCGTAGTGCGCGTGCAGTCATGTCTTTGAAAAGTAACCGAACAATTATGACGCGAGCATTCAACCTCTCTATCGTCGACAGTTAAAAAACATAAAAATGGACGCCCTACCAAACGAGCTACTGGCTTACATTCTGGCGTTCCTTCATCCTGTTTACGGTGAACTGTCTCGCCTCTCCATTGTGTGTAAGCGCTGGAGGGAAGTAATAGAGAATACAGCGTCTCTTTGGAAGTGCATTCATTTCACACCCTCCTATCCGGAGTATTTGTCGTCCACCACAAGGGATAGAAGCAAACTGCGGCACTGCCTCTTTAAGTTCGGACATTTTGTCACATGTTTAAGGGATGACGCAAAAACTTTCACTGACCCAGCTCTCCAAGGACTTCTTTGTCGTTTGAAAAACTTAACACGCTTAGATGTACCCTTGTTGGAATGTGACCTACAATTGTTACAGACATTGCAGTGCGCAAACGTATTGGAGGAGTTGAATCTTACGAAAGCTACGCGTGATGATCTGAACTGGCTGTTCCAACCGACATATTCCTTGGAAAAAGGTTTCGTCACGCCGCAACATCTACAGATGCTTCTTTTAAGATTTCCCCATCTAAAAGTTTTAAAGCTTGCACTTGATTCTATCGCGTCCCCACCACCTACTTTCATCGCGTTTCTCCAAAAAGCAAACTTAAGGGAACTAGAACTCACTGGGTTTAGTCTCCGCCCAGCGTTGCCGCCGCATATCATCCATAACAGAGACATGTGTTTGAAGACCATTGCTTCTTCTCAGCGACTCGCTGCTATAGTCACTCGCTTGGAGCTAGAAACATGCCCACTCTTTTTTACAAGCGATCACTTGCGAATAATGCTAAAGCTCATGGTTTCACTTCGGCATCTGATTATTGGTGCTGGTATGGTTCATCGCGATCGGAAAAGTCTGTTATCCATTGAATCTCCTTCGCTTTGTACCCTGATGTTAGATGGGTTATCGACCTTACGAATGCAGTGTTTGCGTTGTAATACACCGCTTTTGAAGGAATTCCAGTTGGCAAACTGTCTCGATCTGACTGCTGCTTTTGTCTTTTCCGAATCCTTGGAATCGATGTGTTTGCGTAATCTCGCAAACATTCACAACCTTAAATCCACTTCGACACGTTTGAATCATTTGGAGTTTGTGGGGTGCCACTCTATGCCCATTACAACCTTGCGCAATTTCCTAAAAGGACACAAAACAATCAGTAAGCTCTCTATCGTCGGAGAGCTCACTGGTCTGACGCTGTTTGGCACTATGTGCCCAAATCTTAAAGTGTTGAACATTTTACTCTATCAAGTACCTAAACTCAGGAGTATAAAGATCGACTGTCCTACACTGGAACATTTTCACTGTGATGTGTATAATCGAGGACTATCTACGCCAGACGAACCCGAGGCATTTCCGAACGAGCGATCCACATGTTCGGTTTTCATCCGAGGCCAAAAACTCGATCACGTGTCAATAAATTTGCCTAATGCAACTGCCATTGCCGTGAAATGCGAGGAGCTTGGTTATTTAAGTGTAAAGATGAGCGAGACAGAAAGCGATAATAAAGCCGCACTTGACTTTGAAGTTATCTCTGGCACAATTGCGTTGGTAACAACCACTAACTGTAAGTTTTCGCGTTATTACCTCCAATCTAGATTCATTGATCAGTTAACTCTGGAACTGTGTGAAATAGAGAGTGGTGGGGAAACCATACCACGCCTAGAGGTCCACACAAAGGCCATCGACAGGTTACGACTGGTCAGCTGTCTCCATTTACAATGCGCTGAGCTTCGCATTAGACAAGAGAGAATTGAACACGTGTCGTTTACAGAATGCAACAATTTGCGCAATATAGTGATGTCGCGCGCAGTGAAACATACTCCTGAGATGACCGTGGTAAAATGTAGGAGCCTGGAAAGTATTTTCCTTTCGTCTGGTAGGTGTATTGACGTGTCGGCTCTAAACGTAGCCTGCTATAACACCTGTCTTAACGTCCCCAGACTACCACAAAGGTGTGACGATAAAACCTGTCTCATCTGTCCAGAAAAAGCTGAAGAGGATGACTATATTAATTAAAGAGTCTTGTTTTAACTTGACAATAAGAAAAAATTATGTGTATTTATTTTTTGTTCGCGCATTATTAATGTATGTATCCTGAATAAGTTATCGAACTTAAAGTTCACTGTACTTTTTATGTTTTAGCCCACAGTTGAACCTACATGAAGCGGTCACTCACGGGGAATGGTGACTGCTTAACACAGGTTCCACAGATAACGGTTAATATAAAAAACGATAGACAACGCAACTTTGTGCCATAACTGACCACTTAATGTATAGAATCTCGCTCAATAAAAAAAAAAAACTGCTTACTTTGATTTTGGGAGAGAAAAATAGATTCATTTTTACTTGAAAGATTATTCCTAGTTATATTTGGATGGTTCCACCTTCAGTGACCGTTCGATACAGGTGCAAAACAATAAAAACAGGCATTTGGAAAAAGGGTAAAGGGTGTCGCGACCACTAAATAGAGGTGACCGCTCAATAGAGGTGACCGCTCAATAGAGGTGATCGCTCGACAGAGGTGAAAATTACAGTGATTAAGGGGAAACGAATTCGGGACTTTGATTTTAGATTCTGTTTTGAGCTTTACCGTAAAAAATTATCCGTTTTAAAACACCTTGACCTACTGGCATATGTGGTGTAACTTTATGAGACAAATTGGTACTGACAGCCTGAAAGCACGCCACCTAGTCATGACAACGTTCGGACATGTGCAGACGTTTGGCCGTTGTGTTTTCGCAACCTACGTTTTCACGAAAGGGAAGGTTTTTGTGTGAGACAGAAAATGTTACAAAAAAGAACAATTAAAAAGGTTCGAAAAACTCAACAAAACTTTTTGGTTGATGTAAACCACAAAATAGTTTGAACAAAAGTTAAAAGCATGAACAGAAAAGCAAACTAGAGAGCGAAAGTATCGGCAATAGTCACCAATCAAAATCCAAACTAGTAGCTGATCAGATAGTACGTTTAAATTCAACCGACGCGTTTCGCCTGTCAGCAATCTTCTCTGCCTAAAACAATTTCAGTAAGTAAGCGATTCAGCAGCAAGCACAACACAGAAAAGTCCAAAGAACAAAGCAAATTATGAAAATATCATGTCGAAATTGGTTCTGTAACAGGTTGCCGCTCTATCTGAATCATGAAAGAGACATAGTCAAAAGTTTGTCAAAGTTAGCTCTGCTTGCACATTTTGCGATTCCTCGCTAATACTTGTACGCGCTGCGGACCTATTTCTCTCGGAGAAATCAAGCGTGGTTACAAAGACAGTCTTCGCCATCTTGGTCTTCATCATGGACGTCGCCGAAGAAAACGCTGAGGAAAAAATTCAACAGGAGACTCGAGGAACTGATGAAAACGAAACAAAAGAGGAAGACCCAAAAAGAGAGATTACACAAACGGATCATCTCAATCGAAGGCTGTTGGGTGCATTTTTGGCGAGACTAAATAGCTCCGAATCAACTGGAGTTTTACCCTCTAACAACCTTCCACAAATGGACATTTATGAGGACGAGGATTTTGAAACAGATGAAAACTGTACAGACAATCGGCTTTTTAAAGAGAAGAACATAAGTGAAGCACCTAAAAGTAGTTAATTCGACAGTAATGGAGTCAAGAGGTGAAAGAGAAACTTGCAGTTGATCCCATCTTGAGAACTCAAGGCGTAGACAAGAGGGATTTTTTGAGCAAAGGCAAAGTTTTAATTGGTTTGATTTTACGTAGATTTATCGTCAGAATTCATTCTTGTAACAAAGTCTTAATTTATGTGAATATTCGTAAAGGTTTATCAGTGGCTATTGACATGGGAATTATTTAAATAAGATTCCCGTTTCTTGGGATTCCATGCTCATTTGCCCTTTTGCCATTGATTTAAAAAAGTTCCATGTAATTGATACGAAACGTCCCCACTGGCTATTTTAAACCCGAGTGAGTGGGTTGTGCTGCAGAGACTTAAGACAAATAGATTCTTTCTGTTACTCAGAGCAACTTAAAATTGTTGAGTACTTATAATGGTACTTGTACTGAGTGGAGTCCATTTAATAATGGTAATTGAACTGTGTGGAGTCCAATTTGATTTGTAATCAGATGATTGATTAAAAAAATTGGACAACAGTGAAGCTGGAGTCGGATTTGTTAGTTGCTAGTATGATTAAAGACAGAATTGGACAACAAAAAGTCCTGTAAACAATTAATCAAAACTATGACAAAATGTGGGAAAGAAACAAGATGTTGGTTATAAGTGTTCATAAAAAACAAAAAAAAACAGTTTGTGAAATGCAGGACAACAATGCACATTCATGATGCATGCTGTCCACTTACAAGGGTATAACATGTCGCGTGTGCCTGTACACTATCCAATCACAAGCATGAAGTGTACACTGTCCTACTGGGGTTCAAATTAGGCTGGTGATGACCAATGATGTTTTAGAATTTTATTGTTTTGACTACTGGTAGGTCTGTAATCATATAAGTGAAAAAAAATTGGATAACCATGAAGTAGGAGTCCAATTTGTTAGTCACAAGTATGATTTCAGACAGAATTGGAAAAAACAAAATACTGTTCCTTTTGATCAAAACTATTTGACCAAAAAAAAAAAAAAAAAAACTAGGCATTAGTGATACGTTTTCATAAAACAACAACAGTGATATTGGAGACAACAGTGCACACACAACACATACTGTCCACTTACATAGGTATTGTGTCAATTGTCCCATTACATTGTCCAATTAGTGCTCAAATCGGGCTGGTGATAACCCATCATGTTTTAGAATTTTGTTACAGTTTTGACTAACCCTTTAACTCCTTGAGGTGATTAACATGTAATTCCTCCCTATAATATCCATACATAACACAGCAAATAGGTAATGAGAATACTCAAAATTATCAGGTAGAGGTTCTCTTAGTCTAACACCAAATTCTTGTTACTAATCTAAAAGGAAACGTGTAGCAGCTAGAGGAGAGAATTAACAATCAGACTCTGGGAACTAATGGGTTAGACAAGAATTCAAGGGATTGAAGGTGAAAAATGGTGAGCTGAGCTGTTGCGTGGCCAATTTTTTCACCTGCATGGAAGTGAATAATTGTTTTGTGTATATCACAGACAAACCAAAAGATTACTTAATCTAGCCAATATACTAAAATTGACCAGGAATCAAACTCGAGATGTAATTTCTCTCTTTGTCTGCTTTGAGGTGAATAGTACTTGCTAATCACTTCCAAAACTGGCAAGTCAACGCATGCAAAAAGCACTCTTCACCAGTGGGGTATATACTGATTTGGGATAGTGACTTTACATAGCTTTATCAAGCATAATCTGACCACAACTGCTCAATTTTGTATGGTACTGAACATCTAAACCTCACATTGCCAAGGATTGCAGTTGATAGGTCTGGTGGACAAACTGAGGGACCTTGTCACATGCATCTTGTGCTGCTGACTTTGTCACAGACAGGCTTTAACACTCTAGGCAGAACTAAAAACCTGTCACTTGGATCACAGCAGATACATTCAAAAGGTTTTTATTCCCTCCCTCAACTTTAACCATTTTCACAGTGAAACTCCCTGAAACCAGCCTTTAATTAACCATAATTTTTACATGAATTTACAGTATGATTACAGCATTTCAGAAGCCATTTTTTTGTCAATCAATATGAAAATAAATTAAAATAATGAGAGTAATGCATAGAGGTTGCCAACAGCAAAGATGACATTTCAATTCTCCGCATCTTGCATAACAATTACCTTAAAATAATATCTTGAAGAAATGTCTTTGTTCAGTCTTATCACACTCATGTGGTACATGATTGTATGAAAATACATTAATGAAAAAAAAGAAAAAAAAAAGAGAGAAAACTAAAACAAAATCAAACAAACATTAAGGTGGGAGTGGAACAAGGCACAAAAGTTGATGATGAATAACTATCTTAGTTTTTTCCCCCTTATTTCTATAATAAAAATAAAGTCTATTTAAAATGTAAATAACCAAGTAAAACTTGGTCATAAGTCCCTAATCAGCTACTATCAGAACACAGTAATCTAGGGCACTCAAGTTTGCTGATATTGTACAGCACATATACAGTACAAGCTAGTGACTAAGGTCACATCCATGACCACCTCATGAAGGCTCTCTCAGTGGTCTCCATTAACAACAAGTTCTTTATTTGCTGCTCGGCTAATAACAGCATCCATTTCTTCTTGAGTGGTAGACTCCTTGTGCTGTACTAAGTCTTTATCTCCAGCAGTAACACCCCAGTTGTCTGGCTTGGACATACTAGAAGAGAATGGCCGACCACCTGATGGATTGAGATTCTCCCAATAGGATCTCCGTGCCCTATAAGTAAACCAAAGTAGAATTAAATTACAGACTACTAAATGGTATTAATTGTACTTACTGATGAAATTTTCTCAACTCAATGAAGAATATTTTTTCTTTTCCCTAACTTTTCCCAACAATTAGCCAAGTCTTGCAGTGTGTATAAGTTACACACAAGTAATTTATGTAAATAGTTAAGTAAATTTGGTAGGCTAAAGTGTCCATCAATCTATGGCCATACAATCTCAACCTTACCTGTACCTCTTTGTAACTTGAGGTAAACTTGAGGTAGGTCTTTGCTTTCCCTGGTTCTGGCTTTTAACACACTTCATTGGAAAGTGCACTGTATGCAAAGCTTAAAAAAGATGGGTATGTTGTTTTTATGTGTAAGATTCAGTTTTAATGAATTTCCTTTATTCTTACCTGGCTCGAACCCATGGTTTGGTGTGCAATCTCAGTCCCTCTCCCCAGGGCCCATGTTTTTCACTGGCTTTTGGAAGTTTTCCCCTTTCCTTGGCCAACTAAATAACAAAAGAAATAAATGAATTAATTACTGTTGACATTTAACTGGTGTTTTCAGTCTCTGGAATTTATATAACAAATCACAACCCTGATAGCCAATCCCATTGATCTAAAAGTTAACATCTTCTGGTAAGGAGAACAAAAATATAGAAATCAAACCTCTTCTGCCACTGCCCTAGTGTGATAGGGCTCAATTCCACAACAACCACCAATGTAACGGATTCCAGCATTGTATGCATCTCGAGCAAACTTGTGAGCATCCCATCTTGTCATGAGTCTGGGCTCTAGAGCTGTTCAAACATTAAGTGTTGTTGGTGGTCAATGCCTTACTTAACTGTTCCTGTAGTTGTTCAGTAATGTAGAACAGAGCTCAATATTGTATGCCGTCTAGCAGCCAACCCTTGCCTCTGATAATAAAAAGCCTTGACCTTACACCAGCTCACACCTACCAGCCAGTTTGGTGTGTATTGAAAAAACAGCCCCTGTCATAGCATTGACTGACACATCTTTATAAGAGCAGAAAAGGAAAATGGTTTAAACCATTCCAAAAGGAGCAATGTCTTTGTTACTTATCATGTTTCCTCTCTAACTGAGAATTTAAGAAAGAGTGAACCTGAGAGAAGACTGCAACAACTCTTTGGGAATTCCCAATAAGTCCTGACATGTGTCTTTGAATATAGGTGGGTCCTCCACAAGAAAAATATCATGCCTTAGATCATCATTCTGGTGTACAAGAGAGTTAACAGTCTTAACAACAAAGTAATTACCAAAAGGAAATTCTGGAAGATCAATGAATCCCTGTTTGCCAGCATCTGGGGTTAAGTATCCGAGAGGCTGCACCATCAAATGTTTCTTAATCCCAGCTGCATCAAGTGCTTCTTTCATCAAGCGACATGCTTCAATACATTCATCAGGTCCAAAATGACAATTGATGCCAATAATATCAGCACCTGGTATTTCAAAGCAGGAAATTATTCATCATGAGCAAACAGATTGTTGTCAGTGTTAACTAAGGAAAAAGTAGGTCCAGAAAAAGATCAAGTCAGCTTGACTTGCAATTTACAATCAAATTAGCTCTGGCATTGTTTCTATGGTGGATATTTTTTTTCAGCATTTTAAAACAATCTAATGAAGATGACTGAATTCTTCACAACATTTGAACAGATCTTGTTCATTTGGTGCAATTATAATTGCATGTAAAACTGGGAATGTGGAACTTTTTTGCATAGGGAACAAATATCTGCATTGTTATTCTGTACTTTTTTTAGACATTTGACTATAGCATGCCTACAAAAATGCAAAAATTGCTGCTTGGACATGTTTGGAAATTCAAGTTTTTGAGTATCAACAAGGTCATGTTTACACTGTCAGTAAGAATTACAAAGAGATCTATAAAAATTACTAATCAAGTCTTAAATCTAAGAGTGAATGAACTGTTTGAAGTTAACTAACTGTAAGAAAGTAGAGGAACAGCAACTTTTGGTTCTTCGTGAACAGTAACACAACTTGCAGTTATGTTGACAATTACTTTTAGTGCAAAATATCCTTGAATCACTACACTCTATACCTGCATGAGCCAAGCGCACTGCACATTCCCCAGTAGGAATGCCGTGCAAATCTCCTTGGGGCCCAATGCACAATGAAACGGCAGTAGGTTTGCCTGTGGCTTTACACGACTCCACTGCCCATTCTGCTTCTTCCACATGTTCATAATACTAAGAACAATTTTACAATAACATTTCATGCCTTAGGAAATCATCATGTTTGAATCATGTTTGCATAGCACAAAACCAAGGTTTTACAATAGGAGCCAGCAATGGGCAAAATTCGCTGTCTATGTTGAGCGAAATTGCCTCCTACTTCCTCTGAAATTTGCATCACTAAAGTCCAAATTGAACTTACTTTAGCCATCTGTATTGCAATTTGTGCTATCTACTTAGAAACTCAATGAAACCCTCAACAAAACCACAGGAGCAATAAAGATATTAATTTTTTTTAAATTTGAGATTTGAGTTTACAGTTATAGTATTGTATTCAATAAAAATCATGAAAGTAATCCTTTTTGGGTTCAATTTAAATTAAAGACATAGGTATAAACAAAATTAAAACCCATCAGTTTCATTTTTGCATCCATTTTAATTCACTAATTGTGAACTTAATGGATTAATTGTTCTACTTGTGATCCATTTCTTATTGAAAAATCCTCAGTCATAATTCTTTCAAAAATACCCTTGAATGTTAAGTTTACCTCTGCAAGTAGAAAGTCCACATCATTTTTCAGGAAAATTTCTATTTGCTTCTCAAATTCTCTCTGACAAGCTTCTTTTCCTTTGCCACTTAAGTATGTTGGTGTTTGACAAACACCTCCGCACACCAAAGCATCTCCTTCGTTAGCTACTTCAAAGGCAATGTCACATGCTGCTTGATTGATGGCTTGGCACTAGCAAGTGGAAAGAAATTTCAGCCATAGTTATTAACCACAGGGGGTACATTTATTTTCCCCTCACATGGTTGGAGGTTGGTGATGAGTTTAACCACTAGAATTAGAGGAACATCAAAGTGGGGAAACCAGCCAATTCATGTTGACAAGGTTCAAATGTATCTATTGTTTGCTATTACCTTGTGCTGTTTCAGTTTGATCAGTAAAACAACATCAGCAAATGTGCAAGGTCTTCCCACCTCAATCTCCATTTTGGGCTTTGTGCTCTGTTAGGGGTTTTTAACTATCTCTGAGAGGGATGGCCCTCCATCATAAATAACTTCAAGTATATATATAGTGTATATATTCTTTCACCTTACAGATCTTAGTAATAAGCCTGAAGATAATAGTTGAGCAGAAATGCTTGAGGTGATGGACCCTCTTCAACAGCCACTATTTTACTATGAATTGCATGCTCACTCTACTGGAGCTGATAATAATAAAATTACATTGATGAAGCAAAAAGTGTGAAAAGTTATTTTTTTTGGAGAATCATTTGCCATAGTTGTGACTACCCAACCTAACTGTACAAAATGTTATGCTTAGTGCACAACTCAACCATTTAAGAGGTCAGCATCTCTTAGAACCACTGGATAAGGATTAAAGTGGTTACAAAAGGTGCCCTTCCTCAGGCAGGTGCAGTTATCTTAGGGAGCACTCAAAACACCACAATCCCCCAAGCATGATAATTACCCACAATATAACTTACTCCTATTTGTGCAGCAGTGTTTCCACGATTCCCAAGTTTGTCATCGCTAGCATAGAATGTGAATGTTTGCATAACATCAGCTCCAGCACGTAGAAATTCCCTGTGAAGTTCTTTGACTGTGAAACAGAATACAAAGCAATAAAAATAGTTTGAAATTTTTCAAACTATGCTGCTCTTCTACTTTTCACTTTTACCTAATCAAGGCTAAACAGTCATTTGTGACAATCAGAAAAATATTTCTGAACTAACCGGTTGTTAGAGCAATCTCTTATGTGGAATTGTTCATGCAGAAAAGAGAGGGGCTAGCAATGCAAACAATTTCATTTAAACATTGAGCATTACTTTATTTTTAAATTTTGGTCTCAATCATTGGATGGGCGGGAACTAGGCTGATGGGATAACAGGGAGTGGCAGGTTTGTTTCAAAGACTTCCTTAGAGCAATGATTAGCATTGAGTCCACATTATTATGCAAAAATGACTGTTAAAAAAAATAAAATAAAAATAAAAACGGGCGGAATAGTTAAAACGTCCTCAGGGAACTAACCGAAACCGGACTGGAATAACCGGTTTTTTGAATGAATAGTGTTTCACGCCACGTCTACAACCGGTGGGCTATCTACGTCGCTCTCAACCAATTTGCCTTTGTTAAAACATCGAATTTAACGAATTGCGCTTAATTTTCTATAATGTCGTTTGAGCCAAAAAATTTACTAAAATCGGTACGCGAAGCTTCCTTTGTTCACGTGTGCGTGACTTTGTTTAATACTAGTATTGTTTTGATTTTCTCGTAAACTAACTATCCTGTCCAAGAAAATGACATACGTGAACGCATTTGTTGTGAATTCGAATAACTATGACAACCTTTACGATTACCACAACTCCATTAGAGTTTTGCTTGCTTGATCTTGTTTTGTTGTTCATCTGAACTTGTGTAACCTTAAAACACGTTATGGATATGAGGTGCCTTCCGCATAATCAAGCTACACTAGGTATTTTCATTGCGTAATCGTAAAAATAGCGAGGAATCTAGAGGAACATAATTTCACAAGTAAAGTCATCTTATCTAGCATGTAAATGCGAACGTACGATGCGTTTCTTAACCTGTAATTCTCTCACTACCCTTTGTATCCTAAGATCATTCACAAACCAAAAGACGATGCGAAACCGCTTAATTCGGGATGAACGAGAGATTAGAAAGTCACTAACTTAAATCTTTTACCTGCCGAAGGATACTCTACATTAACTTCTGGCGTCCAAGGACCAGCTCGAACATAGCCTCGTTTTTCCAGTGCAAATACAAAACCGCCATCACCAATCACAACTTCACCTGCGTCAAGTCTTTCAAGAATGCCACGTTTCTAGTTGGTCATGATATTGGATCAGTTTAAAACATCAGTTACTAAACTCAAAAGATAACAGAGAGAAGGTGTCTTACCGGTGCCATTTTTCTGTCGTGAACGCAATAAGAAAAGGGCGGACAGATTATGGGTCTTCTTCCAATTTGTTATATTCAAACTTACTACGTGCGTGAAAAAAACTTGTGTTTATAAACAGGAACACCCGGCAGCTCGTTTTACTCGTATTTGTCCCGTTTGAAACCGGTCGATGTAAAAGTCGCACTCCAATTGGCTCAAACTACCCGCCAAAACCTGCGTCATCGAGTTTGGCTTGCGTGGCTGGATGGACAAGGATTTAAGGACTTATCAATGAATGGAAAAACTCGTGATCTCTTGTGTGTTTATTTCTTGTAGTCACTTTACAAATTAATTGGATTTTACTCTTTGACTAACCTCTGAAACGTTTTGGTTATTACATGAAATGTTCATCCAGCTTCTTCAGCCACTATAGTGTACTATTACACAGCCTGACCTTCAAATTCGCTCCTTCTACATTGTCTTTCTTGTGATGGATTTTGACACAGAAGTCCATTGAGAACCTGACACGGCTTAGTTTCCTTTATTGTCTCAACATGTGAAAAGTACTACATCTTAACGATTCAATCCGACTAATTACTGTGGTTTTCGTTGTGTTTTGCTTTTCAAGTTTTTCATTAAAGTTTACCCGTGCAGTTCAATGATAATCCTGCACACAGAGATCCTCTTTCGGGATCTATTGCAAAAAATGACGAGCGAGGACGCAATCTAATTCATCGTCGAACTTTACCCGTGCAGAGTCTTCGAGAACTTTTTTTTTTACATCATTATTTAAATAAGTATTTTGACCTGTGCCTTGCACAGATGTTATTATTTCGTCGTGCATAGCTTGAGTGCAACTGAACATACCAGTCACAGCTGGTTTACACGATGCTTTTAAATTATTATTCCTGTTAACTTGAAGAACAGACGGACTTATTAAAACTCGTCACGTCGTTGAGTTGGTGGAAGCGTCGGGCTCGAGTTCATCATGTGCGTGACTGGTTAACGCAAGTGACTCGCTCTCCGCGCAGGCATGAAGACGAATTTCAAAAATGAACATCTGCTATTGTTTTAGAGGCTAGACTCTACCTGCTTTCCACTCAGGTAAAATTCATCCAGAGGTATCAGCGTTTGAAAATTCCACAAATAAATTCATAAATTTAGGAAACGGTTCAACAATGATAGTAATAATGATATTTACAATTTTATTCATCATTATGCATTTAGAGTTTTGACAAATACTATTTAGAAATTAATTTCAACATTTTAACTAAGAAAAGATTCACACGACATTATTAAATACAGGGAACTTGCCAAATTTAAATGATAATACTATACAGAAGCAAAGAGAAATGGGAGACTTACTTAAAGAAAGTCTCAGATAGTATTGTTAAAAAATAACGCGTTAGACAGATTTGACATATCCTTCCAAAAGAACAAAATTAATAACAAACAATGTTATTAAATTTTATGTACAACTAGAGGAAAAATGTTGAATTTCTACAATAATCCAAGCCCTAGAGAATCGATTTCCACCGGCGGCAGTTCAATATCCGAAAGGCTGAAGGAATCAAATTGGGGAGTTAAGGAATCCAGGTCTCTTTCGAACGGGAGTGAGTCACGAGTGTAATCTAAAAAATACAGAACGTGTCATCAGTTAAGATATGTACAAGTTTGTTGCAACGCAACTCAAACTCTTGTACCCATCTCATGAAGTACTATCAAGAATCATAAGGTTGGGTAACTTTTAGGCAAGAAGCCATGCCCAGGCTGTGTAGAAGCTCCTCCCTTTGAGTTTCAAGCCATGTTTTCTTTCTGTTTTTTTCTGTAGTGTGACTTCTATAACCCATCACACCTGTGGTTTGCTAGTCTTGCACCAAAATTCTTGTAATGACAAGATTCCATGTTATTATTGGTAACCTGGCTGATTTTTCTTTAAGGTTACTACAAGTGAGGGAGAGGGGGAGGCAGGAGTAGGTTGGTGGAGAAGTAATTTTGGACCTCCCAATTAAAAATTCGGAATCCACCTTTGTTCTGCAATGTAAGATCATGTCAGCTAGCATGGTCACTAAGCAAGTTATATCAATGTTTCTTCCCTCTGATTTGTTAAGTTATGCAGGCAATCTCCCTGCCAGACAATGTCTATAGCTAAGCAAGCAAGATCTAAGGGTAACATCAAGGACATCCTCAAATCAAATTTTATAATTTTTTTGTAACTAAGTTTGAACTCAAATGCTGTCATCAAGGTGCTTTTTAAAGTTTTCAGATGATACCACTTAATCTGAGGAGTCTATTAGTGCTGATGATTTTTTAAAGCTCTCAATTATCAGACTTCAATGTACAGAAACCTTGAAAAGCCAAAATCATTATAGTAACAGATGGAGTGACACAAGCTCTCACAGAGTAAGGTTATCTGAGTGTTCTAGCAAATAACAAAAATACAATACAAAAAAGTCTTTGGTACCTGTTGTTGGTCTTTTGTAATCATCAAAGTGAAATAAATCTGCAGCATTGTCTTCAGCATCAGAATCAGTGGAATAAGTGGGTTGAAACTGACAGCCATAATAAAGAGCTCCAACATTCTTCAAAATTGTTGAAATATAGTTTGACCTTAGAAGGACACCATCTAATGGGAACGAGAAATGATAATGTATGTTTTATGTACTATTTTTTTAAAATTGTATTTAAGGGTTTTCTATTTCTAAAAAATTGTCACAAATTAAATTAAGGTTCTAAAATTTATAATAATAAAGAGAAAAAATATACAGAATTCATGGCACAAAACAATTCCACATAGCTACACTAAGACGACTACAATGGTACAAGTAATATATTAAATTAAAATAAAAACAAAATAAAATAATTGAAAAAATAACACTATAGGTACTATGGGTTTAAGAAACAATGTCACATGTAAAAAGTAATTGCAAATACAATATAAAAGTTTTTTCTATCTTTTTTCCTGTTTAGTTATCTTATTTTGTTTTGCAGTTATTTGGTTTTGTTGAATAAGGTTCATCAAGGAGAAATATTGCATTAAACAATTATAAAAACCGAAGTTCAAAACTGGATCTGGTTGTTACAATAGGGCCAGTATTTTACATTTTTAGTTTCACGGAAGGTTAAATTGAAGTTCAGTACAAGGCACATTCACAATTTATTGTAATGTATAATTTAGCAAACACAAACTTTTTCAACAGATTTCCAGACGATTTTTTTACATGGTACTGATCATATGATAACACTCAAGCATTCGTCTTCTTGGTAGGCTGTTTTTGAAAGACCATGTGAGAAAAGTGTACTTCCTTGGATGACCCATATTGCTAATTTGTTTCTAACTTTTTAAACTTCAAATATAGACGGTCATTTCTATCTCCACATTGACTTTAAATCTATGCAGATGTTGTACATTTAGTTTTTGTTTCTTTTAGATTTAGCAAAAATAAAGTTACAGTTCCTTGTAAGCAAAAGATAATAAGTGATAAGCACCCCTCCTTTTTAAGGAGGTATGGTTATAGAATATACTCCTGTACCTGTGTCAGTAAATGGATACATCACTTCTCGTTCAGTCGAGTCTTGATCCTCTTTTGTTCTTGGTTTCACTGCTGTCTTTGTTTGAGTTGCAGTTTTCTGTTTGCTACTTTGTTTTATACCAGCAGAGCTAATTTGTTGCAAGAGTGGTTTTCCTTTGGCCGATGGTGTTCGGGTATGATCTTGAAAAATCTTTGTTGTTGTTGGCGTCTTTCCAATCAGCTTGTTTGGTTTCAAAGCAAGTCCTTTTCTTGAATTTGAAGCAGCTGGTTTTAGAGTGTTCCCTACATCTCCCAGAGCACGTCTTGGAGTGGTTAAGGGAACATTGCTGGACTTAAAGGATTTTGCAGCTCCAAATTTTCTCCCTTTGTAATAAAGTAATTGCAAAATTATTATATGTTATTCCATTGTCCCAATCTAAATGCATGACAGTAACAGACTGGTCCTTCCCATAAATCTATCAATAGTTAACCGGGGGTACTGTTACTTATATGAAAAACAACCTCTAAGAGTAACTAGCAATTCATTTGTCCTCACAATACTACTCCTGAATCACTCACTAAGTTCAAAAGAATAAAATAAATTATCACCAACAAAGGAATTGCTTTTGATTGTTAAAGAAATTCTCCTTATCAGCCCCGAAGATTTAGAGAGAATAGTATGGAGGATATGCATACTGATGGTAGGTCGTAAAGGATTAAAGTAGCTACAGTGAGTAAACTATATAATCTGAGTAAAGGCGAGAAAGTCTATAAACATTTCCACTCGAGCTTGATTTTCGTTTTATTATCGGTAACTTGTACTTTTAAGCAAAAAATTTTTCTATTAAATGTTCTTCCCAATGATTTTTCACATACCACTGGAGATCAAACTTAAGACATTAAAATTTTAGACAAAGGAGTTACTGAAGTTATACCTGACGCATTTCCCCCTTTGAAGTTCAAGGGGTTCGGATTTTCTTGATCGACATGCGGCCTCAAAACTGCTTCTGTTGCCATTGATAGCTTCACCGTTAAATAATGCAGCAGCTTTATACAAGGTAGTATCAGAGATTATTTCAAATTCGCTTGAACTATAATTCACTTCCTACCGTAGCTCACTCAAACACTGTAGTATTTTCAAAGATGGCGGTTTTTTTGTAGCAGCATCTCACGTGACTTACTATAGCCAATTAAGATTTAGTTACCATGCTCCTAACGGAGAAATTATATTAAATATGGCTGCCGGGGTCACAGATGGCAATATTTTGTACGATTACTTCATTCACGCAGAGTGGTCCCTTGGAGGAGAAATTTTGGTTAGTTTTAATTTTTTCAGTGCTTGGGAATGTCTAGAATTTTTTTGTATCTGTTTTGAAAGACTTGCTTTCGTGCTTGCGTAGTGGTGAGGTCAACTTATTACGTGGCATCGTAGCCAGCTTGCGTACGCTCTCGAGGTTATAGACTTTTAATTTGATATACTCAAGACTTTCAAGATAGATATTATGCATCCAAATTCTCTCTTATTTGTAGGCTTCTTTCCATGAGTTCGATGAAAAACTATGAGGCCAAGTTTCTGTTTCGATTCATATCCGATGATGAATTGAATTAAATGAAGTCAAAACAAATAATTATCTTGGTTGCTGTCTTGGAATGTGGTTACATCTTCAGCTGTGTTATAGTTCTCCACATTAATATTTATTAATTAGCATAACTGGTGTCAGATCCGAATTTAGTGGCTTATTGCCACATTGATTTTCTTGTTAAAGCTCAAAATGCGATCTAGACTCGCAGCATGGCACATAACAGCTGTAAAACTGAAAGAAAGAACTGCAACCCTGGACAGATGAGTTCCTGTCTTCTGATAATATTTACTTGCTTTCCATGTAGCTGGGAAAAGCGTTGCATGCACAATGTATTGTTGACTTCTGCTATGATATCATAAATTAGAACAGAACACCTTAACCAACATGAATGCATGGGCCATGCGAAATAACATTCGCTTTAACTCATCAAAATGCAAAGTCCTCTCAGTAACTCGCAAAAAAAGCCCATTTATCTACGGCTACAAACTCAATCATGTACAGCTTGAGCGGGTCACAAGTGAGAAGGATGTCGGAGTTATTGTGACTAGCTCCCTTTCATGGGATTCACATGTCCATACCATCATCGCAAAAGCCAACAAGCTACTTGGGCTTCTAAAGCGTACATGCCCTTTTCTGACCGATGTTTCAGTCAGGCGGTCCCTCTATCTGGCTTTGGTAAAGTCACAACTGTGCTATGCAACGCAAGTGTGGTCCCCAGCCCAATTCAGTCTCAAAAGTCAGCTTGAAAGAGTACAAAGATGTGCAACAAGATGGATTCTAGGCACCAGAATTGGGGAAATGAGCTACCGAGACCGGCTTATCAAGCTGAATTTGCTCCCTCTCGCCTACGACCGCGAACTTAAGGACCTTGTGTTTCTTTACAAATGTCTGAATAACTACACGGATCTAAACATCCTTAACTTTGTTTCTTTTATTTCCCACGGCCGCACCAGACGAAGTAATTCCTTCAATCTCACAACACCTTCGTGTAAAACAAGTACCTTTCAGGCCTCCTATTTCAACTGAACTGTTAAACTCTGGAACTCCGTATGTACCTTATCACCCCCGTCCAAGTTTTCTAACCCGACCGCCTTTCAAACTTTTGTAGCTAAACACATGTTCTCTCTTGTCCGTTCAGTTTTTGATGTTAATAGTCCGTGCATGTGGTCAATTGTTAGGTCGTGTCCCTGTCATTGATTTTTAGTTATCTAGCACTTTTTCACCGTACGTTTTTACATTTTTCATTTTTTTTTTTTTTTTTTTTTTTTTTCGTTTTTATTAAGGGTAGTGCCCCGCATGGGACTCCATGTCCCGTTCGCACTGACCCTTTTGGCGTATGTCTATCCATTTTTTGTCTCTTTCCTTGTATATGTATTCATTTTGAGCTTGTAGACGTACCCAATAAAGTTGTTAAATAAATAAATAAATAAATAAATAAAGAAATAAATTATCAGAACCAAGGTCTGGAGTTATCTGCTGAAGGCCAGAAAGGCTGAGGCAGATAACTCAGACATGAGGTTTGATAATTCATGAAACCATGCCAAAATGGGATTCAGTAATTATTTGTTAATTATTTTCTTATACATTTTTTAAACAATCTGCAAAAGAAGACTCTTATCTCTGAGTTTGCCAGAGAATGAGAACACTACATGGATAAGAGGCTTGGAAACTAGGCAGACCATGAAGTTAACATGATATATACATTATCTGCTGCAGATATTCAAATTGGGTCTTCATGTGAACTTCACACAGTATTTTATAATGATTGAATACTCTCAACCAATCAGATTTTTCATAGAAAGTCAACTGTATAATAACCCAGCTTATCAGATCATTTGTTACAGTTTAATAACAAAACATTTGGAAAATACCCATAAACCACTCTGGAATCTTTTTGTCTTTAAACCTGGATACCATTTACTTGCAGTAGACTTGAATAGTAGGTCTACCCTAGAAATCTTGAACTCATTATGTCTTGAGAAAAATTAATGGTTAAAACTTAGATGATCCAGTCAATAAAGTATAAGAGGGTTATAACTTTTCAATTTTTCTTTCAGAACAAGACTGGGTTTGATATTGGTCAGTTGAGAGGATCATTGCCGAAGAAGTTTTTGACAGTTGCACAAAGTATGAATGTTTTACCAATTATTTTGTGTGAGTTAGGCAATATATAACTGTCAGAGTATTTTGTGTCAGAGAATCATACATGAGCAGCATAGTGAATAGTGTGCTCACTATTGTTAAAATAGAGATAATTGACGTTTCACCTCACATGACTATTACCCGAAGATACTCATAATTAAGACAGTTACCCAGATACTATAATGAAGATTCTGTAGCCTGATGGCTGGCTTGTTAAGAGAAGCCCCTGCCAGGGTCATTGCGATGTTGTTCAGAGTTTTTTTTAGTAACCATTCATAAAGAAAAGTAGCTAACAGGAAACACATGACAGGAAATACTTAGCAGTTAGTTGGCAGATAAGGAGTTTTTCTTCAGAATCATCAGTTTTTCAATTTCATTTGGAAGTTTAGAAGAATGATTTAGGTACACTTTCATGATATTAACCTAATTTGTTGCATGAATTACTTGCACCATTGGAGTATAGGACAAGTTGAAATGGTGATTATCTTTTCTACTTTACTCTAGATTCCTTTTGGTGGTTGGTGAGAGGCATTCAGTACACTGTTAGGTAATGAATACATATATCTTATTAGATGTTTTGATGTGTAGTACTGCTGAGTTTGTTTACAAGTTGTTCATTATTTCGATGAGTTGAATAGAAAAAATTTCTCACCTACCTGCGTTTCCAAAATGAATTTTAACAAACTGATTAAACAGGACAGTTTTCGAGTTTATTTCACAGTGACAAAAATAACGGCAACTGTCCAAAAACCATACAAAAATAATTAGGATATCCGGGATATTTGTTTTCACTCTTTTCTAACACATTTTATTTGTAGTAGAACAGGAGATATCGATTTTTTTGTGCATTTGGATAACAGGTGCGAAACTTAACTAATTTCGCGCTGAAAATGTGTTTTATTTGATACAGAATAATGCATTGATTTAAAAGATAGCTCTTACTAAAAAATTACAAGTCCATACTTAAAAAATCTTTCCAAAAAATTTTGCAAAACTTAAACTCATAATCAAAACCAATAGAGTTCCTTTTTTATTACTTGGTTTTATTAACTTAATTGATAAGGTAAATTGGCCACCATTTGTAAAGTCAAAAAACTCTTTATGGTGACCAATTTACATTATGAATTCAGTTAATAACAACAATTTAAGCCCTTGTTAATCAAACCCCTTAACAAACTGATTAAACAGGAAAGTTTTCTTAGGGAACCAACTGTCCAAATTCATTCATTTAGATTTTACTCTTTTGCTTTATTTTACATACTTTGTATTTGACAACAATGTTTTAATTAAAAATGATATTTAAAAAAATTAAAGTGAATCTTTAAAAAAATGTAGAACTTTCTATAAAAGTCAAAAACAGGGTTCCTTTTTATACTTGGTTTTATCAGCAAATGTACAAAGTGCAATGTACAGAGTGCAATGTATAATGTATGATGGGTTTTTATTGAGAAGTAAGGTAGTTGTGGATAAATTGATACCCAAGGAAATTTATAAAGATTTCAATAAACAAATTTATAAACAGTGAGAATCATTACAAACCAGTCAAAATGTTGGGGAATTGTGTTTTAATTAAAAGTGAATTTCAGTTTGAATAATTATTAACTAGTTTGATTTGGACTTCTCTTTTTTTAAGACTGTATCTATATCTAGAACAAAGGAAATCAAAATAAACAATTTTAAGATCATTTTAGTAAAAAACCATTATAGACTACAACAGTTGAGCAGGTATGTCAACACTGTATTCAATTTCAGTGGGAGTAATCAGATATTTGGCCTTCCAACACAGCTGTACAAAATTGTAAACAATTCACTTGGCTGGCAGTTTGCCCTCTCCAGGTAAACTATATATTTTTCATTAAGTGAACATGCTCTTAATAATTTTCTTCTATATTGCAAATAAATTTATTTGGTCAATTCTTTTCTGGAAACTGTTAATTTTAGCTGTAGATGTTGTTTTGCAAACAAGTGATAAAAATAATAAATCTTATCAGGAAGAAGTTATCTTAATCTAATACCAAATTTTGTAACTAAGTTACAAGAAATGACTATCAGCTAGATGGGAGAATTAACAACCAGATCTTGGGAGTTGAAGAGTTAAGACTCGAATTCAAAGAGAACTTTTAGCTCTTAGTCAAAATTAAGTACAACCCTAAATAATTTCGCATGTATAATTTTCTTAATTGTATTTTATTTAGTGATGGAAAGCTCCTTGCAGTACTTCAAGAAAGTTGCATTGAGATTAGGTAACTTTTGTCTATTTTCCAAGGTTACCTAGTTATTAGGTTTACAGTTTGAGTGACAAAAGATTGCTAGTACAAACACTAAGTAACTGAGATGAATCAGGTCAATTAATATTTATACAATTGGCTCCATGTAAATGAGACTTCAAAGTATCTTTAATTTTTGACTGCAATTAATGGCTTTTAACCCTTTAATTCATCATGAGTGACCAAGAGAGAAGTTCTCCTTACAATATCAATATAACATCAAGCAATCAAGAATAGAGAAAAGAGAAAAATATCAGTTAGGGGCTCATTAGTTGATCCAATACCAAATTCTCTGCTATAATATCACAAGAATTGTATGGCAAACAGTGAGGAGAATCACTAATGAGATCTTTGGAGTAAAAGGTTAATGGAGGGCAACTATTTAATCACTTACTATGAACATTTTCATACACAGGTCATTTGTAGACAACTTTGAATCAGTTATTGCAAAATGTACAGGTAGGTATATATACCATTTGCCAACCTTTCATTCAGAAGCTGTGGATGTAAGTTGCTGCAAGTAACTTGCTACAACTCCTTACCAGTTGTTTCTCTTTCTCATTCATTTACCATCCCTAATATGAATATTTTTGCGGAAGTTTCAGTACAATTACATGGAAAGTTTTATGGGACCTGTGTTGTGTTGCTTTCTCTAATCATCAATATAGTTTGTTAAATTTGTTGAAATAATTATACAGCTGTAGGTGAGTACTGAAAAATAAAACTCCAATAGCCAGCAATTCAAATATGGGGATTTTTTTTGCTGATTTATGAGACACCTTAAGTGCTGCAGGGAGCCATCTGGGGATTTTTGCTGATTGCTGCAACTAGGGTATAAAACTGCTTTGCCTCATCTTGGCTGTGGCCAACTGTGTGCTAAATGTTTTAATTTCATTTTTTCAGTTGAAGAAGACAACTGTCCACAATGGAGAAAGCTGGCTTGGAGTCAAGATTGTTCTATGTTAGCTTTATCATACAGGTGGATGAAAATTTTTCTCTTGAGAACTTTTTCCTATGACAATAATCACCCACATACTAGTCTATGATGCACCCTTTCTGTTAAGGAACTTATAATTGTTGTTTCTATATCCCCTGGAAAATTGGAAAACAATTACAAATAAATGTGCTCACACCTCTCTTTACTTTCTTAAGACAGTGTATAGCTTACAGTATACCATAACTGTAATACATACACTATCACTTAAATTTTTTAGATACAAACAAAGAAACTATGACTAATTTCTGTTACCAGTTTTATGGTCTTTATGTTTCCAACACAGTAATTCCATGTGTGTGTGAGAGAGAACAGTTTCTTTTCTGTTAAGGAACTTATAATTGTTGTTTCTATATCCCTGTGTTTACAGAGTTCTCCTTTCTAGCCTAACTTGTTCTTTCAGTCCTACTATTAGACACTTTGTTTAAGTGGAAAATTAAAATTCCCAGTACAAACCAGACCATTCTAAAACCAATTTACTAAAACCAAGTTGTCTCATAATTATCCTCCTACTAACCCAGCACCACAGTTTCTGGAAAACCCATACCTATATATGCATTCTTCTTGCAACAAGCATATCACCCTCCCTTCTGTAAGCCTCTTGGTGTATTTGTTACAGATCAAAAATTTTCCTCAGTGTAAAATTTTAAAACCAGGGTGATCTTTAGCACCTTCTTTCTAAGATTATGATGATGGGGCAGTAAAAAGAAGCCAGAGGAGGAAAAATAAATTAAGCAAAAAAACAAACAAGGAACAATCAAAATCATACTAGTTTGAGAATTTAAAACCTAGACATACATTTTGTTCTATTCAATTGACTTAAGCTAGCAATTAAAAATTGATTTTTTTTGTACAGCTCTAGGGACATAGCAGTTTTTGATCTTTCTGGAGAACTTCTCTTCACAATTCCGAAGGTAACCAACAAAAGTTTTGTTTTATATTTTGTAAGTTTGTTTACCGGTTTGTCAAAGTCATCTATCATTAATTTGGTTTTGTTTATGAGACAAAATCCAATTACTGGCTTCATATTTGTCTTCTGTTTTAGACCCTTGGGACCATTCCCTCAGATCTCAGTGATAGCATCACTGGACTTGTTTTTATTGAACATAGACACAGCTCACAGTGGTAAGCTGTTGATTATGAATTTTGTGATTTGTTATAACATACCATAAATAACATACTGCAAACTTCTGCTCATAACACACACCCCCCCACCACTGGTTATAGGTCCACATACCTATAACCAAAAAAGTACATCAGATTATAAGCCCACCTCCCCCTCGGACACAATCCCCCTTCCTTTTTAATTAGCTTTTATTGTTTTGAGAGGTAGGAACTCTGTACTACTCCAAACAGAAAATTTGAAAAAATATCATGTAAATTATTTTTAACTGTCAAGATAAACTCTTAAGGGGAAAGTCTGAACTTCCATTTTGTTATGTTCCAGTTCCACATAAGTTGAATTGAACTCAAGTTATTTTGATGTTTTGAAGCTTATAAAAAACCAGCAAATTTAAAACCCATTTTGATCAGCAAATCTATAGTTGGTTTTGAAGCACTTTTCCCATTCTGGTTTTAAATTGTTTTAGCGCGGGGCTTATGTATGGCAGTTTACAGTACTCTAGAGGTACAAATGTATAGGAAAGCATAGGTTGTGGTTCCATTTAATATTTTTTTCTGTGATTCAGATTTCTTTTTAAGATTCAGCCAAATCTAGCTTAGTAAGCAGTTTAAAGTATCACAATTAGGGCTTGATGTCAAGTCAATCCATAGCTTCTACTTTTATTGAAATTTTGGAGGATCTAATGACAGGAAGGAAATTTATTTCCCACGGCATGCACTTTTGATTGACTAATTTGCTTCAAGTAAAAACATCCTTCATAGGTCTGCAGAGCTTTTGGTGATAAATTTCAGTGGTGCTTTGAAGAACTACCTTGTCAGGTATGTCTGTGGTGTCATGTTCTTGTAACCTCTCCTTTGGGGTATGCAGGTACCTGATAAAAGTTATCAGAAAGTCTCTTTCACTGAGATATGACATATTAACCATATCAACAAGTAGATAATTGTATATAAACCTTCAAAGCTGCTTTTGTGTGGGGTTTGCTCTAAAGAAAGCACAATGTGCCAAACAGTTTCTCTTTCTTCCCTGAAATCTGTACTTTATAGTGACCATCTCTGTTTGGGACCCTCTTGGCCAACTTACTTAATCTTTCTTGTAGTTATGTGTATAGAGGGTAGAACTGTTTACAAGATTCAGAAAAAAATCTAAATAGGCAGTAAGAGTCTTAAGAGTCAAAGAAGCTGGGACAACTCTAACACACTTAATATTACCTGTTTTTTAATATTTCAGGAAAAATAGTCTTAGTCAAAGGAACACCAAATCAATTGATTGGTTAATATGAATTGTTGAGGGACATATACTAGGTTTTTAGTTGAAAATCAAATTTTATATTACTTCTAAGTATTCTTTTTCACTATTTTTCAGTTCAACAAATGGCTTTCAAGAGAACTATGACTTCTCCTTTGCTAACATTTTACCTCATGGAGTATGCAGTGCTGTTTACCATCCTCAACACAGCTTGTTGATACTTGGTAGTCTGACAGGTCAAGGGCAGAGAACTTCAGCAGGTTTGTTGATGTGGAAAGAAAAGCAAGTCAAGAAAAGTGGATTTGTCTTAATTTTCTTTGTTTCAATTGTAGTTGTTTTAATTTTCGTTTTTTTTACTGCAGATGAGCCTTGTCCAGCTTCCCTTTATGGTTTGACTGCTTGGAGGATTCTCTCAGGATATCCTCATTACAAACTCATTGAAGATGACGGCACACAGTTGATCAAAGTAACTTTTATTTTCTCCATGAGTTTCTCTTGGTGAATTTTGATTTGGAGTCAGTATTTTTTTTTTATTTGTAACTTAAGTTAATGTTCTTTGCTGGATTTTCAGTTTGGTTCTGGGATATTGAATAAGCTTAAAAGTCTACCACTGCTAAATTCTGGAATTGAAGGGCAGGTGAGAAGCTCTTTGTGTAACGTGTGTTTTTTTGTTTTTTTGTTTTTTTTTTTGTTTTTGCATGTGTGTGTTTAATGCTGTTTAATGCTACTAAACTCCTTGAAAAAATGAAAACAGCCAAACCACCACTTAAACAACAATTCAATGCTGTAAGTTCAATTCAAAAATCTCCACAAATGCGAGTTTCATGCACACACCATCTACTAAACAGCTTACATAGTTACTTAAAAATCATCCACACAAACATGTGTCATGCCAATTCAGTTGTCTTTTTAATTGTATGTGTACTAAAGAATAAAAGTTCTTCCTGGGACACCTGTATGTCATCTTGCTTAGACCCCTTTTTTGTTAAAGTCTTTTTTCTTAAGAGGACACTAAATCTGATAGACCTTATTCTTAAACTACACTGTTTAAGCTCCCCATCTTTCTCCCTGTTTAGGATGGTGTGGTTTACATGTCATTGTCTCCAGATGGCACTAAGCTGGCAGCATTACACTTGTCAGGAACTCTGTCTTTGTGGCAAGTGCCATCACTCAGATGTCAGAGAATGTGGACCAAAGATGAACAGGTACTTTCTTTAGATTACTTAACATGGTTGCACGGGATCTGATGGAATAGTAGATAGTGCACTGAACTCTGGATCAAAAAGTGTAATTCAGAGCCTTGACTGAGTCACTGTATCGTATTCTTGGGCAAGATACTCAAATATGTACTGGACTGTAGATCAAACAGTGTGGTTCAGAGCCCTGACTGAGTCTCTGTATTGTATTCCTGGGCAAGACACTCAAGTGTGCAGTGGACTCTGGTTGTCTCCTCCCTGGAGAGGAAAAGGGTACCAACAAGCTCAAAGGGAATCTTTATGAGATAAGGAAGTAACTATATGATGGACTGGTATAAAGTAATGCAATTTTTTTTTTTTCCTGGCAGCCCTCAGTCAAGAATCATGAAGAACATCCTGCCTTTTCAGTATCAAAACCATTGGATTCTAACAAGGGTTAGTTATCTTTAAGGCTGTGTGATAGGGGAAGAGGTTTCAGGTTAACCCTAAGCAAGTATTTTAAAATATATTTTAACAAGTTACATGCTTTTTATGTAATTCTTTTGACTGGTATACCTCAGAATACCCATAAGGGAATGGATAAACATGAATTACAGGTAAAGAACTCATTCAGGAACAGAAGCTTGAATCATTAGTCTTGCTATTAAATGATCTTCCTCAAGTCTATATCATTGTTAGGCAAGCTGTTATTACATGTAATTATTATTATTATTATTATTATTATTATTATTATTATTATTAACTACAATTAGTGGTCAAATGGAGAGTTACCTGGCTTTTACTCTCATATTATATTTACTTTTTATTATCAGATTCATCTTTTTGTGGATTAATTGATGTCAATTGGTGGACAGAGGAGGTGGGATTAATAAGTAATTCAGTACATTTTCAGTAGTGTCAAAAACACTTTTCTATATTAAATGGCTGTCCTTGGTGGAATGGGTAACTGTGACCTGAAAAGAGAAGAAAGATATCTTGTTAGTACCAAGCAACATGAAACTTTTGGGGCATGGGAGATGTTTGGGAGATTGTCTACTGTCCAAATGAGCTCTAGCAGAAAAAATTTAGCTAAAAACACTTGACACTTACTGTATCTATGAAAAAAAAACTCAATACATTTGATATCAATTTACATGAGTTATCTATCTACAAATTGTGCTCCATTTCCCCCACTCTTCCTCCCTTTGGTGTAACTAACTCAATTAATGAAAGATTTTTTTAAAATGTATTTTTTCTTTCTTGTTAATTCTTGGCTGCTTAAAAGTAAAATCACAGAGATTAGCTAGTTCCCAGCAGAAATTCAAGCGATCAAAAGACACACACAAAAAAAATTATTCAAAGAACAAAAATATTCTTAATCCAAGAACTCCTTCTCGCAGTAAAACCATGACAAACCATGGTGAGAAGCCTTGTAAGTAGTGTTATAGACACATAGATGACTGAAAACAGCTTTTATGAAAATCTCCCGGATATGAGTGGAATATTAAACTATTTTTTTCAAATTTATCTATAAAGCTTCCCTTTCTTTTCTTACTTGAATATTTTCCCCTTTGCTTCAAACTCTTATTTTTCTGTTGTTGTTGTTTTTTTAATAGGCCTTAATTTTGTCTCACAGCATTGGGGCTCTAACTGTTTCCTCTGTAGAAGAGAGGTATGTGTAAAGAATACTGAAACTTCAAAATGAAAAGAAGAATACAATAAAAATTGTCAAAATTGCCTGCGAGATACAAAGCTGAAGGGAAAAATTTTGCATGGGAATTTGCCAGGAGCCAGAAGATGTGTTCCATCAACCTCTTCCTCTCCTCCTCCTACACATGGTGAATAGGTGTGAGAAATGGTGAACATTTCCTCGTAGTTTTGCCAAAAATTAAGCTGATATACAGATCTTAAGAGAAAGTGAAGCAGCTGCAAAAGTTTGCCATAATTTCTGATTCTTTCTGTCAAGAAGTGAGGATGATGGATTACATTTGATTAGTGTTTGGAAGGCCCAGGTTGTAACGTTTGTGTTTTTTTTTTTTTTTTTTTTTTTTTTTTTTGTTTTTTTTTTGCTTAAAGTCAACCTTCAACCAATGAAAGTTTGATGGTAACATTGGGAGGGCTAGTGATATATGTTAAACTCCACTGTAGTTGGAATTATTTGACAGTTTTTGTCCTCTATTTGCAGTCTTAATAACTTACTTGGTAGCCATCCAGAAAGGTGTGAGCCATGGTCTCGCATTACTGCTGCTCATGATAAAGGATTCCTCATTCTGGAGGTAAAGTAATGACAAAAGAGAATAGTTAAAGGCAATCATAATGATAAGTCCATTATTAAAGAAACCACCTCACTCACCCTCTTTGTTATAAACTACTATGTGATAAATCACAAATAAGAGTCCAAGTTACTCAGCAGCCTCTAGTTAGTACAGAGATAGGTAAGGCCAGTGATATGGCTACAGCTATGGAGAAAATATGGAGAATAACAAGACAGAAGTAACTTGAAGATGCGAGAAGCTTGAACAGAGCAAAGCTTTACAATGCATATACTACAGTACTAAGTGTTACTCCATACTTGCAACAAAGTGAACTGGTTGCCACATGTTCAAAACTGTTTTGTCTTGTCGTCATCAAGTGAACTGATGCTAAACTGGTTTAAGTGACAAACATCCATAATAATTCTACCAACAACTTTGGATCATCCACATATGTTGCTTAAAAACGGAACACTAGAGTGGTAGATATGTGTTTGGTAGTACTAATGAGACCCAAATAGTAAATTAAAGTAAACATTGTATAGTTTTTCTCTTCTTGAATTAGTCAAAGCAGTTAGGCTTGGTGCATCGATGTCAGTATCTGAGCAACTGCTCACTTACCCCTCCCCTAATCCAATTCTAACCTTATTATGGTAGGGTAGGGGTAGGTGTGTAGTGGCTCAGATGTTGACATTGATCCGACTTAGTAATTTTATCTTGAAAATTACCAACGAAGGAGTTTCCACTCTTGAAAACATTTATTAACAACTTTCTGGTGGCTTGAAAGTAGTGGGGTAGCTTGCTTTATTTCTGTCAGTGTGAAAATAAAATCAAGACCCTGCAGTCAAAGATTGTACTCAGTAGTGATGAAGATGATGGTGATCAACATGAAAGGGAAGATGTCAAGTCAGGAAGTGATGAGGATGATGATGAGGAGGAAACAACTTTGACGTCAAGAACAAAAAACTTTGCCAATCAGGTTATTTTTCAATTCTACTTTCTTCAAATTCCTTATTGGCATTCCTAATATTTGTTATAAGATTTATGGACCAGGCAAATGAATTTTTTTTGTTGCAATGTTTTTGCGTGGAAGACTGAGTTGCTCATCAAATGAGAAGCCTTAACTTTTGAAAACTGAAAACTACTCTAAGAAGGAAACATTTGATATGGCTTAAAAGATGCATGCTGATTTATTTAATCTTGACAAAGTCTGACTGATATTACCTTATGTTGTTATCTTATCATAACCTACAAATAAAATATTCTGACTCATTTTTTTTAGGTTAATTGTGCAATCGTGGTTTCAGTGATAACAGTTAGTACTTTTCTCTATGTTTAGGTCTTGTTTTTCCTGACTGAAAGTGAAAGATTTCAGCAGCCTGTGAAGATAAGAAGGTATGTTCAGAAGATTTCCCAAAAACAATTGTCCTGTTGCATTGTCTAAGACTGGTTCTATCTCAAGCTTAAAAAGATTCATGAAAAGGCTCCAGAAAGGGGTGGATGTTGTTTTCATGACCGATTTGTAATTTTGAACTATCAAGCCAATCAACATTTCATTCACTTTGGAACACTGTTTTCTTTTTTATGTGCATAATTGCTCTGGTGATTGTGTACACTCTGATTTGGTGAGGATTCTGTTATATCTCACTATAATATGCTTAAGACATAATTAAAATACTGAAGTTTAAGTTATAATTTGAAAGGTTTTTTTTCACATTTTTAAATAGAGTGCTTCAGCGTACATATCGACTTGCCTGTTTAAGGTCCACAACACCAGAGGAACTATATGCCAGGAAGGTGATTTATTCACTATCATTTACACTGATTTATTTTCAGTTTGAAGTTAACACACATTCAAAATAAAGAATAATTATATTCTCACATCTCGCCCATTCAATATAGATTGAGGATGAGGAGTATGGTGAAGCTCTTGTCCTTGCACAAACTTATGGACTGGACAGTGACTTGGTTTATCAGAAGCAGTGGAGGAAATCCCCTGTCTCAGTAGCTTCAATTCATGACTACTTGGTGGGTGATACAATGAAAACATGCCTCCTGTAGTAATTTTTTAAACAACTTCCTGTATGCATTAAGAGTATATGTTGAAAATCCTTCAATCCTTCCAAGATCAGGTTATTAATTCTCCCCTCTAGCTGCTACATATTTTGTTATAAACAAGTTATGAGAATTTACTGTTAGACCAGGATGACAACTTATACTTGATAAGTTTGAGTATTCTTATTACCTGTTTGCTGGATAGTGTATGGACATTGTAGGGAGAACTAACATTTTAATCACTTCTGGGAGTAAAGGGTTAATAGGGGGCACAGGCCACTTAGTGCAACATTAGGCTAAGACAGTGGGCCTGTTCAAAGAGGAGTAGCTTAAAAATATTTGATTTTTCTCACTCTGTGGCTAATTTGTTTTGTATTTTGTAATGTGACATGTTTCCAAAAGCAACCATTACAACCAGTTAGTTTTACCTGTAGGGTAAATAAGCGTGCTTAGTATATACACATTGTAAATATAATATCTATTTTCAACCTATATGCATGGTGTGAAGCAAGCAGAAAGTATTTGTAAGGTGTAATAAAGGTGTTCTACATGCATGACATTTATTGGACATCACAGTTTTAGTTCTATCTGCTGATGTCAGATGAAACTTATGGTAAAATAAAATAACTTACTATTCCTTTTTGTGCACTGTTGCACGCTAGTTATTAATATGTTGAAAAAAACTTTTATTCACTCTAGAGTAAAGTGAAGAATCGACTATGGGTTCTTAACGAATGTGTGGAGAGAGTCCCAGAAACATATGAGGCAGCAAAACAGCTGCTGCTGTATGGTCTTCATGGAACAGATGCCAAGGTGGTGAAAGCTTTGGGTAACAAAAAGGGTCCTCTGCCATTTATTATAAAAACAAAGGAGGATGAAGAAGGTGAAGAGGATCAGGAGAAAAAAGATTTTCTGGAGTTTGAAAGGTATATCAAGTGAAAAATGCTTCATCAAGTGTACACATATTTAAGGAGAAGTTAAGTCCTGAAACTGTGATAACTTTTACATCAGCCATTGTAGTTGTAAGTTTATGACACCCATACACTTAATCCTTTAAACAAATCCATTGTATACGCTGGCTTATTAGATTAGTGATGAGTGGAAATAAATTATATGATAAAAGCTGGTTTTCATACTCAAAATGAAAGATCCACATTATTAACCCATGAAAATAAATTTTTCATTGGATTAATTCTGTTTAAATGTATCAAAGCTATGTAAAGAGATATTTTTCTTCACATTTTGCCATTGCTGCTGACCTTATCTGCTAAGGTTAAACCAGATGGAAGTGACAATTTTTAGCTCAATTTTTTTTAACAGTTTTAACCTGGAACAGAGAGACATCTGCATGTATCGCCTGAAGCTCCTTCAGTATCTTGACCGCCTCTCAACATATGAGGATATCTTGGGTGGAGTTCACATAGCTCACGAGGAATACTGCCACACTTTCTTTGAGAGATTTAGAGAGTTGAACATTTTGCAAGCCGCTGTGGAGTATGCCAGGGTATGTTAATGCAGAGGAAAATGTACCAGAACATTATTACTTGTTGCTAATATAATAAGAAAATTGCCATTTCTTCTCTTGTCTCCTACCCACCTTTAATGTAAAAATGTTTTAAAAGTTTTTATTTTTTACACCACAACAATGTTTTGTATTTACCTTTTGGGGAAGGTTATGGAATGAAGGCTTGGAGAACAGTCAAAAGCCCAGTTTATCATGACAAGTAACTTGTTTGCCTAAAGTTCAGCTGTATTTTTATAAAACATGTCACCATTTGCACTGAAATCCAGTGACAACGGTATGATTATTTAAACAAATTTTAGGGGTTGTTTAACAAAAATGCATCCTAAACAATCCTCAATTTAGCCAAATCTTTCACCTGAAAAATTTTTTTTGTGAACAATGTAAAAAGGGTGGAATGCTAAAAGTGGAAGGACATTTAATATGTAATTAAATCAACCATCTCATAGAGAAAGCCTGAAGCCCACTGATTTCACTGACCTTAATGTGTGACTCAAGGGTGTGATTGTCAAGGAGAAATTAGATGCTTATAACTCTTAGTTGTTGAAGGGTTAAGTGCAACTCTCTTGGTGACTTTTTATTACTTTAGGAGGGAAATTGGGAAGCTTTAGAAGTTATCTTCACATACCATGGCAAAGAGACAATTCCCCACTGGCTTGCAATTCTATCCAACTTTGATGAGACAATTCCTCCATCTGAATACAAAAGTCTTCTTCCGGAAGCAGGGTGAGTACTCTTGAACTCTTGAAAGGTTTGATAATGGGTACATTCATTGTTCCTTCCTCTCATATTAGAAATATTGGATAGTAACATTAACCCTTAAACTTCCAGAAGTGATAAATATATAACTTCCCCCTATGATATCCATACACTATTCAGTAACCAGGTATCGAGAAATAATCAAACCTATCTGATAGAAGTTTTTATCTTGATCAAACACCAAATCCTTGTAACCAAGTTTTAGGGAAATGTGTGGCGGTTAGAAGGAAGAATTTATTCTCATTCTGATCTTGGGTTTTAACTTAATAAACTTACCAGTGTAGTTTGTATGATTTTCAGTAGCATCTTTGATGATCTTTTTTAAGTTTAGGTCACCTAGTACATTTTATAACAAGATGCTGCAAAATTGTGAATGTGCTTTAATTTAACAAAAGGAATTTGCTACTACATTCATTTAGGAGTGCTGACTCCTTAAATTGACTTCGCACTCCAAGAATGAGTGCGAAGTCAATTTAAGGAGTCAGCACTCTTTTACTACACGGCGCCTCCACACCATTCGTACTCGAAATAGTTTTATCCATCACTATGTCCATAAAGCAATGATGTAATATTGTTTTTCTCTTAATTATATATTTTTGTCTTTTTAATTAGTTCTTCTTAGCCATGTATTTTTTGTAGTATATATTTTATTGTAAATCAAACGTAATTCAGCCTATGGCTGCAAGGTTCTTGATAATAAACTATCTATCTATCTATCTATCTATCTAGGCTAACTTTTTTTCAGAATGTTGCCCCCATTCTTGTTCCTCCACAAGAGCAGCCCTGAGGAGCTGCATAGGCTCCAGTCTCAAACAGTTACTTCTCTTCTGATTTTAAATATGTGCTCTTTTCACTTAGTTTCTTACCAGAAGACCCAGAAGTTTTGGAATGGGATGAAAAGTCTTGGAGAGATACAGATTGGGTAGAGAATGCAGAGTGCAAAAAAATCTTAGGTTGGGATCATAGTGACGACTCAGCTGAATTTATTTACCTTGAAAACCCAGAATTACAACTGTACAGGTGAGTGTTTTGTGGTTGTCTTATTATCTGTTGTGCATAAGAAGTGTTATATTTTGATCAAATCATTAAAGGAGAGCTGCATTAAGACCTAGCATGTGCATCTTAAGAAAATTCAGAAAGAAATTTTTATCTCCTCCATAATAAGAAGTCTTCATTTTCTTTTGGTCTACTCCAGCTTCCCTGTCTTCTGTTTTTTCCCTCCCATTCAATGACAGTTTTCTATGTTCATACAAGTAAGTCGAAGAAACTCTCAGATAATTTTCAAAGCTAATTGGAAATTCCTCTTGATAACTGTCTAAGGTGTAAACTTACTTCAGATGTTGTGATGCAGTGGTACAGAAATAGAGCTTGTTTGATAGAACATCGCTCCAAGCAGGTAAAGTAGACATGTAGCTGGTGTGGTGTAACTGCAGTACATGTAAAAGATTAAAAGGCTTGAAACATCCCCTCAATCTTTTGATCAGGAAATAACTTCTACAAGTGAACACTTTTTGCATTTTGTACAGGTTATTTCTTGAATATGAGGTGTAACACTGCAGGAGTGCTTCCATAAATGAGAAAAACCTGGTGGATGCTTTTTCCCTGTTGCAAACCTAGGGTAGATTTTCAAGTCATAATGTAGAGCTAAAAGACAAAGGCAGGATCAACAAAGAAACTTTTGAGAAATAGAGTTAATTTTGTCTTGCCATCAGGCTAGAGTACTATTATTGCTAAACAACAGGCCACAGTTTTTTGAAGGGTGGATAACACTATCCACTGGATAAATCTCTATCTGGTGGATAGAACAGTAGGTTTCTTTGATACTTATCCACTGGATAGTGATTTATCCATTAAATGGTATTATCCACCTTGTGAAGGGTATCCAGTCAACTGGGACCGACGCCAAGCGTATAAAATCGAGTAGAGAGCGAGTTTTTGAACAACTTATTAGAAGTTAAACATACAGAAAAGTAAACGATATTTAGTAAAAAACACTGGTGAACATTGGTGAACATCAGACAGAAGCTTAAACATTGGTTAACATTGGTGAACATCACCAATGACTATAACAGCTTAAGACGCGAACGAGATTAATTGTGCGACAACAACGCCGTAAAGATCAATTATTAATTAATGCATTGTTATTATTATTAATGTATTGGGCTAATTGTTGAAATTTACCACCAAACATTTTTGGGTTTTTGGGAGTCCATAGAAAATTGAATTCAATCCATGCCTTTTATCATTGATGTTTTTCTGAACAGGTGGATAACTCTTTGGAACTAATAAAGCTTGGAATGGAAAGAAGGATCAAGGTTGGTACACACAATGCCATTTTGTACTGTGTACATGATTATTATCTTTGTTAACTGAGTTGATTTGATGTGAAACACTGCCCTGTAGGGAAATGTAAGGAAATTAGCAAGGAGAAAATTTAATTAGATCCTGGGATTTTAAGGGTTGACACAAAATATAGGGAACCAGTCAAGGAAACAGACAAATCACCTTAGTGGGGTGTGATCTTTGATGGATCAATCAATGAAGGAAACTAAGAATGCTCCTAGTGGCTATATTTCACCAAACCACAGTAAGCTTACAAGATATGCAAGCTAGTTGTGTCTTTTGGCATGTAATACTCATGTTTATCTTCATATGAACACAACACAAAATAATTCTGGTGAGTTAATATCAGGTACTGTTTCTCTAGGGGCTTCAAGATCTTCATGATGATCTTGTGACACTTGAAGTGCTAATATATGAGGTAGGGCAAAGGCATGTCACTCCATGAGTATTAACAAAAACTCAGGGGTTGTAATAATATTAGTTTCTTTTTTTCATTCTGTTCAACACACTCTGTTCTAAATATTTTGTGCCCTATTTTTTTAATCAAATTTGAGCCAATGTTCCATATGAGTTATGTTGAGCAAATCAACCAACGTCAGATTATTCTGAAATATTAATAATTTCCCAGAAGAAAATTACTTCTAAAATTTGTTTATTTCAGAGTTGCGCAGATGTGTATCTCAGTTTGGAGAATTTTCAAAGCATGAATGAACTGGAAAAGTTGAGGATGTTGTTGAAGAAGGTACGTACAGTTTTAAGCCCCTCAGTCAGTTAGTGGGTGAATGAGCCTGTCAATCAGTTGGTCAGGCAGTGAGTCACTGAGTCATTCTGTGACTCTGTGAGTCAGTGAGTCAAAGTGTCGGTGAGTCGGCTAGTTAGTGAATCAGTGAATCAGAGAGTCAGAAGTCAGTGAGTCAGTGAGTCAGTGAGTCAGAGAGTCAGAGAGTCAGAGAGTCAGTGAGTCAGTGAGTCAGTGAGTCAGTGAGTCAGTGAGTCAGAGAGTCAGAGAGTCAGTGAGACAGTGAGTCAGTGAGTCAGTGAGTCAGTGAGTCAGTGAGTCAGTGAGTCAGTGAGCCAGAGAGTCAGTGAGCCAGAGAGTCAGAGAGTCAGTGAGACAGTGAGTCAGTGAGTCAGTGAGTCAGTGAGCCAGAGAGTCAGTGAGCCAGAGAGGCAGAGAGTCAGTGAGTCAGAGAGTCGGTGAGTCGGTGAGTCGGTGAGTCGGTGAGTCGGTGAGTCGGTGAGTCAGTGAGTCAGTGAGTCAGAGAGTCAGAGAGTCAGAGAGTCAGTGAGTCAGTGAGTCAGTGAATCAGAGAGTCAGAGAGTCAGAGAGTCAGTGAGTCAGTGAGTCAGTGAGTCAGAGAGTCAGAGAGTCAGTGAGTCAGTGAGTCAGTGAGTCAGTGAGTCAGAGAGTCAGTGAGTCAGTGAGTCAGTGAGTCAGAGAGTCAGTGAGTCAGAGAGTCAGAGAGTCAGAGAGTCAGAGAGTCAGTGAGACAGTGAGTCAGTGAGTCAGTGAGTCAGAGAGTCAGAGAGTCAGTGAGTCAGTGAGTCAGTGAGTCAGTGAGTCAGTGAGTCAGTGAGTCAGTGAGTCAGTGAGTCAGAGAGTCAGAGAGTCAGAGAGTCAGTAAGTTGGTCAGTCAGTTAGCTAGTAAGTCAGCCTGTGAGTCAGCTAGTGAGCCAGTCAACAGGTCCATCAATGAGCCAGGTAACAAATAGTCAATCAGTAAGATGGTCAGTAAGTTAGTCAGTGAGTTAGTTTGTTAGTCAGTGAGTCATTCAGTGTGACAGTCAGTCAGGAAGTCAGTCAACCAGTCAGTCAGTAAGGCAGCACCAGTGATTCAGTCAGTCAGTCTGTGAGTTATTCTGTAAGTCAGTCAGTCATTTAGTAGAACAGTCACTTGCTGAGTCAGTCACAAGTGCATCAATCACTCTGTCAGTAAGTTTGTGAGGCAGTGAGTCAGTTTGTAGGTCAGTCAATCAATAAGTTATAAATGAACAGCATTCCTCAATTTTTCTACTAAAGCAAAAGTCTGTGAACCATTTGCTTTGGTCTATATGATATGTGCAAATTAGTACAACTCAAAAGAAAAATCTTAATTCATCTCTTCACTTTAAAATTTTGTTTCTTAATGTAGTAGATGGCAGTAATATGTATCCATTTTAATTTTAAAGTCCACAGAGGAATCATTTATTGCTGACTTCAAGAGCTGGGTCCTTCCTTTTTTGCAACGTCTTGCAAGACGCAAAAAGAAATCTCAAGTGAATCTGATCCATCACTATTTAACAGACATTGCCAAGGTTAGTGTAGGGTGATGATAAGTAAATTCTTCTCTATAGTAGAAGAATGGGGGATGTGGCCTTGTGGTTTTTGTGTGGGACTCTGAACTGAGAGGTCTGAATTTGAGTCTTTGTTGGATCAATGTATTTTGATCACGGGAAAGTCACTTTACTCTCACAGTGCCTCTCTCTACTCAGGAAAAGAAATGGGTCCTTATTAACTGTCAGGGAGACCTGACCTTATCCTAGAGATAACCCTTCAATGTACCAGCATTCCATTCAAGAAGGAAACAATACTCCTACTTCTTGAATGCTATGGAAGTCAGGACAAGTTTGTGCTTAATTGGCCACCTTGCAGAGTATATCCCAAAAAATTATTAATTTTGCTCTTTTATGGTTATTTCTGCTCAAACATAAATTGTGACAGCATTTGTCACAAAAAGCATGCACATGTAACATGAGGAAAAATGTTCCTTCTAGTGAAGTCAGTGCAAGTTATTGACAGAAGTTTTTTAGGGAGAAGAGTATTTTTGTATATAATAACAAACTCCTTGCTCAACTACCTTTGCTACAGCTACCACTGATATTACTGCTACTAATAACTAAATGCAACTGTTACTGCTTCTAACAGTAACTGCTGCTACCACTTTTAATCATTTTTTTTTTTTTTTTTTTTTTTTTTCACAGACTGACCTGACCTATGTGCTCAAAATCTTCCAGAATTCCACCGCAGAGGTAGGTTTAGGGACCATTCTGTGAAGGGTGTGGTTATTTCTGTGGCCATCTGCAGTACACAGGTACATTTTTAAGCTTGAGTATTAAGATATGCTGTAGACTTTACAAATGTGTAGTCTAAACTGTCAGGGTTCTCCTCTCCCCTATCTCCTGAGCTTTTTATTTTTTCAGGTGTTGGCCAAAGAGAGGGCTGATTTTTGTGTATTCCTCTAATTGGATTGAAATATCTTACTATTCCTAAAGGGGATGTTTTTCTTTTCTATTGTTATTAGATTTACATTAGTATTAGAGTCACTTTTAGTATTTTTATTAACAGCGTATTTAATTGTAATTTAGAATTTAGAAAAGTCCTGATGTTCCACCCATGTATAAACAAAGTTAAATCAATTAAATCAATCAATCAATCAATTTGAATGAATGTGCACCCTTTTTTTTAAAAAGTTTTTTGACACCAACTTATCATTAGTTTCTTATTAATATTCTGCCCTAATGTAAGGATCAAATTGGGGCTGTCTTTTATGAAACTATCCCCTATAGTTGTTGGACTGAAGTATAAACATGTCCCATTAACAACTGTCTGTATCTGATGATGTATTTTCGAATCAGAGTGATTTGATTTGCTTATAGATCAAAGAACCTATCATAGCAGATGTAGCTGAACAGATGAAACTTGCACTGGATTGCATTTATATCACAAAAAGGTTTGCAAGTACAATTATTATTAATAGCTGTAATAGGGATTCCAGAAAAAAAATTCAGACATTTAAGATATCCAGCAGTTTTAATTAAGATGATATCTTCTTTGCTTAAATTAAAATTCTGCATGTTACATCAGAAGCTGGGAAAAATTCTTTGTTCCAATCATTTGCACATAATCACTTGTTGGACAACCAAGCTTAGTGTTTATCAGTTCAAGTATAATCATATGGAAATGAAGACATACAACATAACAATGCTTACTAAAATAGATATTTGTTTAAGGCATTTTGGTCAAACTGAAAAGTGTGTAATCAAGTGACTTAAAGTGTGCAAACTCAAACCTTTAGCACTGAGAAGCGAGAATGCTTAAGACTCAATGTGCATAATAATTACCAATTATTGGAGGATGTAGGAAAATGCATGCATGGCCTCTTTAATTTCTCAGCTTGCAAACTTGCAAAATACACATTTAGCCTAAGCATAGAGACATCCTTGTATTGAGCCTGTTCTAATATGTTTCAGTTTCTCAGTTGTTCTCAATTCTTTTTTTTTTTTTTGCTCTTTTAAAGTCATGTTTTAAGATTATGCTTTTGTTAACAGGTTTGATCAGCTGGATTTGGCCTTTAGCATACTGGAATGTCTTCCAGACAGCAATGAGGAGTAAGTCCTATCAGAAAATAACCATCTTCTATTAAAATTTGTTAGATTCCTTTTACCTCTTTCATATAGTGGCCTTAATTAATTTTATTCTTTCTCTTATTAAGATGTAAATTAGCCCTGTCAGCCTTGTTTTGACTAAAAATTTATTATTTCAAGGCCTTAGATATAAGACATAACAATTAGGACCACCATTTCTGGAAGAAGTGTAGTTGGCATATATGTTGTATGCAGGATGTAGAGTTTTAACCCAGGAACTGGGTTTTGGCTTCCAAAATTTGATCTTATCTATTCATGTGTACTTCAAGGTTTTAACATCTTCAACACAATTTGCTGCTATTTCCATCCAAATTTTAAAATGTTCGTCATATTTTTCCAAGTGACTGCTCTGTATACTGGTGTATGTACATGTATAGGTAATTGTTATTGGCTGTTTTACAGTGTTCTTTCAGATCAGATCCGAGAGTTAAACAAAAAAGTTGATCAACTGGAGGTTTACTTGTGGTAAGCTTTTGATTAGTTTAGCAGAATTCACAATTCCAACTTTGTGTCTGTAGACATGGACACCAATTTTCTGCGCTAAACAGACCTGAAATTATAATTGATTTTATCTTGTAGTGCTTGTGAAACTCTAGCAAAACATGGTCATGAAAAGCCAGTGTCATTTGTCCTTGACACCCATGTAAGTTACTTTAACTTTGGAAGTTAATATAATTGTGGCAGGTTTCACATTTTAAAGTTAAATAAAAAGAGCTCTGATGTTCCTTTCCATTTTTTTTGTGAGTCATCATTTGTTTTCTTAGTGTTTGTTTGTCCATGTACACAGAATAACTCAGAAGAAGCCAGATCACTAATGGTAGACATAACAAAGGCTGCAGCCAAAAAGTAAGTTAGAGACAGTTTTTCTATTTTAGAGCTTGTTTTACCTTGACAAAACAATCATTTTGGCACAATCTGTGGCTCACAAGGCTAGCATTTCCTTTCACAGATAACTGGCAAATGAGCAACAGTCTTTGTAAACTTCTTGTCAATCTTACAGAAGGAATATATAGTATATGGAATTTGTAGCAAAAAGTGTTTTATGCTGTCATTAGGAACCTATGCCTGCATCTTAAGACTGTAATTGTTTTACAGGAGTCCACCATTAAAGGAAGCTCAGTGGATTAGACTTCTTGGTGACTTGTTGACCCTTCAGAAAGAAGTTTACACCTGCATTGAACCATCAGTTTGTTATGAGGTTAGGAAATGTTATTATTTGTGATATTGAATACTGCTACAAATCAGGCTGCTGTTATTCTGTACTTTTTAGTTGAAAATGCTTTCAAATGTTGTTTAAAGTATTATTGTGTTTGCCAATTGTTTAAAAGACTACCTCTAAATTTGTTTCCTTTTTTTGGCTTATTATTTTCATATTTTTGAGATACTCCTAGTTCTTTCAATTTTCAAATTTTTGTTTTTAGCAACTTTGTACAAGAAAGATATCATTTGCAAGACTCTTTCAACTTTGATTAGCTTGTACAGTGTATTTTAATTCTTATTATTGGTGGGTGTGGATGGTGTCCCAAACTTTTTTGGTGTTCTTGCCCCATTTTATAGTGTTATTTAAAAACAGATAAACAGTGTAATGTAATCTATTTACAAACATGACATTATTAAAATCGCTGATCTTAGCAGTTAAGTTAGCAGTACTGTCTTCGGGATGCATGTCATGTAAACTTTGTAATGGCATGGCTCAGTGGTAGAGCATTGCAGCACAAGATCCGATGGTCTGCAGCTGAATTCCTCACAGGGACTCAGAATTTTTTCTTTGTCCCACGCTCATGACAATACAAAAAAAACATCTTTCACTATTTCTTTTGATTTCTGTTTTTGTTTTGTTTTCTTTATTCTTATTAGGCCTAAATTATGGTTTTGGAGGTTTAAAGTAATTGTGGGATTGTGTATTTACTTTTTGAGATGATCCTAATTTGACCCTAACAATAATATTTATTGGGCTGAAAGCTTCCGCTTGTCATTTTTAGCCATCACTATTTAGGTAAAAATCAACTTCACACAACTATTTAAATCTTCAAGATCTACACAGAAACACTTCTACATTCTGGCAGGCGAGAGTGTATCCAGCTTGCAGGGCAGATGATCTGTAAGACAACTAAGGAGGATGACTATCCAGAGCCCACTGACCCTGTTGCTGGTCCTCGGATCAAGTGTTCCAGGGGCATAGAGCTTGTTTTAGATGCTTCCAAAGAGTATTTTGACTCCTCAGCTGATCTGACAGACAAGGCCATGGATCTTGCAAGGGACTGTTTAAATCTTACTGATGATCGGTCAGTAGCTCTACAGGAAGAGTACAATTTGATTGCTGCCTTGGCACTGCTAGATGATTTTGGTATTACAATTCTTCCTTTGCAAGGTATGTGATAGAGACTGTTGGGTCTCTTCAGTGTGGTTTTCCTTATACAGGAGTTCAGACCTTTGTATAGTTTTGCTAACAGTCTTGTTAACCAATATTCGTTGTTAAGAAACCTAGATTTTGGGTCTGAATTGAATTATTTTGAAACACAAAAAGAATAAATGTTGTCAGTTTTTCTTATTTTTTTGATAGCATGATAGAGACTTGTACAGTAATTTGTACATTACCAATAGTAAAATTTTCCAATATGTTCTTGTCACCATGCTTCTTCCTCCATCTTTTTTGTGTGAAATCTTTAAATTTGTAATTTATTGAAAAAGTTTGTTCAGTTAAGCTACCTCTGAATTTTAGAGTGATCAAACATTATGAATTATTAATCATTATGTACATAATTAATTATTTATTATTAATTGTTAATCGATTAATTAACTATTAAAGAATGAAACTTTTTTACTCAAGAGGAAAGAAGAGCTGAATTAAATGTCATGGTTTTTCATGTGTCTTGTTAACAGGTTGCCCTGTTCTATTTTTCATCTTATAAAGAGGTCATCTCTGTTGACCTTATGACTCTCAAAATTTTTGAACATTTAAACTCTCCTTACAATATCAAAATATTGTTCTGAAAGTGTTTGACAATAATGGAAATATGAACTATTTCATAGGTTTTATCCTACCATCAGGATAGCACCAGTTTATATCATTTTCTTACTTTGCATGCAAAAATATGTGACAGATTGTAGGGAGAGTTAAAGACAAGATATTGGAAGTTGAAAGTCCTACTTGCCTTTCTACTGTATTTTGTAGTGCGTTTGTGTGAAGATAAACTCACCCTGGTCAGACAAGTGTTACAATCATCAACCACAGCCTATAGAAAGAAGCAAAAGGTAAATTTTTTTTCTCTCATAAGCAAAAGAAGCAAAAGGTAAATTTTTTTTCTCTCATAAGCAAATAATACTCTAAAAATTTTTCACTCAATAGAAACACTTTTTGTTAATCTTATTAAATTTTTTTTCTGCTGAACCAGATACTACGTTTAGCAAGCCTTCTTCAGATCTCAGGCTCAGATGAAAAATTGCGGCATGGCCGTGTGCTCATGTTGACTGCTGAGTCTGCTATTCAGGCTTCTGACTACTCTTTTGCATGTGCAATATGCCAAAGTCTAATGTCAGAGGACTACAGCCCTGTATGGACCATCTGCAGGTAAATGCACCTTTTTAATTTGTGATTTTTAAATACATTATTTTATAATTATTCTGCAGAGTTGGATGGCTACCATATTTGTGGAACTCTCCCTGATTTTACAGCAGCTTGAACTTTGAGACTAGAGCAACCTTGCTGTGCTGCAAGACCAATAATTACAAATTCATAACCATATGTTATCTCTAGATTAAGTACTTTATATGCACAAGTTGGCCATAGGTATTCTTTGAATTAATACTGTTAGTAGTGACTAACACTTTCTAGTGAACACCAAATTAAATTATTGATATTTCTTTTTGATGATTCCATTAAAGGAAACCTAAGATGGAAGAAATTTTAAAGTTTTCATGAATATGATGTCATGTATTATGAAGTTTTGTTTGGGAAATTGGGAAACAGTGACAGAAATTTTTGAAAACTGTAAATAAATACTTGTCAAGTGGCATTTGTGCTAGAAGGCACAATTTGGCTTGTATAACTTTATATGATTGCTGCCATTGTCCTTGTTGACAATAGCTCTGTTGTTTGAGGGAGTCCTAAGGGGATCATGCAGATGATAGTGGCAAGGGTAACATGTTATAACATGCTATAGGATCCAACATGGTGACACACACCGAATTCCTTTTTGAAAACTGGCCACACTGCATGTATACTTTATTGTATGCTACATACATTGTATTATCATGCAATCTTTAGGAATTTTTTTGTGGTGAGTAAATGTCACTTTAGATTTTTTTGAAGGAGTATCTCTTTTCATGTATCAGGGTTCTTGGAGAGTGTGAAGAGTATAAAGACCTTAAAGCAAGGTAGGTATTACTTATAGGAACTAAACAAACATTTAATGAAGAGAAGGAGAAGAGTACACGCTGAACATCTCCTGACTAGAAATGATTTAATTTTGATACTATTGATTGATAATTTCCAGCTGAAAAATTATGTTGTCTCATGGAAAGTGAAAAGTTGGAAATAGAGTAGAGGGTTTTTTCAGTGTTAATTTTTTTTTCAAGGCAAAGCCTTCTAGCATTTGCCCTTACCCACTGCATACCAGATGAGTTGGAATCTCTCCTTAAATCCAGCAGTCTCTTAGAAACACAGGTAATATTAACCATTTTGTTATTAATTTTTGTAGAATTATGAATTTTACTTCAAAACATACCTTTACAGTCACCTGCACACTGTTAGCAACATGGAGATAGTTTACGTTGTCTTTTCTTAGTACAGAATTGGTTCTTTCTCCTTTTTCTAAATGATTAATTCGTCCTTGTCTTGCATGACAGATTTTGTATCAGGAGTTAAATCAGCACATGCAAGTGACAGATCAGGTACAGTGTGAAACAAATAATTATTATTATCTTGCTTAATACAATCAGGCACTTTTTTGTTTTCAAGAGAATACTCACAGTTGCAAATAATAGGCCAGGATGGTCAGAGAAAGCAGTAAATTTAAAAGCTTATGCCCTAAATTAAAATGACTCATGTTAGTACCCACCAACTTGATACCCTGATATCCACTGGCATATAGGGCTGAATCAAAATTCTTATGGTCTTGCTCTTATTTTACTCATTGTTTCAGATAAGCTCCTGTTCCACAGTTCTCTTATGGGTATTTTGGGTTGTCTGCTCTCCTTTTCCCTTTCTGATGTCCAGACATGTGATGCTAATTGGAGTTTGAGCTGTGGAAAAAAAATTAAAAATCTCAACTAATCTTCCAGCTGATATTTTCTATCAAGGAAATAAACAGGTTTTTTTTCACATTTCATGCATGCAGCGTGTGCTTTAATTTCTTTCTGATTAGTAATTAAGTAATAAATTTTTTTGTAGGAAAAGGAGGAGCCTTCTTCAGATCAGAGTCTCTTGACACAATCTAAATCCTTGCTGTCAGCTGTAGGTGACAAGAAATTCTGGAAGAGCACCATGAAATGGATCAGACCACTTCAGGATGAACAGATGACATTGTCTAACAGTGAACTAATCAAACCCGTCTCACAGGCTGTAAACACACACCGATTTCACCCTTTCTACCAGTCACTGGTGGAAAGAAATTTTACAAGAATGAAAGGGGTTAGTGCAGTAAGGCAAATATATTTGTACCTTGGAGAGACATTTGAAATATATGGTGGCTGAGCTATGTCTGCACTGATTAGTGCAGAGATAGCTCAAGACAACACTATTTGAGATAGCTCAAATAGTGTTGTCAAAGCAAATGTTTGGCCACCATCTTGGATTTTTTTTTTTTTGAGTAGAGGAAGGTTGAGGAGAGAATTAAGTGATTTCTACCATGGATGGATAAGATGAAGGAGGGGGGGGGGGCACCTTGACCCTAAATCAAATGTGGCAACCTGGGGAAGGATTGCAGGCTACAAGAATAATAAGGCAATGTAGTTGAACTGCAGTCTAGCTCTTTTTGACTAGAATTTCATTCAGAGAAAGAGAACACCTAGCAGGACTACTTTTTACGCAGTGTGATTATGGCAACAGGGGAGACTGAAGCACCTGCATTGATGGGTCACTTGACTTTGAGAAATAATTCCTGTTCCCACGAAAATTCAATTCATACAAGGCAGAAACAGAATTGAGATTTTTGCCTCTTAAGGTCAAATATTCACATTGCTTTAGTTTAGGTTCTCTTAAAAATGAGTGTCTATTTGGGATGGAGAACTGTGGAGATATTAAAAAAAGAAAAAACAAAAAAAGAAATGAAAAGAGTGATTTGCAAAGCCAGCAAACAGTAATATCAATCATGTCACATACAACATAGCTTGATCTGATTTCAGGATAAATTGCCATATGAGGAACACATTGCAAAACAGATGGCAAACAAGCCTCTGCTTTTCAGTCGTTGTTTATTAAGGACACAAAAACTGTCTGAGAGCAGATGCGAAGGAGAGATTGTTGAGCCTACCAATGAAGGTATGTGCAGATGTTCAGTACTACATTGATGACAAGTAAACCTTTATTCCTTTATTTTGTTGTTCCTGGTTTGTTTCTACTTTTATATTACTGGAAATTTTGATACATAATTTTTAATTTTAACACTTTAAAATCCAGTGTTAAACACACTTCAAAATTGGACTTATTTAGATCTGTGCAAAAATTTGTAATATTTTATGAGGTATAAGTTTGCAACTTTTGACATACTTTTTCCTTGGATAATAATGAATATGTATTTCACATTTAATCATAGTCACATGTTGATGTAATTTGCAGAATACATGCCATTAATTATTTTAATAATAATTATTATAATTGTTTTTCTATTATCATTAATTTTATTACTTACAGTTCTAATAAAGTTGGTAGAGTCAATTTTAGAAGAAGACACTACTCTTGGGATAGCATATTTACTGGCACTACATGAGGTTAGTAAGAGACCCCATGGAGTAAATCGATCAGTGATTTGATGCCAAGATTTTGCTAGTAAGTTTGAAAAATCTCATCGATAATTAATAGCTCCCATGATAGAAATAAATTATACCTTAAGCAGCTCCTAGTAGCCTAATCAAAGTCTTCTTACTTATGTTTTGCTTTTCCAAACTCAGTATGGTGAGTTTTTGACCCTGAAACAACCTTTTTTCTGTAAACCTACGTCTATCAAGTTTATATGGGAAATGGAGTACATACAAAACATTATGCAGTTCAGCAAGCACTTCACCCCTAACAGAGCTTCAACATGTACCATAATATATCAAATGAATGTACTTTTTCATTAAATTCCAGGCATCAGAAGTGAATGAATTTTTCAGCAGATTTGGTGATAGTTACCTGTGTCTTCACATGGCAGCATACTGCTTTGCTGTTAGCACCTACAACATCATTCAGCCCTCACTATCAACTCATCAGGCTGATGTTTACCATCACTTGCCTTCTGACATCACTGATCATGTCATGAGTCACATTACTGCTGGTCTGCACAATAATTGGCCTAAAAAGTCCCAGGACTTTGCAAATTTTCTGGTCCGCTATCACAACCACATGGCTGACTTTGCCCAGGGACAACTGCTCCAGAGCCTGGGAAAGGGTATGCTAATGTAATCAATTAATCAAACATGTTCTCCAAGGTGTGACCATTTTATTCCCCAGTGTAAGCAGATAAGTACATTATTTAGCAACTAAATTGGCCATGAAAATTGCCTTTCAGTCTACAATTGCCTGCCATACATAGGCCAACTGAACAATCATACTTAATTGAAAGACAAGCATTGTAGTCAGTGGCTTGATAGCTCATGTAATATTACACGATTTCCCCCCTCTGTGTGCTACAATTTTACTCTTGGTGATCATTTTATGGACTGTTATCTAGGGTGACTCTGAAAATGTTGAGCTTAGAATCCCGATAATGAAGTAAGACTCAGGGGCAGATCGAGGATTTTTCTTTGGAGGGGTGCAGCATTTAGGAATGGGATACAGTAACTGAGGGTGACATTAACAAAATTTGAAAATCAAAGAACTAAGGTAATGGCTTATGACTAAACAATAACATAAAGTGAGCTGCTGAGATTACATAGCAAACTTTACAGCAGATTTTGTATAACAATACTGTGAAGTTGTTTTAGAAAGCTGCACGTCATCTTGATGGAAAGGGTTGGGTGCACACTTCTTGCACCTTAGAAAATGGTTTGACAATTTGGTTCAGGCCAGTGTTGAATGATTTAATATTTAATTCAACTTGCAGGAGTTGACATTGGTCGTTTTGCACAAGATCCAGAGTACAAGCAAGAGACCATCCTGGGATTGGCCATGTGAGTTTTGTTCAACATTTTGTACAAGTGAGAAAGTAAAACACTTGGTTAAAGGGGAGGATGCACTAAGGGCATACTGAACAATTTGAATTGGTTTTGTTTAATTATTTTTATTAGTGGAAAATAATTAGTCGCAAAAACTTGTTTAGGAAGTAATAACCTTAAAGCAGGCTGTGCTAGACTGACCTGTAGTAGCAAGTGGTTGCTGGTGCATCTGTACAACACAAGCCTAGTGTGAAAGAATGCACAATAAAACCTTTACACCCTAACATCAGTATGCATATCCTTTATACTGTTCTCTGTACATATCCTAAGGTGATTACAGGGAGAACTTGTTTCATCATCATGAGCTTCTTTTGCTGGTGTTCATTTCCCTTATTTATGTGTGATTCAGGAGTAATATTGTAAGGAGAGGTTTTACACAAATCAAGTGAAGAAAAATGTAATGAAGAGAAAGCAAACCAGCAAACTATACTATCATTACATTAATTGTTTTGCTGAGTTTGTTCTTCATGAAAGTAATTGATTTATTGGTTTTTTCTTGCAGGGCACTTGAGGAAGAAGTTTTTAACACGGCAATGTCTTTAGCTGAGCGTTATAATGTGTCCAAATGGGAGATGTTCATGACCCATTTGGAAAGTCTCTTCTCAGACAGCAAGTATGTCAAAATGGAATGTTTCGGAAACAAAATAATGAACATGAGTACTCCTCGAATTACTCTGTAAGTATACAGTTCATTAATGTGTCATTAAGCACCTTTAATTTTTTTTTTCAGCCTGTCAACAAAAGAAATTCAAGAAAGAGTTAATAAACTTGAAATCATGAACACTTTACTTCAGGATCCAAGCAAAGTGAGTGTTTGCTTACGTGTAACTTTAATTAATCTTAAGTGGTATTGTTTTAGGGAATGGGTCATGGAATTTAAGGTAGGTGTTTGGGATGGCAATCTCTCACGGCAAAATCACAGCACATGTCAAATAAATTAGGAGGATTCGGTGACACTTTCAGTGATTCCTTTACGCATATTTGATCAAGTTAAGTAATTTTTACTTATGGGTACCTACTTACCATGCATGCCCCTTACTAACTGATTTCAAGGTCCACACTCTAAATAACAGACTGACCAAGTTTTCTCAGCTCAGATTTATAACCAATTTGGGAAAAGTGTGCAGGCCATAAAACTGAGCAGAAAAACTGGTTCTGTATTTTACAATTTGGACTGAGAAAACAAGGGTGGTAAGATATTTTTATTTATTATATATAAACACCAATAAAATACCAAGTGAGTTTTTGGGCAATAATGTGATCTCTTCACACATGAAGATAGCATGTTATCTTCACCAATGAAAAGATCACTGTTGCTATGCCTTTGTTACCAGATGCCACATTCAAAAACTTAATGCACTTGTTTGTGCCACACAGAACAACATCTCCCACACAGACCACAGCAACTGATACACTTTGCAAAAAAAACAATGCACGGCATTGACAAGAGTCGACTAACCTGGGTCTAACTATGCAGAAAGGTAGTTTAAATTAACCAAAAAAATTAGCCCAAAAAAGCAGCCACATCACAATTTTTTCTCTAACCCAGTTAACTCTTATTGATTAAGTGGTTAATTTGTCTAGTGTGGCCACAACCATGATTGTGATACACATTTTAGTGCAATGCAAATCTTGCAAGTTAAAATTGTCAATATCCTATCTCTCTTTGTCTTTAAGGTACTGGAACGAATGCAAGAGAACGTGTATGTGACTATTGATGGCACCAAACATGCCAGGTTAATTTACTACTATATGTTGCTGGAACAGTGTGAGGAGAAAGATAACACCTTGAGGGTATGTTGCTAATTAGCAACACTTTTTTTCCAAAGCTTCCATAACTTTTGATAGTCTCTCCCTTTCAAATTACCCCTATAATGTTACAATGGACAAAATACTTTACAAAATGTGTGATAATCTAAGAAGAAATTCACTTGAGATGCTCTTCACTCTAAGTGGTCAAAAGGTTAAGGAACTGTTCAGTATGTAATCATAAAAGTTACAATTTCCTCAATTGTGATTGGTTTAAAAACTCCTATTTTCCACCAATTCACTTGCCAAGTTGTTATTGGACAGTTTGTTAGTGCACAGTTTGTTATCGGACAGTTCAATAAACCAATCACATTCAAATTGGTATTTTGAATTAACCAATTGCATTCAAAGTTGTAGTTTAAATCAACCAATCACAACCTTGGTTTTAATCACCATAAAAACAGTTTACAGACCCCTAAAATGAGGCTTTCCTCAAAATGGAGAATTTTTTCCATTGAACCATGAAAATTGTAATATTTTTTTATGATTAATTGGTACTAGGACTTCATGTCATCCAATTTTGCTGTAATCATACTTGTGACAAACAAATTGGACTTCTGCTGCGCAGTTACTTGTATTGGATTTGTCACTTGTATGATTACAGACCGAATTGGACTCCACTCAGTCCTATTACCTTTTAAGTAGAGAGCTACACAGAATTTATTTACATATTATCTGGTTGCAGGATAAGATAGATGCTCAGTCTCATCTCAGAATACTGAAGAAGATAAAACCTGCTGCTCCTAGTAAGCTTTGTGACTCAGAGTGTTCATGTTCTTATTTTCATTAGGCCATTTTGCATTGATGATCTGTCTGACTAAAGATCACCTGGTCCACCATATTGATGAAGAGTCCAGCACATTTCCTGCTCCTAGTGCTGCACCCATGTTTTGTGAAGAATACTAGACACCAGTTCCACAGAAATTTGTAACATTGCTCAAAGACTGTTTATTTTCACAGGTCTGGATTATAAACAACTCACAACAGCAGACTCACCTCTTCAGGTATTGAAGCCTGTGCTGACAGAAGCCAATTTTAATTTGTTGGCAAAGCTAGCAACAAAGATCCCCACTAAGGTAAGTTTTGATAGACAGAATGGAATAAGAGGGAACTAAACTTACAATAAGTGCTGTTTTGCCCAGACTAGTTTTGCTCTTTATCCCCTCTATTAAGAAGTGTGCATAAATCTTTGGTTGTTTATTACATGAGCATGTGTATACAGTGTTCATTTAAGTTCTCAGATAGATTATTAAGTAAGTTGGTGATGAAAGTAACTAACTTTTTATGTTCAAAGCTGATTGTTTATGGTTCTACTCTCCATGGGAGTACATTTACCTAAAAAAAGCAATCTCACAAAACAATTTTTTGTAGTTGGAAAGTAATCTTTTATTTGATCCACCATCTCACTCTTCTTATGTAGGAAACATTATATGTTGGAAAATGCTTCAAGAAAAGCCTGAGTTTGATTTTCTCACAAATAAATTCTCATATTACAGGACGGCAGCTCTCTAGAATCATCAAGTGTGTACAGAGTCTATGTGGAGAAACTCTTTTGGGAAGGAGAACGCAAGGGTAAAGAAAGTGAAGCAGATCAACCAGTAGGTGTTCAAGGATTAGAATATATATTTGTATATTGTTTGAGTAGAGACATCCCTCATACCTTCCTCTTCAAGAGATGAAAAAAAAGTAATCTCACCTTTCAGTATTCCTACAAGGTGATGACAAGAAACAAAATATCAACAACGATATTGTTCAATCTAAAACCAAATTCTCATCGTTAAAATTTAAAGAAATGTATGACAGGCAATTCAGAGAATTGATATTAAGATCTTTTAACTGACCAGTTCAGGTACAGACCATTTCTCAAATTTTGCCATCAGTTGCCTGACATACAACTGAAAATAACAGTTTGGGTATGGGCCAGCTGACTACTGAAAAATGTGATATGTTAACACTTGACACTCTAATATCAATATGTATATGTCCGTACTGTTTTCTTGACATTTTCTTAAAGGTGCCAACAAGAAGAATTTGTTTAACGATCAATTGGTTCCCTCATTGCTGATTATATATATTTTCTTATGGTCTTGATGTGTGATTCAAAGGTGATTTGTGAGAAGATGTTAACCCTTTCACTCCCACAAGTGACCAAGACAGAATTTCTCCTTACAATATCAATACAATATCAAGCAGGCAGGTGATGAGAATAGAGAAGAATATCAATCATGGGATTATTAGTTGATCTAATACCAAATTCTCTGAACTAACATCATAAGAATTGTATGGAAGATAGTAAGGAGAACTACTAATTAGATCTTGGGAGTGAAAGGGTTAACTGCAAGTCACTCTTGGGGGTCAGAGGGTTAAGGTGAATGGGAATTTCAGTTAGTGAGATTCGAGTGAGGCTAGTGTTACTCTATTGAATGTTGTTAAATAATTTGTGGCAGGTTGACTGGTCTCAGCGTTATGATGTTTGTCACAAACAGCTACCTCGCCTGTCAGCTCAAGGCATTCAACAATTTGTTGATTCTATAACATTCAGTGAGTTAGCTGTGGACACCATACCAGTTGAAAACAGGGTAGAAATTGTGAATAGAGCCTTGAGATTTGCTCGACAACAAGATGCTGCTCTGAAGAAAAAGGGAATCAGTGAAAGCCAGGAAGAAAGGTACAAGCGGTTTGTTGTTGAATTGAATATAGAGTTAGATTTATCTGATGTTGTTATGGAATTGTGGCTTGGTAGTTTGCATAGTAGTTTTAGAACAAAACATCACAGTTATCACTGTACAGTGTCTGCACCAAAAAAGGCAAAATGGTTCTGTTTTCTTTTGTTATTTTCAGAGGTTCAGGATAATAGGTTATAAATTTTCATCCCATAGAATTCTCCACTCTTTTGATTCTCTGAGAATTAGCAGAACAGATAGGAAAAAGCACTTCACACATACACATCCATTCTGACAATGACTGAGATCATTGATATTTTTTTAACTTTTGTTGTCAGAGAACACTATTGTAAGTTACTCCTATTTGATGTTGGGTTTTATTTACTTACCTTTTCTGAAGAGGCATATGACATAATAGGTTTCAAACTGATGAAATATTTTTTATTGTAGCGCTCTTGGGCAGAATGTTACCTTTGAGCAAGTCATCACCCATTTGGAACAGAGTTGTAGACACCTTGAGTCCCTTGCTGATCCCCTTATTTATGAACTGACAGAGCATGATGAGGTGTGTTGTTGTTCAAACATTCAGTTTTAATAATGGGAATAGTCAGTAATTGCAGTTTAATTTGCCAGCAAAGCTTCAACTGAAGTTCCACTGTGCAAATTTTATTGAAAGATGACATCATTTTGAATGCATTAGGTAGCATCATACTTTTCAGTCAACTGGCAGGAAAACAAGTTACATAGCAAAGATAATGGATTTCTTGCTGTTAAAATTGTTTCGTTTAAGTTTTTTATTCCTAATTTTTTAATGTTTGTTATTTTATTTATTTTAACAAATGGGCTAGCTAGTGACATATTTCCAACATAAACACGTGACATAAGATATTTACAGATATTTAATGCTTTTTTTGTTTATTCTTGTTTTAACAAATGCTTGTGATCTGGACCTGTTTTCCTTGCAGGATGTAGGTACAAGCTATGCTCGCCTGTTTGCATTGTCCCGCTCTGAACCACATGAGATTTGTGAGCTAGTGTCACTCATGCTGATAGGAGGTGCATCTTTGGACACCATCAATGAGCTCCTTTTGCTGGCATCTCGCCAAAAACCACAGACAGGCAGAGTGGGAAAGACAGTACAGCAAACCCTTAAAGTTGTACTGGAATCTTTCAGGTTAGTTTTTCAGATTATAATTAGCATGGGAGCAGGGGCAGTCTTGGGAAAGGGAGCAGGGGGTGTGCACCTGCCTGCTTGGGATGACCTACAGCTTTCTAATATAACTTCACAGTCATAGAAAAACTAATGAATCATTTACAGTGTTTTCTTAGCAGGTTACATTATGTTATAGCCTAGTCATAAGCCTTCTTCTTTGCTATTCTCTTTTAAGATTTGTTAGAAACTCTTTAACAATGGCCAATTTACATTATCAACCCAGTTGACAAAACCAAATTATCTCCACAATAGCTTCAACAATGCAACTTCACAGTTTTTTTGGAAACTTACTCTCATTATATATTCCTCAAATGACTTACATGTTTGCTAAGAAAGTGACATATTTCATGTTATGCAGTGAGTTGGCTGAATTGTATGGCTTGCAACATTGTGATGTGATTTCATTTGTTTTTTGTTCTTAGTGAAACAAAAAACTCTTCTCATCCCTGGCTTAGTGACAAGAAACCCATAGATGTTTTACAGACAATTCTTCAGACAGTAAGCATGCATATTGAAAAAGGAGGGACAATGACCAATCAAGAGGATGTCTTGGAGTGTTTACGACCATTCTGTGCAGATGTAACTGTGTCTGCTGCAATAAAGACCACAGTTCTTCAGTTGATGGAAGAGTCCTTTGACCTAAGTGGAGAAGACACGTTTCTTTTGTTATTTTATCAAACTGATGCCATTGTGTCATCAACATGGAACAGAAAGGTAACATACACCACTGAGGATTTCATGAGTAAATTTGCTCCTTTATATGTTGGTGATATTTTAACAGGTTGGCCCAGTTCAGTTCTAAAGTCAGTTTTATTGGGATCCTGTTTAAACAATAAAAAGGCCAGACCACAATAGTGGGAGATACATTCCCTAGTCTTTGTAAGAAGTGCAGGGATTCTTTAATTTCCCCTGCCAACCAGTTCAGAGAACATGCAAGAGAGGGGCTTATGCTTTATCACCCTTATCCAAGAAGACTGGAATATCATACAATGTTGCATGGCACACTCTCCTCAGTTTTTTCAAGACTCGAGTTTCAGTCTTTTCCAGGGCTTGAACTCTCAACCTTTCACACAACAGTGCAGCACTCTACAATATGAACTAACCAAGTGCAGCTCAATTAACTAGTTAACACCATTAGTATTATTGTTAGTTATCCTGTGACTTGTTATCTGTTAATGCAGATTGTCCACTAGGTTTTAAAGTATTTCTTTTGTGTTGCTATAATTAAGATATGTTACAAGTAACACATTTTCTCTTGCAAGTAATAAAAGTCATTGCAAAACGAGAAACCCTTAAACATCCAGGCTTCAAAGGGAAACGAACCTCTGCCTCCCTGATACTGGTTGGGTGCCACTATTAACTAAGTAATGGAGCCACTAGCCTTTTTGGGAGTTTTGGAAACTTCAACTGCTTTTTCCCCCTACAAAGGAATCCAATCACAAATAGTACATCTGAAATGCAGATCAGGTTACTATACAAAAGACACCTTTTTTTCACTCCACAGTTAAAAGTTGCTGGTCACAAAATGGTTGTTGGCAAAATAACAAGAAGGCCCAGTATACAACACTTTTTAAGCATCACATACAAAGTGATCAGTAAACATAACTGAGTAATTTTGATTTCTTATCTCATGTATGTCTTGGTACAGCTTACACTGGAAGACATTGATAGTGACACAAAGAGGCACCAACTGTTTGAGACTCTTTTGAGTGAAAGCCTCTCCCTCTCACAGCTGCTTTGTTTAGGAACCCTCTTGCAGATATGGCCTGTGCTTGCAGCTACAGAACTCAAGTAAGTGATCAGGTTGAGGTTTGTTTGACATCCTTTTGTTTTCCAATAAGTTATACATAGCTTGCAGTGATTTTTGTTAAAAAAGAAATTGTTATGTTTCAGCGAGGAGCCATCAGCAAACCCTTGGGTGCAACTCATGGACAAAATAATTCGATGTCATGGTGATGGAGAGAGTGTGATTGACATGTTAAAACAGCTGTGCCGTACGACAAGTCTCAATGTAGAGGTATAGCTGTACACTTTCTTAGTGGAATTAATGATTTTGTGGAAAATTTTTTTGCTCGAATTAAGTTCCACCCTTGTGAGGCATGTTGCAATTGAATTGCCACACAGCTTAAAATGAAATATTACAGAAGCTTGGTGTAGCATGTCATCTTTGCTTATTATGGTATTATGGTGAAATTTTATTTTCAGTGCTGCTCTCATGTGTACAATCTGATGTTGCTCAAGTGCAAAACCCTCTATGCATTGAAGTTCGCCTTGGTTTCAAAGATGGAAGCTATGCACCACTTGGCAATAGAAAACATGAAGAGTCTTAAGGTAAAAATTTATTCACTGAGAACTTCTTTCTTCTGACTTTTAGGAGTTTTTCCTCCTGTGATTAAGTCTTTCACTTCACATTAAAACGTGTTACATGAGACAGTTGGTGGATTTATTCAAAACACGATTACTAGTTAGCTAAATCTTACTTACTATAATTTGGCCTTATCAACTGACTTGATAATGTAAATTAACTATAATTGTAAAGAGTTTCTAAAGCTGATGTTTCCAGTGCAAGCCTTTTGTTAGACCTTAGAAACTGTTTACAGTGGCCAAGTTACATTATATTATCAACTCAGTTTCTGGAACAAAATGATCTTGTAATACCCCCCCCCCCCCAACCATCTCAGCACCACAGTTTCTTTAGAAACTTACCCCCCCTCAACCCTTACTTAATTTTTAACCTAGTTTGGTTTACAGTTTTGCAGATTTCTTTACTGCTCATTATTATTTTTCCCTTCACTCTTCCCTCACACCTCTACTTAACTCCTACAAAAAAAGATCCTGTTGTGCACTGTTACTTTAGAGAAGTCAAAACCAAGGCTAATGTTTAATCCCAACAGCCATTGCCCTGGGCAAGGTTCATAATGATAAGCATACTCTAGATTAAAGCACCTATATAGTATTTATTTTTATGCCTTTTAAGACACTTTTACCAACCCATCACAAATGCTGGCTCAAAATGTTAGCCCAGTGTTGCAATTAAAAACTTATGTAGGTAAAACCGAAACCCTGCTGAACCTTTTTTCCTTAAAGTTGTGTTACAATGACTTAGCATTGGTTAGACTCACAGCAGACTATGGAAAAGCCTCTTACTGTAAATCTTTCCAATCTCATATGTAACCTAAACCGTAGTATTGTTATCTTTACAGGCCAACTCAAATTCGTATGACAATGAACTCCTGGAACTTGTTATTTCTCTTGGCCTAACAGCAGACGTTGCTAAAACTCCCTTCCTAACCCCTCTGATCAGCTATGTTACTAGCAACCCTGATGGATCTGTGGACACTGATGCAGTTGAGGTGGCAACTGAATTATCTCATGCAGGTGCACGAGTCAAGCTGGTTGCCTCCCAATTACAGGTGGCAGGCCACTGGGGTGAGGCAGGAACATTGATGTTGAATTATCAAGGGACACATCCAGCTTTGAGGACCTTTGATAGTGCACTAGGTGCCTTATCAAGATGGCTCAGAAGATAATGCTTGTTTGGTCATATGTCATTCTATGCCAGTCTTGAGAGACCTCTGCATTTGACATCAAGAAATACTCTGCGTTAGAACTTTTCTTGTATTAAAGCTAATAATGTACATGAAGAATTATGTACTTCTGATTGGCTGATAATGAGTGCATTCTCATGTAAGACAAGTGCAAATTGAAACATAAGTGCAAATTACAAATAGCATGTGCAAGCTTTCAAAATTGTGTCTGTCTTGACTTTCTGTGATGTTTTTTCATGTAGTTTATTAACAAGTAATAACATGATTTCTCTTGCAATTTGGTGTTAATCAGCATTTGTAAATTTTTCAGACAACATATTGCACTTTTGCTACAGGCTTATGCAATTTTGTTGTCTTTGTAAAATTCACTTGTTCTTATTAACACCAAATTGCACTCAAAATCTTGTTATTGCCTAGACAAAGTGCATGTGTGGACTTGCATTATTTATATGAGGAATTGAGCTTCATAAAGAATACCAGTTGAAGTCCCATGATAAGTTTCTGCAATGATGTCTTTGGATGCCTTAGTTGTGGGAACAAATTTTGTGGATGAATACGAGGTAGAAGCTGGAGAAGTGTCTGCAAGTAGACAGATTTAAATTTATGCTGCATTTATTGATATCAACAAATTAACCTAATTGATTTAACAAAAGCCACTATTTTAATAGTTATGCTAGTCTTTCATAAGACCGAAATATATTTCTGGAATAATCATAGAATTTTAAATTAATTGATGGATGGTTGCCTGTCAAGTATTAAATTATTTCTTTCTGTCAAACTGTGTGATCTCATCTCTTGGTAGAAAAGTAAATGATTATCATTGGCGACTTGCTGCTTTCAAGGTCAGTGCCACTCAATGGACAGAATTTACCTTTGTCATTCAACATCCATTTTAAATTCCCACAAATAAAAAGTGTGATTTTCCATGTCCAAATTCATCTTCAGTTTAAATGTGCAAGAACACAGCTTTTGACTCCAAGGACCTACCATGGTCACGAGTCAATGAAAGACTTTTCTGCTCATGGAAACTGAAAGTGAACTTGCCTTGCATTATGCATCCAGCCAATTTGTCACACCTGGTTACTCCCTGAATTTTATCTCGTTCAGCTCTAAAACCATGGACTGGGAAGTGGTGATAAGAAACAGAAAGCATTGGGAAAAGTAGTATGAGGAAGGTTTTCACCACTTTTGTGAGACAGCTTTTTATTTGTGATGTCTCAAAGAAATGTTTAAATTTGGAAGACAAGCATACATAACCTGTTTTCGTGCTCTGTTTTATCAGTTAAAAAAGAGGAAAAGGAAGAATATTTAAATCAACATGAAGTTTAGAGACCTTTGTTTATTAGTTTTGGTAAAAATTAAGTAAAAAAGTTCTACCATTTAGCAACTCCATACACAGTACCAACATTGTAGAGTAAAGAGCAATTAACTACATGTATAATAATTTAGGGCCTGTATTGTGCAAATTAACATTAGGAATATGGTCAAACGCTATTATAATTAACTATCACAACTGACATTTCACCCTTCTCAGGACTAAAAATAAACTCTTGAAAAAATTGCTCTTTCATACAATTTTCAATTTTCAATATATTCCTGACCAGTGTATTTTAAATAACAATACCACTCATGAATTGAAGCATTCTGAAAATTTTTCCAAACATAATTAAATGCAGATCATTTTCTAGATGTCATTGTTTTGTGCCTAGTAATTCTGTAAGTATATCTTTAAGAACATTTTTTTTAAGTAAAGAGATATTTGTTTTCTTTATGCTATTACTTACTGAAAGTCGTACAAAGACTTATAGCAGACTACCATTACTTTATATGAGTTTTAAAAGATCATCATGTTGCCTGAAATGATAGAGTATGAAATGTGATCATTATTTTACAAAATATAACACTGCATTCGTGTTGTCTGGATAATCTAGTCTAAGGTTAAAAATTGCATAGCATTCAGCATGTTTCACACGTATGATAAATTTTATATATGTAAGCCATCTAACTGGAGTTTATCCATCTTCATTGGAGATACAATCCTCAACAATCTTCTTTAGATTTGGGTTTTCCATTGCTGCTGCTATGCGCTCCTTGTCATTTATCTGTTTGTTGACTAAGGAGATAAACAAAATATCATTTTACATAGACATCTTGCAGATACTTCAAGAAGAAAGTACAAGTTTTTAAACCACATCCAGAAGAAAACAATAATTTGGATGTAAACAGGCATTCACTTAGCTTAAACAAAATCAGCAACCTACACTGGAGTGACTACAAGTAGTACTTTGTGAAAAAAATTGCAATTAATAACTTGAGGAGTTGTGGCAAAAGTACATGTACAATTAAAGACAATGTTAGTCAAAACATTTGCTTTTGAGGCTGGTAATCATATGGCATTTTCCTTTAATTTTACTTCACATAATGGCTAACATGATACATGTAATACCAATTTATAACATACTTTCATCCTCAGTTGAATGAGTTCCCTTGGAAAGGAAGATATCAAGCTGCAAATAAAAAAAAAGCATTTTTAAATATATTATCAGAATTTGAACTACTGACTATTCCCTCTTAAGAACTTACTCATTTCCAGGAGGGTTGGAATTAAATATCAAGTTCATTTTGCATCCCAGCAAAATAAATACAATGTAGGGAATAATGAAGGAGGGCATGTAATTAAGGATTTTTTCTTCTCATGTCAATTCACCTTAACATCTCATGAGTAAGAGCAGCAAACAAGTAAGGTATTGATTTGAACATGAGAAGAGAAATTCCATACTTACAAGCAACTATGTATTATTTTGTTTATTATATAATCAGCATAGGCTTTTCCTGACAAGAAAATTCAACAAAGGACCTTGAATTAAGAATGGTGGATGCTTTGCCATTCATTTGTCAAACTGACAGAGAGGCGCAAAAGGTGAGCAATGTGACAGCAGCTGATTGATGATATCAAACAAATAAAAAATTCCAAAATTTATGCATTTTCTCAAGGCTGGAAATCCTTGTGAAACACTGCAATTTATACGCTAAACAATAGTATTGCACAGTATATTTCAGATTCACTATCTCCTTAGTTTGATGTTGTCTTCTTTTCTTACTTGTGTCTTAAGTTTATTAATTTGTAAAATATAATCAACCAATGAGGGAAATCTAAGCACAGTGAAGTAATATAACATTGATCAGAATTTTATATTGGATTTTTTAACAACTTGGTCTCATTTTACACTTAACTTTATGGTAACATAAACTAAGATTTGTTATGCAAAGAGCTGTTTTAGTCAGATGTCTTTATCAGTAGTTCTTTCTGGTATTATAGAAATGAGATTAAAATAACAAAGCTCACCTTAAACTTGTAAGGTAATGAACGCTCCAATTTAACCCTCAAACATAGGCCTGTAAAAGAAACAGTGGGCTAATGATAAATCGTCTTGGCATCCTCCTGGATCAAGTTAATTGTTCATTTTAGGACAATTTTTGAAAGGTTAGGTTATTCCATGGAATCCCTAAAGGCAGTCTGTGATATAATTTCAAATACATGTTGAAATGACAGAGTTCACAATAAACTCTATGTTGCCATACGTCTGTTCTGTATTAGATCCCTGATGAAATGAAAATGTGGTTACGAAAGAGTTACACACAAAGGTGCAGACGAGTGTGTCACTGCTGTTTTTACCACATTTTTATGTCTTCTGTGATCTATTACTGTACAGACCCGCAGTAAAAAAAAATTTGCTCTTTTTCAGATGAAACCAAAAGGAGAATCAAATCAGTCCTCTCAGAGACCGTAAGTAGGAACCATTAAAATACGTAATTCACTTATTTTATGAATAAAATTGTAACATTTCTGGAGCAAACCTCTTTAATAACTCATCCTACTCAGGGGAGGGAATTAATATGGCTGCATAGAATCACAGGACAAAATTCAAGAGTAGCTAACTCACCAATGAGGGTTGCAAGGGAACAGTGAGGAACAGTGGGTTTGAATTCTATTTGTATGCTGTATACATCATCTCCAAACTTGTTAATTCTAATATATTCCTCTTCAATGACATTCAGCTCCTCTAGAGTTTGTGGTAACTCAGGGTCCTTCATCAAGAAAAGAAATAATTAAAATTTCTACATCATTGAAGCAGAAACAAGCCTTAAACCAGTAATATACATGCTCCAATGCTCCAGCTTCATATAAGCACTCTGTTTGGAATAAGAGTACTATTGATGTTTAGCCTTTGATTCCTAAGATCTGACTGTTAAGTCTCCCCTCTGGCAACTACACATTTCCATGTAAAATTAGTTATGAGAATGTGGTTTTAGATCAACATGACAAATTCTTCTTGATAAGTTTGAGTGTTCTCACAACCTGTTTACTGGATAATGTATGGATATTATAGGGAGAAATAACATGTTTATCACTTCTGGGAGTTAGATGAGCAAGAGAATTTGTATTGCTACCTAATCAAATCTAAAAAGCTCTGATTTCCAAACATTTTTCAAAACAGTTGAAACATTCCTACATATCACCCTCTCCAGAACTCTTCCTGATGACATCCAAGGTTTGGGAAAGTATGACTATTTACAATGACTTCTCTTTTTGAGGATTGGTTCAAGCTTAATTTATCATGCATAATTTTAATCAAGGCTAAAATTATGCTTGTTTTCTTAGTGAAGATGGGAAACAGAAGGCACTAGCTGGTGCAAGATGGAACTGTTGATGCAGGAAAATCATGCCCAAGATCCCAAGATGTGACTAGAATTAAGTATATTCAACAACGCACATTGCTTTCTCTTAAAAAACTGTTCTACTGGCTGGCTGTCTGACTGGCAGATGGAAAAAAAACCAGAGAATTTAACCCCTGGTTACATATTCTTCAAAGTGCACCAACAATATGGACCCCATCAAGATAGATCTCAGGGGCCTTGAATTCTGTAGCTGTCTCACAGACTTACATGCAGCAGCAGTCAACAAGCCAAATAATGGATTATCAGTCTGTTTGTCTGGATGAGAAATAAGGGAGGTATTTTGCATCAAAATAACTAAATTCTGTTTCCGATCCCTGCCTGGGTTTCTATCACTCAGCTATTGCAATATTAAATTAACTTCTGTCTTCTACTTACCCTTATACCTTTAACTATATCTAAACAAAAAATAATAATAAAATAGATTAGGTCAAAGAAATTGAATATTAAGATTAAGTGAACTTTGTACTAAGTAAATTATAATATGGGTATAGCTTAACTTCCCTGTTGTTTAGCTCACTTTTGTGAGGTTTTTGTTGTTTTTTTCCAAGTACAAGAAAAGTGTTATGAATGTTGTTTGTTGATCTTTTGACTCCCAATATTTCATTAAAGTTCTATCATTACCGATAAAATCTTCTAATTTATGTGGGAATTTTGTAGTTCATCAAAAAATATCCTAGCTAATAACTTTTTCTCTTCTCATCACCTTTCAGCTTTGAAATGTATTAAAAATGTGGTGAGAAATTCATACTTGTTCAATCCTTGGAGTCAAAAGGTTCTAAAAGCTCATCTCCACGTCGTTTAAAAAAAAAAAATTAGTTTACGTGCTTGCCGTCACGAACAGATCGAATAGTGCTGTATAAGTTTGTTTGTCTTGTATTGAGCATTTTTTGCAACAAAGGAGGCACAGTTAACACAAATATTACCAAAGATTTCTTGAACAAGTTCCAGGTTATCTGCGTCACCCTCACAGTCAGCAGCATGACTCAGATTTTCAGACATACCAGTGCTTACAAATTTGTCGCCATCTTGAATTTATTGTCCAATACGACGGGAAGACTGGGGCTAGTAAGAATATTGTTTACCAATGGTGAGAATCGTTATCATTACATAATTATTTATTCTTGTATTCATTTACCTAATTTTCCATTTCATTATTCGTTTCCCATTGTTTCTTTCATTTTTAACGGTAACGCGGGGAAACGAATAATGAAATGGAAAATTAGGTAAATGAATACAAGAATAAATAATTATGTAATGAATAAGTTAAAAGGTTGAAGAATAGATAGCTAAATGAAACAATCAGCGAATGATTGGAGAAATAAACGAACAGATTAATTAATTAATGAAGCATTCGTTGCATACAGAGCCATTTTTAGTCTCTACCCAAACCTTCCACGACCAAGCAAATTTCAATTACAGTTTACACGGTAGGATCTAGGTACGAGTTCAAGCCATTCTTAGAGACCGGTCATTATCTATCCCCTGGGGAGAAAAGGGCTGGGTCGGAGGATTTTGGTTGAGACACGAAAAAAAAAACCTTCCTAATCCCCCATCCTGCTCTGTAATATTCTCATGCTCTCCCCCCTCTCATTCGCAGTTAATTGGCAGTCAATTTTCTGTAGTCCCCCCCCCCTTCCCTTTATAATTCTTTGGTGTCGACTGCCCCCCTCCGTTTTCCGATAAAACCACCCAATAAATCTCCATCCCCCCCATCATTGAAAAGACTGGTCTTCAGGGGTAAATGTGAAATATGAAAACAACATATTTACGTACAAAGAGCAAACGTAAGAGTATTCAGAATATCTGTCAATATAAACCTTTAATAGTTTAGTTGTGAGGAATGTCCTCTATCTCAGGAGAACCAGCGAGCATCAGAAAGAATAGGAAGGTCATAAGGTCATAGAGCGCTGTGAAGCGGTTCCATTTCCAACCTAAGTCGTCAAGCAGTCCCTCATCCTCAGTTTTATTTCGGTCTACTTTCCTAGCCTCCAGGATGTGTTTGAAAAGCTTGAAACATCTGTCCCTCCATATTCATTTAATTTATGAAAAGTTTCCTAAAAAAAAAAAAATTCGGTCTACTTTCCTAGCCTCCAAGTCGTGTTTGAAAAACTTGAAACATCTGTTCCCCCATATTAAAAATTAATTTTTTAAAAATTTTCCAAACAACCTCAAACATAAATACCTGCCAAAAATTTAGCATATATCGAATATCATCTGACGGTAATCGCCATTTGTTTTCCACACACATTAAAAAAATTGATTTCTTCTGTTTATACTCGATATCTGTCGATTCTAAGTCAATTTCCCTTTCCGGTTAGGAGATTTCATCACTGTTAAAATTTGCTGTTTATGAAGTTCTGGTAACTTTAGAAAATATACCTAACCGGTAACGACTCTGGAAGTTGTCTGAACTGAGGCACAGTTCTTATCCTGTCATGTATTGCCGACTTAAACGTGGAAGAATTGTGCCTGATTATATGTCTCATTTATTTAAACAATTTTCACTTATCACTACCGTTATCATTTCCATTATTTTACCTTCAACCTCCTGTCTTAAAAATATTCAGCTCGTGTTCTACCTATTTCATTTTAATCGAGTTCTAGCCAGTGTTTGAATTTTGTGTTTTACAGATTGGTATCCAGAACATTCTGTTCGAAAGCCAGTTCACGATTAAACTCAGCGGTCGTTTGGTGCCTCTCTTTCCCTCTCTTAGAAAGCTTTGTGTTTACAGCTGCTTGCACATGTCTTCCTGTAAAACATAGAGCCAGTGCTCGTCGAAACTCAGCAATTCTTAATGCGTAAAAAATTGGATTGACAAAAGAGTTCAAGTAGTTGAAAAGGTTTACCGCATGATAAAATTGTCTTGGTACATGGAAAAACCATACATACATTAATAAGTTTAACAAAACTAGCGGCAGCCAAGCGAGTAAAGTAAGGCCAGATACAATTAACAAAGTCTTTGTTAAGCGCTTGTTTTGTAAGTCTCGGCTTTCTTGATGTGAAGCGGCGACTCTTCCAGTTTGAAACTTTTTCCAAATACCAATATTACAGCCACATGTGATCAAAATTAGAATCAAAGTGTATGGCCCCCAAAAAAACATAGTGTACTTGTAAGAAAATAACAGGTTTGAACCTGTCCAGATTGCAGAAATAAGGAGAGCTAGTGCCCACACTGAAAATATAGCAATGTGGTATGCTTGTGTCGATAATGTTCGATGCTTAAACGGCCAACGTATGGCGTAAAATCTTTCACACGCTATGAACACTGCAGAAATAAGAGAAGCCTGCGAGAAAGCTGTGTCAACGATCATGTAGTAAATTAAGAAAGGCTTGTTGGTCCATAAGTTTCCGACGAACGTGGTCCATAGGCGGAACTCATACCCGACATCGTAAATGTATACTGGTAAACTCAAAGCTCCTAAGAACAGATCAGCAAACGCCATGTTGACAACTAGTAACAAATATTTCTTGCAAATATTTTTGTTCTTCGCAAAAATAACTATGGTGAGTAAGTTTCCCACGACAACTAGGATCAATGTTAGCGTTAAAGCGCTGCACAATGCAATGCCTTCCCCCTGAGTGCCATCATATGCATCATTTGCATCGTTTCGTCGGCTGACACTAGCAGAAGTCGACGAAGACGTATTGGTCATTTTGAGATGATTCTGAGGTAACAATGAAGAAGCCAGGTTGCAACATATGTTGTGTTCCTTTTTACTGTTCACTGACCAATTACGAATGCAAACGCTCCACTGTGACACCCTATTGATGACAGAAACAGCAGATGTTCTTTTCTCTTTATTAATTTCCCTTGGTAGAGTGCCGCTTATTAAAAAAAGGTTATTTAAAACCCTGCTGATCTCAGTTAGATGTCAAACTTGGTCTTTACCAATTAAACTTTTCAAATGTTAGCCACAGGAAAAAAGGAAACCTGCAATTCACTGAGAAAAGGTTCAATTTATCATAAAAATTGAAGAAACTCTCAATTCCAGTTCTAAAGTTGGACGTTCTCATTTAAAATTAGTTTTGATGACGTCGCCGGGATAAAAAAAACTTGACATTTTATAGCAGCTGGGGCAACCTTTCCATTACATGAAAACCTGTATAACCCGCGTTCTAAAATATTAGGTATTCCTCTCACCCTTTAACTCCTAAGATCTGATTGTTAATTCTCCCCTCTAGCTTCTACACAATTACTTGTACATTAGTTACATGAATTTGCTGTTAGATCAAGATAGCAACTTCTACCTGATAAGTTTCAATATTCTCATTACATTTCTGCTGGATAATGTGTGGATATTGCAGGGAGAAGTTGCATGTTGAGCACTTCTGGGAGTTTAAGGGTTAAGCTAAGTTTCCCGATCTCTTTAATGTAAACATTCTTTGATCATGCAAACTGGAGCATGGTGAGCCTGGAAAGGTCGGTTTATGATTTTTCAACGCCCTTTTTATGTCTAAAATCTTTGTAACATATATCCATGCACAAGAGAATACAAAGTCTTCTATATTCTCTCGTTGTGCATTACCACCTATATATGTAACTCTCCATTTTTACAATTCTATTCTGCTCCGGCTATTTGAGTATAGAGTACTCTTAATAAGTGAAACAATACAGATTTATTATTTTTATTTTAATTTTATATATAATTCTTTTATCATATTTACCGTCGACTAATGGACCCACAACGACTGCAGAAACAAAGTCGGGGCGAGGGGGGAGGCAGTATTATGCGGAAAAAGAAATAATTGATTACAATAAAAACATCGCTGCTCCACTGCTGGAACATCTATTAGACGGAATCCCCTAATCTGACAGAAATTAATTTATAAGGAGCCCATGACTCCTCCACATAAGGTACATAGATATGTACCGCCTAAGGCAATGGGTTTTGAGCTCGGGGGGAGGGGAATTTGAAAATAGGGTCAATTTTTGTCGCGTATGGCCGCTGACCTATCAGAACCCCTACCGCTTTATAGCTTATTCTGTGGCCAATTACAGACCCCATCTTAGTCACTTTTGGTGATACGGTAACAAAATTTAACCGCGATTCTTCTTATTATTTTTAAATCCCTACTAACCAGGAATTTTCTTTACCTCAAAGTCCCGAAAATATTTGACCCCAATATATGAACTCTATTGAAAACGCATTACAGTTTCTAGTCAACTCCAGGCGTATAAAATAGGTATGCCCTATCCATCGATCGGAAAACGTGTATGGATCTGATCATTCTGGTCGTAAATTGATGGTAGTCTGCAATAGGATGACATTTCGGATGACATACTAAAGTCATTTTCGTTTGAACTCTGATGGAACCAAAGGGAAAGACATTAATATATGTATCACTCGAGCTGAATTTTTAAGGTGAATTTACTAGTATTTATCTTTGGCTCTGACGCGTACTTATGCTCAGCGCGAACCAAGTTCAACTTTTAGAGGCCAAGTTTGAAAACGGGTGTGGGTCTTGGTTTGAAATTTTACTGAGTATGTACCACTAAGAGGATCTGAATGGGGGTACTTCGATAACACTAAACACTTATTTTTTTGACTGTATAACATTAAACAGTTAATTTTCAGCCATTTTAACACTAACATTAAAAAATTCATTGTAACATTATTTTTTTTGCCATAAACAAACAAACCACACCCTAAAAGGAGAAATATCCATGTTGGGCCTATGTTTATGGTCTCAAAGAGGTTTTTTTTGGCCATTTTCCAACAATTCGGGATTATTTCAAGACTTCCGAAGAGTGAGGAGGATATCCAAAAGCTGCCGAAGATTTCCGAAAGCTGTCGAAGATGTCTGAAGGCTGCCGAAGATGTCCGAACACCGCTGAAGATGTCCAAAGACCGCCGGAGATGTCCACTGAGACTGCCAAAGATGGCCACAGACTTATGACCGACGATATTTGAAGACTACCGCAGATTTGGCTTGTATAACTCATAACAATTCTATTCTTAAAGCGCTTTTACAGCGAGGATTCACCAACCGTGACCACTTAGAGAGAATATATTAGTAACAAATCAGATTACGATATTCAAATCAAACAGCCAATGGGATAGAACATCGAAATAAACAGTAAAATCAAGCAAATTTACGGACTGCCATCCGTTGTATGAATACCTCAGTATGATTGGTTGGCTTTGTGAGATGGTCCCAGTTGGTGTATCTGCACTGTAAACAAAAAGAGATAAATACGAAAGTTACAAGGAAAATGAAAGTTAACATAAATGAGTGTTTAAATTTGACTAGTAATGAATGCAATAACAGAATATTCTTTTACCAATAAGATCGGCTACAGTGCTCACAATGTATAATGGTCAACAAAAATGACAGACATGTCACTCCATCCTGGCCAAAAACATTTGATTATATTCCATACCTGAATACTCGCGATTGTTCCAACTGTTTCTAGAAATCAAGGCGGAAATGAGCGCGGATGGTACGGCCAAATCTGCTGAACGTTATGTCTGTATCATTATCCGGAATGGAATGTTACTCTAGTACACGATGGCGCACTGGAATATACAGCTGGCGGCAGGGCTCCCGCTTTGTCTTTTGTTGATTCGCTTCTTACTGTCCTTGACAGGTCGATACCTGTCAACCAATTCCTTCATGGCTGCCTCAATGTTGGGGTCAACGTTATCAGCTGTAGGAGGTTTCACCAAATCTACGTCCCGTAACTCCACACTGGATTTAGGCACTGGATAATAAGACTTCTCAAGTGTGAAGTACTTCGCACCCCACTTCGTTGTTCTCTTTAAAGATTCCTTTAAAATTGTTCCAAAGTCTTGAGCATACTGAAGAGCGGTGAAAGTCTCGTTTTTGAAGTGGGAGACTGCATGAAGGTTCTCCACCTGAGTTGTTAGCAGCGTAGGCAGGTCAATGTCACCAAGATAGTCCTCGTTTACATTCTTAACGTTATCTCGTATCTGTTCCATACCTCTTTCGAGAAGCACCAACGATTCCTGTGTTTTGCTGGAAACAGTTCCTTCAGGGCCATTTATTGTTGCCGTTTCTTTCATTTTATAGTGCTGCCTTACTTCAGCGACTGTGTTTTTGATATAAGCATTTACAGATGAAACATTGCACACAGCATCTTGAAGAGATAATTGGACCGCGTCGATCTTATGTGCACCAATTCCAAAACTATCACAGAGACATTCGAGGTTGCGAAGAAAGGACACTTTGCCAGTAAGCCCCGAAGCTAGTTTGATTGTTTCAGCAGCTATATCGGAAACAAAAAAAATTTTCTACAAGGAAAAGATTGCATGAAATTGTGTAAATGAGCAGCTTTCTTCAGTTCTATCAACGGTTCCTTCGTGGCCAGTACCCAACAAGGTCTCGACTGTTGCACTTAAGGGATTAAAGGTCTTAACTTTTTTATCTTTGTTGTCGGTGAAAACAATGTTGCCCTCATAACCATACAGCCTCCTGATTTCCTTACAAGAATCTGAAGAATTCCGCAAGAGTCGCTAAACATTGACAGAATCGAGGTTACAACCATATAACCCTCCAGCTGCACCAGTTGCAGCCAAGTATGCCGATTGCCGCAGAACATAAAGAGATTCAACACTTGTCACGTCATTGGAGTAGTTTATCTGTCTCAGCCTACTACCGATGATAGCCACTCCATTGTACTCTAACTCCAGCTGCATTATGCTTCTCTGCTCATCATCTGCACACAAGAGGATATCCTTACTTGCCGCACAGATGGAAGTTGATTTATTTAAAGGTGGGTTAATCTGGACAATTTGTTTTTTCAGTTTTCGACTTGTGCAGCTAAAGATCTCAGATGTGTCGTCAACCGCTTCTGTAGAACTGAACCTGTACCCTCAAGTGACAATCTGAAACGACTAAGCTGCGAGAGCAAATCAGCTCGCGATTTTAGGCGTTAGGGTTAGAAAAGTATTTCGCCTTTCAATTCAATGAAACGGATTGCTGAGGAGCCTCTCTCTGCAACGAAGACTACGCCATTGGTAAAGCATAGGTCCCGCACATCCTTGAATACTTCCCTCCGAACATTTACATCGACTGGTCGGTGTAAAAGCAGTTCTACGAGACCATCGAGAGTCGAAATCGTAGTCTAACGCCGTACTTTGCCTTGGGGCCCAATTTCATGTGCAATTGGTCTTTTGCAAACACTACTTTGGTTGAATTTCCAGAGGCGATACTTTTCAGGAACTATTGTATGGATTACCAAACGTATCCCCTTAAGTACATCCAGTACTGAGGGTCTACTTAGGTGCATTATCGGTTCTAAGGACGAGAGCATTTCAGCTTTGGCTCACTGTTCGCGAGTGATTTTCTTGCAGAATTTAAAAGAGCAGACAAAATTTGAAAATCCTTACAGTATTTTTTTCAAGAACAGTAAACATTAAAAAAATGGCCAATTCAACAGTAAACACTAAAAGATATGGACAAATAACACTAAACACTAAACCCCGTGAAGACCCTCCACTAGCCTCTCAACCTATTCCATGGCCAATAATTATAGACACAATCGTAGTCACTTTTGAACATATGTAATTTTCCTGATCCCAACTTACTCACTTTTTGGTTATGCATCTACTTTATAAAGCCTGTTAGGTGGATCATCCTGAAACGAATTGATCTATTTGTTAAACAGGATGCAGATCACTTGATTTTTCACCTACATTAAAAACATTTTGGTGCATTTGAAACTTTTACCTGTGGTACAACAATACAAATATTCTGGTGCATTTGCATCTTAGCATTTTCACATCTCTACTTAAAGCAATTTTCGTACCCTTAAAATCCCGAAAATGTGCGACCCGATTCTAGAAACTCTATTGATATAATCAATCCAGTCGTGAAAAATACGACGTTATCCAGCGGCACATCCCCATTACCAAGAAGCACCTATCGAGTATTTTTTTTTCCAGCTCAAGGTCATGACGCATGGCGTATCCCAAGTCCCTGCAGAGAGGTTACAATCAATCTCTAACTTCTTAACAATTTCATCCTTCAGAAAGCTATTGATATATTCGTGCTATTCAGGGTAACGGGTAGAGAGTGGAAACTTTCTTCATGTTATGCCACTTTTTATTGAAACATGTTCAAATAGTCTACCTAAGGTTACCTTTCCTCTCAGAACCTTGCGTAAATTTAAGTTTTTTAAGGCGACTATTGAAAGTGTTAGTTTTCAAAAGTTTTATTTCGGTTTACTTTTCTAGCCTCCAGGACGTGTTTGAAAAGCTTGGAACATCTGTCCCCCCATTTTCGTTTAATTCATAAAAAGTTTCCTAACAACCTCAAACATAAATACCTGCCAAAAAATTTAGCATATATCGAATATCATCTGACGCTAATCACCTTTTTTTTCGCACACGTTCAAAAAATTGATTTCTTCTGTTTATACCCGACATCTCTCGATTCTAGGTCAATTTCCCTTCTCGGTTAAGAGATTTCATCACTGTTAAAATTTGCTGTTTCTGAAGAACCTTGCGTAAGTTCAAGCTTTTTAAGGCGACTATTTAAAGTGTAAGTTTTCAAAAGTTTTATTTCGGTCTACTTTCCTAGCCTCCAGGACGTGTTTGAAAAGCTTGGAACATCTGTCCCTCCATATTCGTTTAATTAATGAAAAGTTTCCTAACACCCTCAACCAGAAATACCTGCCAAAAGTTTGGCATATATCGAATACCATCTGACGGTAATCACCATTTTTCTTTCACACACGTTTAAAAAATTGATTTCTTCTGTTTATACTCGACATCTCTCGATTCTTGGTCAATTCCTCATCCTGTTTAGGAGATTTCCTCGTTTTATTACGCATACTTGACTGCGCATGCGTCAGCGTGAGTCCTTGAAATGATGAGATTTACATTTCATTGTGAAGATAAGTAGGAATTACTTTTTCCACTCCAAATTTTAACAACTACTTGTGAATATAGACTCTATACGCTAAATAATACATGCATTTTTGATTGATTCTTTGGTATATCTATTGTCAGACCAGAGAAAGTGCAAAGAGCAACAGCCCGTTTTTGTACAAACGATTACTGATGACTGGTCGTCAATCGTCACGTCCATCAAGAAAAATTAGAACTTTGCACTCTTGTAGAAAGAAGAAAAAAAATCTCACTTGATCTTCATGAATAAATTTACTTATGGTTTAGTTGACATTAAGATTAGCGCTTTTTAATTAACAAATAGAGAAGCACGAAAGAAGTGTAGGGAGAAACACTCGACTACGTCTCGTGTTTCTCCCCACTTCTTGAGTGCTCTAGCCGCTTCCTAAGTGCTTTATAACAGAACAGAGCACAGTCAAGGCTTCTCTATTTGTTTTATAATAAAGAATCCGTTAAATTACCCAAGCATTACTTTCAATTTTCAAAACAAACTTTATTTCCAAAGCGAACAACAATGTCGTCAGCATGCTCTATACTCTCATAAAGCACGCTACAATAAGCCAATCAGAATCCCTGTTAGAATGGTTCAAATAATCTGATTGGCTGTACAAGACTAAAGCTGTCAAAAGTGTCAAACCGTCAAAGTTCACAGTCTGCGAAACTAAAATAGTTCGGCAAGTCGAATTTAACACTTTTGCCTGAGGTTTTTAAGTCTCTAATACAGAATCTTGAAGTGAAATGTTCAGTGAACTTCAGCCGAATTATGGCTCATAAAAACACGCGAGTTTTTTCACATGACAAGGTAGAAAACAAACTGTTCAAGGCGAGTGTTTTTTGAATGAACGACAGCCGAATTCACCGGAACATGAAGATCGCTCGTAATGACAGCGCCGCAAAACTCGGCTGCTGTGACTAATGTGAATTGCCACTCAACGTATCGGAAAGGATATCAGAGCAAGCTCTTATTTTTTCACTCCAAGGGCGGCCGATGTAGTTTCTGAGGCTTGCCTTACTGTGAGATCGCCAAGATGAGCGAGCCGCGATGAACTTAGCATGATCATATTCGCTCCGACACCGTCATGATTAGTATGAATTTTAACAACTATGCCAGTTTGGTTATATTTTTCATCATTTCTGTTTTGTTTTTGAACACTGAACTTTATATACTATACGAGTGTTAGCTGTGTTTGATTTATGTTACCGTACGTAAGCTTGCAATCTAACTGAGCGTGAAAATCTTTAAAACTCGGAATGTTTATTTTGTTTTTCCTTTGAGGATTTTCGTATTTGCTCACGTTTTAATAACGTAAATTACGGCGCCTGGTATGTTTACAAACCTTTGTTTGATTCTTCTGTTGCTACTTGCCGGCTCGCTTCAGTTCCGAAATTTCACTTTCAATTATCGGAAAAAAACTAAAAAGAAGTCCCGGAAAAGCTCCAACATAGTACAATTGGCAGATGGCGTGACAGCTGTAGCTCAGCTCTATGCTCTATACTCTCATAGAACACGCTCTTTCAACCAATGACAGCGCGCGTTATATCCGAACTTTATTATAAATTTAAATAATGAGGCCCGTATCAGGAGTAGCCATAGGTTTAAGCTTCTTGAACCTCACTGTAAGAAAGACGTGTTCAAATCTTCCCTTTTTCCCAAGAACTGCTAGAGACTGGAACCAGCCCCACCCTGATATGCCTGATATTACGTCTCTTGCAAAATTAAGGAATTATGTTAGTTCATTAGCTTAATGATAATTAATAATAACTTTGTATAGTTAACGTTTCATTTTGTAATGTACTTCTTGTAGCTCATAATTTTTACTTCTGCATTTTGTAAGTGGTTGGTGTGTTCCTTAACCGTCTTTTACCGACCTAATTGAGATGATTGATTGATTGACTGATTGAGGACAGACGCAAGGATGACGTCACTATTAACACATTTTACTTTTTAGTCATACGACAAATATATTCCACGTTACCGTGATCTCTACAGAAATAGATTACAGAAGATATCTAAATATGGTAAGAACATGATTAATGACACCCTCGGCTCTGCCTCGTGTGTCACTTTTCTGTTCTTGCAACATCATTCGGCAATCGAAAGTTTCGATCGCGCCATCTGTTATCGTACACTAATCTAATAGTTTATTGGTCTTTGTGCAAACACCTTTGGTACATCTGTTCGAACACTTTATTTTTACGGATTCTTTATTCTTGTTTCTTCTCGCTCTAACTGAGTTAACTTGTTTGCTGAACAAATACATGGCTTCACGGCTACTCCCATAGCTTCCGTGGTCCAAAAATTGGAGAGGTCAACTGGAGTGGTGTAACTGACCAGAAGGACACTATTGGCCTGCTGAATCTTTCCTGACGCGGCTCCGAAGACTACCCATCCGAGAGGTGAGTTTCTACCTACAAGATGTCCCGATTGCTTCGTCTCACCAGTGTGCAGGCGTGCATGGTCTCTTCCAATAAGAAGGTCTGCTGGTCCTATACCTCGGTGAATCTTTTTTCCTGTCAGTCGTGTACGTTCTGTAACAGCTTTTCTTGTGATTGCCGATACATCATCGCTGATTCGCGGAATTCCAACGGCCTTTATG